GTCCCGGACGATGCATACTTTTTTTTATTATTTATTTTATAATTTTTATTTTTATTTCAAACCTAATTTATTTAATTTTTAATTAAAATAATAATTTGAATATTGATTTAAGACTGTTTACAACAACAAAAATGACCACAACGAAACCAACTTCAAGTATTTTTGTGTTTCTAATATTTTGTAAAAATTAAACATTCAATCAGATATGCTATCGGAAATCGGAAATATATTTTTCCTTTCCCTTTTCAATATGTTAATTCAAAGGCTTATTCCAACAATTGTCGATACATTTTTTGCATATAATCAGTAGTGAAAAATCTGATTGTTAAAAACATAGAACTGCAATTTTATTACCGCTTTCAGGCAATAAGTATTCGAATATAAACTTGAATAACCCCGAAAATGAAACAATAAAAACATACTTTGCTAAAAATAGAAGTCTGAAAGCGAAAAAATTGGAAATTTATCGCTTTAAACTCAAACAAATATCTACAAGGAGAAACAGAAAATTCTTATCACCAAATATTTATCAAGAAATCAATAAATTTATACTTTTCGTGTGTTTAATGCCTTGTAAAAATAAAACAAAAATAAAGTTTGCCTTAAACTTGCGAAGCAATATTGCAACCCTCCCCAATTCGCATTGCATAAGTGAACAAATAAATATGTTTAATGTTTCTTCTTCTTCTTGTTATTTTCGTAAATTTTCGGGCGTTTAAAATTTTCTTACAGTTTTTATTGCCTTTGAGAAAAAATGGAATTATCATTGAATCGAAATCTATGAAAACTTCTTTTCGTATTCTTCTTTTTTTTCGGGAGTTTCATGTGAAAACAGCATACGAAAGAAAATTTGTTGTTGCATGTTTTCCTTTCGTTTGCAGTCGATTGTAATTTTGTGTTACTTTTTTTTTACAAATTTTCCCTGTCTGAAGCCTTGTCTGGTTGTGATAAGTTTGTTAACCAAAATGATTTATAGTTTGTGCAATCATTTTGCAGTTCTTTTCAGTTTCATTTCAATTTTTTAATCGAGGTAATTTTCAAGTTTTAATTGTATTTTGGTTTTTGGCACTTTTTTTCCTTTTGGTTTTATTATTCGCTCCCACAGAATTTCAAGTGAAATTTGTGTGAAGCTTTGTTGGATTTACAGGGGACTTTAGAGTTGAGATTTCTATGTCATTGAATCATCTGAAGACAAGGAACGAGTGACACTTGAAACTTACACCGCACCGCGTCTGTTGCTGTCGAATGCAGGCAGCAAATGTTAAAAATATCCCCATTTAATATTGTTTGGATTTATGGTGCATATCAGTGATGAAGAGTGGAAAAATATAAATTTCTGTAACAAGCAAACGGTGAATCGCGGGCGATAAATTATTTCAAAATGGATATAAAAATGAAAAAAAGAAAGATATTTCTGTCATTCGATTTCTTCTCGATGTCGCATTACGAAAAAGCAATTTTTCTTTCAATTTTCAGCTTGAACGAAGCACAAATGAACACACAAAAGCTAAAAATACGCTACGCACCACACCAAAGATCACTGAATTTTCCAATGACTTTTTAAATGATTTTTCTCACTTTGCTATCGAAATAAATTAAATGAAAAATCTTTAATGTCTTATCGTCAATGATCGTAGGAAGATGAATCCGATTCTTCCGAAAGAAAAATACTTTTATGAAAATATCTTTTCTTAATGTCGCATTTTGTCATTAAATCGAACAATTTATTTCATTACCAAACGACGACAGTCGACAAGAAAACAAAAACTCATAAAAATTAATTATTCGATTTTCTAGACAGATTTTTCATCTTCGTTTAAGTGAAAACGAGCGTGAAATTCGATAGCTTTTAGATGCATAATATAAGTGCCATCGAAGAACAGCAAAGACAAGAAAGAAACTTCACATTTAATCGGCGGCAAATGATCATGAAAGATCGTTTGGTGTAATCTTAATGTCGATGCTGATATCTTCCAGAGTCAATTCTTATTTCTTGGAAAAATGTCTCGCAACCCTTTTTTTTCATTTGATAAATATCCAAGCATAAGCCAACTTTTTAATTAATCTCTCGATTCTGCATCAGTTGCATTTGAAATGAATGATGAAACATATTGAGGAAATTTAATTAAAGTCGCTCGCGTCTTTTAAAACTTTCGACTGATTGAAGACATGCTATTGATACTTTCTTTTAAATCATCTTCTTGTGAGTTATGTGCCGACAATTCATCTTCGTTTTCTTGGCAACATTATGTGGCCGACATCATAATTCGCAACATGTGTTCACGACTCATTTCAAACTGCAAACACAAAGACATGTGACTATGTTTTTTAAAAAGAAAAATCTATTACATCGATGTGTGGTGAAACACGGCTCTTGTGCTATAAATCAAACGATCGATGGGGTAACTTCTCGGTTCGAAGAGCAAAACAGAACAGAAATCTTCAAATTGGTCTCGGAGCATTCATTAAAGATTCAAGACTCAATAAATATCTGACGATCTCTTAAGTATTTCTGTTTGCTTACATCTTATTTCTCCCTCACAAAACCGTCTCATAATTAAGAAATTCATGACAAAAAATCACCTTGTTGATTCTTCGCTTCAAAATCGACGACATAAAGCGGGAAAATGTTTTAGGGCGTCATTAACAAACAATTTTTTTTCCTCTTTTTCTTCCTCATCGAAACATAAAAAATGACATAAACGAAATATGCACAAATCTATCACACGCTCCCTCGCTTTCCTTTTTTTTCACAAGATATGAAAAAAGTCGACTTTAGGAAGTAAAGATTTTCGACCCCAATTTACATAAAAGAATTCTATGGGGTTGACTATCGTCTACCGTGAAAGCCTCTCAATGTCTTTATGTCAAAGAATCAATCGTCGTTTCTCTTTGTGTATCATTTTACCGGAAAGAATAACAAACTTTACCGATGCTATTGGATAGAAGTATCAACAAGCACTTTTTCTCCTTCTATCTGTGTAACATCTGTAGACTTTATTTCATGAATTTTGTATAAAGGAAGAACGACAAGACAGTGAACTGAGAGAGAAAAAAAAAATTGGCATAGTCGTCTTTTCAACTGAAAGTCGAAATTTATTTGAGTGAAAGCAAACGATTGGCTCGAAGGAGAATGAAGGGTATTTTAATCCTGTTTGTTTATTCAAATCAGGTCCAACAACAGCAAATTTTCACACCGATTACATTTCAATCGACCATTATAAATTGCTCCTTTCAATGTTGTTTTTTATATTTTAGATAGAATAAATATCTTCGGATGAAAAGTTTAAGAAAACTTCCCTCAGACAATTCCAGTTGAGTAGAAGATGTAGGAGAAGGGGACGTTGGAGTTTATGGTCTACAAGATAAATTGTTCTACCAACTTGAATACTGGGCGAGGGATTTTCACAGATTTTCCCTCAAACTTCTTCAAACACGTTTAAGAGATGAGAAAAAGAAGGATGGAAATTAATACAAGTCGAGGAGTAACAAAAACCAGGTGAATAATTTATGGAAATTCTTAAACGCTACTTGCACTTCACTCTCTTACCTCTTTATCTTTTAATGCTAATTCCTCAGCCATTGTTCGAGTGCTTACACTGTTGTTGTTATTTACATTTCCCGACTTCACGCTACAGCGATCACCATTATCATGTGATTCTGTTGCATTTTCATCGTCATTATCGACCATATCGTCGTCTTCGACATTTTTTTCTTTTTCACTTGTGGGTGTCGATCGGTTGCTTGTACAATGATTAGTTTCTTCTTTGACGTCATCGTCATCTTCGTGATTGTTATCAATCATTTCGTTTACGTCGTTAAGCTTCTTGTCCATGTTTTCGTCATCCAAATGACAGCTTTTGATGCTGTTATTGTTTAGCAATTTGTTGCTTGTGTTGTGATTATCGTTATTATCGGATAGAAGCGAAAGTGGAGTGGTGGAGGGTGAAGGTGGTGATGTGCCGTTTTGCGTGATTGTGGTCGTTGTTGTTGAATTTGATAATGTGGTGTTTGTTTGTGTTTTGGATGTTGCGGTTGATGTCAATTGTTCCTTTAATGTATTAACTTCCTTCTCAGCTAACGTTGCTCTCTATTAAAGACAAGAAAAAGAAAAAAACATGAAATTCTGTGTCGTTCATCTTTCATAAAACTAAAATTTATTATTGAATACAATTGCAAGCTTATAAAATTGCATCAAGTAATTAGTGCTCTGTAAATCGCTTTTGGCATCGTTTCAAATCTAATTCAAAGGAGCGAGAAAAACTTGAAAAAAAAAATTATTTGTAAGCAGGTATAACAAAATTAAGTTTTTTAACAGCATGAAATGATGTCTTTTGTTTGCTGACACTGAGTCAATATTATAAATGAGATCATGGCAAAGTATCCACAGCTCTACTTTAACTTGTTGATCTCAGCCTTGAATCAATGAACTCTTTCTTAACATAACGCATCAGCAGTAAAATAAATACCTTGAACATTTTTTTCAAATGAAACTAGTCGATTGTCAAACCATTTTTCACACATAAGCCATAAAATTGAAAAATTTTCATCAACTTTCTTTCCTTTATTAAATTTCGAGAAGTAACAACCGAATCTCATTAAAATATTCCACTTCGTAATGAAAGTTTCAAATAAAAATTTTAGTGGTGCGCTAAGAATCTGCGACAGATTAAAGACATTCATTCGTTTTCTCGTCTGACGATCGTTAAATTGTTTATGCATCGGAGAGGAATCACTTCTACCATTTGTTGTAATATTGTCAAATGATTTCATGAAGTGCTGCTGCAATTTTAACACAATTATTTAACTAAACAGTTTCTCATTACAAAAACTTCAAAACTCATTTTCTCAATCCCTGACAACAACACATCCCATTTAATCTCGGTTAATAATATGTGAAAATGAGTGAAAACGTTTTAATTGCACACTTTTAAAAGAGCATACCATTTTCATAATTATACAATTTAAGCAATGTACCATATATTTTTGGCACTTAATTAATATTTTCATAATAATTTTTGCTTCGCCATTTGCGAGAATTATGAAAATAAAAGAAAAGAAATGGAATAAATTTCAAATACTTTCAACAACTCGATTGCTCTCAAATAGAAAAAAAGTCGCAAGTTGCAAGATATTTATGTGATTAAATAAATCTTATGCTCACAATTTAAATTTATGCAGTAGAGTGTTCTGTCAAAGAAGCTTTACGTTCTTTGGTTGAGTGAATTGGAAATTGCAACCATGAAACGGTGACTTCAGCGAATAATTCGATATGATTGCTTTGCAGGTGAAATGCTTCATCAAGTCAGTTGCTTAACCATTTCGTTGAGAAGCAAACAAAAGTAGCGCAATTGCAGCTTATTAGCTCGCTATAAAAATCATGTCAATGTACAATTATCTCCGATTATTCTCGATCACAATAGACTACGACAAACAACGTCGCACATAAATTCTTCTGATATGGTAATTGAACTTTTAAAGCTAAGACAACTTCAATTTATCGCCATTTTTTAGTTCACAACGAACTCAAGCTTCGTCGCAATCAATTTTCAAATTGAGGAAATATTCAATAACCATTATGATTCGCTATCAAAAGCGTTACGATCGGGAATTGTCTGATGAGCGTATCCGCTTTATCGGAATAATTTTCTCGTCATTGGCCATGTAGTGGAGAATAGCATTACTCGATTCAATTGATTTGATGTGAAATAACTGATTATTATTATCATTTCATATGCAATCGTTAAAAAGTCGTATGCTTGTACAATTCCCCTCGTATTCTCGTATTTGTTGCCAATTCACGACAAAATGGATTCTTATCTCGAAGCATTTCATTCGAATTGACTCAATAAATAAATACTCACAATGATAAAATAAACTAATTTCCCAGTTGTTTTATAATTACATCAATCATCGACTATAGAATATAAAAAAGCATTAAAACATGAACTGCAAACATCAATTTGTTGATGGATTTTCCATGCAGTTCATTTTTCGATGTGTTATTTATTTTATAATTTGCAGGGATTCTAGTTGGTTCTTAAATGACATCATCTAAACAGACAAGAAGACTCAAACCCCTGATTGAACTCGTACATCATAAATTTTCATTCAATTGAACACAAATTTTAATTTTTTATTCTCGATTTGTTTAATTTTTTTGTGCATCGCATAAGCAAATGAAATTGATAAAAAACTTTTTTTTTGTTGAACGGATTTCCTTTCAATCTTTTTTTTTCATAATTCGTATTTATTTCTCTACATATCAAGCTGTAAAAATACTCAAAAATAATTGTTATGGTGACATATCGTTGCGTTTTATCTGCTTTCATAATTATTGAGTTCTCTCAACATATGTCGTCGTCAATAGATTAGACGAACGGGAAAACTTCGAAATAAATTTTATCAGAAGGATGTTGATTGTGGCTAAAATGTGGCTGAGAAATAACTTTCAAATTTCTGATAAAATTATTAAAAAATATTGTTATTATCTAACAAATTTCAAATGTGAAATTCATCACATGTTTCATCAACCCCAAAATAAACTTTTGATTCTTTTTCAAAACTTTTCTTTTTATCATATTTTGACAAAGCAGAGGGATTAACAATTATTAGCAGAATTTCTTTTCTTTACTTTTTTCATGAAATTGCTGATTTTATAAATCGGTAAAGTCTGTAAAGAAAAACAATTTTTTTTTGCTCTCATCAGACGGGAGTTTAATTACAATATTTACCCATTAATATTTATAAGAGCTAAATGAATCTTTAGCAAACTCATATGCATAATTCTTATAGAATTGTTCGATGAAGTTCATTAGCTGGGAAGTTTGCCGCGTGTGTAAAAATTTATTCAGAACCCCAAATTAATCCTTAATCATGCTGAATTTTTCTTCCTCAAAAATCGCTTCGTTGATGCTCCTTCCGACTCACACCCGCACAAATTTGTAAATGAACCTCGAATGATTATGATGTTTTCTTTTTTCCCATTGAAAAATTCATCGTTAATTGATTTTAATTATTTAAATTCATTAATGAGTAAATTACGTTTTTTATTCATCGCTTTTTCGTAGATTTCCGGCTTTTGCTATTAAAAATTAATTTAAATTTCTTTCAAAAACAAATTCACAACACAAGATGAAGGAATTGGATGAATTAGAATTTTTTTTATTGAATCGCTTTTTGTGTATGTGCCTATGAATGGATTTTTGTTATTTGCGAAATTATTAATGAATTTTAAGATTGAATAAAGCCAGTAACTAACTCGTGATGATGACAATTTGTGATTTGCTTCTTTACATAAATAAACTTTCTGGGATTTTATCCAAATCAGTTAGTTTTTGAATTTCATAATTCGTTTTTCATTCTTTTATTTTTTTTATTGTCGTTTGAAAAATTGTCTGTTCGAATTTGTGTTTTTTTATGATTAATCATCATCAGAGATGGTGAATTATGAACGTCGCCGAGACAGGGAAAAAGAAGGAGAGTTTCTTAAGACCAGAAGCTAAATGAAGTTTCTTAAGATTCAATAAATTATTAATTTCTAAGCTTTCAGGGGCTTTGTACATGAACGATCAAAGCATTTTACACTTAATCAATCTGAATTCAGCTAAAACCCTGTCACATTATTCTCAAATTTTTTTTTATGTCTTACACTTTTCAATCAAATCCAAGCACACATATTTAAAGAAATAAATAAAGCAAAGCGAGATCTTATTTAAATTATAATTGTATGGTATATGGAATAATGAAGAATTAAGCAAAATAAAGGTTCGTAGCCCGTTTCTATTGTAATGACATTTATGTCTTTAATACACGCGATATATCTCAAATGATTAACATTTCCATGTTTGTCGTATTCTTACGATTGCGATTGAGTGAAACAAACGACATGTGTTGGTAACATGTAAAGAGATAAAATTTGTTCAGATATTGAATGCAATGAGAACAAAAGAAGTCGATCATGCAATTGAATAAAAATATTTCAAATGCGAAAGCTGCAAAATTCAATTCATTGATGGAAGTTTCAAAGATTCGACATACGATCATTAAACTTTTCCCACAATAGCTTCTTGGCTTTGGTATTTTTTATCATTAAGTAATCTCTCGCCAAGCCTTTATTTATTCAAATTTCCATATGAATGTAAGAATTATAAATATTGCTTCTCAATCTTCTCTCCACGAGCATCAGCAACAGTAACAACGGCATGATGACGAAATTCTAGTGACGAACTGGTAATTTAACAACAATCGATGCTACTGTATTTGAATTTCATGAATCATATGTGAGACAATGTCTTTAATATCTTTTGATGCTTGATTTCCATAACAAATGACACCCGGAAATTGAGATATTAAAGAAAATAAATCACACGTCTTCCATACAGGCATGAAAATACTCTTTCTGAGCTGTTTGATTTGTAGTTAGAAATGGAAATGGGAATGAGTGAATAACAGTTCCATCGCAGCTGATGGAAGAATTTCTCATGAATGGAGATCTGAATTTCATTTATCATTTTATTGTGTGCCGTCTTCAACTGTTCCACATCCACATCAGAATGAAAAGAGAGAAAAAATATTTATGAAATATTTTTCACATAATACCAGAAGAAGATTTATGTCTAATTCTAATTAGATTCTTATTAGCTTGAAATTGAATTTCCTCAGCGAAAGATTCTTTTTTTTCTCGTTCAGGCATTTCGTGTCTTCGTAACGATCGCAAAAATACGGGAAAGCGAAAATTATTTCATTCTTTTATCGTTCGTTATATCTGCGTGGGAAATTGCACAGTGAATCGTTCGGTGTCGATTTCTGCTGAAAGATATTTTTTTGGGGATGGAAGAATAGAAATTCATTGAACGAGAAACTGGTAGAACATTGAATTGAATTAAAACAAACCTCATTCTTCTATTTTCTTATGGTTTAAAATATAATTTGGTTGTGGGTGGAAAAAGCTAACTTTAAGAATTTCTTTGAGAAAATTTTATTTATTCAAGATATTGTCAACTCACTGCATTTTAAGTCGTTAAAGCTGGGAACTTTATAGCCAATCGAATGATCTCGATTCATTTCTCAAACCGAATAAGAAGGGAAGGCTACATAAAATAAAACGAATGTCGTAAAACTCACCGGAGGCTAAGAAAGGCGCCATTAAAATTCACAAAATACAATGTGAGATTAATAGATCATTATTTTGAAAATCGGATGCCTTTACTCTTTCGTAAGAAATATTTTGATTTCTTCCGATGATTTTTACGACTTTCTTTTGGTAAAGAAGAATTGAAATAATTAAATTGTATCTCAAGACAATCAAAGTTGATTTTACCGCTCGCTCACTTGCTCCAATTCAATGGTTCTTGAAAGAACAAATGCGAATGAGAAAAGAAGAATCCGGTCAATAAATTTTTAGTGCTTTAATTATATCGCCTCCGATGAGTTGAGTTAGACTTAGCGTTCGTGAATAACATCAACGGTCGTAAATTTTTTTGTTCGAGAATAAATCATTTCAGAAGTTTGTTCTCAACTCATGTCATCGTCTGATTGATTTGCGTCTAACGATGTGCGAATCTTGTAGCCAATAAATTTGTTTTGTTCAGAATATTTTCGTTTTCTTAATTGAAAAAGGATTAATTCAAAATTGAAATAATTAATTTGTTATCGAGAAATGTTGCGCAAAGTTGAATCGAATGCTTTTACAACTTAAACTCTAAATTCAAAAAGCAGCTAGATTTTTTATCGATAAATTTTAATTGGAAGGAATTCAACAAATAAGTGGCCGAAAGCAGTAAACATTAATTGATTTTTTATTATACTTTAATCCGCAGATATAGCTTCTCAACGAAATGAAGTATCAATGAAAGTTTAGTTAATTGAGATATTAAAGTATTGTGTTGATGTTCGAAGTCGAATTATTAATTGAAAGCGAGCTAAACAAGCTTCGTGAGTTTACAAAATGTACAGATTAAAAACCGAATAAGATTTGATAATTGAGCTTCTCAAATGATTATTGATTTTATGGTTAGATCATTAAAAGTTTCTATCTTTAAATAGCCGCAAGTTTGTTGTAAATATAAGGAAGCTTAGCAACTCCTAGCAACTCAAATATTATTTTAAACATCGTTACGTTTAGCAATTTTATCAGTGATCAAAAAAGATGTTTTTAGATTCTTTCACCCCTTACTCGTTTGTGTGAAAACTTTAATTAAATTTCACGATGAGAAAGAATTTATAGCTTCAATATCTCATTAGTAGCAATCATCCCCCGATCCTCTACTACACTTTCTCACTCTTTTTTTTCTATCAATAAGCCCTTTTTTGAATGGAATCGTTTCTTTTCAATATTACCCATCTTTATGTCAGTATATTTAGAAAACCATCGAAAAATATAAAATTTAATGTGGGTATCCCTTCTCTTAAATAAAGTACATCTAAACCATCGTTTCTTCCCTTTTCCTCTCTCTCTCTCTCATCTTCTTCAGATATCAATTCTGTTAATTAAAACTTCTAATTAGTATTATCATTTTACATGCTGGAAAATCAATGGAATCTTGTTATTTCTTCTCCCTTCTCATCGTTTTGATTTCAAAAGACATCAGAAAAATGATTTCTGGGTCTTTGGAGCCGCAAATATGGGCATGCAAATCTTTTTCCCATCGGGAGAATTAAAAATCCTTTCTTTCTTTATTCTTTTTCACTTCGTCGATGAACTCGAAGACTTTTCTTCCTTTTCTTTCGTATCTTCTTCCTTTTCCTTTCGATGATGATGATTCAACAAACTCATCAAGATAAAAAGATTTTCATCGAACAAAAGAATCAACGAAAAGCGATTTTTCCACTTCTTTTCTTTTTTTGTGAAAGAAAAATAGAAACCAAAAAACCTGAATGGAAAAGGATTAAAATGTAAAAATTGTCTCATTAAAAGAAAGATTCATTAGTTAGTCGACGGGGGTGGTTTCGAAGTTTGTGCGTGTCTGTAGCTTTTTACTTAATTAACAGATGAAAATTATTTTCCTTCTCATCTCACTCTTAACAAAATGAAAACAACATAAAAAAACCTTTTTTTTTGTATATTTTTGCTCCATTAACTTTTATTACAGATTGATTTTTCGTATTTTTCGCCATCGGAAAAAAGGATGAAAAGTGAGAGAAATGCTTTAGGATAAATGTAAATTAGAAAGCTGATTAGATCACTGTGATGTGAAAAGTCATCAAAGTAAACTTTACGCCTCATGAATAACTTTTTACTTTAATTAAAGTTGTAAAACATCATCAAACGTGTTGCACATCACAAAAGATTTTCAAAGAAAATATCTATTTTCATTCCACCACGTGAACGACGTTAAATATTTTGTAATAAAATCGAAATCATAATGCCTTTGAAAAATTATATTGACAAGATTTCTGACAGCGTCAGAACGTGAAGATACTCATTCTGTCTTCCCCCCTTTCTCTTCTTTAATATTGATCAACAAACGTTCAGATCATTTTTCATTTGACTTTAGAAGCTATCAAGATGAAAGTGAAAATCTTCAAATATTCATGAAAATTGAAGGAGGAAAAATTGCTCCATAAATAAAACGACATCGCTATGTGAACAATAAAAATTTATTATTAAAAAATAAATGTCAAATTTATGATTATTCCTTGTGACGAAAATAGATGCAAATGTTGGGAATGGGTGGATGGGTGGATTAGATGGTAAAACAGTTAATATTTATGATTTTCTTTATATTTTCTCGTTTTATTGACGTTGTTAGTTGGATTATGAGTGTGGAATGAAATTAATGAATTTGTTAGTCAGTTATGAACATCAATTCAAGCCTTAAACATTTTATTTCAGTCGTGAAACAATCTATTTTGAATAAAAAGCGATTTTCATCGTTGTTTGAAAATAAGTTAAACTTTTCAAACGGATATGGCCACTCAATGAATGAAGAGGAAAAAAAAGAAACAAAGAAAGAAATGAGAGGCAAGTGAAAAATCATTAAAAGTAACCTCTCATTGTTCACCATTAACTAAGAGGCCCGATAAATTTTCGGACATTTCTCCATAGATTTCTATACACAATCATGAGGGGATTTGCTTCATAAACATAAAAAAATTAAATGTGTGAGAGACTGCTGATGTATGGAAAATCGCTAATTAGCTATCAAAGGGATTTTTCGAGAAATGGTGATAAAAAATCTACATACGTAAACTCAATTTCCCTCTCATTACATTACTTATACGGTTAAGAAGGGGCCGCATGTTTAATCGACTCTCGGGCGTAAAAATTATAATGATGTTGCCGAAAACCTCTCAACTCATATTCGCATGGTATTCCAAACGTATGAAGCATAAAACGTCTCCTTCCAACTACTCAATGTTTTAAAAAATAAAGTGAATGGAATGAGATGGCACATCAGTTTTTCTGGGCAAGATATGATGTGGGTTTGCTTTGGCACACTCGAGGGAGAGACGGGGATAATTAAGGATCGAATGTTTTAAAACTTTTTCTCTCGACTGCGGTCGATTTCTCTATGGCGACCTCATGAATAATGCTGAGGATGAAAATTCATCTCGATATGTGTATGTTTCTTACTTTAGATTACATGCATACATTAATCATGTTTATATTTACAGGCTTCATGGAAATCATTTTCATCATACATACATCGAATGGAAGGGACAAGTTATTGTAGAAAGTCGAAACTTATTTGTGTTTAAAATACTCAAAACCTTTGTTTCATTCAATGTTTTTTTTCTTGATATGAATTTTGAATAATGGAATCATCTGAAAGATGACTTTGACGTCATTTCTCATTCACAAATTCTTCTACAAATTCGACACATGATAAATTGTTGTTACTAAATTTTTATGCTAATTCTCTCAGAATGAATAATAGGAATTGCCAATAAAGAGTTTCTTTATCTTAATGATGATTCCCGGTAGAAAATCTACTGCAAACTATAAGCTTCCACATCAGTAGAACTTTGTAAAAATTGTTATTTTTTGTTCTTTTAATAATAAAAATTTAATAATAATTTGAGTTCATCCAGGAAAGATGGAAAAGTTTTCTCGTCATGGCAACACAGTCGAGTGTAGTCTCTCGAGTGTTGTTCAAAGTAAAAATATTTAAAAAAGGAATTGGAAAAGGATGAAAGGATTAACCTTCGGGTGATTTTTCCTACGATTATTGCCTTTTTGTAAAAACAATGGCCCTTTCTCGATCCCCGTCCTATCGTTCTCCCCTCAACCACCCAAATGCTTATTTTAATTATTTAAATACAGCTCTTGAATAAATTTGAAAACAGCAAAAGAGAAAGAAATCAAATGACAAAAATCAACCCCATTTGAATCCAAATTCCAAATACATTCGTACACACACGCATCAAACGCAAATAACCCCGGTAGTGGTATGAGCAACGCAAAAAATGAAAGAAAATATTCATGCATATTGATGAAGGAGAATAAAAAAGAAGAAAAAAAAATGCGAGGCCCATTAAACAACGAACCCCTTTTTTGATGTGAAGTAGAAAATTTACATATCGAAAGGAAAGAGAATGAGAACGTATTTAAGACATGCAGGAAAAATAACAATAAATTTTGATCAATTCATTCTTCTCAAGCTCAGGGTTGGGAAGACAAAAACTGTTTGCGACATTGTTGTATGATGATCTTTACAAGCAAATTCGGAGCGCAATATATGAATTTTATTTTTGCTTGAGATAAAGATGTTAAGCGACAGATTCAACAATATTTTATTGTTTAAGAGTGCTCTACTAAAGATTGCTTTACCTTGCTTTCAGAAATGTAATTCTAATGGGGTTGTCGTCTCTGACATTCTTCTCACAAAATTTCTTCCACCTTCTTCCAACCCATCTACATATAAATTCATGCCGAACCATCTTCACATGCCTCATAAATTCTCCGCGAAACCTTATTATTAACGTATGCTTTCGCTTTCCTTCACTCCACGCGAGATCTTCATGTTATCAATATTTAATAAATATCAAAGAAGAAAATTTATTTCTCCCGTGTGCCTTCGCGATACATTTAAATGATCAATTGCTGCTTTTATTAAGATTCGAAGGGAAGAAAAAGTTATTAAAGGAAATATTTAAATGGAAATTCCATCGTTCTATTGTTATTTTCCAGCCTCGTTAATCCTTAAAGTTTTTTTCAGCTTTAATGTTTATGCATAAAATATGTAGAGCAAGAGCATAAAATGTAGGGCGTTGAATCGCGTTGTTTTCGCGGCCGGCAAAAAAAACGACCTGCTGTGGAAAATTAATTTCCGACTTTTCCGCATAAAAAAAAGGCGCCGAAGCAAAATAGACACACGAGTTTTCACTACATATTGGATTATCAGCTTGAATATGTACAACATACGCAACACATCATCATCTGACCGTGCAACAACAAACAAACAGAAAAAATGAAAATGACCGCAATTAGTGAGGTTTTCGCATACGAAAGCGCGCAAAAGGACGGTGCATAGAGCATTCAATATGCATGAGTTGAAAATAAAAGCGACCGGCCGCTATTGAAGTTGAGAATGCAATGAAAAGTTGAATGCATTTGAGCATTGCTTTCATTTACGTTCCGGTTAATCGCTTGTTTGTGTGGGGGATGAACATTGAGTGCAAATATGCGGGGGCGGAAATGCGTGAAAGTTCAAAAGGTTTATGACACTCTCGCAGTTGACTTTCGAGGGTTAATTGAGTTTAATCTGGGATGAAAGTTTTAAACGTTTTCAAGGAGTGAGTGAGTAGAATTACATAAATTCTCATACGTCATTTTCATTGCATTTTAATGCCATACGTTGAGGTTTCTCACCTCAATACTTTGCAACTTTTTCTTCTTCTATATCTATCTACTTAATTAAATGAGAAAAAGGGAAGAATTGTGAAAATTCAATTAAATATCAAACATAAGAAAAAAGATATTTATGTTAGATTGAAAATTTTCTTGGCACAAGTTGTAAAACAAATGATGATTCTACCTTGCACCAGCAAGTGAGAAATATTTAATCAAAGGAAAAGAATTGAATTTATGAACTTTAAAGCTAGGTGACTTAGGAATTCGTTTCGTGATTCAATAAATTAAAACTTGTCGCTAAATTAAAGAGCAATTCTATTTAAATAAGAAACTAACGCTTTTTGAATCAACAAAAGCGTTCACACGTCCGCAATAAAAATTCAAGGCACAAAGAAATCGCAAATACCGAAAAATCGAAATAATTAATTACGAAAGTGTATCATCATAATAGATAAAACACATGTTAATTAAAAAAGATATTCTGTCGAAATAGTTGAGTGTTTCTTCGGCGACATTTAGATATTTTAATGGCATCTCACGAGCCGATGTTTCGTCTATGTTTTCAGATGATTTAGAATTAATGTTTCGATATTTCTACACGAGAACTTTTTGGTGTTTATTTTTGAATTCTTTGCTCGTGAATTTCATTGGCTTTAAACACATAAGTAGTAAAAATAAATGACTAATTAGCTCGAATGCACGATCGTTCACATTAAAAAATACTAAACTATTGAAATGATTATAAAATGAATAATTTTTTGTAAAGTTCATTTTGCGATGAGTAATTACTTTGAAATGTTTTTGCTCAATTTTTTTTTAGATTAATTTTTAATGTTTACAACATTGTTCGGCTCCAACTGTTGATATATGGAAGGTTTCAATGTGAATCACAATGATTACAGTTAAAAGTGACCTAATAAGTTGTTAGTTTAAAGAATCAGCAATGCAGATACAATTCAGACTTCAGCCGAAATGATAAGATAAAAAAGTTACCAAATAAAAGTGAGAAGCGATTGTAAATCAGCATGATGTGCAATTCGAGGCAGCGGGATTTGAAACGCTTTAAAAAAATAGAAAATTCTGAGATCACTGTGGATTACACCGTCATAATGTTATGTCTGTGACTCTCGCTGTTTTTGTTGATTCCATTAACCGATGATCGACATCGGTATGGGGTTGTTATAACCATGAGATGTCTTGTCGATATAGAAACGCTGATTTTTTTTCCATAGCGAATTTTCCATTTTTCAAATTTTTTCCACTCACAATTCATTTCATTTTCATATTTTTCCTTCTTCTCGAGGTATCATAAAAAATATTTATGATGCTTTCCCTCCTCCGCTTGAAGCTCTTACAAGCGCGCACGGGGTTGATTTAAAATTAATCAATTCATCTGCGTATTTTATGATTTTTTTTGTTATTTTGTATCGTGGGTGGAGAAAAAGTGCCAAAAAAAACGAACGAAATGTTGTTGATGCGGTGTAATATGTGGATAGATTCGGATCAAGGTGAATGAATAATGAATATCGATATTAATATTTTTGGGATCATAAATTACAGTTATGCGCTTTCTACGGGATGAATGCGGGGGTAATAAAAGTACTAAGGCTCAATACTTTTGTACCATAAATGGATTTTCATTATTTCTTTCATCCCAGCTCGTTAACTAGTCACGGGAAGGTAGAAAATTTCCTATGCCGTACGATTTTGTTTCATGAATGAATTTTTTCATCTCTTCTTTTGCTTACAATTTCAATGAGTAAAAAATTAACATTTTTATGAATCGGTCTTTTGTCGTCCTCGGTATCAGTGTCATTGAATATTGTCAAAAAAAATAATAATGCGGAGTGAGAGGAGAAAAGAAACAAAATTTGAGACAATTGAATTGGTTTTCTTATAATTCATTCAAACATGTAAAAGAAAATATGGGTGAAGCCCAGTAAGAAAAAATCTACTTCGAAATGAAAATCATTGCATAAACTTTCATTGCGTAAATTTTCACTGTTGTGTCAAGTTTTAATGCGAATAAATTGAACAAATAATAAGTCAAGGCAGAGAAGAATTTTTGACACTTCTCCTTCCTTTAAATTTATTATCTTGCGACACATTCGGAGACGAGCGCGAGGAAATGAAAGATACACAAAAGAAATTCAATAAATAATAAATTAATAAACATAAAGTTTTGGGCAAGAATGCTTGAAATTTAACAATAAAACCTACTCATGATGAAATACGCATTCATGGTTGATTTGAGATGACGAATTGTTGTTTGTAATTCATCTTCTGACATGAATGAAGCAAAAAATAAAAAGTATCTTGGGGCTCTCGCCAAATCAGACTTTTTTCTAATTTTTTAATAACAATTGAATTGTTGTTGACATTCACAATGCTTCTAAATAACATAACAATTGCTTGCATGTTCGTAGGCGATTGATTGATTAGCTTTGTAACATAACATTCTCCTATTAAATTCTCTTCTTTTTAAGTTGCTTTTAGAAAGGAAATGATAATGCAAAGAAGAGTTAATAATTGTAGTTGAATCAATCAAGTGTAGGAGCAATGAGAATTTAAGCTTATTAATTGTCATTGTTCAACATGATATGAGTAAAGCCATAAATTTGACTAATCGAAAATTCTCTTGATTTTCACGATTCGCTGCTGGTTGACTTTTCATTCGCACACATTTGAAGTTAAAAAGCGATTTCTTTCATTTGACATTTTGATAAATTTATCACATTAAAAACATATTAATATCAGAACGACGAAAACGAGAGGAATAAATCCATTTTTTATATTTTTTTGGCTTTCATGTGAATTATGTTTAACAGAACTTATCAATGTGTGTGGGTGTGTAGCTTAATGTGATATGATAGAAGGAAAAAATATCTAAAAATATATTTTCTATAACGAAAACATAAGTTTATATTGAACTTAAAATCAAGAAGAAGCTTCAAGATTTCTGGAGGTCAAATAAAACTTGTAAATTTAGATAGCTTAATAAAAGAATGTTAACCACCATCGTAAGTTATTCTCAGAAGTTCTAGTCGATTTCATATGAAATCATTTACGAACATATGTGAATAGAAGCGAAGTAGAATGTCACGCAATGTTTCGATATGTTATCAATCATTGTACTTAGAATGTACACGATTTCCTTCCTGTCGTATTTTAACACATCCATCGAAATAAATATTCTAATAAATACATGTAAATAGCATTGAGAAAGAAAGAAATATCAAGTTTGTGATTTGCATGCCACATTTAATACATTCATCAACTACAATGAAATTTTTTTGTTTTGAATTCAATTTCTGATATAACAAATTTTCGAGGAATGCTCGACAAATGAAATATAATGAATAAAGTGTGTAGGAAAAAAAGCAAATTTCATATCGGAAAAGTGGAAATACAATTAAAACACGCCATTATTTTAATTACGCTTTTGCCTTATTTTCTGCTGTTGGCGGCGAAACACAATGAAGCTTCAGAATTGCTTCTCTTTTAATGGCTTTTAATTATGCTTTATTGATTTGTGTGTTTCGCATTTCAAATTTTTATTCTACTTAAACTGCCTTGAATCGTTTAGTATTGTGTACTCATTTTCAAGTGAAAAGAAAAATAAAAATAAAAACTACAACAAATTTTCATTACAGAAAAATAATTTTTAATTTGCATTTCAAATGTCATTTTTGTGTCAAATTGACAAATGAAATTAAAACAAAAGAAAAGCTGTCAAAGATATTTGAATTGTAATGCTAATGGCATATTTTTGCTCGCAAAATTTCCTTTGTGATGCTGTTTACTGTTCTCATATATTCTGCGGTTTTTGTAGAGAAAATGAAGTTAGAGAGAGCGACAATGAAGACTAAACATTAATTCTACATCTGCCGATGGCTCTATTTCACATTCATATTCCCTCCACCGATGATTAATTTCAATTTTTTTCCGCACAGTCACAAAACATGAAAAATCACCAAAGGACAACGGATAGATGGACGTATTCGTCTTGTAAGTCGACTAATCCACAATCGATAACTCACCCAAAACATCATTTTTATTAATCATCAAAATTCACCACAGGCCCCCACTGACAAAAGTTAGTTCATAAATATAAATTATCATTTATTTTGTCATTGTCATGCAGAACACACGAAGAATGTTTTCATAATTTTTTGGCGATATTTAGGTGCGCCCTGATAATTACATTATTTTGTAATGAAAAACAGTCATTCGAATGTTTGTCATTTCATTACGCCAGCCCTAAAAGCTCATTGACGTATTTATAATCGAATGTGAAACTAAAACCTGGCTATTCCTTCAATTTTTCCGACTGTTTGCTGGCCTCGACAATGATTAAGCGCGAAATGGTGGAAATGTTGAATGTGACTTTCTCGATTAATCAAACGCGCACTCCGTTTAATTTGAATAATTGATTTACGGCTAACCAATTTTAATTACGCAACATGTCATAGCGATTCCCACCCAGTGATACAAAACAATCCATACAATTCTTGCATAAATCTTATGTTAATTTAACGAAGAAAATCATGAATGAAATTTCTTTTACAATTCGATACATTGAGATGATTTTGATTTCATATGCACACACAAACACAAAAGTCTTTCATTAGTCATGAGGCGATGAAAACGAAAATAAAAATTAGACCCCAAAAAGTAATTCATTTATTAAGGAATCATTTTATCTCTTAGCAATGCTTCTTACTCAGCTTATGAAACGAAGAAATATCGTGAAAAAGAAGTTGAGAATAATTCTAGTCAATGCACCCACACATCATGTTTGAGATCCAGACAACAATGTCTCATTCTTCTGATTTGCAATAACTTCTTCTTGTTGGTTGTTATTGATACTTTCTTGTTGTTCAATTCATTCACGGATGTGTAATAAATAAAGTTCAGAATTGTGAATGCATTTTAAGAATATCAAAAAGAAAAGAAGAAGGAAAAAGTTGATTCTGGAAGCGTCTTGGGGACAGCAAAAAAATTCAATTTAAAAACATGATTGAAAGTTAACTTTTCTCGCCTGACTTTAATTGTTTGACATTATTTGATTTCATGCATTTTGAGACAAAATGAAATAAACTCAAATCTAGTTAAGTATATAAATGGGTTATTTACACTGATTTAGAAGAAGTGGGCATTAATCAGAGAGTTCACCTCAAGAAGTAAGGAATTTTATTTTTAAAATTTCATCATATTTATTAAGAATTCCTTAATAAAAACTTATTGCTTTGGAAACAAAAGCCCCTTACCGAAAGTTGATTATGAATCGTCTTCTTACTTAATAAACTCTTCTCGCTCCGAAAATTATAAAGCAGCTCTACTTGCGATAGAAATTCTTGATTTCTTACCTAAAAATAGAAGAAAAAAAATAGAAAATATTAATTTGTTGTTTGTCACAGGATTGAAAAATATTTAACTCGTCCTACAACATTAAAGTTCTCTGTTTTATTTTCATTATCAAGGCCCAAATTAAACATTATCACTAATTAGATAATCTTGAAGTGCGAGAGTAAAAAGGTCTCAAATATGATTTAGAATGTTTATGCTTTTTCAACAAGCGAGAGACAGAGAAAGAAGATAGGGAGAGAGAGAGAGATTTCTGCTGTCTTCTGTATATAAACAAATTAAAATTCGAGACTAAACAAGAAGAAAACTCTGCGTCTTAAAGTCTTGAATTTAAAGCTATAAAACGGCTCGGTCTACAAGAAGAGAACACAGCGTTATCCTATTAAATTGAGGAATCATAAATAAACAATTATGTTTATGCCAGCTTCTTATTTTCAAGCGAAAAAGGATGAGATATCCTTACATAACAACTACCAGCCGACAGTCAAGACTGAAAAAATATTCGTTCAGACGCTTTAAACGATTTTCTTTTCGCCTACCACTTGCTGATGTTATTTTGTAAACAAAACATTAAGTTTCATTCAAGAAAAAAAAAGGAGAAAGAAAAAACTCGACATTTATATTAAAGCGACCAGTCGATCCCAGTGAGAAGAAAATTTGTACGAGAAACTTTTCCACCCACGCATTTCTATGCTACATATTTTCCCTTTCATGAGTGAACAACTTCTATGCAAGCGGCAATTACTTTTCGACTCTGCATAAAAAAACTCACGCATAGCATTTTTCTATAAGCATTGGCAATTGTTAAAGTTAATGTTCTTGAAACAAAACATGCAGATATTAAAGTCGCAATGTAGAAAAGAAGCAGAAAAAAAATCGATTAAAGTGTTCTCGAGTTTTTTCTTTCATCTTTAATTCTTCTGCTTGCATTTACACATTTCATCTTGATTGCATATAAATTATTTCTTCCTTCAATCAGTTATCAGGACCGAGCATGATCATAATGTTACGAGAACTCTGGCCAACTGCACATAATCGTAAATAAAAGGGACGTGAACACATAAACGCTTTTTTTATTGCTGCTGCGCTATCGAAGAATGGAAAATCGACAAAAATCGAACGCTAAATGACTGGTCCACACACAAAAAAAATGAACCGAAGTCGATTGAGAGAGAAAAGCAAACGAAGCGGAGGGAAAAAAAGGCGTCAACCAATCGAAAATTTCCAATAATTTTTTTCCCAATCGGAATGGTTCTGGCAAAATCAGTCAAACCCCGCATGCGATATATATTGGTAATGCAGCTCCCCCCGCTTGTATAAGGATGGAAAGGAAAAAATAAATAGCAGGCGAAAGCTTCTCTCGAGAAAATCGCTTTTCAGAGGGATAAATGGCAATATAGGAAAGCTGTGAGAGTATTGATCGAAAACTTCTCCAACACACCAGCAATAAAAGAGAAGAAAAGAAAGTAAAAAAAAAGCTTAATATGGAAAAGGAATAAAATAGGAAAATTTGTGACGAGAGAAAGTCGATTTTCCTCTCGCTCTTTCTCTTTTATTTCATCGCTCAAGTGGAAACGAATATTAATTTTCACCAAAGAGAAATTTTCCGAACATTTCTTTCATGTCTTTCGCCCCCCTCGACCAGCCCCACTGAGAATTGCACATTCGTATGCGATTTGCCAATACACATGCAACGCTCTCTTTGAGCGCTCTTGATTTATCGAGTTGCATGCTAAAATGTTCGTTTTAAAAAAGGGCATTGAGTGGATTGAGTGATTTTGTCGTAACGCAAAAACGAAAAGACGAAACATCGAACACAAAAGTTTGTATTGAGGCGTTGCCGTAATTTTTTTTCTTTCTTTATCTCTTTATATATTTTATTATTATTTTATACATTTTTTCCTCTGTTTGCCGTTTTTTTTCTTCTTTCCTTATTCTTGTGATGGGGGCAAACACGTTACTTGTATTGTTGCTATTCTTTCGTCTCACTCTCTCAGTTCAGCTTAAATGAAGAAAGAAATATCGATATCTTATTATTTTCTTTTCGTTTTTTCTCATCTTGTACATTCATTTTCCTGCTGAATGATATGCGAGAAATGATCGAACAACGAGCGATTACCCGAATACTGTCTTTGTTTATGCTCAATTTTTTTTCTTTTCATTTTCTTCTCTTCGCTTGTGTAAGAAAATTTCAATAAAACTTTTTTATTGTGTATGGATGAGTGTTTGTTACGATTGTGTTCTCTGTCGTGAGTACTGTGCAATATTTCTTTTTATTTCTTTTTGTTTCTGATTTTGGGTGAGGAATTGTACATGGCAAGGAATCTGTTGTAAGACAGCTCAATGAAGACAAAACGAAGAAAAAAAATGAAGGAAAACACATTGAGCGTCCTTATATATAAAGAAAAATCACACCTATTTTTCCAATTTTCCCATTTTCCTTTCATTCTCGCTCTGTAGAATTTAAGCTTTTCTCGTTTCTATTCGCAGCAAGCGAATTTTGTGACATTTTTTTCGATTTCAATTGCAATTCGTTTCTACATTTGAGTGTGAAATCCTCACAGATATAAAATAAGCTCGAATGTTCATCATTTTTTCATATTGAAGGAATTCTTGTTGAATAAAAAGTTATCACGCTCTGAGAAATTTCCTTTCGAATAAATTTAAGTTTCAACTAACTTTCAGAATTACTCATTTCAGAAAATATTGGAAGACTCTTGTGAATTTATTTTTTAATATCACAAATTAAATTGAAATTAGTTTGCTGCCATGTGCAGTGCTTGAATTCAAACTTGCTATCTTTCAATACATTCTCACTATTGCTAGAGTGATAAAGGAAAAAAAAATCTGCCATACACGTATTCATGAAGCTTTTTATTGCACTTGACGGGCGGACGATTTCTAGGGTGGCTTGGGAAAGAAGGAACGAAATGAATGGAGATTTAGTTAAAAAAATCATCCGATAATATTGCGCATACACTGAAATCTTTCAGGATAAAAACGAACCGAATCCATATGTATACATGGGAAGCTGATAAAGTTCTAAACGAATTTGTTTCATTTTTTTTCTCCATTCTCTATCGGAAGATTTCTGCATGAGCTTTTTCGAATAAATAATGAAGTATATAGGACAAAGATAAATTGAATGTAGACGAAGATTTTACAGAAGTTTCCGCTTCTACTAAGCAGAGCCAAGCGGCTGGTGCTATAGTTGACTAGACATTTTAGTTTTTTATTTATTCTATGCAGTAATATTTTTTAGAGTATTGAGATAAATTTATTGCAACATAGAACTGTCATTTCCACCCTCTTCACCACCCAAGCTTCATCTTCATCAGAAAACCTTTGCTTAAACTTCGTTAAAAAGAAGTGAAAAAGAAAGTCTGATAAATTCTGGGTTGAGTCTCTAAAGAAAGGAAGAAAGCTTTTTCCCAGATGTATATTATGGAAAATTTTCAATTAAGTTTCCTCGACGATGGGAAAATTCCTTCATTTTGCTTTATGCTACGAATTGAGTACATAAGACGAACCATAAATCCTTCAAGATTGGCAGAGTCGAGTAGAACTGTGTGCTGTACAAAAACTCTCGTGCGCCTCACACTTACACACTTGAACCATCCAATATTTGTGCTTTCTTATCACTCATATATTGATTTTTCTTAGCTTTTCCCAATCGGCCCCTTTCTTTCGTCTTCCTATTCTTCCACCCAATCTTTCGACGCAAAGCTACCCACCCACCCCCACACACAACACATAACGATTTCAGGAAAAAAGAGAAGAAGAAATAAAAAACGTTCATGTTCCAACAACAACCACGAAGCTTCAGCTGAACGACATCGTATACAAAATAAATATATATCGTGTATTGAGAAAAAAAATGGAAAAAAATACTTTGGAAATTTATATGTCTGTTCACTGATACGTCGTTTCTGATAAGACGACATGCTCCACCCTCATTGATTTTTCTTGCTTTTTTCTGCCAGATTGCTCCGATATAATATTAAACCTCTATACTAGGATTTTATTCCTCTTCTTCGTTTTTCGTCGTTTCGTTTTGTGGATGAACGACATCGACGTAAACGAAGAAAGATTCTTATCAGTGATTCTATAAAAAATGGCTATAACGATTATGGATTTTTCGCTTGTTGTGGCGTTTAAAGAAAGAAGCGGTTAAAGCTAATTTCAAGGAGAATATTTGTGGACTAATTTTAAGTGCTTTAATATTTGCATAATTATTCTCTTCTTTTGTTATAAAAATCCCTGGAAGAGTTCTTCGTTTTTCCTTCATCATCGCAAAGTTTTTTCTTTTTTTACGCCTTTCATCAATTTTTTTTTATCGTCAAGGAAAATACTAAAACAATATGCAGACAGTTTATTATGATGGTTTATTTATTCAATTAAAAATGTCAAAAATATAATGAATTAGGAAATGTTAAGCAAGGAAAAAAGTTTCAGTCTCGAGGAGACCAATCAGGAAAATAATTTTTTTTTTATTGTTTTAAACTCGCAATTTGCGAACATCGATTTTCTTCGTATCAAATTTAATTTTAGGAATTTAATGCCTTTTGAGTTTGAAATTGTCTGACATGAAAACTCTTTACCAGCTTTAATCAGGCGACTTTTATAACAAAACTTTTTTTTCGAAAGTTTTTCTCGCCTAATAACAAAAGAAGCGCCGAAAGAGATGATTTAATTAACGCATTTAGTAACTCAATTAACTTTTACGAGCTCAATTATTCGCCAGGAAAGAGAGGTGCCGTTATGTTTGTTGTAGTTTATTACGAGCAATGAGTTCATAGGCATCCAAAAATTTCCCTCATATGGCTCCAACTCAAATCTAATTACGATCAATCAAAGTGACGTGATTCGATTCAATAAAGTTCTCAATCTCAATCGATTTGTTGCTGAACCAGGGGGTCGACAAATTCATCATAAACGAGAAAGAAGACATAAAAAAGAAAACAAACAAGCAGTTGTTGACCAACTGGTGTTTAAATAACCAAAACTATTTATCAACAAGCCTTAAAGTCAGTAAGAAGCCGTCTCAAGTATCATTTCAACCCTTTTTTATATTTATTTCCAAAGACAGAAGAATCTCTTCCTATTTCTGTCGAAATTAATTCATAAAACCAGCAGAAATTAGCACATAACTTTGTAAGCATGAAGATGAGATTGAATAGGAAGAACGATGATGTTGCAATGTCTCTCTTTTCGTGTCTCGAGTCCAACAACAATCACATAGAAATCCTTCCCACTTTTTTCTTTATTCTTAAACTTTCCCACATTACATATTTTTTTGAATCCCTTATCATATGGTTTTGCGCCCATCCTTCTGACAAACAACTTTTACTATTTTATAATTGCTTCAGTTTCTGTGTTTACATGAAAAACACATTTTTTATTTTTTTTTTGTGTCTTGTGGTTTTGTGATGAGATGAGCAGAAGTCAAGTCAAGTCATTGTGTGGAGGTTCTTTTAAAGTGTTGCTCAAATTTGCATTTGGTTGCAGATATTTTTTTGTCTTTGGGGTCAAGGTTAAGTTTATGATTCATGAAAGTAAAAGTCTTTGATTTCTTCAATGAACGTAGCGACCTAGAAAAGAATGCTCAGAATTTTTGAAAGATACAACAACCCCAGTCAGCTTTAGTTAGGTAGAAGCTTTGCGTGTGCGTTTTGGCTGAAGATATATGCAAAGTGTGGGAATCGAACAAGATGTAAGCAATTTCCTTCCTTACAAAAACACACACGGCTGGATCATGTTTTCATATTCTTGTCGCTCATCTTTCTGAACCCAATTTAAGTGCGGATTCCGCAGGGGTTTCTGTTTTTTTTCTTTTTCAGATTTATATTGAGAATACTTGTCGCTTTCGACCTAATTTCCAAAACATGACGGAAAATTGAACTCTAGAGACGCTTTAGAAAATGTTTTGAAATTTAAATTGAAGCAAATTTAAGCAATCAAATAACTTTGATGTTATTAATAAATCAATGATTGAACAATGCTAATTAAATCGATTTTGATGTTTCATATTTTTTATTCAACTCAGCGTCAGTCAAGTCAATTTATTATTATTTCTCTTTCATCTGAGTTATGAGATCCCATGCTGAGCCATCACGTGTGCATATCATTTGCTTACCATACTATATCGATCATCATGTCGCATATTGTTGTTTTTTACGCATAAAAGCGATTCCCTACGAACTCTCGCGTCGTTCTAATAATTTAAAAAAAAAGAAGAAAAAATAATTCTCCGCTAGTTTTCTTTTTTATGGAACGGAATGTATTTCAATATATTTTTTATGATCCATTTGAAGGGCTCGAGAAATACTCGCAGTGGCGTGAAAATCGTTGTCTCAACATGAAAGAAAATCTTTAAAATCCTTTCACCAGCTACGCAACTGCTTATTGATTTATCGTCATATTTTCCTCAATATTTTCTTCATCATAAAAGTGTCTATTAACTAAAATTACTATAGAAGAGACTGGTGAAGATGAGAAAACACATTTTCATGTTTGGTTGAACTCAATTCTTGATTTTATATTTAAAAAGGAGTATAAATTTCATGACAGCGGCTTTAAATTCTTCTAATTTGACATTTTTTATTGATTTTTCGACGGTTGGAAGGAAATAAATTTTCCACTGGCATTCAAAACGCTTCATTCCCGGAACCATTTGCGATTCAAAGCGGGATATCGGGAGGGGATCATGGAGACTATAAAGTATTAATAAACATTAATTAGAAATTGTAAATTTAGAAACCGAGTTGAAGGAAGCGACGAATTGATTTTAATAGCTGTTCATTTGATGCTGACAATTTATAAGAAAAATATTTTTATTAGTGTGGTGGTCAGATTGATTCAACTTTAATACATCAATTTGTGCAACATTTTATGTAATAAGTACAGAGAAATCGAATGGCATATAGCCAAAATTGCTTGTGTACATTAAATTGGAGCGAGATGAAAAATTATTTCACGGTTCCATTTCCAATCCGTGTAAGGTCGGTCGGTACGGTTAACGATTTCTCTTAATCGTTGAGATTTCCGTCGATTAGATTCATGCTACCTCATTCAAATGTTACTGAGAAATTCTGAGACATTGAAATTGATCGGCAGAGGTAACTAAAGAAGGGAAGAGAAAGAAACATTCGTTCATATTAATTCCAATCACGCGATGTTTGGATACTTTATTGTGTTGTTGTTTAATTCTGGATTTTAGTATTTCGACATGTGTTTTCATGCTTCTTTATTATGGTGAGACCTTAAAGACATTTCTGATATTGATTTGGGTTCGAGAAGCATCGAAATTTTCATTCCTTTTGTTAAAACTCTTTTTTTACTTTTATTACAAATTTGGATTTCTTTTGATTTCATCATTTAAATAAATTCCTTTACGTTTGAAATTGACGGCCAATTCAGAGACTAAAGTTGAATTGAGCAAGGTAAAAACAATTAATTACTAATAGTTACGTAAATTGACGGTTCATCTTTTAAGCTCAATTACTCATGATCATGTAACGATTATTCGTATGCGAGCATGAAGCAGTGCAATGCATCCATGAAAAACAATAAAGAAACTCTTCAATCTCTGACATGAAACCAACTTCAATCTTTTGCGCAACAAGCCGCAATTAAAAGTTATTCCAATAATGAATCTCATAAAGATTAAGATTGAAGATTCACTGTGATGGGAAAACTTCAAAGTTTGAAAGAACAATAAACGAATTACACAAAAAAAAATCTTTCGATTTGATCACAAAAAAAAAAAAATATTTCAATGCCCGCAATTCAAACGACATCAAGTGATCGAAATATATCTGAATATGTGTGAGTTAATGTTGAGAACTAGAGAAGCGTCAACGAAACAAAAAACCACCAGGAAGTGATTAATTTAAAATCATTAAATTTTCCAGCGGATCCCTCTTCGAAAATTGAACCAAACAAGACCAAAAAAAGACTGAAATGCTTCACGATCTCGTTTCGGTTGCCTTATTTTCACATGAAAAATAATATCGACATGTAGATTAATAAGCAATCAGAAGCTGATGGAAAAGGTCAATGAATTGTAAAGATGTTCGGGTCTATTGACAAAAGATTTCAATGAGAAACTCCAAACCATTATAAAACTGTCCTCCTACGGTTGATTTCATTTTCCCCCCTCGCGTTTGAAAATCTCACAGTCATTTTATGATACTCGCAATTAATTTCGAATCAATAAATCGAGATCAGATCGTAAAGGCCAAAATTTTGATTCAAAACTAGTTAACAATAAACAAAGACAAGCCGAACAATATTATCGGCAGTAAATTTAACCATAAAGATGTGAGTTGAGTTTATTGAATTTAATCAATTGATGAGAAGCAAAGCAAGATGTGAACAGAGGAAAAAAAGACTCAATCAGCAATGTGAATGAGACTATTTTCAAATGAAATTGATATTTTGGGGAGATTTGATGAGTTCAACTAGTTTCTCACTATCCCTATTTAGCATTTGAGGATGAGATGCTGTATTAGCTTAGCGCCCGTATCATTTTCATTCATGTTCGAAGTTTCATCAATTTTGTGAAGTTTTCTTTTGAGTCAATTAGAGAATTAATTTTCTGTTTGACTAGATAAAGTTTTTCTCTCCCTCGTCTGCATTCGATGTCAGTGATGTCAGTGGGGGAAACAATGAACTTGCTTTGTAAGTTAGAAATGTTGTTGGACAGCATCGAACATCTTTCATCATCAAATTGGGATTAGAACGGTTAAGTTCTCATATGAATTCCTTCACAACTCTATTAATAACCAGCTTGTGATTAAAATGCGACTTTGAGTGCAAAAGTTAACGTTAAAAACTTTATCATCGACTACTTAAAACTTTTCCTTACATCACAAATGTTTTCAAACAAACAAACTCTAAGCTTCCAAAAAGAATCTAACTACTCGGAATCGTCTCGTTTGGTCATAAAAGCAAACTCATAAACGATAATGTATTATTAATCAATTTATGATACATCATCGTCTTTCATCATCATCATAAAACACAATATATTAATTCCCATTTTTATGAGTCTTTTCTGTACGATTGCGTTGTTGTTCATCCCGCAACCGAAAAAATATATTGATGGTGTGTGTACACATTTAACAGCAAAGAAATATCTTCAAGCAGAAAAAAAAATCCGGCTGGGAGATCCACAACTTTATACAATGGCAAAAAAATATAAAGAATGGCAGAGAACTGTTGTTACTTGTCTCTTCTCGCAGAGAATCTATAAAAATGTCATCAATTATTATTAATATGATTATTGCCAAATGTTTCTCTTTCTCCAACTGAAAATATGACGCGATAAATTTTGGTTCTGTAAGTATCAGGGATGTCAGCAAATATTTCACGACTTGATACTTATCGACTCCCCAGTCTCAGAGAAGAGAAAAATAATATTTATATAATTGAGGCATCACATTAATCCCCATTTGAAGAGATTTAAGACTCTCGATTGGCTTTGATTGAATTCGATTAACGACTGACGAGACGAGAATTGCGTTGACATCAATACATTAAAGGCCCTAATCATCACATTATTGGAAAATTGCTTCTGCATGATATAAAAACATTGTAATCAATTCTCAGTCACAGCATCAACAGCGAATGAAAAATATGCTTCAATCATAAATTATCGGTTTCGTTTGCGTTTCGTACATTTTTTTGGAGTGAGATGGAAAGTGACATCATATCCGGTTGAATAAGTACAAAAAAAAAGAGAACGATCATCAATTCAGAATCATCTTTGATGTATTTTTTTGTTGGAAATTTATTAACGATGAATACGAAAAAATATTAATAAAATTCAATATGAATTAGATTAGGCATTGAATATCATTTCGTTGTTATGGTAGCAGATGAGGCGAACATTATTGACAGATTGTTCAACAAACACAATGCGGTTTCTTGTCGTTCATTCTTCCCTATTAAAAATATTTCTTAAACTCCTTCCTACTTCTTCTACATCTCTAAAAGACTTCGAACAATTGTCGAATGAATAATGAGAGTTTGATTGATAAAAACATTCAAATTTCCCTTTAACCGCAAATGAATCCGCAGACCAGATTTCTTTCTCAGTTTCTATCTCAACTTGCCAACAGATTTAAAACATGCTCGGACAACATTTTAAACATAAAAAATACTTTGTGATGGAAAGGAAATCCATGCACGAACGAAACAAATCATCACTGAAGAAGATCCAAACTTTACCACATGTTGTCTTTCACATTTCACAATTGCATTTTTATTTCTTTTCCTAAAATGCGAGAAAAAGGAGAAAAAACAACGAAGAGTCTGGTTGTGTTTATGCTTTGTTGGATGAAGGACTTTTTCTCATGGTTTTTGAGTGATACACATATACGGAACATAAACACATTCACGCTTGTTTTTAAAGTCACAATTTACAGCAACTTGTTAACATTTAAGTGAAATTTTTGAGAATAATTTTAACCGTGACATGTCTTTATGCTTATGGATTATAGATTATGAATCTCATACTTTTTAGAGCCAACATTCAGTAGCGAGAGAAAAATGCTTTGCTTCTTTCACATCCGTTTTTAAATGCTCAACTTTTTATGTTTTCTCTCGTTCTGTCTGAGTGTTTTTTTTTGTTTGTCTCAAAAGCATTTACTGATGCTGTGCACTGTCGGTTTTAATATCTACTTTTTTTTTATTTCTTGGTGATCGTGGCGAGATGGGAGATGCTTTGATGATGATGCTTACGTCTGCGAATTCGATTGGGCTTTTCAATGAAAATCCTTTCATTCGAACCAATCTTGAAATTCAATTAAATTTTGTAGTTTTTTCACTGTAGGATTTGCGCAAAAGTTGAAATCCGATATTTTAAGCCATTCATGGAAGTTTTGCATTTAAGTTTATTTCATTATTTTCGTAGGCAATCATCAATAGTATAGATTTCGTTCGAAGTGATGTGGAAATGTCTTCGTGACAGATGAAGATTGCAGAGTGAAGAAGAATTTTACAACAGTTTATGGGAATTATATTGAAGAATTTTGACGGTCAAGTAACAGGCAAAGATGAAAAGTATTTCAATAAAAACGTTTACTATGAAAATAAAGTCGTGATATCTTAGAAGAAAAGTCTTTTCTATAGCCTCAATTAAAATCTAATTTATATGCCATAAATATCGTCAATGTCTCAGAATAAAACATTTTCTTATTTCGAGGAAAATTAATCGCATCAACTTCATTGATCCGTGAAGCCATCGAAAATGCCTAAGCCCACTCAATTTTCTTTGTTTTCGATTTTCATAGATACAGACGAACAGAACAACAATCAATTTTGATGATTCCCGGGCGAAGGGAAAATTACGCAGCATCATTTAACAACGAAACAATAAATTTTAATGACAGTAAAAACCAACGGAAAATAAATCTTTTCGATACCAATTTACTTATAATTTTCGCTAAACTTGTTCCAATGTCGTCTTGCGTGATCTCTTCGAATCAGAAACTAAAAGCACAGAATCAAATTTTATCGTAAATGATTTCCATTGTATTTTGCCTTCGACAAGCACCGGTCTCAGTCTAAGGTTTCGATATTAAAAACACATTTCACTCGGATGTGTGCGACGAACTTTGCGTAAACGTAAAACTGAACAGAGAATGTCACAAGCGAAACACAAAAGTATTTCATTGTCTATCGGATGCTCGCTAGGGAGAAGAATAATTTAAATAATTTTTTTTTCGGAAATCTCGATTTTGTCTTTTTTTCTTTTTCTTTCCTGTGACACAAGAAAGCAAGAAGAATGAGATGTATTAATAGTTTTTCTTAAATGACAAACACTGTCCATTTCACACGAATTGAGGAGAACGAAAACCGTTAAGTAAATTGATTAAAATTTGATATTTATATCCGCAGAACAGAACATGGTTGAATGACAACGAATTCGATGAAATATCACTAGCGACGTGTTAGAAAAATCAGTTTTCAACTGAAAGTAATTCTTGAACGGTTTCCAAACCAACAATATTTCATGTCGCATACAAAATATTGAGAAAAAACACACAATAACCCCACGTCGCTTCGGTTGGGATAATTAACTGTCTAAAGTGATCAACATGCGTTCAATATTTTTTCCGATCTTCTCTTAATTTTATTTTTTCTTAAGTCGAAACAAACGGCTCCCAGAAGGAATCTTTTTCTCCGAAAATAACTTCACACATCAGTTAGAAATTGAAATGCCTTCGATCTTCATCTCATCTCATGTTCTTTGCCACTTCCATTTATTAATTGAATACACTCTTAATTGAAGTGAGTCAGAAATGGGAGCGTTAGATATAAAGTTTGTTCTATAATTAACATTCGAAAACAAATGACATCGAAAAAGCGCAAAACACTCTGTTCATGTCGCGAGACTCACGAGAATTTCCAACTTTTATTTTCAATATTTATTAATTGTTTTTGTAATAAGTCATCGCATTAAGATCGTAAAGTTTCTTGAACTGATGCGAACAATTTTCTGTTTCTATTTTTAATGGCCAGTGATGCAAATAGAAATTGAGTTGCTTGTTATTCAATTGGTTTCTCGAAACAACAAACCGTTTCTTACACCTCCACCCTTGCCTTTACGTCGAGACATTTGCCGCTTAGTGCCAAGAGTTAATATCTGCACTGTGAGTAGAAAAAAAAGAAGTTGGATTTATTTTTCCGCATATTGATTCTACCAACAAGAAAATAAATGTTGTAAGTGTGCATACAAAGTGAGTTTTCGACTATGAAAACGGAAAAGTGAAAAGTGAAGGCGAGTCATGCCAGCTGGGCAATTGTAGATGCTTCTTTAGATGCTCACTTTAATTCTCTGCACTGTCTAAATCATTTCACAAATTACTCACGTCACGTGGATAAAAAAAACATCGCCTGGTTCACGATAGAATATTAATTTAATTTAGTTTCGCGCGCTCAATCGCGATACTTTGCAATTTTTTTTCGTTTCGGCGTTGGTGATGTTTTGAAATATTTAAATTGACCGCAACATATGTTCCGGGGCCAGCCGATGACTCCACACACAGCGTTATAATATAATTAATATTACTCACTGTGAATGTTTTCATTTGTGTTTGTTTTGCTATGATACTTTTCTTGATGAACCATTAAAAATCTAAAATTGTTAAGCAACAGTAGAGAGAGAGGAAGAGAGAAATAAGAGGAAAAGAGAGAGATATGTTGTACTTTTCTTCAATGATTTTTTGCTGGTTGCAAGTTGCCAGTTTTTGATGGTTCAAGAAGCATTAGATGCACGCAATCGGAAATCTTCTTCGTTTGGCGTTTATAGATCGTTAATGAATCGGAGTTGCTGGAAGTTATCGACAGTGACTGATGATTTTATTTCAGTCTTCTTGGAAGTTCAAATTGGAATATTTTTAACAATGACGGAAATGTCATTTCAAGAAAAAGGATAAAAAGTCCAAAAAGCAGATTTACATTTAAAAAGATTCTCAAATCCAATAGCAAGCCAATTTGTGCTTGTCAAGGGAGAATTAAATATTAAAAAATTATTGTTCTCGCGATGCCCCTTTCGAATTGAATTCTTTAAGCTCGAATTAATTTTTTTTTTTTGTTACTTTAGTAATAATTTATTGAATCTAATATTTTAGGTTTTTTTTAATTCTAGTTTTTGCCCATTTATAAAAAACCACCCTTTCCTGCCATCGTCAACAGCCAAAAATATGAACTGATCAAAAATTACGTTTTATATCTTTGAGTGAATGGGTCTTGCCCGATTAAATATGCAAATCAAATTATAGAATTCAATTTTTTGATGAAAAGAGCAAAAAAACAACTTCTTTGTCCACCCTTAGAGCAACGACGTTTGGTTGCTGGGAGGAAAAAAATAAAAGTAATAAACTACGAAACCCTTTTTTGGCATGAAACATCATTAAAATCATTTCTCTACACACACGGAGGAATCAAATGAAAAGCCGGGCGATAAAAACCGGTTTCACTTAATACAAAATCAAACTTTAAACTTATTTAAAGATGGCTTACACATTTTATCCGAATAAATATTGCGCTCTCCCTTGATTCACATCTTTTTCCCTTGTCCCTGTTTGAAGTTTAATTGATAAAATTTTCATTGAATATTTTTTAGATTATTTAATGTTGATTTCTAACTGGGTGATTGACTCAAATGGAATCTATAAAATTGAACAGAAAAGAAATATGGACGCAAAATCAACGAAACCATTAATAATTAATACAATCATCTGTCGTATTTTCTTTGAGATTACTAGCAACATCGCCCTGAATATTATGCAAACAAACTTTTTTCCTTTTGATTTTCCATTTCAACAAACAACAAAACTCCCGAGGAAAATCATAAGAGAGTGTGCAAAAGTCAGGGTGATTTCATTTTCCCTTTTTTGTTTTTTTTCTCTTAAAATTTTAAATGTTTCCCATCTGATTATTGAATTCAATAGATAACAGTTCTTATTTTGAAACATTTTCGGGGTAAGATGATACCATTGGACGAGTGTTCTTCAATTTTTATAACGATATGGGTGATGTTTTCAATTAGTTCTCCTCTCTGAATTCTGATGGAAGTGCAGAGATTAGAGCCATCGCAGTTGCAAAACGTAAGCTAGGGTTGAAAAGATGGCAGTCGAATGAACGAGGGTTTAATTGAGGTTTGCTGTTTAGCCCACTCCTACAAGGACGACACTTGAAAATTGATGAACTGAAATCAACCATTGACATGAGAAAATTTACGTAACAAAAAAAAACATTGGAATTTCCCTCAAACTTCGCACCTAAATAGCTACAACAAATCCCCATCTATTAAGCTATTTTCTCACTAATTAATCTTTCGTCAAAATATTACCTCTTGTTTCACAAACAAGCACCTCGTGCGTTCGCAGCCACGTTTTGTTCCTGTCTTTCAGCGAACAAACGGTTTAGGATTTAATTGTTTTTAAATGTTCATGTTTACGTTTGAGCGCGCCTAGATGGTGGTACATACCACAAAATATCGCTTTAAAAAGAGAAGTTAGGGGGGTTGAAACATCATTCGCTCTCGTTCATTCGACAAGAAAAAAGAATGAAACAATTTTGGATTTTATTTTAGAAAATCTCAGTTCCGCTTTTGACACAGTTTGAGTTCACTGTTAAATGGATTTTCAGTTTTTTTTTCGAGTTGTTTTTGCTAAAGGTTTTTTATTCGAAAAGTGCATGCACATAATTGGGTAATTAAAGCCAATTGTCATTTTGACTCCGGTGAAAACTCCCAGTGATTCGTTTGTTGATTTGTCTGTCGGTTATAATTAGGTTTGTTTTTAAAGTTTGGTCAGGGGGCGCCAGGTACTTACTTTATATATTTTTTGTACAATTTTAAGAAGAGATGAGAACCACCTGAATATTAAAGTCTCAAGTACATTGAGGCTTGATTAAATATGGCGAAGTTTTCAACTGAAAAGTTTAATTAGATTTTGATAAATCTTGAAAAAATACAAGAAAATAATCACTCGCTTAAACATATTTTTGAAGATTGTTAAAATTATGTCGGCTTTAAAAGCAGTCAGGAAAATTTAACAATGATAAAAGTTCAGACATCGTCTCACTCACACGCACATATTTGAGAAGAATTTCCCAAGACTTGAGAATAAAATTTTCTCTTGCCACTTTTCATTTGATTTCTTCTCTTTCTTTCTTTCGTTCCTTTTAATTTAACTGTGGAGGTCAACTGCTTGTTGTGTTTTTATCGTTTTCATTTCTGCTTCGACGAATATAGTTTCTTGTTCTCTATCTTTTCCTTCGTAAGCGTTTTTTTTTGCCGTCGCATTTTAATGGCGATTTCTGTTGTCTGATATACCTTCGCGAATATAAAAGCATGGTTAAAAGAAGCTCTCAGTTCTCCTTTAACCACAAGCCCGCAGAAGTAAGATGGAGAAATTTAAAATTATTGATTTTTCCTCTCGTGCCTCTTGGTGAAAATGAACTCGAACTGTCTGCTGCTTAAGAGCAAGAAAAAATTGTTTCAGTGTTGTCTGAAGCTACAGTCGAGGATTTTTTTTGCAACAGTCAGAGAAAAAGTTTTTTTTTTCGGCAGCTTTATTTAATTAAACCTAATTATGATCACTTTTATGTATCTCATTCACTTTTCTATCTTTAGATCGGTTTGTTTAACCCTTCGAATTACTTCAACTCGTTTTCAGATGGAAAGTGAATTCCTAGTGTTATAGTTTTTGAGCTACATATTGTTTCAAAGGTAGAAATATCTTTTTCAATTGCAATACTTAAAGGTAAAAAATTAGCTTTTTCAATTACATTAAAAAAATTTTCATTCCATAACCATAGAGATGGAAAATTGCAAATGAAGCGTTGAGTTATTTTCTTATTCTAGTATTTGAAACATTAAATGCAGTGCAGCATAATTATTAATCATGAATAAACATGACGAGAGAAAAATGAGCTAGTGCAGTTGGTTTGGTAACAAAGAGGAAAATATAAACTGCAAAAACTTTTTGTTCACATGAAAATCATTTTGGAGAGAAGTTAATTGAAAAAGGTGAATCGAGATATAAAGTGTGCAATTATTTTTACCATTCTAAGTAAAACATTTCATAATAATTTCATCAATTAATTTTAATAGATATTCATCATTCGTACGAGAGGATTCGCAATCGAAATAAATTTTTTCTGACATATTTTGTTAGTAAATTCATCATCGCGAAAAAGAAAAAAAATTAAGACAAGTTGAGACAAGAATTAAATATTGCTTTTCAACATTAGATTGTAGCTTCATTTTTTAAAGAATGTAAATAAACAAAATTCTTCAGTCTCAACATCATGAATTAAACAAACGAGAAATGTCTCATTCGGATTAAAGTCAACTTTATTTATTGATTCCTCGCAAGTATTTGCAATTATTACTCAATTAATTCTATGACTCACAAATGTCTCACAAATAAACAAAAGTTCTTCTAAATATTATTGTTTCTTCTTGATTGCTTACTTTTCGCGGTATTTTTTTTATTCTGTAAATCGTGAATTGCAATTTATGCATTTTTTTTTATAAATAAGGAAAATAAGTTATGTCGACAACACGGAAAACCAGTTTATTGATTGAAATATTCTCAAACAACAATTGTCATTTGCATCACAGTTAAGTAAACGTGTTATTTAATAGGAAGGAATATTGACGGGTTTGTTTGTTTCTCAATCTTTAGAAATTATTGCATTTGATATCGAAATTATCTCAAGACATCCAATTTTCTTCTGTTCTCACAAAACCGGTCAAACTTCTTGTCGTGATCAATATGATTAAAAGTAAATTATGAGGAAAAAAAATCTTTTGCTTCATCAGACCAAAACAATCAAACATGAAGCGTTGCATAATGAATTCTCATTGGGAAAAAAATAATAAAAAAATCCAATCATCGACTAAATTGTATAAATATGCTTCAATGTACATATGTATGATACATAAAAGAATTCTAACAATTAATACAAATGTTTACATGTAAAATGAAATCCCCCTGCAGACCAATGCTGTTGAATCATGCGTTTGATAAATGATTCGTTTCAGCACGAATATTTGCACGTTATGCTTTCAAAACAAAATGTTTCTCTCCAATCGGAATCTGATGTGAAAATTTTTTCGATTAGAAATCAATTGTTGGGAAATAAATCCCCAAGCTTAATTTCGTCACCAATTGAACTTCTAGACTTATTCAATGAAAAGTGAAAACAATTTCTGATTGATTTTCTTAAACAGGAAATTTTGTTGGCTGATGATTTATTAAACGTGAAAATGCATAATTTTTGTCTTCGAATGTAGACAAAATTCAACTGATACGCGTGGGTTATTGCCATCGCCAAATAAAAATAAAAGCACTGCATATAGGAACATTCAGCTTAAATATATTCAACTCAAAAATAAATACACGAAGAAAAACCAGCGAAACGAGGGAGAAAAAATTTCCCACATTTAAAATAACACACACGGAAAATTTAATTTCCCTTTAGTGGCTTTGATTTTGTTACTTTTTTTCTCTTCGCTTTCGTGCACTTGCTGTCGTCACAATGGATAACTTGAATGCGTGAAACAAGAAACACATCAGAACTTTTATTTTCGGAAGAATATTTCCATGAACGCCAAAAATAAAAACATAAATTGTTTCTGTCGATAATACGATTTTGATTGTTTCGTTGCTTGCCCTCCCCATTCTGTCGAAGACGAAGGCTACATCAAGAAAATGAAATTGATAGCCGAAAATAAGTCTTTAGGAATTTGTTTTCGAGCTCTTTGATTTTTCTGGATATTTATTAGAATGAATTGGAAGGAAGGAACGCGAACCCGAAATTGATGTATTAAATTCAATGCTTGGTGGATTTTTGAGACTAACGAGATTTTGATTATTTATTAATGACAAGAAAAATATTCTTATTGTGCTCCGCTTTTCCCTTCGTCGATCATTTTACAAGAAATTATTTTATTTTCTTATTCTTCTTCAACGCTTAAGACAACAGCAGACACAAAATAACTTTAAAGATGTCTTTGCCACCATTCGAAAAACGTTAATTTCGATTTTCTATTCCGATAATTACAAGCCACTATGTAAAGAGTTTTTCGAGGATCAATTAAAGTCTTTCTATTCGAGATACCGCGATATTTGAAAATTGAAGAAAAGTTTTAAGTCTTCCACTTTAAACGAACTCTAAAACAGTTTGTGGAAATCATCACTTGAAAAATTCAATAACCTTTCTTTTTTTTTACTTCAAGCAATATTTTTTATTTTTCTTTGCATCATCTCGTTAAGCGGAAAAAAATTAAACCTTCTTAGCTCAAATTAACACTTTCATACATCATAATTTTTAATAACATCGCTTCAACTTTACACATGTCGAAAGTTTTATTCCGTTTTCAATTAAAGTGTTATCGAAGATAATTGGACTTTTTAACTATCAATTAATTTTTTTCCTTTTTGTTGATAGCGACAAATTTTTAAGAGGCTAATTTTTTTGAGCAATTAATCGTCATCAATTGACGAAATGCCGACACCTAATGTTCATCAAATAATTTTGTTTGACACTATTTCGTAACTCGCACTTATAATTTTTTTTTTGTTGAAACATCACTAACCTGTTGCCAAAATTGTGCCAATAAATAAATGCGTTCTTTTTTGAATAACCAATCCATTGACTGTACAGCTGGAAGGCTATCCATATCATCAGCTGCCCCAGTGCTCTGTGGTGGCAATGTGGGCTGCATTCCACGTAAATTGTTCATATGGATTAAATTTTTGCTGATTTGCCGCTTTCTTTCTTATCGATATTGTCGCCAGCAAAACACAAAAATAAAAAAATTCTTTCACATTAATTTCATTGATGGTTTGGATCAGTCATCACTTTTGATATTTTTGTCGTATAAAGTTTTCATCCATTTTCATATTTATTCAAATTTATCTCTTTTCTCTTCAAATAAATATTATTTTTCTGTGACCTTTATCACTTCTTTTTTCGTTCGATGTTTTCTTTTAAAAATGCACCGAAAATTTCATTTCTTTTATTTATTTATATTTTCTTTATGGAAAACATGTGTAGGAGTTGTCTTCACATGTGATCTCGTAAAAATCATGAAAAATCCACTTTTCGGTGTTTTTGCACTTAAAACCAACAACACAAAAAATTATTAGAAATTAAAATTCTTTTTTGCTTTTTTTTGAGTTTATCACTTTATTATTTGTTTATTTATTTTTTTTTTTATTAGAACACAACTTGGATAACTTTGAAAATTCAGGAAAACATTTATTTTTTCAGTTTCAAAAACAATTAAAAATATCACGTTTAGACAACTTGTAAAAAATGAATCAAATAAAACAATCACAAGAAGTTTGTTTCTTTTTTCAAATTAAATGTTTTGTAATAAAAATCAATTTAATTGATTGTTTAATCCTTGCCAATTTATTATCACTTATTAGTGTTCAGATAATTTGTAGTTTTCCTTAAAAGTTGTCAAATCAAGTTCATTTGATCATTTAATATTTTTTGAATTCACTTGATTTCAATTTATTGTAATTTTCACAAAATTGTTACTGACTTCCGTAAAGTGAAAAATTGTCACTTGAATCAAAAAAGATTTTTCGGCCTAAGCGAAACTTGAAATCGTGTCTTTCACTCACGAGAATAAATTCTATTCTGGTTAATCGACTTCTCGAAGAGGTCTTTGTGTCTTCTGATTTTAATTTCGCGAGAGCTTCGTAGAACGACCAAGAAAATTAGGAGAAAATAATTTTTAATAATTCTTTTTTTCTTGTCTAAAATTATATTAGATCAATATTATTGTTGTGTGGTACAAAAAAATTTTGTGTTGCGATTACAAAAAATACGACGAACGATGTTTCCTGCTTTAAAAGATTTAAAAGACTGAATGGGCAAAGAAAATATTCAATCGACTGCGATAGTGTTTGAACGATATAATTTTTTTCTGTTCGGTTTTCTTTGCTTCTTCTTCTTTTTTTTATATTCAAGCGCTTTTTGCTGGGATGTGTTCGATTTTGTGTTTATGTTTTTCCATACAATGGTAATTGTGTTAGTGTATAAGGTATTGCGGCTCTCTGATGTAAGTTTATACACCACACGATTTACGACTTTAGACGATTTCCCTCGTCTCTACTATAAAGTTATGTTTATGCATTTTCTTGGCTCTCGTGTCTTTACATGCGCGTAACGTTGTAAAAATATTTCGTGTTTGGGTTAGTGTCTATCGAGAGAGGATTATTCTGGAGAGAATTGTGTTAAATCACAAAACAAAAAATACATCCATCCAAATAACATCGAAAAGGTCTAAAATGCATTTTTGCCTTGTACGTACACAAGTTTGCGTCGCTCTTAAACGTCGTCTACATGAAACTTTATTTTTCTTCTTTTTTCATAAAGAGACACATGCTTATCGGGCCACGAGAGAGAGGAAAAACTGAAAATATTGATACACCGAATTGTTCACAGATCACAAATACATTTATTATTTCGACGGGTCGATTGGAACGCCCCGAAAAAAATACAATCAAATGATTGATATTAAAAAATATCCGAACGAGAATAAGCAGCGATTTTTTTTCCTATATGCAATATAGTAAAAATGATATATAAATTTTTTAATACTGCTTGGTGATATATTTGTAGATTTCTGCCATAGATGGATGTGATCTTGCAAACTGATGGAGAGAATGAGTGAATAAGTCGCCCAACAAGACAAATGTGCACTCTATCCATCTTCAAAATAAATTTCTCTGATTTTTCTCTTCGTGCTGATTTAACTTCGATTCTGTGCTTTTTTTACACGATGAGGGGGAGGCAAAAATATTATTAATAAGAATTTTTATCCATCACGATTCTTCTTTTCTTTCCGCTTTTTTTCCTTCTTTTTTTTTTGGGGAAATGTAAAAATGAGATTAACCTTTATGGTTGTATTTTTTTACCATTTATAATGCGCAGTCACAGAGAAAAAGAAAAACTTTTTTTCGTGTATTAATCAAAGGCTCTTAAAAAGAGAAGAAAAATGCTTGAATTGGTGTTCTTGCGAGATTCATCTAATATGATTCTACCTACATGATGTTATATCGATATATAAATAGCTTTTGCTTTTATAAACCATCAAAGGTTTTTATTCAATTACAAATTTTCTTAAATTAAAAAGAAATTTAAACATTGAATGTCAATGAACTGAAAAGGAAATTAAAGTTTAATAAATTTCAACAATATTTAATTTCAATCTGTTTAAAATTTAAGCTCCACGAAGAAAACTTCGTTACATCAGAAAAAAAAGTCACGAAGATTTCTAACACGAAAACTTTTTTTTTCCTTTTCCTCGATGTGAGATTGATACTGCAAGTTTAATCAACTTTCCCTTGAGTTAATAGTGGGAGAAGGATGTGACAATGTGCGCAATCGCTTCGTGTATTTTGTGTAACGATACTTCCCCCACTCAAAATATTTTCCGATTTCAGACAGAACGACATTGAATATTGAGTGAAGAAAAGAACTTTTCCATCCCTTCTCTAAAATTTTCCTCGCCTGTAGCAGAATTTATACAACACAAAATATTGAAAGGGAAGTTAAACAGTTGCAATTCCTACTGAACATTTATCAACGATACTATCAATGTGCAGAGGAATGAAGAAATATTGACAAGGGGATAAAGCATCTTATAATCTCCCTCATCATAATTTATGATCTGCAAATTTATCTCACTCTACCCTCGTAACTGCACTTATTTTATTACTTTCCAATAACTTGATGATGCCAATAAAACACTAATGGACTTCACGACAAGTGAGGTCATCAACCGACTCTTGTCTCAGGTTCATTTTGTCACGCTATCGAGCGGGATATTTGTTCTTTTCTCCAAAACTTACACTTCAAGATGAATCATTTCGTGCTGTGATGTTTCTCTATCATATTTCCCATTCCGTTTCCAACTCACTTTTATTACACGCCAGACGTTTTGTTTTTATTTTTTTTTGTGTCTTCTTTTCGCTCACTCTCTCGTTATGTGTCTTCATCAGACTCCTCACATTCATTACATATCATCATCATTCACATCTTCTTCCGATTCCTAATTAATTCAGTTCATATGAGTGTAAAAAATCATCATCCGTAGATGCTTGCCATGTGAGAAATGAAACAATTTATAATAATTTTAAGCTCAGAGTTTTGATTCCTTCAACCAATGTGAATGCATACATTTGTGACATCCGCTGGGAAATATTATTGTTGTTGCTGCATTAAAGAGTGTCGCTCGATATCGAATTTTTCTGAATAATAAAAATTAAAATTAGAATCGAACAAAAAAAGAAAAAAATACGAAGAAGCATCAAGAATGGATCTCTTTTGGAATGATAAAGATGCGACGAAATAATTTTCTATTTTTATTAACCCTTTTGATGCCTGGGTAAATATTCTTTGTTGTTTGATGGTGTGTGCAACATCCTTTCTTCCTTCGTTTTGCTTCTTTTTTATTTTTATTTAGAGGAGAGATAAAATATTGAATTGATTTTAATTATTACGAAAGAAGAAAAGAGACTTTGATCTCATCAGTCTGTTTATGATTTTTATCATTAAACATTAAAATATTATTGGGGTTGAAAATTACGCTTTGTTCTTCTGTCAGATCTCGTTGTTTGAGAAAAGTTTTAAAATGGATTAAATATTTTTAAATGCTGCAATTCAACTAAATGGAGTGAAATTTTGTTTTTCGTTGTTTTTAATTCTTCAAGAATTTCTCGAAACATTCAAGGTTGAATATAAATTAGAAATATTTGAAGGAAAAGCTCACGCATTCCATGAAAACTGAAATTAACTTTCCACTTCAACCCCTTATGTTGTGTTACACTCAATCACTATCCTAACAAATGCTTTTAAAGAAATTCAATAACATTCGCCCATGAGAAAATATAAAATTAATTTGCATATCGTTTGAAAGAGTTTGCTTCGAAGCAACCCGTCCTTTCCTGTATCGTTGTGTTAATAATCAATTTGCATATCACGAATCACCTTGAGTAGTTTCACTTTTCATATTAAAACATCCTTTTGCTGTATCAAGAAAAGGGATAACAAATAAAATCAATTGTTGTATAAGAAGGGAAGAGAGTCGGATTTAAGAATACGGTCGACTTATGCAAATGCATTTCTGATTTCAAGCGTCTAGATTTTTGATGTAAAGACGAGAAAAAAAATTAATTTATTGCCGTGAGATTTTTTTTCTCTCTTTTCCGAATCGGATATTAAGAACGTCCTGCATCACAAAAGGATATTTTACGATTGTGATTAATAAAAGATAGAAAGACAGAATCGAAATATGATGACGATGATGTATGGTAGAGGCGAACAATAGGATAAATGGTATCGAATGTAAATAGGAAGAAATTAATATGTGGAAAATTATGCAAAGGAATCCTTTTCACAAGCTCTCGATGAATTCCCCAACAAATCTTGATTTTCAATTTATTCACGTTTCGTTTTTTTTATTTTGCTTACCCCATAAGCGATGAAATTGAATTCAGTCAGGGTTGGTTTTGTGTGATTCAACTTGAATCAGTTTTATTTGAATATCAGGAAGTACATGTAACATAACAAAATATCTCCCCAGATTGAGTGAAAGCCCAAAAGCGATGTGAACAAAAACGACAACAGAACAAATTAATCAATTAAAATTACTGGTGATGGGTTGAATTTTGAGAGTGACTATGGGAAAATTTTGTCGAACTCAAACGATGTCATTCAGTTGATTTTATATTTGTACAGCTTAATGAAATAGCTTCAAGTGTCTGTGTTTAGAAACTAGTTGCGCAAAAACCGTAAAATATGCAAAAATCACTCTTCAATCCACTCAAAAACTAGTAGCTTAATAACCCTTCAATCTCATCATCACAATCGTCCCCGTCATTTGTCGAACAATCGTTCAACGAGTTGAGATTTGCATAATTAAGGTGCAATTTCTCATTCAATTGCAAAAAAAAAGATGCAACAAATAATTTGATTCATTGAACCCTCAAAATCGATCAATAAAGAGGCAAGCCGACAACCCTTCCCTCTTCCTCCGTTTTGCAATGCAAATTTCTTTTGAAACTTCCCTTAAGATCATTGATGATCATTATGATATTTTTGCGTCTGCACTTAAAGTTCACTTTTGTTGTGATGTGATGAATGGAGTAATCTATAAATGATACCATAATGGTACTCACTTGAGTGTCAATACATTCCATTCATAAATTGTGCAACTGCGTTATGCAAAAAGAGAGAAACAGCAAAGGGATCATTCGGGTGCAGAACACATTCAACAAACAATAGTTCAACTCAGCAACCCCCATGCAGTGCAATTATTGTGTTTTTGCTTCCTAAATAATTTTGCCCTAAATAGTTAAGGGTTAACATTGAAAATTTCATTTCACTTCAAATGTGCAACTTTCACATCAACCTTTTTACATGATGCAGGTAATAACAATGTGTGGATATGCAACAAATGCTTGTTGAAGTCCTGTTGCGAACGGGAACATTTCACACTTTTTTTTTGCAAACAAAAATGCACTTGATTCCCTTTTTTTTCAAGGCCATGGCCACGTTACAAATATTTCAACATAGAACATTTAAAATTGTTGTATTGCACAACGGCGACGACTTGATGTTTGATTCATATAATAAAGTTGAAAACAACAAAAAAAATTATGCAAGAACTGAAAATTGATATTGTTTGTAAAGCAACGAAAATGATTTTCAACAATTAGCTAACAACGAAAATAAAAAAATGGGTCATCGACAGTTAAACATTTTCGATGCATGCAAATGACATAAAAAGGTGTTGCGGAAAAAAAAAGACGGAAGAGACTTAGAGAGTGGACAAAAAAGTGCTGAATCGTTCATATGAATGTCAACGTTAGCTTTGCTTATGCTTGTAAAAATATTTTAATATTGAGAAGTTGAATCGTTTGAATGAATATCAATTTACAAACTTTATCATAATTTTTATTTTAATTGTTTACAAGTTTAAGTGAATTTGAAATATTTTGGAAAATTTTAAGTAATTAAAACTTGAATCAAATAATTATTTCTCAGAATCTAGTAAGAAAGTAAAATATTACTCAACATAATCGAAACAGTAAGAAAAAAACAAAATAAAATGATTTGTCGTTTAATGAGGAAATGAAAAATTTATGTGATTGAAGTTTTATATTCAGTGCTGGTGAGTATTTGGGACAGTTCGCATTATCATCATTTGATAGCCTTCAGTCATTTCATCTAATCAAATCAAATGAAATCAAATTAATATCAATGGATCATCCTCGTTCTTCAATCTATCTGTTTACTCATTCGTTTGTCTGATATTTCATCATTCATGGCATCAGTCAGCATTTTTCATTGGAACTTGTTTGTGTATAAAATCGAATGAATGTAAATAAATAGGAGCGCAAAACATTTCTTTATCATCCTTATAAACTTTCCCACATCTAGGCCGACAATCTCACATTACATCTCTCATAATTGAAATGATAAAATTGCACATTTTACTTTCTGATAAGTCAGTTCGGTTACAAAGTATTGAATTTTGATCAAAATGGAATTTTTCGTATTCAGCATAAAAATAAAATATAAAATTGAAAAAAGAGAGCAAAAAATAAGCCACGCGAAAGTGTAACTGACAAAAGAAAATCTCTTCAGTGATGAGATAGCAGAAACGGTGTCAGTTGATTATGAAGTATTTGAGATTGTTTGAATGTCGAGCTTAGATTACAACAAGTCATAGAAACTTCCTCCGCCTCCCATTTCTTGTTACCGACACAAATCAATTCACGAGAAATGTCTCGCAGTCTTTAAAGATGTCATTGACTGACGTCCTACGATTTCATTCACATTAGCAAATTGCAATTGGCATCATTAGTAGATTAAACAGAAACATTTAATTTACAACACACAACTGTTTGTTTTACTTTCTTTATCATGAAAATGTTTCTAACTTTCGAAGCTCTGAAATGAAATTAAATGAAACACGAAGCGTCAAATCGAGTAAATGAAAACAATCGAGGCGACAATATCGAAAGAATAGCAGAAAATTACAATTTTCAAACTATTACCGACGACTGTGCCATTGTTAGTTGCCTTGTAACATGATCCATTTCACAATGCTTAGGTTTTTTGTAAACATTTTTTTAATCTGTTTGGTGTGGTATGGAAAATGTTTTCTTGACAAACAGGAAGATTTTTTTCTTCTTACATACTTCCAAGTAATCGAAATCGAAAGGGTTGATGTTTGTCAACCTGGTTCACTCAAAGGAAGAAGAAAAAAATAATAGAATTATAACATGAGACATGCATAAGGAATGAAATCAGTTGAAAATACTTACACAATCAAATGAATTGAAAAATACTTCATCTCAACATTGCAACAATACTAAATATCTGCTTTTCTTCTTTATTTTCATTTGGGTGCCAACAACATTAAGAAAAGAAAATGATTGGGTTGCTTATTTGCATGGCCTCTCGAGAGAGTTCCAAGGAAGAGAATGAAAAATAAAAACTTCTCATTGCGGACTAAATGACAAGGGTGCAATGTTGGATATATTTGAATCTTTACGAAGACAAAGAATAAGAAAACTGAATCAAAAATTATTATTTAAATTACAATTTCGGGGCTTCAAGAAAACAGTTTCGCTTCGGTAAAACGAGCAAAAGGAAAATATTGAAAATGTGTGCATAATTCGAATATTATGCAAATCTATCAGCTTCTGAAAGTGAAACAAACGAGAAGAGAAGCCAAACATGATATTGTAAAATTTAGATTATAGCAGATGCATGATTTAGATTTATTGCCTGTTTGTCGGGATGTGTCTGAGGAGTTCTTGCTTGTTACAAACTTACGAGTCAGCTGAGTTGTAGAATGTATAATCTAAATTATGGATTGAGGAGGGAAAGATTTGAAAATCAATTCGTATTTAAGATTTATTACTGATAAACATTGTATAAAACAGAGCTACATACAAATGATTAAATTTTCTCATCAACTTGCTTTAGTACGACATTATAAAAACATCTTTTTTATTATTAGTTATTTTCCTAACTTACTTTTCTCAAAACTGTTTTTTAACGATTGCAAATTTAATGTTTCACTTGTAAAGCCTGGAAAAATGCTTTAATAGATTTTATTGACGTGGCATAGATACAAATTACTAAGTTTTTTTTTGTTTTTCGTGCTCTGAAAACCATTCCATTGTTCAAGATTCGAATACTTGAAAAGTGAAAAAATAAAAAACTGTTTGAAGTTAAATTATGTAAAATAATTTTCTCACAATTTCAATAAAATCATTTTTTTTCTTCTCGAATGTGAAATGTTTTATGAAAAAAATTATTTGTCATTAAAGTGAAGATTGCTAATTATTTATCTATATTTTTTCCATTGTTTATAATGCTGATATTTTTTCTCTATTCATTGTTGATTTCATGAGTGTTGTGTTTACTTGGCTTTTGCTTTCGAGAAACTTTTCCGAGCGAGAATTAATGATACATTTCACTGTCATAAACGTCGAAAATTATATGCTCATTGGAAATCGCAGTGAATTTTTCCTATAAAAATGATTTTATTATTTATGAGAGAAAATCAAATTCGTTGACATGATTTAAGTTCCCACAAATGTTGGTTGTAAATAATGTTCAAGGTAATTGTTGCTAAAATTTCAAATGCAACTGATGGGAAATATGAAAATAGAGCATTCATGAGTTGTTTTCGCAAAAAACATGAAGTAATAAAGTTTTCGTGGCTTTATTGCTAATCTAAATAAATCTCAATAATGGCTGCTGATCTGCTTCGAGTGAGTGCGAGAATTCATTTCTTATAAACTCTATAGTTGTGTGCTTTTGTCGTCGAGAGGCCGCGCGTTGTGTGTAGATTTCATCATAAATTATGATTATCGTTCGGATGAATTATTATTCTTTTGAATGCACGCTGAATCCCCGATAGCAACTGCCTGATATTTTCATTAAAGTTTTTTTTTTAATTTTTTGTTTCAAGCCGCTAATAATGAAATAAAAACAAGAGATGTAGAAAAAGCGAGAGAAGCCATCGGGATCTCGAAACTCAACATCAGCGAGTAAAACCGGCAAGAGACACAATAAACAAGAAAGAAAGAAAAAAAGAAAAAATACAAAACTTTTGCGACAAAACGATGGAGCACGTACCAAACTGTATTTCAAATATATCATACGCAAATACATGATGCTCATAAAGAACATAAAAATTTTAGCCATTGAATTTTACATTTCACTCTCCTGTCTTTCGAGCGAGAGTCGTTTTTATGACTTTTCCTTGACATAAGAATTACTTGATGATGCTATTTCGCGATGACGTGAAGTGAAGTCGTAGACGAATGTAAATCTTCTAATACATATTTCGCTGAAAATTAGATTAAGCCCGTAAAATTCTACATCCTCATCATTAGCTTCTTAGATATCACAGAAATTGAGTTCGCATCTTTTTGAAATGAAATACATGAGTCATCCATAAGGTTCATTTATCATTCATCTGACGGTCTTCGTCACCAGCTTCTCATAATAATGAAAATTCACACAGAAATATGTTAAAATATTAAGATCGAATCCATAAGATAACGGTGGAGCTGTGGCCATGAACGACGATTTTTTTTGAACAGAATTTTAAGAAATTTTATATTATTCTTTTATGTGTTGTGTCGATTCCGCTATTGAAAGACGTGCGAGTTAAGTAATTAACCTTAAATCTAATTTAGAGTGTTGAAAAACCTTGCGCCACACCACCGAATTTATTCCGACAATCATTCGATAGTAATCGCTGATGTGAATCATCGATACGCATCAAAATGGAAGCAAAAGACAACAGAGATGAGTAAGTCGTCAACAATCAGCCTTTGCTTGCTTCACAAAGAGTTTAATTCAGTTTCACCCCCGACAGCACATGTTTTTTGAAACAATCTACAAACTGTGCGCCATTCAATTCAATTCCATTTATTACTTATCATTCAACATAGTTGGAATGTTTTTTTGTGTAATACAAAACTCAATAGCCTTAAAATAATCTTTAATTCATGCACAAAAGAAAAGACGTTCGAATGTAACAAAATAAAAATTAATAGAGCCTTTGTTGGTATCAGCTTTTGGCATTTGAGTTGTAGCTGTTAATATTTATATTTATATAACTCGAATTTATGAACACAACGAAGTAGAAAAAGACACCTTTACGGTCTGAATGCTTCGAACTTACAATTACTGATCTAATAAATGAATTTCAATTTTTCATATTAAATTACTCGATTTTAATCCTGAATTAGTAATGTAAATGCAGAGTGACTTTGACATACGAGCTGAATTTTTACCCCATTTTATTATTTGTTTTTGGTTTGATCAAGATTGCGGAATTGGAATTGCTTGAAGCTCTTATTGAATTGATACATTGGTCACGAAGAAATTAGTATTCACTTCACATAAAACTTGATAGTTGATCTGGTAGAGAGAAATTGTGGAAAGTGCTCAAAGTATCATTTTCATATGGGGAGAATAATTGAATGCTGAATCGATGAGCAAGAAGATTTTCAATTGAACAAAATACTTTTAAGTAATATCTTAGGATCACGCGATATCTTCGTTTTTAATTCTACGGATCATGACACATTTGTTTTAACTTATTCAATTGCACCACAACATTTTGTTGAAGAAACATTAATTAATAAACTTTATTTAAAGCTGCTCGCTTTGTAACATTCTTGAGGGTTCACTTAATGTTCACCCGTACAAATATATAATTCTTTCTTTTTTTTTGTTTTTTTAAACCTTGCAGTTGTGTCATTATCGACTGAACACTTTTTATTTTATTTTTTTAATTTTGTGTAATAAATTTGAGTGTCATAAAGTTTCATAATTTTTCCATCTTTCAAATCTATCTCAATTATTTTATTGTCTCTAATTTAATCGGGAAGAAGACAAAGAGTAATTAACAACTAATCTTGAGAAAAAGAATTACTTTAACACGCAATGAGAATTTGGGTTTTTACTACATTAACTTATGAAGGAAAATTATTTTTCAAAAATTATTTCACTTTGTTTCTTACATCATCATAAAAATGCATTTTGGCCTTTTTATTTATTTACTTATCGTAAACATTTTGTAATGTGGTAAGGTCGATTAAATTATAGAAGGGAATTTGTGTCAAGAAGTTTAATTAAAAGTATTCCTTCATAGCTTTGTTCAAGTCTCAAAAATTCCTTAAAACATTGCATTCAATCCTATGCTCAACGGAGAACAACATCATGCCGATTTTTATTGTGTCGTTGTTTTTGCTACATGAAGCGCGAATGTCGAATGGATACCAGAAGAATAACGCGATAATCAATTTCCTGATAATTAATTAAAAAAATTAACTTTCAATGTGACTTCTTGAAGCATTCTTGTGTAAGCGGGAATTAATAATAATTAAACATTAAAAATAAATGTGGCCAAAGAACATTTTGTCGAAGGTAAAAGAACCCAACGAAAGTTGTTATTTAGTGGTCGTCGTAGGTATAGCCGAACGTTGTAAAAAAAGCTAATGAATATAAATAACACTATCAACAAATAAAATCTGAATAAATAACATTAAAAATTACCGAAGCAGAAACTTTTCGTTTATTCTCGTCCAAAATATATTGCTAATATATCTATCAAAGCGACGAATTGTATTAACCACTAAAGAACAAAAGTTTCGTGTTTAATAAGGTTGGAAGTCGCATTAAAGTGGTGTGTTGTGTTCTGCATTACGCCTTTTAATTATCATCAACATAAAAGAGTCGAATACTATTGAATACATTACTCTATTGAACGCTCATAGTTTATTACGATTTCCAACAAATAAAAACGCAAAATAGAAATAAAATGTCCAGCAAGTAGTTAGAAATGAATTCAAAGCAAGGTATTTCAGAAAAATAATCCGTCAAATTATTCGAATTTAGCATTAAGAACTCTGATCCACTCACTCACATGTTTTACTTTGCAGTATTACCATTAAATATTCGTCACGATATGTAAGCACCAAAAATATACCAATATTAATAAATTCACTACGAAAAGAATGAAATGGGGAGATATCATTGAGAGTTGTAACATAAAGATTCGTTATCAATACAAACATCGAAATTTATTCATCTGATTATCTTTCCTTGAGAACATTTCTAATCTTGAAGTTTATTTACTTAGATGATAATTCTAACGTCATTTAAAGATAACCCCACAGTGCTATAAGGAAACTTTGATGGAAAGAGAAAGGGCAAGGAATGTATTCGAACAGGGAAAACGTTCTTTATGTAAGTCAAGTCACTCAATTTCAGACCAGAAATATCCATCAAAATATAATCGTTTTCCTTATGAATTTTTATATGATATTCGATTTCATTGCCGAGTACAAGTTGGAGCGCTAATTATTTATTCCATTCTTATGGAGTTTTTGGCATCATTCACTATATAGGAAATATCGAAAGAGGGGAGAGAATAACTTACTTACAAATGCCCTCTTAACAATTTGTAGTAACCGTAAAATAACTTTCTTCGGGACGCCTTGACTTGTATTTAAGTGAGTGGTAAGAGAAAACAATCGACCAAGAATATTGTTTCTCGTTTTATATGTGTGAAGTGAAATGTATGTGTTTCGGACGGGTTTCCTCATTAATTACTTCATATTATTTGCATAAATTATGCCGAAATAACTTTTTATTGTATTTTGTTGTAGGTTCTTTAACGATCCGTTTGACTTTTAATAAAAAATAGCTATAGGCTTCAATAACAACACCAAAGCGGGGTCCTATATTCATTCTTAATGTTATAGCGTTTTCTCAAAGGGAATTAATGTGAAATGTTTATCGATAAAAGATCTACATTAAACTACATTTCTTCGTATTTATTTCGAGTGGTTTAGATAGTTGGCATACGTTTATTCGAGCATATGTCGAAACTGTGTGGCTTACATATCACTATTACCTTTATTTAGTTTTTATATGTTTTTGGGTTGTTTTATACTCACTTCACCCCCGTGATAGTTCTTCATTAATTCATCATTATACGTCCCCACAGTCCAAGAAAGTCAAATGCGATAATGATCGACATTTTCAAGTCATCATGCATCAGGTCGCAAGTCGTGAATTTACTTTTTCTATGAATGAAGTTACTTTATTTAAGTCAAAAGGAAGACCTCATAAGAAACGCACCGTTCAATAATTGATTTGACTATGGCAATTAATCCATTAATCATTTTCTTTTATGTTAAAAAGTCAAACGTTAGATGAATTGTTGGGCTCTTCTCATCATCAGCTTATTGATTTGATTGATGATGTTTTAACTGCTTTTGTTTGCTTTTAACGAAAATATTGAAGAAAAAATTTTAGCAAAATGTTTAAATGTCAATTATTGGTTTTACGACCTTACTAAATAAATGCTGAAGACGTTTACTGATTCTCACGCTTACCGTCAAGAAAATCGCATTCAAATTTCATTAGAACCAATGTGAAGAAGAGCGATAGTTTTCTCATCAGAAATCCATGAAGAAGGCATGGAATAGAAGAGAAAAAAGTGTAAAAGCCATTAAACTTTAGAATATTTAGTTGAGTAATATATTTATGTTTCCTATTGCAACTCAAAATAGTTAACTTCATAAATAATGTCACTGTGTGTAGTAATTTGAAAATTTTTCATGCATTTAAGAGCTAAAGTTTGAACATATCAAGCTTCACGCTTCGTTGTGTATCACTTCAAAGTGATTCCTGAAGTGTGATTAGAAGAAGAATTTTCAAACGACTTGAAAGAAGAAAGAAATTTCTAACTTAGATCTGCTTATTCCCATTACACTTACTTACGTATCACCTTATTCCACGATTCATGAATGTTTTTATTTTATTTTTTCTCTTATATGATGTTGAGTACAGAAAGAAATATAAATAAATTGTAATTAATTTAGGTACTACCTTTATGCAATAAATAATAATGATTATAATTAGTATGAGAGGGAAGAAAAGAGAAATATTTGTGGATTTTTATTTCAGCCTATGTGCAAACATCGAGTAAAATCCATGAATGGAACAATTGAATGTTGGCGACAATCTTTATTCAGACAATCTTTTTAACATGAGAATGCATAACTTCCACGTTGCATTTTCTTTATCTCTGATAATCAATCGAGATGGAAAACTTAACAGACAACTACCGTGTGTGCAACAGACACTGAGTCATGATGCAAATCTCATTTTATGTTTTCCGATGCGTTTCTAATAATGCAGAATAATTGCGCATTGTCAATTTAATAATAGATAATTGTGAGAATTAATGATCGTGAACTATAATAATTTTCGAGATTTTCTTTGAAGATTTGTTAGATTTTTTTCTTATTTTTTATTTGTTGATGTTGTAAGATTCAATTGAAGGCCCTTGCAAATATGAAACGGATATAAATTTAAAGATTTTGCCGGATTATCAATTAACTAACGATGGCTATGAATTGATTTACTGAGAACTATTTTCCAGATTAAACATTACTAGCTTAATAAATAAAATCTTCAGTAACAATTGAAATTGAAACTTGAGAAAAGACGCCATCAACTTGAGGCATTAATTTCTTCCCGCCTGGAGGCAACAACATATGTGTGTAGAGATGTACAATCTTTGGTCTCGCTTGGTTGGCCGCATTGAATTAATTCCTGAAACAACAAAAAAAAGTTATTCAGTTCAACTTCTTTTGTGATTGAAGCAGCGAAAAATCCATTTCAGTTCAACGGTGTTTGTTTAATGGAGCGTTGCGTTAATGACGTCAATTCTGATTGAATATTGGATGATAACTTTGTATTCAATCAAAAAGCCCTTCACTAAATTCTCAATTGATTCAGAAAGATTCTTCAACTTGACATCATTTATAAACATTTTCCACCAAATAGAGAGATCGAAAAACATGTAGAGGAATAATTGAATTTCATTTACATATAATCCAAATATATTTTTATAGAAAAGAGTATCTTTGAAAAGCTCTTAATGGGTTTAATGTGTAAATGATATAAACATTAATTGACGCGAATAAAAGAGCTCATTGCTTTTCAACTTTATTTTTTCTTTTTTTTTGTGCTTTAATGAGTTGTTTTTTGTCGATTACAAATCAGACTTTTTAATTACTTTGAACGTTTTCATCTGAAATTATGGAGCTTAAAAAGAGTTGTAAACTCGTTGATCGCTCATTGAAGTGCTGCTGAAGTTTGAAGCTGAAAAAAAAAAGTTGAATGAAGAAGAAAAAAATGACAGATAATTTGTAAATGAGTCACACCTGTTGATACATTAGTCTCTGTTCAATAAACTTGTCATTTAACCACTTAACATCAACGACACCGACCATCAGAAAAAAAAGAGCGAGGGTTAACTGAAAGAATATTTACAAGTCAATGAGTTATCGATCGTTAACGAGAAAATATGTAAATTCCATCAAAAACATTTATTTTTATTTTTCGTGGCTTCAAATCGATGATTTATTTGTGATTATTTAACAAACACACCCAACCCTTCTCATTAACCTTTTTAGTCAACGAGACCTGTTAAATTATTAATCGCGCCGTCTCTCAAAAGGGTGACAGTGTCAATTTCCCAAATCGGTCGTTTATCGCATATGCGAGTATTTTCCGAATGATTTTCTAGATGATGATTAAGTATACAATAAATACGCCAAAGTCAATTTCGTATGTAAATTAAACTTTCATTATGCTATAACGTTTTTCGGGAAATGATAGCATACCTCAAACTCATTACTTATGATTTTTAATACGAAAGCAGAGAGATTCATGAAAAATTTACGAACCGAAAACGTGGCCGTTGGGAATAGTTTGGAGCGTGCGCTAAGTGGTATGATTGACCAATCAGTGCTCTGTTCAATTGATTTCAAGCTTTTCCATTGGAAACATTCAATTATTAGTTGATTGGTTTTAAAAGTATTCACTTTTAGTAGTCTTGGAAGTTTATCGTTGCATTCAATTGAGTCAAATGATTACTTACATTGTAAATATCATGCATGATGGCAAAGTGTAATTAATGAAGACGATGGGGAAGAAAATTTATTCTTTAAATACCAATCCATTGTTTCCTGAATAATTTTTTTTATTTCTTCTTCTGTTTTTGTTCTTTGAGTCTTTTGCTCTACCAAGAAAAAAAATTATATCGACTCGAACCTTTACATGTGCAAATGAAGCTCATACTTAAATACTCGAACCACGTCAGGGCTTCAAGAATCGCATAATTAATCCATAAATTGCCAAATGAATTATTACTTTCGAAGCTCTGAGTTCCCGACTGATGAGCTTCTTCATAACATCGGAAAAATTATTATCATCAACTCATGATCTTAAAAAAAATTAAAGAAGGAGAAGAAAAAATTATTTATTTCTTTCTATATAATTCCTTCTGCTTGATTTTATGATTAAAAATATTTCTTCATTCATTCATTTTGTTCTTCACAAGTCTCAAAAGTGAAATATAAATATTCAAAAAAAGAAGCGTAATTATTATTGTTTCGAGATATTGTGCGCTTTCAACTGTAACATTTTCCTTTATGATTTCGAGGAGGTTCAAATGAAAACAAAAAGTTCCATCGCAAGAAGTTTATCGTACGCATAATTATCATTACTAGTGTCTTGTTTGTGTACAGAATGAAAAGTTTTTTTTTTCCTCTATAACTTTTTTGCTCAATTTCTTCTGTGATTGTTTTTATTGACTGTCTCGCTTCAGAGGTGTCTCGTTTGTATTAAACCGCAATTAAAGTTTATTTTTTGTTTCTTCCTTCTTCGTTCTTCTACTTTTAGTCTTAAGTGCCAATGACTCTCTTTCACATGTTTTCTATTTGAGTGATTTTACATAGAAAAACTTTTTTTTGGCATTCGAAGAAGAGAAACTCATCATGCCTGAATTGCTTAATTGAATTGAATGACGACAAGGGGAACTTGTTGCATGCTTAAAATGACAGACAAAACCACAAACATTACTCTAGTTCCTTCCTGTATAACTTCGCTTCACTTCATTGACCTCTTAAGGAATCAATTAGTCGTTCACTCTAGCATAGACTCGAACGTCAATACACCTGCTACCAGCGTTCCCCTTAATGGAATATAAATTGATCAACGCATCTTTTTCGCTTCAATTCTATCGATTGGAAACCCTCGTTTATATTGTTTCGTTATATGTCAATAACATTCCATTGAAGAACCGCCAGCATTCATGAATATTCACGAAACAAAAAAACTATTGCTGCAAGATCGTGGAAAGAAATAAATTACAATTTTTATGACAGCTACAAAAAATTATTGTTATTAAATAAAGTAGATGGATATTTTCTTGTCTTTTGTTTTAGTTGGCTAAGAAGCTTGTCTTGTACATATTAAACAAAAAAAAGAAAAGAGATCAGCGTCACACAACACCGTCTCACTTGGCATTGAACTCATAGGGGAGAAAAGCGTTTATTAACTTCTAAGAAGACTGTTGCTGATAATCGTTAGATGGTTGTGAGGTTGTTACACATGAGTTGTTTGTTAATGATTGTTATTGTAACCTGTGTAGCGCCGAAAACTAAAAATGAGAGTCAAGCGACGATGAAACCATTAAGGCCTTTTATAAGAAGCAATTTTATGAATTAACTAACCTTTACCAGCTTGAGTTGGGTGAAAGAGATAACTTCACATCAGTGAAGAAGTAGAAGTGACACATTTTTTCTGTTGATTTTAAGATTCTCCAGTTCGAGCCGCTCAACTGTGGATCCTTGATTCACCGATAACAATCGATAGATAACAATCAAAATTATAGTAATTTGCCTCATCGTCTGTTTTCGAATTTCGATTCAAAGTCTTTAATGACTCTTTTTTTATAACCAATTTTTATTTTGGGTGAATGTAAGGGAGTTCTTTCAAGCATAGCAGATTTTAAATATATTTCTTTGAAAAACTCCATCATACGTTTCATGTTTTCATGTTATACATATTTTTGTTTTCTTTCAACTCGTCTCCATCTTTTTCAAGTCTTTCATACATCGTTGGAAAGCACAGCACAATGCCGCGATGAAAATTAAATTATTGTGACTAACAACCACTCCATAGACTCGGTGGTGTGACGTGTGATTATTAATCAAAAGTAATTGCTTTGCTCATTGAATATATTTACTGAAGCGATATTCTTTCCAAATGTAACCCATTCAGTCGATGGATGACGACACCGAACAGGTAGATACAATTGAGCTTTGGTGGAAATCACTGAAAAATATTTAAAATAAATTCACAAGAAAATCAACAAAGCGAAGCAAAATCAAAAATGGATTCCCCACCGATTTCCATTCGATTTAACCTGTGAACGGCGCAATTTCTCATTGTTTTCCAACCGACATGAAGAAGAATAAAAATCATTGAATTAAAGATATTTCACTTGTGGCAATGATTTTTGAGGCTGAAGAAATTTGAAATTCTTCACGTTTTTCATTCGGTTCACTGCGTAAAATTTAAGAGTTGCTGGTTATTAATGGGTTCACCTTCGATGCCGATTTTAGCCGCAATTTTTATAAATTATAAGAAAAGAAGAAAAAATTTGCGCTTCTAATTGTGATCTTATCTAAGTGATCGCCACATCGAGTGTGGAAATAGGCGGAATCATAAGTTCATCATCATTTCTAATAAGGATGTAGCTTAATGATCTTTAAACGAATTTCTTCCAAAGCGATTATCAGTGCCGTTACGAAACGTAAATGATGACAATTAGATTGGATCAACACGGAATAATTTCTTGATTCTTAATTAAATTGTCATGCGATTTAAAAGTTTCCTGTTTCAAAAAAACATTCTCAAGTGTTTGATCAACTAATTGAACGATCTTTAAGAAGAAATCTTGTGCAAGATTAATAAATTTATTAGCTTATCTGACAATATTTCTTTCAATTGAACATCCTGTAAGTTTGTCGATATGAATATTTGTGATACAATGCAAGTTTCATCACTTCATTGCGTATTTCATTCATTACAAGACTCAATATCATGTCAATGTGTGTCATTAAGTGACATTCCAATGAAAAACCATCAATTATCATAACATTCTGATACAAAGATTACGAATGATGTCTCATTAATTATAACTTCACTGATGTGTATTGTTTGAGAAAACCAATTAAAATGAGTTTTAATGGAAAACACTCACTCGTTCATTTATTCCTGCCTTCCATGGCGATTTCAATAATAAAAAAAAAATTCTTATTGTCTCTCATCTCAATTGACATAAGCGGAAACGCGGGCGTACGCTGATGTTTGTGTGAAACAAAAAAGCAATTCGACAAAAATCACATTTAATACGAAGCTCGTACGATCTCGATGTGTTGTGCTTAATCGACAATATGACGCCATGATAAACTTTCAAAGCCGAACGAGTAACTTCCATTCCAATGGCTTGCTCTTTGCCATTAAATTGATATTAATTTATGAAATAATAAAAAGCAATTTTTATGCGGCTTGAAGAACACACAAAGAGTAAATATTAATCATTCCATTTCTTAATTTATTTTTTGGGGGTGCTTAGAAGACAGCAAAAGAAGTTATTAATCAAGGGTCAGATGTGGTGATAATAAAAAAGAAATTGAGTCTTAATTGGTAATTACTTTATTTTAGAAGTGCTTTGAATAATTGAGAGAGATCTCCATAAATTTTCATTTGAATGACGAAGAACTTTAAAACGCATTGTTGTAAATATCGTGGATATCTATGTTCATATATCTTTGAGAATATCACCATCGCTAAAACATATCAAGTCGAATTCAGTTTGCTTTTAAGCAAGACATGAATAAGCAGAAAATAAACGGAACAAGTTTTGCATAAATATACTCAAGCTTCCCCCCATTCCACATTTAATTCTCTTGACTGTTTGTATTTGAATCACAAAAGTGCACAAAACCATCAAGCCTCCGCATAACCATAATGTTTTGCTTGCTAGAGCCATAATTTATGTGTGAATCGAAAATCACTACAGTTTAACCATCTCGCTCTCTATCTCCATTCGTCTTCCATGTGTGTAAAAAATTATTTGTTTCTAGTTGGCTAAGTATGCAAAGAATGGAGCATAAATCGTTGTTGTAAGTTAGAATTATGCGTTTAGTAGTTCACCTGAAGGCATGAGATTTATTCACTAGTCACGGGGCAAATTGTTGGCTTTCTCTGTCATCAAATCACATTGAAGTTACTGTTACTGTTATATCATTAAGCATCATTCGAATTTGTCATCTTTTCGATCCAATAATGTCGTTGAAAAATTATTATTCTTAAGTTTTATTTAATGTTTATGCACATGACTTTATTACAACAAGCGGAGCTGAATCATTGTTACTTCCTGCTCCATTATTATTTTCTAAAGACATTAACAGAACTCTAAATGCGAGCCATACTTCAGTGGTTTTCACATCATGATCATGAAATCGTGAATAAATTTACGACGCTTTCAGATCAAAACTCTTTTCAACACTCTTTGTGAATTTTCAATATTCAGAGGAAATGTCTCTGAAGTTTCATTCTCTTAATTAAGTTCTCATCTGATCGGGGATCGATAAAACCTTCACCGTCAAACAAACAACTTAAATTGAATTATAAATTCCAATACGACAGTCAATAAATACATTTCGAAGAAAATTCTTACCAAATCTCATAAACTTCAACGATAACAATCTGAATTTTAAAATCGATATTAAAACATCATCGAAGTTGTTGTTAGTTGTGTTGGTTGTTTCTTCGAGGATGAACTTGGAAAGTATTCACAAAACGAAAAGTTGTTATTCAGGTGACGTTTCCTTTCTTTCACAACAAAAAGAGATATCAAGTCTCATTCAATCAAAAGGTAGCTAACGACTGACAGGTGTAGATGATGCATTCAAGAAAGGGACACAAAGCTGAATCCAATAAATGAAAACACATAAAATAACGACACGAGTAATATCATAAATTTGATGGCTAAAATTGGAGAGAAATAAAAAAATCCGAAGCCGTAAACGTAATTTTAGCTGCGGCAGCAAACGCCAGTTAATACTTTGAATTTAAAAAAATAAGTAGTCACTCGTGGTAGGAAATTTTCGAAAGATTAAGTTGTGTTGCTGTACGTGATGCTGCTCATCATCTCATAACTTAGAAGTTGCGTTCTTTCAGTGTCTTGTATTTAAATAACTTTTTTCTTCTCCAAAATTGGTTTGGTCATATATGTTTATTAAGCAGTATGACATCTTTATTATATTTTCGATTAAAAATTGATAAAAAATAAATATTCCGTGAACAAAATTATTTTTATGTTCAAGCCCCAGTTGGCGAGTTTCACAACTTTTAACATGACGATCGATTTCGCTTGATTTTTGCAACAAACTTTTTGGGAATCTTTACAAAAATCTTTTTCAATTCACTAGAAGTCGACTGTTTCAGCAAAACATTTAAATTTATTGACAAATTCAACATCTTTTCATGTTCTTGACGGCACGAGATTCATAAACTTAAGAAACACTTTTTCTTGCTCAACACTCACATCTCTCGCAATATTTTATCAATGAATTGGAATTTTTGTTTTATTTATTGGTTATCAGTCGAGATGTTATTCTGGGTTGAAACAAATTGTGATCAACATACATAACAGTAGTCACCTCATTGGTTAGTTTAATTAAAATTTATTTTATTCACATTTTAATATTCTGTGAAGCTACGATCATCGAGAGAGATTTCATTGAGATCATTCTTAAAACTTAATCTCTTCGTAAATATCAGTTTGTCATCACACAAATTGATGATGTTTGACCATTCAAATTGTTCTACTTGAATTTAAATGAAGATAACTTTGTTATTCTGAATGTTAACTTAGCTCGATCATTATTCAGCAGCTTCAAATAAAAAAAATTGAGAAGGCTTGAAAGATAAAGAAAAATACTTTACGATGATATAAAAAAGGCTTCTTAATGAAGCTTCTGTTTATATCGCACGACATGACTCAACATAAGAGAAAGGAACATAAACTGATCGTCTTCAACTTCCACAAATAAAAAATCATTTAAAACTTTAAAAATTACTTTAACATTGTCGTGGTTTGCTAATTTGTTCCACTGCGATTACATGACAATTTTTATTTCTGCACCTATTCGATTCAACAATGAATGCACATTCATCGTGTTTGTCTCTCATTACACCTGATTAAGAAGACCGTGGAACAGAAACAAATGAACATTCCTATAAACTCTTGTTGTAGCGAAAGTCAAAGAAAAAAAGAAGAGCAGAAGTAATCTGAGCAGAAGTTCTTCTTGTGTTGCAGAACATATTACTGCAGTAGCATAAACCATGTAGCGATCAAGTGGAAACCGTGAGCAACTGAAATGGTTTCATTTTATATTAAATACTTCAATATGAATTTACATATCATGGCGTTATGTTTTGAACTTCGTTAGAAAATTTTCCTAACGATTTCATTGCTGATTATCAAATTTGATTCTATTCCTGACTAATCACAATTTCTATTCTTGATATTTAACTACATTTAACTTATTCAAACAATCGACAAACAGTTTGAGTATCCAGAAGCAACATAATCGAACATTGAATGAAATTGTGAGATAAGTAGTAGACATAACACGACTGTTGGCGTCTGCAGTCAGAGACAGTTCTTTTCCCTTCTTTTCATCTCGTTCACAGTGATCGAACATTATTGTTTTAAGCATTTAAACGACGCACCTATGTGATCATGTTCAGGCGTCATGTTTGCCACATGAGAGTTTTTTCTGCAGATTTTTTTTTGTCTTCTTATCATTCACGATCTTTGTGATTGTTTTTCTTAAAACTTCCTCTTATTGAGCTTTCAAATAAAATTACTAAAACATAAAAATCGTTTACGATGGCACATGCTTCATGTGTATTGATCGTCTGTGCTCAGCACAGCGCCAATTTGTTCCATGAACAAGTATTGATCGCAAAATAAAGCAAAACGAGAGATTAAAAAAGTCACAAGAGGTAGAAAAAACTTTATTGGCATTACATGACCACAAATTTAATTCAGCATTTAAGAATGTCCACATGCGGTCGACATACAGTTGACTCTGTTTGTTGTTTAATGTTTTAATATTAAATTTGCTTTTCATTATTGCCAAGAATGTTTGACGATTTGTTTAGATTTAAAAGATGTTTTCATTTGAAATTTCTATTGATTTGCCAGCTCATGTTACTCAATAATATTGAGATCGGAAGATCATCATTGCAAAAGAATTTAAATCATTCTTATGATATTTAATACGAGTTGAAATATTTATCTGCTTCTTGTGTATGAAATTCTTTTCTGAATTTAATAACATTCACTTGGAAATATTTCTTATCTCAATTGAAAGTATCATTTGTTTTACCAATAATAATTTATGATCTTTTCTGATGTTATTTCCAGTGGCGGAAATGGAATTAAAAAATAATCATCACAATGTTATTTTCAAAGTGTTAAAAGTTTTATGTATGACAATTATTGAATGTTCTTTGTAATCGCCGCCACTGCAAAATTGATTCATCCAAGAAATAAATATTTCTTCAACTTTTAAACAACGATATCTGCTGAACGAACCGATTATTCTTCAATCGCTGTTGTGAGATATATTGTCAATGTTTTCACATTCTTTTTCTTTCAGAGATACATTTCCTTCGACGCGTTTTTATTAAAGTATTACATCAATAATTGCGGGTGGTCTCATAAATTTAATGTCTCGTTTCGTAGGGGGAAAAGATACAACAGACCAAGAGCCTATTAAAATCTCATTGAGCGGACATTTGTCCTCTGAATAAGATTTTAGATACTCGCTCATTTCAAAGTGACACAAGAAACACTTCACGACTAGGCAATTTAACACAACAACTAACATGATGGGATTAAAGAATGAAAGATATTAACAAATTAGTCTCTCTCGAGTTTTTTTTTTCAAGTTCATTGATAAACGTAGGAATGAATTTGACTCCCATTTTCTCAATTTCAAACTTAAAGCTTGACTTTCTTGTCTAATCAGAAGCAAATTTCACGACACTACGACATCACATAAACAGAAGAAAAAAAGTTTTTTTTCTGATATTTAAATAAAAAAGACATTTTCACTCCATATAGTTTCAGATTCAATAACACATAAATCTTTCAACTGTCACTTCACTCGAAGCTTTGCCATTCCAGGCAAGTGTCTCGATGTTTAAACAGTAGAAAATTGTTTTCCTTATTTTGTCAAATTCAATTGACTTCGAAGTTCTCTTATCTTAATTAGCAGTCATTGATTTTATTTCTCTATCTCTAATTCATATTGTACTCGGAGGGGGTTTAATTGAATTGAATTCTTGCGACATTTAAGAATAAAATTCAATTATCTGGGAACATTATCAGAGTTTCCTGATAGATTTACTTTTACAGACTCTGAATAAATGAAATATTGGGGGAAATAAATGAAAACTAATTCTTTTCTCCTTCAGGGCTCTCAAGAATCTAAAACACTTTTAGCTACTCGACATTTAATTCTCTACTCCGATTTCCAAAGAAATCAGTGCTTCAATATTTTTAGAAGGAAAAACAAAAATCACATCGCTAAAAAGCAATAAAAATTCAATAACCATAAAAAGATTGTGAGAATAAAATTGATAAGAACGAGTCGAGCACCGAATCGACACCAAAGCGATTTATTCCAATAAAAACATCATTTATTGTCGATGCCGATACTTTATATCGTTTTAATGGGAAAAATTTATCTTTTCCTCTCTTTTCTCGCGAGTTCTTTAGAAGAGTTTTAATTTATTTTCGAAAAGTGATTTATAGAAATCTTAAAAGACCATCGAACGACACAAACAGTCGGAAAAGATAAATAAATAAATAAAAGCCAGACGAAATTATGTATATCGCTTATTTTGCATAATCAAACGAACAATAAATTACATTCTGTGACTTTTTTTTGTGGAAAGCAATTAGAATTCAATTTTAGGATGGGCTTCTACACGGAAACTATGAAAGACCACCACAAAGTCACTTGACGCTTTCTGTCATCGATTAGTCAACTTCAAACGAACCATCCGTCACTTTTATTGCTTCGAAGACTAAAGATCTGAAGAAAGTTGTTAAGTTTTGTTTAATTTTTGTACGAATTTTAATGAATGAAATGAAGACTCAAACGATCAACCGAATTTAGCAAACTTTGTGGGAGTTTGTAAACATTAAAAATTCGATTGATTCATCTTTCCATTGATCTTTAATGTCTACAAATTTTACGTTAAAAATAGATACAAACGAGTAGGATGATATTTAGTGATTTTCTTTGAAATATTCTACAAAACTCATTGATTTATTTTAATGCGTCGTTTTTCATTCGAAATCGTTTGTCGATTGATTCACATGTCGAGCTATTGTAACGACGCTTGTCAAACGAATCTTTAAATAGCTATAAATGCTTCAAGAATGAATTATTAGCTTCTTGATTGCTTTTGGTCATTTTATTATCCCCTCCCCCGCATTCAGAGACTTGTTGGGTTGATATTATATTGGAAATTAATTATCTATTAAGTTGAAAGTTATTTATTCGTCTTTAAACGTTGATTTTAACTCTTTAAATAGACAACATTGATGGACATCTTGCGGCTTCTCCCATACATAAGTCCCGCAAAGCTATTTGAATTGCAAAGCCTCCATCGATCATCAAAGTTCAGCAGCAATATTTTATTACTAGTAACTTGTAAGAAATTAGCTAATTTAACAACGTGAAAGGTTCAACCAAAAGTAGTCGAAGATAATCTTAAGAAATTCTTCGAAGTTTATTGATAAATTACTCAAATAAATCAAAGTTGTATACAAACAACCAAAAACAGATCAAGACTAAAACGGAATAGAGAAAGGAATCTTTTGAAGTGGAAGACTAACAACAAAAGAGCACACAACAATGGACAAGAGAAGTCTCCAAAACATCGTTTAAAAAATGAAAAGAAGAAGAAAAAGTTTTTTTCTCTTACAAATCGGACACCTACGTTTTATTGTTTTGATCATTTTCCAACCTAATTTAACAAATTGGTAAATAATAAACCCCTGGAAACATGGTAAGCGATGATCTACAAATGACTCCAACCAGTTTCGAGTGTTCGTACAAATTTAACACACAATATCTAAGTTGAGCATGAAAACAAATTTCATACTGACAACCAACATAAGCATAAGGAAAGGAATGAAGCAACCACTGCCATTGATATATTGATGGTAATTAGTTTCGGTAAAGGTTCAAAAAGATCTCTCGAAGCTCAATTTATAAAAATTATTTTCAATACATCTTCTCGTTCATATTTATTTGCAGTTTTGTTCATTCAATGTTGGATTACGGTTAGTGTCTGTCAATAAGGTTGAATGGAAACATTGTGTGGTGAACCACCAGCCCGGATGGATTCGAATTTCCATTCCCAAGCGTTGATTCTGATTTATAAAATGAATCGATATCGTTCGGTGGAATTGTGAAAGCAGCAAGCGATTTTTGTAATAAATGTGATCGCATTAATTATCAAATGGATGTTTAATATGCATTATTCTTATTTATCACCTCTTTGTTGGTTGCTATTGCAAAAAGAAAGATCAATAAGCATAATTTGCGGGATCAGTCATTGAGCTAAGCGATTTTCTTACTATGAAATCATATCAACGACGACCACTTACAAAACCCAACTGAATAATCTGTAATTGATGATTTCGTTTGATTAAATATTGTATATGATTTTCGAAATTCAATATGCGGATTTCGTTCGATATCAAAATTGAATAATCGTTTGCCTTTCAATTTACAATTTTCTTTGGTTCTCTCTGTCATGTCTTGGCTTTGTTAATGCTATAGAAATCAAGGAAGAAGAAATTGTATTGAAATTCTTTTGAAGCGATAAATGAGGCATCATTTTTTCTCCCCATTCTCGTCGATGGTGATTTGATACCTTGCATTGTTTCTCAAAATTCCACATTATTGATTAAGTCACATTTTACGCCAGAAGAAAGATAAAATATATTGCGAAACGAATAAGCGATTGAAAGCAAATAGTACGATAAATAAAACATTGGAAATTCCGTGGACATGAAGAACTTTAAATTTTCAATCGAACGACCTTCAGTGACAAAAAGTTATTTCACCCAATAATTGATGAAGATTCTTAAAACAACAAAGTTTTATTTCCCACGACAATTCTTTCGCACGATTATTGAACAATTTCTTATTGTCGCATTTTTTGTTATTGAAAATTACAAAAATCAATGATTGATTAAAAGAAAATAACTTCAAGCAATCTTAAAGACTTCGAAAAATTCAATAAGATCATTAAATTCAACTTATCTGGATGTGGAGATCTCATAAATTTAAGCAAACTGCGTCTCAACTTCGACTGGAAATCCATAAAAATAAAAAGGATCTTTCTTTTAAGAGAAAACACTTCTTCCACATCCCTTTCACTCGAAATGAAGCAATAAATTTCAAAGATTTTAATTGCTTTCTCCTCATGAATGATTTCAATTTTCTCTTTAATTTCAGCTACTTCATGTCCTGCATAAATTTATTTATCTATAGCATCTTGTATCCCTTTTCTTTCATTGAATTCAATAGTATTTGGTAGACATATGATAGCATAAATATCTTAAAGTTATAGATTCTGACATGATTGTCCAACAATTGTTTGTGAAGCGTTCAAATGATGAGTTCATGAAGTCGCTTTTAATAACATTTTGACTGTCTAAGTCTGATTTTATTCATTGGCTTTCCTCCAGTTCAAGCGCTAATTGTTTATGTTTTTTGTGTTAAAAAGATTTCCAAATATTGTTTCTTCGTTTCTCCTTCGACCCTCTTCGTCTGTTTCTTATTTTCCGTTCTATAAGAAATCGACTTCAATTCTTTTCCTTTTCTATATTGCTTTTGTTTATCAAGAACATTCATCTTTGTTTTACAACTTGGAGAAGTAAACACCAGATTATTGTTTTGATAAAAAAAATCTTTCTGTTCAATTGTCTCGCATTTCACAATGCTTTTCTTGCCTCCCGATTTAATTTGTTTGGTGTTTAGAAGAATCGAGATGAGAAAGAAAAAAATTGTTTGTTTCCTATCGTGTTGTATTGACAAAACGCCTCCGCTTATTGAATTTCAATCTCGACTCTTTAAACTGTGTTTTATATTTTCTTTTGATTCGATAAGCAATTAAAGTCGTTCGGCTGTTAAAACATCATTTATAACATTCCTCGTGGACCTCCATAAAGTGTTTCAGTAGAAGACAATCGAGTGTTAGTTTATCAATAGCGTTTGAGAAAAGAAATAACACAAAAGGCAATAAACATTTGTCATCGTTGAAATGAAATTTCTTTCACGTTCTGAAGTTTCGTGGAGAAAAGAAGATTTGAGTTTCGTTGTCATAGAAATATAATCGATGTTGAAGAGAAGTTATTTTGGAAGTGTGTTAATTTATCGCTTAATTATGAATTCATCATACACATGCAAGCTTCAAATTGTCTTTTTTTTTATTAGCTTTGACCTCTGAATCAACTGTAGAGAAAGCTGCTGCTTGTTTCCGTCGAGGAATATTAAACATCTTTTATTTATAGCTGTCATGTTGGAGAAAAACCAACAGGAGAAACACATCAATAAATTAATTTTTTTATCTTTCAAAAATTGAGATTGCCATTAATCGATGACTTCATGCTGATACAAATTGAATGACCGAGCAAACTTGTTCTCTTACTACGGTAAATATTCTTCAACCATCGAACGAAATAAAAACCTGTAAAGCAATAAAAAGATTATCGATTTAATATCATGAAAAAAGATTTTGTTGGTTATTCAAATTGGCTTTGATTGATCGTGCAGCATTAATTTAATTGGTTGTGATCGATAATTAAGATAGGAAAATGATTAGTATGGAATTTCAGAAGCAGTGACAGTAATATTCACTTTTTACACGCTATGTCTAGCTCAAGTGCCTTTCGAAACCAAAATATTTTTAATGGAAAATTCCTGGAACGATTTCAAACATAAAATTGATTTTAAGAAAAAGATTCTTAGAGAATTTTAGGGAAATAGTCGTAAAGTTTTATTGCTTTAAGAAGCTAGAATTTCGTTCATTATTTTTTATTACAATTTTCAGGATCAATATCGAGTCGTCTCTAAATTTAATAAGAATTTCTTTAGTCGCTTTGTAATTAATGTGTGGTCTATAAAATTCACATAATTCCGCGACCCAACTCTTCACATCTAATTCATCATAAGTATATCGTGAACGATTCTCTGAAGCATTCGCGGCGCGCGGCAGCAGAAATATTTATGTCAAACGTTCATCAATCACTGTGTATCTGTCATTATTTTTATTACCGATTTAACTAGCAGCAAGGCAAAGAAGCCAAGTGGTAAAGCAACATGTCAGTAGAACGAGATGAGAATTATTTCCTTCTATCATCATAGAACAAAAAGAAATTTTATGTTTCGGCTCATAAAATATATATTTCATAAATAAAAAAAAAACAGTTTTCGTTTTTCGGTAGGAAGCATAGTAGGCGGTCGTCGAATCGCTTACTGTTTGACTTGGCGGGCAATTGGTTTCTATTTTAAGAATTTATCACTTGGAAAACAATTTTTACTGAGAAGTAGGTGATAATTGAGTAAGTTGTCATAATTAATGCTTTATTAGTGCTGTTAGCTAAGTGCGCAATAATTAAAGGAAAATATGAAAGGAGGCTAGAACACTTGATGTAAAAATCAACTCTAAAAATCTCAAGATTTTATTACATGCATAAATATGAGTGTTTATACTTCATATGAAATTCTTGTCGCCAAAAATAAACATAAAAACATTATCTACATAAATTTTTATGTTGAAACATGAAGCATAAAACTCCATAAATTCAACTTCCATGTTGCAAATCATCGCAAAATTTTCCTCGACAAACAAGAATCATATTTACACGAATTCATAAAAACGAAAGAGAAAATTGTTGCATTTCTACTTCATTTCATAACAAAAGACAAACTAAATTGATTAATTGAAGTATCATGGAGACATGCTTCAGATTACAGATAACAAAATTAAAAATTTCTCCTGAAATGTAAAGAATTATTAGTATAAAAATTCAATTTATTGCACAAATGAAGAAGCTTCTTTCTTTTCAACTTCTTATCCGTTCATCAACTCGCTATGTTTTACGACTGCTCTTCTGTCTGATGTTTCTCAATTTTTTTTCCTTTGTGCTTAATGTGTATGCAAACACAAAAAGGTTTTTAGTTCATTATTTATGCCGCGGCATAAGTTTCAGAAATTCAACATTTTATGTATTAAACCTTTTCACAAAATTAACCTATTGAACTTAAACGTTTATTACTTCTGTTGAATTGTAATCACTGTAAATTATCATTTAGAGTATGAAGAATTGCGAAAAGATTGGATTCTGAAAAGATTGTTGGAATTCTGATAAATACAAAAAAGAAACCAATTGAATTTTAATTTCAGATCTAGACAGTCGGAAAGTTAATGCGACTAATAACTAAATAAATATTACTTTTATATTTATAATCGAATAAAGAAAAGGAATTCAAGACTTCTCATAAAAAAGAACATCAATGCATGCCTCAAAGACATCATTAAAGGCACCTGCCATCGTATCTAAAGCTAGCAGCAGGTTCAAGGACCTTTTCTACTATAATTGAAGAAAAGAAGGCTTCATGTAACTATTTTCGAAATGCCCCCAAAATAATAAAGAGAAGATGTTAGTTGAGTAATTATTCACTCATAAATCTTTCTTTGAAATCTCCATCTCCGAAGAGAAAGACATCTCAATTAGATAATGACTATTTCACTATTTCATCATTTTTTCACAATAGCGCCCAGAAATTGAAATACATTTTCTCTCTTCGGCTTTTTATTTTTCTTCCTGTTCGACACAATTCCAAAAAGATGAAAAATACTCAAACTACAAAACGATCTTTTCTCGCTCGATTTCGGTTCGTTTAAGTGAACGGTAATGATGAAAAATAAAGAAGAACAAAATATTGTTTAAGCGTCAACTTTTCTCTTTGTTATGTTGAAGACTCGAAGATAGATTTCTTTTGCTCAATGGACATTATTGATTAATGATATCTGTCAGTCTCAAATCTATCATTTCTATTCAATACATTTTCTCATCACTCGCATCGCCTTCGTTCGATGAATAATGAATTCATATACGTTTCGGCTTCAGTGTCTCGTCGAAGAATAATTTTCGACTTTTGTGTCTTCACCTTGACAGGTGCCGACGTCTTTATTAGTCTTCAATTGAAATTAATGCACTTTTATTGTCATTTCTTTATGTGTGTATTAAATTATTGAAATGCTTTTATTTTATACAAATATGGTGAAATTCTTCTTTGCTACATTAAATAAAATAAAGTTAAGCTTTATTCAAGTTTGGAGAGTTTCTGGGTGACAAAATTATAAGATTTTTGGATCAGTGTCGGTGAGTTTAACAATTTTTATAGACACATCCCATAAACGTTTATGATCTTCTGAAATCGTAACGTAAGGTTGAAGTTCACATTCTTTGCAATCGGAGAAATATTTTCCAGTCACACCATTAAGTTCTTCAGAACAAGCAAGCATTATTGTTGTTTGTGCACCTTCCACAACTGTCTTAAAGAAGCAATAGTTTAAGAAAGTGAGTCCGATGGTCATTGGAAATGGAACATTTCTCCAAATTCCTGAATATATCACACCGGGATGAAGAGAATTGACAGTGATGCCAGTTCCTTGTAAACGTTTTGCCAATTCTATTGCGAACATGATATTTGCGATCTTTGATACGTAATATAAATAAACTGGTTGGCCATCTAATTCATTCAAATATTTCTTCAGATTAAATCTAGCTAACCAATACCATCCTGATGACACAATCACTATGCGACATGGTGTTGACTTCTTCAAGAGACCAATCAGCAAATGTGTCAATAAAAACGGTCCGTAATGATTTGTTGCCATGGTAAGTTCGATACCATCCACGGACTTTTCTTTGTTGAATGGGTTCCCATAACCCGCGTTATGAATCAACACGTCAATTCTTTTCTCTATCATGAGAATCTCATCAGCAAAATCTCGAACTGATTTCTGTGAACTTAAATCAAGTTTTTTGACTAAGATGTTTTCATTTCCTGTTTGTTTGATGATTTCGTCTGGAAATAAAGTAGAAATTTATTAATTTTTCAGGATTTATGATCTTTTCAAATCATGTTTGTTGTTATGTTCATAGTGAAAGGCTTCAGAAGGATGAAACTTACCACGAGCTTCATATGCAGTATCCATAGTTCTACATGCCATGATGACACGAGCACCACGTTTTGCTAAATCTCTTGCAGTTTCTTTACCGATTCCACTATTTGCTCCAGTGATTAAAACTGTTTTCCCGTCCATTCGAACCTGAATGAAAATTAAAATTAAGTCAATGAAGCTAAAACTAAAATTTGCAGCCTACACTCGATGTGAACATTCCACATGTTGCTTTCACCCATAAACAAAGCACGAAAATTATTACAGCAACTCCAAAGGCTAAAGTAAAACATATGGAGAAGGTTGTTGTGTTTGGAATCTCATACCAAGCCATTCCCTTAAAAAACTCTTTAAAAATATTTAACAAATTAGTAAAAGGATAACAAAATGTTGAAACAATGAATGAAATGATGAACATAAAACAAGACAAGTCGATGAAAACACGTCTAAATGGTTCCAAAGTATGGATCAAACTGATGCAAAATAGTAAAAACTCTAACAATTAACATTAAACGAGTAAAGACGTGAATAATTTTATTCCTTTTACACTTAATTTAGTTGCTTAATTTAGCTATTTCGACAGCAAAGCTGTCATCCTCAGAAAAATTATGTCTATACTGTAAACCCTAAATTTGGCCCCATGGGAATCAGCTAAGCTATTGTTTTAAGTTACATCGTATCTTAGCTGATTTCTTCAAGAAGAGAAGTTTGTTAAAACAACTTCGATATCACAAAAATTGAAATTGACATGCAAGTGAGAATAAGTCTCAGTTAGGCTTTCCATAATCGAAGTTAAATTGTCGTTTATGCAATGACTTTAATGTTTAATGTTATTTGACGAAGTCACAAAATCGATTTTTTTAAATCGCGGTTTACGCTACAATCGTTATTGTCTCCATAGGTTTTTAAAGAGAACCACAGTTTCAAATTAGTTTTCTCATTTTTCGGTGCGTTTGGTGCCTTTTTTATTGCCACAACAAATCGCCATACACACATAGAGTTTAACGATCTGTTCAATAAAGATAAAAATTGATTAATGCGGTCGAGTTCTTTGTAGTTTTGCGCCGCCAAGACACGAATGTGAAAGACGATTTGCTTCTGTATTTAGCAATAAAAGAAAAGGATGAACGGAAAAAATATTCGTCGAATAACCAAGCAATTTGTTGAACGTAAATACATCATTTTATGCTTTTGCGGGTAAACAAAGAGAAATAAAAATTAAAAACAATAAAATTATCTTTTAAATTATTTGCCATTGCCGGCTCTGATGGAAACTTAAAGACTTAAGTATTGAGTGCGATATTTAAATCAAAGATCTTCTTGTGCAGCTTGAGTTTTACAATGTGTTCCATAATCTTTCAATTTCAGGTAATTGAAAAACACTGCAGGTTCATGAACTTGAATATGAGATGATAAATATATAAGATCGCCAACTACAAAGCAATAATAAAGTTATTATTTACATTATAAAAATAACCCAAATGATTCAATATTAGTATGGATCAAAAAAGAACAATTTGGTGATTTTGGGTGGTCGTGAATAAATATGAAATTATTGCCTTTTGGCTTCTTCAATTGACCAAACAGTGGCGAATTTGTACACGTAATGAAGAATTGCATAAACTTTTTGATGAGATATCATAATTTCATCAGATATTCCTTTTGATGTTGCGTCTTTAAAGAACTTTACTGCTTTCATATAAATTCGATATTTTATGATAGTCTATAAAAGCCGAGTGACATAATTGCATGCATTAAAGCGCAGTATGATTATCGCTAATCACTCAATAACTCCCTCAATTTATGTGCTGATAGATCTTCATATGGCGTTAATCACATTTATACGATCGTTCGATGTATTTGATGATTTTGTTTTTTCCATTTTGATTTCTTGTCGAAATGAAGTCATAAAAACTTTTGTCGTTTAAAACCAGCATGAGAATCAATGAGATATTTGCTTAATGACGCGATTCGTTTCATGCCATTTTCGCAATCATTAAAAATTCAACCGGAGAAAGAAAAGACGTTTCGATTCTTGAAGCAATTCGAGCGTGAAACGAATAAAACTATAATCATACTATGAGAGTTGTATTTGAAGCTATCAATCAACTTTTATATTCCCTATGCATGTTAAGTTCATAGCAAGGTGCAAAGTTATCCTTACATGTAATCAACTTTTAGTTTTTAACTTAACGAACTTTCCTTCAATTGATATCATCGAAATTTGAAGAAACTTCATTGGGAGATCTTTATCAATGAATTAATTTATTGTTTGGTTTAGTTGTTCTCTTTTATGTTTATGAAAAAAAAAAGCCATTAAGAAAGTTTTATAAATATTCATCGATGTGTTCATGCGTTTGATTAAATTTACATATTACCGGTTTGGTTATAGGAAAACCTTTCATAACATTAAAGTGCATACGGTTATGTTGTAATGATCTTAATTGACCTTATAACGGTTCTCTTAAATAAATTTCAAACATGCGAAAAGATATTTTTGATGAACTTTCTTTCCATAAATTCTAACATCGACTTTCGATAAAGTTTTCTTAATTTTAAAATTGTGTAAAACAAAAACAGTGAAATATTGAAAAATGATTATTGACTTGAGTCGACAACTGGCATTGCCGCACGAAAACAACATTTTACGACAAAGAAAAATCGCTCGACAGTCACATTAACCAAAGTGTCTTATACACCACTCAAAGCCTGAGAAAACGCTTTAAAACAAAGATAATTTTATTTATTGATGTGATTGAATGACTTATAGAGAACATGTATTGATTTATTTGTATTGTAGTCGAGTGTTGCATGAGACAATTGTTGGAGATGGAATGAAAGGTGTGGCGGCAGCAAACGCATGTATAAAGTGAGACAATCCAACACGTTACCGATGGATTCTTCCCTTTTGTAAATTACTAATTTCTTATCTCGTAAGCGAACATCGAACCAATAAATTAACTGATGGGATTTTTTCCTCGTGCTTTAACGCTCGTTTTCACGGTGGTAAGAAGCGAAGTCAGTTGTTGATTTCTGTTTGTTGAAATGCCATTGGATGTCCATAAATTCGTATTGAATTTCTTTGGTTTATTTGAGAAAAAAAAAAGAAAGAAAGAGACAATTTTTGAACGACATAAATCTTGAGGTGTTAATATATAAATAATTTAAGGTTCACACAGTTCTACGAAACGTGGTGACTTTAATTCTCAGGTTCAACATTAATCCTTATCACGATCACGACTAAATAACGTTTTGTGTGTTCTTAAACATCATCAGCATTTTTAATTGCCTCAAAAATTTCATGTAAAAATTTAATGAACGAGTAGATATGATTCCAACATTATTGCAAATGAAATAAAAGTGCACTCGATGAGCGAACGACAAAGTCAACTCCAAATAAAATTAATGATTTATTTATAACTTCTTTGTGATTTATGATTCCTTGCTGGTAAGCAGAAAAAGAATGTTTCGAAGAGATTCGCTGAGCAACGAGAAAAGATTTTATTACTGATGCACTTAAAAATTTGATATTTCGAAGCAGATGAAACACGCTAACCTGATTAGCATCGTTCGTATACACTCAATAAAAAAACTTTACTTTGAAGACGTCTCTCTAATGAATATTGCAGATTTATTCGGGAACATTTTAATTGCATTTCGAGTTTTCATCGCTGGTTGACGAAAGAAAAATAAGTTTTCTTATATTTAGATTAGAATTCCTCCTTGAATTATAGATTGGGATGTGAAACATTCCGAGAAAGAACCTAATTATAATTGTCATAAAAAAGTTTACGCGAGTTTTAGATTTTTTATAACCGTTCTGAAAGCTTTAAATCGCATTTTTCTTTGCTTGTTTACTAGTCAAAGATATTAAAATAAAAGACTCGTACAATTCCAAACACCACATATGTACATACGACAACTTGTGTCATTAGCCAATAAATAATTTTTAATTGACTTGTTGTTTGTAAACTTGGGATGAAAATATTAAAAAGAAATGTTGTAAATCGTTGTAAAACTTTTCGTATTCTTTAATTTGAAATTTTTAAAACCCACATGGTTACCAAGCTGAGTCAATAAGAAAAGAAAAATCTTTTCAAAACCTAAAATCTTCTTCTAAGCTGACTCATCTCAAAATAAATTTGTTTTCTTGAACTTATAATCTAACCTGCACCATATCGTGAGTTTTATTATAAAATTTCACTGATTTCAATCTTATGATTGTTCAACGATTTTTTTATGCAAAGCCATAGAAAAAAAATTAAAAGATTAAATTTATTTGTACATTGGACGAATTCAAATTATATGAAAATGAGAGGTAAACAAATTTTACGAAGCGTCACATAATGAGTCATTTACGATTTGAAATAGTTTCAGTATGTAAATTTCGAGGAAGAAAAACGTGTAAACTTTTGTTTTAATTAAGCTTCTTGCAAGGAAGCTATCAGATTTTTGATGTTTTTCATATTCACATCTCTTTTTTGTTTTATTTTTTGGGTCACTTATGACAAATGTGATTTCTAGGGTTTGCGCATCGCGTTTCGTTTTATTTACTTAATAATGTCCTCCATAAACTTTAAAGTACATTAACTCACCTCGAATCTTAATGCGTACCTCGTTGTGCCATCAATTACAGTTTTCTCTTTTTCTTCCCATCACACGTCCCGCAATCAACGTACAAAATGAATAGAAGAGCCACTTCTAACAGCCACAAAAATCAATCCTCGTCGTCTTTTCACATCAAATTGATTCTTTTTGATTTTTTTATTTGATGAAAGTGGACTCGAAGTCAAACGGTAGAACGGTTTACAATTTACCAATTACAAGTTCAATAGCACTTACTTTCAACTTCAATGGAGCGACTGTTAGTTTGGACTTTTCACTAACCGATCATCAATTAGATCCAAAGCAGAGAAGTGAAACGTGTGTTTGCCTCATAATGAGTAGCAACAAAGAAAATACGAAAATAACGCTTTGAATAAATTGTTTATTTCGATGATAACAATCAAAGAAACGATATTCAAGATTTTTTCTCTTCTCTTCTTGTGCCACACATCAGCTTGAAGATTTCTACAAAAGTTTCTTTCAATAATCAAAAATTGATGGTTAGAAATGTTTAAAGCCTAAATGCTTGTAAGCAGAGATACTTTAAAGTCTAACTTTTCTACAAACTGGTTGATTAACCGAACAGTAGTAAAGCAAATCGAATAAGTCATAATCATATTAAATGACACAACAAAAAACAAAATATTAACAAACGAAACTTAACGTTTTCAATTTCTTTTCTCCTTCATTTCTCTACCAATCACACTCAATAAGTCTTCAAGTGATTTTGTCTGGCGACATTTCCCAGCTACTCGTTTTGCTTTTGACTCTAAAAATACCACTCATGATAGATTTTTTCGCTCCGATATGAAGATTTGAATAATCGCTTAGATTAATTTGAATTACCATCGGCATCTCGAAGAAAGCAATTTCTTCCCTCCAGCGTCGATTATTCTGAGAAGACAAATATAAAAGAAATGTTTTTGTTGTTGATTTGATTGAACAAAACAAAGCACACGAGTGATCAATTTAATAAATGAACGTTAGTGGACGATTAAGTTTTAACAACATTTCACGTGCCTCTTTATGTAAAACACTTGAACTTTTGAGATTCTCTTTAAAAATAAGAAGAGGTTGAGAAGATTAAAAAAATTATTACGAAGTGAGTAGCGAAAATAGCGGCAAATTTGGTTTTCAATCAAATATAAATAACTTCAATTCTAATGGCTCCTTCAATGCTCATTACCAGTAAAAATTTTTGATAAATTTTTAAACTTTCATATCGTCGGCATTTGAATTTTTGATCCTACCGACTAGGCAATAAATTTCATCGCGCACTCTATCAAATCCTCAAATCAATCAAAATTAAACACCGAACATCAGACGTCGATCTTCACCACGCCTTTTGTTTCATATGATCTTATGTTGGATGTATTTAAGTAAGCAAACTATCACAGGAAAGAAAAGTAATCATCAAGAAACGAAGAAAGAGAGAGAAAATATATTGAACTGATGCTTTTCAGAGCATTTAATGATTATTTTCCATTGCGCATATTTTTTTTCTTCTTTATACTATCGTCTGATAAAAACTTGGAGCCTCCAATCAACTCATACTGATGCAATGTGTCAGATTGTTGCCGTTTAATGAAACCTTCACGATTCCATCACACAACTTGTGTAAGATGTGAAATGAAAGAATCATTCAAAAAAAGACGGACTAAAGGAAGATTTTTTTTTTGAAAAAAGGCATTCAAAGGCAAGCAATAACAAATAATTATTGCTACATTTATAATATTCTGAATTTGACTGATTGGTCTGGGGAAAGAGCGAGAGATGGAGAACCGTTGATGTCTTTTTAATTAATGCTTTTCAATGGGTTCTTCAAGGCAATCATTTATAGATTCTCTTCGATTTCGCTTAAGACTCTTAACGTATCCGTCATGTTTATGCGGTTAAACGTGTCTTTGTTGGTAATGGAATATGAAACGAAGCTCTTTGTTACCTTTAAATTTTCAAATTAAAAGAAAATCATTTCTTCCGCTGACGTCTACATCCAACATTTAGTGATCTATATGATGAACAAATGTCGAAGAATCTAATTTGTTAGGTTTCCCATTCATAAGAAATTCATTTTTCATGATAATATGTTTCTCATTTATTTTTTTGTAATTTACAAAAAGATTCTTTTGAAGCGCGTTTTGATCTGACAGTCTTCGGTCAATATTTGACTTTGAGCAATTGGTGGTTCAGCCGACACATAGTTCATTTCCTTTATCATTTATCGGTATCAGTAAACGTTTTCCTTCGTGTTATTTTATCTTAGTAAACATCGTAAACACATCCTAATCATACAAGGATGTTTTACAACATAACAATGGGAATCTTTGACTGCAGGTGATCTCATAAGAAGAGAAACACCGTCAACTAACCTCATGATCTCGAACTGTTTCTTTTGATTTAAGTTTTTAAATGAATGAAACCGTAAATCTGTCACAGGAAGTAACAAGAGATATTTCGCTTAAACAAACATTCAAATCCTAAATGATCAAGTGATAACATTGTTTTCATCACTGAAAGATGAAGTGAAATAAAATTTGTTGACGCACTCGTGTTCCCAAAAGATATCTGAAAGTTAACTCTCGTTAATTATGACAACTAGAAATGATAACTAACTAACTGGCTACAATGACTTTCACAAAAGAAAGATGAAATGAAAAAGCAATTAAAGTTTTTAACAAAAATTTTATTTTCTTAATTCATTAGTCAAGTGGCAGGGCGAGAGAATAAAAACAATATTTAAGTTTCGGGTGCTTTGGTCTTGTTACCATTCATGGACTTAAATTACAATTATTGTGTACTGTTACAGATCCATCAGAATTAATTCATCATTTTTCTCGGCTACTCTGTTGTTGCGAAACAAAAGCTTGAACTGCTTGTGCGACTTGATGAGAAGTATGTCCAATTAATATAATAAATACCTCTCACTGGGATTATGCCGCTCATAATTGCTATCAGCCTTGTTGATCCACTAAATAAGTATAAGACTAAAATATCTTTAACATTTCAATGGTAAACTTCAATGATATTGTCACAATAGTAAATTACAAAATCACATTCCATCGTAAAAGAATTTCAATGTGACTTCATTGCTGAAGTTTTCCCAATAAAACTCCCCACAGGAAAAAAATTTATAGTTTTAGATTGAATGGAAATTACATATTTTTTTGATTTATTCTTTATTTATTTCCATGGCCCGGGGCAGATATTTGAAAGACAATGGAAATTAACGAAAAAAGAATTAATAAAAAATATTTTTTCTCACCCGCTAAAGAAGCTTTGCCAGCTTAATCTGGTAATTTCTTTTCGTGTTAATTACAATATGAAACGATTCAATTCATAAAGCAAATCTGCCAGGGCTGATTTAATAAATGTGTGATCGTTTGCTGTTGAGGTCTGTCGGAGATTTTAATCGAAGACGAGATTAATGAAGTCACCGCGCAGTTAGTTTCTGTTTTAAATTTTAATTATCAACTCTTGTGGTGATTTTGAAGACGAATTAAAAAGATGATTTGTTTCACGATCCGCCATTGTGATATTTCATCGTTATATGAGCTTATGATGTGACCATTGGAGTGCAGCGTTAGAAACAATGAGACGCAAACAATGGGCGAAAATGCGTAAGATGTTCATTTTATTAAACCGCGTTCGCGATCATTCCCAGCGGATATGAAACGGTAAAATGAAAATTGTAAGATTGCGCCGAAGTAAATATGAAATCTTAGACGCGATATCTGATCATCAGAAATAAAAGAAAGAAGAGCAACTTGCTTTTCGAGTATTTAGTAAAAGCAATTGAATTAATTCAAGTGAAGATTTAACCATGGGTAATTTTCCCTCATTCCATCAACAATCACGGCGATCTTAAATAAATTAGCGATCTCTTGTTTGATGATAGTTTTTAAAAACAACTTTGAAATCTTGACTATAGCGCATTGTCAAGTGGGAGGGTCGGGAGATTATGCAAGCATCACTTTAATGATCTTTTACGAGGAAACTTATGAAAAGTAGATATCATTCTTTTTCACTGTGTCAAAACAACCATGAAGATCTCACAAGTTCAGAAATCATTTCGGTAGATTTTATTTTATGCTTTATTTCCAACGACTTCTCTTCCGCTGACGAACAATTAAACAAAGAAGTAAACGCCTCGAAACTAAAAACTAATATTTTTGATGTTAATGACTAATTTCCATAATTTATTTTTGTGCTTAATCTACACGATGATAAAGTAGAATCCATTCTAATAAATAATTTCTCAATGGAGATGAGTGGGGGAAGATAACAATTGAATCAGATTTCTAGCCTAGCCTTCGTTTTTATTTTTATGTGTAGATATCTATGTGGTCGTGAGAGCTAAAAATAATTAAAAAAAAACTGTGAAAATTAGTCAATTAAGATTCAGTTTTTTTTGTTGTTAGATTTCTGGTGGATTAAACATGGGACTCAAGAATCATTCTGACATATTTAATGATAAATTTTAAAACTTGGAATCTAATTAGATTTGTCTTACATTATTTATTGACTAGCATTTGGTCATTTTTCCCGTATAAATTTTAATTTTTTTAGAAGAAAAAGAGAAAATGAAGATGATGTTATTCGGATTTAAAACTTCATTTTTTTGTTTCATTGTTTTCAAAACGAACATCATTTCACTTCGATGTCGAGAGTACTCACTTAACTTGCCCAATCACCATCCATTACGATTATAAAGTTTAATTCAAATCTATTGTTTTCTGTACATCTCCATAGCATTCATGATTCATCAGCGAGAGAGCAAACACAAAGAGTGTGTGGAGTTTTTATTTTCTCTGTCTTACACTTACTGCTTGTGTCGTCATGGCTCGCCAACTTCCAATTCATTTTCGATTTATTTTCGAGAGGAAAAGCGGCAGAAAACGCGAGCGGTGATAGGTCTCGCCAGAGTAAAATTAATTAAATTGTTTGAGTTCATAGATTGTAATTCGTTTGGCTTCAAATTTAATGCAAATTCAAATCAAAGTTAACATTTAACCATGCTCAACAAGACTTTGTAAAGAGGCAGCTATAAATAAAGTAGATTAAGAGAATAATGCCATTTGATCATTAAAAACACAAAATGAATAATAATGAATCGTGCAAAACAATGAGAAATTTTAACAAATTTCTTCTACATAAAACTTTTTTTTTAGACTTTAAGTTTAACGAGATCTCAATAACATATTAGCTGATGATGAGAACTAGAAGCAAGCTGCGTATGATATTAAAACTTCATTAATATGTTGATGAAGAATAAATAGTCAATTCTTTTCCTTGTATTTATATTATTTATACGTCATTTCATGGACACAAAGGAATGGTTAATTCAATAGAATCAACTAAATAAGTAGAATCTTAAATACCTTTAACGAGCTTCCTTCTCGAATATCTTTGTTAAAAATTGAAATTAACATTTCTTAAGTTTTTGAACTTTGAAGAAATAAATTTTCATAAAACATTCATCATCGTGTTGCTTTCTGTAGTTTAGTCTGTAAAAAAATGAAATATTTTGAAGGAATTGTTCATTTGTCGCTTCCTCCCGGCTTGAATCATTAAATTGACACAAATCCAAATGCATGTGCACAACACGAGAAGAATTTTTCTTGCAAGGTGGAAATAATAAAACAACGAAGTGTTTTCGCACTGAGACAAAGAACTTGAAGGAACATCCGATAGATTTTATGCAAATCAAATGCAATCGTCTCTCGTCACCAGACACGGCACGAAAAGCCAAGTGAAAAGCAATTGCAAATGAGTGATTCTGAAGAGTGAAGAAAAACGTTGATTAAAATGACAACACAATTAAATCTTAATGGTGAAAATAATTTCAATTGCAAGTGAAGATGACTTCTGCTTGATTTGGAAGGGGAATTTCAATGTGGATTGGAAAAATGAGGTGTTTAAAGCATTCTTTTGTATGCAAATTTAATATTTCTTTCTTTCATACTCAGCTGCAAACTGTAATACGTAAATAAGTGAATAAGTGTTTGAATAAATTGGAATTTGTAGTGTGCTGGTAGATCAACTTAAATATTTAATTCATAAACATTATTAGAATGTCGATGATGTATTTGATGAAAGCAAAAGTTAATTAACTTGTAAAGTTAAATAACTTATTTATGGCAAGGAGAGCACGAGAAGCAAATTCTTCCCAAAATTAATCAAATCAATCAATTTTCGATGGCTAACAAGCTTTATGTAAGGGGAGATAAAACCAGATCAATCATATTGTTAGCACTCCCTGTGAACAAATTGACCAGTAAACATATTTCTTACGTTGCAAAGATTCTTCAATCCAGAACAGTTAACATCAATAAGAGAAATCATTTTGTAACGTCTGGAATTTTTATCTATCTACAGACATTCCTGCTCTTATTAGTTTATTAATTTGTTTTACCAGAAAATAAATCACTCTCCGATATTTTGTCTTATGGCTCGTTCCACTGTGTCGTGACCACGTCGAACGATATAAAGAAATAGAAGAAGATAAATCCAGTAGCACTTTTTGACAGTCGATCATAATCAAAATTATTTTTTAATAAATGATTACTCACCAGACTTTCGGCATGTGCGTTGGGTTAACAGATGAAAATCCTGTTTAAGAATTTGTAAAGCTAAATGAATTATGAATCAGGTATCACACTAGCTTTCGTCGTTCGAATGCAATAAATCAAAGTTACTTCTGACCATCCATTAACTAAGCTTATAAGTGTAAAGAATGAAAGATGAATCGATTTTTTGATTTAATTTGATTTTTCTTTTATACATGTTACGCTGTTACAATTACGAAGCATTCTATCAACTGAGAAATATTTTATTCGGAAATATTCAGGGCATGAAGTTATTAACAGTAAATCTTTATTGATTGTTTTCTAAATACAAAAACTTTTGATATGCTTATTTTCTTTTAACACATTATCATATTTAGTGCTAGTTGAATTGTTAAACGCAAATCACGTAACGCCATCAAAAGTCATGCAATTGCATTGCTAATAAATATTTTACTTTACTTTTCAACAAAGTCCAGATGACGACTCATTCACGCTCAACAGCAGAGATTGAAGACAAGAAGACAAGAACTTTTTATAACGATAGTTAAGTCGTTGATTTTGTTTTACAATCACGTAGCAACATCGGCAATTGTAACTTGTGTTTTTCGAATTTTGTCACTGGTTGAAGAGACCGCAAAAAGCCGATTTGCTTCTCGCTGAATGGAATCGCATTAATATCGAACCTCTGTATTATTATTATTTTATGTTTCACTCAAATCATAAATTACTGTGCGGTGGAGAATCAACGATATTCAAATCACAAGGCTCATCAATAAACCGATCATATACAATCAAAAACATTTGGAATTTCAAACGTTTATAGCTCTTGTATCATTTCTCGTTTAAAATCAATTAATTTATTCCGGGGTGAGCGACAGACTTCGGTGTTTCTTTTGTTGATTGTGACATAGATGGAAGCATAAGAATTTTTCAAGGTTGCGATACCGTCACCGAAAATAAATCTCCCTTAAACAAGAAGTCTCAAACAAAAGCAACAAAAAAAGTTGTCGAATGACGTGCGATGAGAGGGAAAAAATATCAAACAATTCTAAATAATCCCTGAAGGTATCTTACTTAGCTTGTCGAAGCCGAATGTCATTCGCGATGTTTCGATTCCACTTCGATCCGTGGGAAACTTGAATCGTCAAAATTTTTGTCACGATTTTGTCATGCAAATTAACCTGACTAATGCTCATCCACAGGGCGCTTGGGGGAATACAACAGTCACATTACTCGTCCCAATCCACGACAGTCAACAAGAAAGAGAACAAATCAATTTATTGTAAAACCAGCAATTTCTCAATTGCTTCGTTCTTAACGTGAAGAAGAAATTATCATTATTAAATAAATACGATTTGAGTAATTTTTAAAATAGGACAATGAAACGTGCTTAGAATCAATTTTGCTAAGGTAAATCACTAGACACTGGCATTTCTAAGCGGCAAACGAGAATAGAACTCAGTCAATTCGATTTGGAGTTGGGATCAAAATAAGTGAACGGTAGAAAAAAGAATTGTTAAGAATTAACTAACTGACAATTTTTGATTGATTCACAATTAAAATCTGAATAACAAATCAAGCGAGAAAGAAATTGTAAACGAATCAAGTTCTTGAAATGGAGACGAAGGCGATCTGCTGAATGATTTGCGGTTTTTCATGTTTTTGGTGGAAGTTTGGCTTCAGGCAAATTGTAAATGAAACAAATAAAAAACAAACCAAGCACAAGATGAACGCGAAAAGAAACCAATAACAGATTACTTCATCCAAATGAAGGGCATCTATAAACATGAAAGAATGATGTATGGTAAGGGCAGATTGACAAGTTGCAATTAAATGCCATTCAAAGATGATGGAACAAGGTTTGAATATCTTCGTTTTATTTCTGCACACAGTAGAACAGGAATCAGTCGAACAAATGAATGAAATTTGATTTCGCTTTAAATCTTTATTTCGTGTTGTATGATGAAGAATTTAAGGCTTAAAATATTTCAGGAATATCTTGGAATCTGGTAAGAAATCTCAGAAAAGATACCCTTGTTGTGTTTATTCACTCACGTTTTAAATGTGTCAGAAAACGGGAATGAAGCAAACCCGAAAAAGAAAGAAGTGAATGAAAGGATTTCATTTATCGCCTTAACCGAGTTTTCTGATTATCCAGTAGACGCAATAATATTGATACGTTAAGTAATGTTTGCAACAAAAAGATTTGTTCTTGATGGAACGCGTTTAATTGCTTCTTTCACCAACATATCAATTATCCCCGATCCTTAATTCCTTCAATTTGAATGCCTTTGATAACAATTTCAAACTATTTGTTGTCTAATTTTTGCGATGAATCAGGTTTTAATTTCCAGAATCACAAATTTTATTTCATTTCTCATTCATGATTGATTGACATTAAGATTATATACAACTTTTATTCTCGAACTTCTAATTTGAATTACTTTTATATCATTTTTTTTACAGAGAGAGGGAACGGCAGAAGACATCAAGTTGGTAGAGAACCCGTGGAATTTTTCTGTGTTTCAATGTACAGCATTTGATGAGTCCCTGCGGGGATATTATATTACATGTCAATAAATGAAATGAAACGTATTTTCTTCATTTGCTTCTCGATGGAAATTAAAATTACCATCTCGTGAAGCGACCAGCGAGCGAGAAAGATGCAAGAGCCGTCACTCATCTCAATATTTATTTGATTAAATTATTTTTTGTGTCTGTTTTGGGGATTAGATTCATTCATCATGGAATTTTCAATTCTATCAATATCAAGCTTGTATTTCAATCGTTAGAAATAATTTGCCAAAACATGATAAATAAAGCTGTCAAATAGCCAAATAAACATCAATCATAACTCACGATTAATTAAAAAAAAAGTTGTTCTCCTTTCATTCTTTCTTTCCTTGAAAATTCATCGAAAATCGATCATATAAACGCAAAAAGTTACAGCACGCCATACGCCCAGATGGAAGCCCAAGCAACATGCAAACCGATTAACAATCAGTCAAAGTAGAAAATATTTGCCTTAGGAATCAATCAAGTCGAAAGAATTTCTCCATTCTAGCGCCTTTGGTCGATTTAATAATACCAAAAAAAATAGTTTCTTGCGCACGCTTCTAAAAATTTTAGACGCTTATCAATCAGATGAATTTTACAGGTGCTTTCTGATTTGAATAAATAAGAAAGATAAAACGAATTTAATGCTTCAAAACATGAGATTTGATGTATCATTGTGACGATGTCAAGCACGATAAACACACGGGAATCGAGAGCAAAGTTAATATGATACAAACTTACATTACATTAATGACAACCAAGAATAAAATCAAATAAAAAGTCCTGTAATCCTGAGATAAAAAGATATTAATTATAAAATAAATCAATATTAATCAACGCTTAAAAAACTTTCATTCATGAAGTAAAATGGGAATAACCTGGAATAAGTATCAGTTTTGTGACGCGTCAGATGGCATTGGGAATGGACATTAATCACATTAAAGTCATGTTCAAATATTTAATTCGTAATTATCATAGAACTTTTTTATTTTTGAAAAAGGAACGCCTGAGTTAATAATTGTTGATTAATAGAAGTGTCTTGACTGACTGCGTGATATAAAGCATTAATTTAACTTTAATAAATAGTCGTCTTTTGTTCGGCGTTGAATTGCGGGACTTTAAAAATAACAAAATAATAGAATATTGAAGGAAAGGCAGAGTCTTCTGGAAGTGGGATTGGTGGAAGTTAAGAATGAATAAAAAATGACAGATTGAAGCAGCATTACATTTGATGTGTCCAAGACTGGGATTGAATGAGTTCAACAGAAGCAAGTCAGATCATTGAAAATAATCTTCAAGAAAATACGACATAAGTAAGTTTGTTGAGAGATCAATCCCGACATATCTCTAAGTAAGTCGCTAAATAAACATTTTTGTTTCGGAATGTGTCTCGTATTTGAGCCTCTCTAGACCATATGTCTGCATACCGGTTGAAATTTTTCATTTTGAAAACGACCTTGCCCTCTTTCAGACATCTTTCTTGCTACTGGATAAAAAGTAATTTGCATAATGCATGAGAATTAACCATTCTCGGTTGCTGATGATGATGCGAGCCGCTCGGTTATTAATGCTTCTTTCTCCTATTACAAAGGCATTAATAAATCGTTTATCTCACAGCAATTTTTCGCCTTCGACCGAACACATTATTTACCATAAGATTATAATGATAATTTGTATTTAAAATAATGATAATCAATTTTTCAAAATATTTCCCAGACTGAACAAGAGAGTTTCTTTTTCAAGATCATCAGGAGTCAAGTGGAATTCGTACCTTCCTAAATGTGTCATAAATCGAGTTTCAACGATTTGTCGATTTATTTTAGATAATGCCCAGTAAGAAATATTTTACAATTTCGTCATTTTTTCAACTTCCCTTTAGACTTTTATTTATTTATTTTTACTTCTTCAATATTTTTTCTTTTCAAAAAATGTTTCTTTCATTTCAATTTTTATTTAGGATGAAAACAGAAGAAAAAGGCAATATAGCGACTTGGGGGGTCATCATTTCATATTTCTGTATATTTTTTTTTTATTTCAGTTGCCATCATAATGATTGCCTCGGCAATAATATTATCTGAGATCCACCGGAATGATCCTCAAATCGCTTAAGAAACAGTAGCTGAGCGTCGCTTTTGTAATTTTTGTTTTCTCCCTCTTAGTTTAATTCATGTAATGGACTATCGGATCGCAGTGTGATATTGTTGCGGTCGTTTTGTATCCGAAAATGTAAATCTCATATTTTCATTCTTTATTCGCCTTGTTGCTGACTATTTATTTATTTGTTATTATGATGGTCTGCAGAGAGTGAAAAGAGAAATTTATGCGTTCGAAATACCTCACGCGTTAAGCGATACTCAACCAGGCATCGATTTGCGCCCTGAAAAATACTCGAAAAATTAATGATTTTTGTTTCAATGCGTGGCTGAAACTCATAACTCAATTTCATAATGTAGAAATCGCTTACTTCTCTTTCGCATTTTATGCCAATGTCGATGCGGGGGCGATGAAGTAAATTTTGTGGTGAATTAAAATTTCAATTTATAAATATTTGCTAACAAATTATAAAAATTAACAACACGTTGAGATTTTGTAGCTAATTAATCTATAAATAGGACAATTAAAGTAATTTCATTTACTTTTACCAACAGCATGTTTCACTTCGAGAATCGCTTGAGAGCTGACATTTAAATAAACAAATCATGATGATTTCAGTTAAGCTATTTAATTACTGTCTGAGTCAACATGTAGCCTGCTGAAACAATTGTTATTCTAACACTCAATTGTATTTTGTTTTGATGCTTTTTTTATCGAGTTTATAATTTCTTGTCTAATAGTTAAGCGTAACAAGCTCTGCAATCGTCATGAATTGTCTTGTTGAATTTGGAAATTATAAAGTGTTTAATTTCCATCAATTTCCTTTTTATTGATTAACAATATCATCACTAACGAACCCTATTAAAGCAATAAAATACTCATCAGCTGTTGCATCTAAAGATTATTCTAAACAAACTCACTGTGAGTTTATGAAGAAAACAAAAACATTTGTTCATATCAATCAATTCTCATTTCTCTATTTGCTTTACGATCGAATTGATTGTCTGGCGCGGCAAACTCTAAAACAGTTTTAACTTCTTTCTAGTCGCGAGAGTCAATATGATCCGAAGTGGATTGTTTGTATAATTAAAATAACTCAATCGTCTACTTAGAAACTTGCTTGTCTCCCTCAGCGCGCTAAAGTTAAATATCAAATCATTCCCAATACGCATCATTGTAGGCAACGATAATTTGTTTGTGCTGAGGGGAATTTTATCAATATTTATTCAATGTTCTCGAGTGTTTATTCACTCCTTTCTTTAACTTGCATCTCTTCTCGTATTAAAAAATCATTCTGGATCTATCGTTGAATGTAAATAAACAATTATGATTGAATGACTATCTTGGGGAGCTTCTGAAAAAATGTAAATTATCGTTTCATCGCTTCATCATAATAATGGAAATTTAAGAGAATCTTCGCTGGAGATCAAGTAAAGAACGAAAACGAAAAAGGAGAAAAAAAATCAATATTCATAATTTTATTAATTTGTTTTTGAAATCCACATAACGACCTGAGAAGACGAAGAACAAATATTTAAAAACAACTTAAAGGTGATTGAAAAGCAATTTTTTAATGCTGAAGACAGTGATTTAAAGGAATTTCTTCTCGCTAGTTTGTTGTCGCTTTAAGAAATTTATTGAATCACTCGAGATATTTCTCTTGAGATTAAATACGACAATTCTCAAAATAAAAGTGTAAGAAAGAAAACTTAAAGATTTAATTTTTCCTTTATTCTCATTTCTTACTTCATTTATGTTGAAGCTTCAGAGAAGCCACTCTTTCAAGAACGGTGACAATCATCCGATTGCAGTTTCAAGTGTGGGAGTTGAAAAGACTTAAAGGTTGCAAACGATAATCTGCATTTATTTCGTTTAAAAATATTCTCATGAAGGTACAGTGGAGATCCTGGAAAGTGCGTACAAATTTAATATATTAAAGATCAAATAATAAGAAGATTTCTACTAAATTAACCCAAATGTGGTAAAAGATTTAATTTCTCTATGAAGAAAAGAAAAATATCCAAAAAAATCTGAAGTGGTATCGAGTTGAAAGGATTTCTTTTTAACAATTTATAAGATGTTTAAAATTGAGGTCGTTTGTCGTTTGTCGTCTCGATTCTCAAAATACGAGACATATGTATAAAGAACGAAGCATTTTATTGCACAACAATTGAGATCAATAATTCTGTCATTCAGCCGTGACAACTATTAAAAGTAAACTAATAAATCCTTCTCGATTCACAGCTCTCCCATTCAGAGATTTCCAGAGACTATTAACCTACTTTCAAACCTTCCACCTTTAATCGCATTACATGCTTTATCAAACAACAATTAATTTATGGTACGTAAGCAACATGCAAATCCTCTCATTGGATATTAATTTGAATGCCATTTTAATTGATAGTGAAGCAAGCAGTTGTTTATGTGTATTTAGCATGTTAAATAGTCTATAGTCTGTAATCAGTATCAACTTCTCATTTTTCTTCACCGTCCATTCGCGATATGTTTCAAAATGAAATGGAGAGAAGCAAGTATTGCATTGAAGTTTATATTTTTCTCACACAAACGATTTCTTGGATGGAATATTTTCTTTTCATTAACCCATTGCACATACAAGCATAGCAAAAATTTCATATTTAGTACTTAATTACGAACAATAATAAATATTACTTGATCCTAGTGATGATAATGCGTAAGTCGTAAATATATTGAAGTGGTTGAATATATATGACTAATCGTAGAGATTGATTTCCATCATGAAAGCATTCGCTTGAAATACATTCAATAGCATAAATACATACATAAGTCGCCAGTAATTCTACACTATGTGCTGTCAAATCAAATCTAAATTACATTAGCAAAGTCCTTTTTGTTCATACATATCAATGAGTGAATGAATGAGTATGGTCGATAATGAAAGCATGGAATTAGAAAAGATTAAAGTGAACAAAGTGCATGTTTTTAACTGTTGCATCACATGAATGCTTAAATCGAGAGCTGACCTTTTAATTTAATTAGACAATCAACCGCTTTCGAAGTACTTCAACGTCACCTTTCGAAAGGGAACATGAATTTCTTTCCATTTAGCTGTTAATCGTGTTAATCCCATTCGAACACTTTGTCCAACAAAGCTTGAAAACTAAAAAGAAGCCCAAGATATTAATTTCAGGTCGTTTGTCGTTTTTTTTTCTTCATGCACCGTGTGTCGATTAATGTCGAGAAGAGAGAGAATAATGTTGATATTTTTTCCATTCCAGCGGCTTCGGAAATGATCTTTGTTAGGTGCTGAGCGGTATTAATTGCCATCAGTTAGTGCAAAAAAAATTAAAATAAAAAGTAAAATCGAGATTGCAATGTTTTCATAGGGAAGCTTTACAATATCAAATGATTTTACATTGCAATTCAAACTTCGAATAATTTTATATGGTGAACGAAATTGAATAATTCGAGACGCAACAGATTATTCTCCTCTTATGAGTTGCGTTTATTGTTATTGCACAATATAGCAATCGGATACTTGATACTCCAAACCGCACTTTCAATAAAGCACACACGAAGTGGCTTCTCTTTCTCGACTTTTATCTCCTCTTGATACCCATGAGTGGGTTCGCATAGTTATGAATAATTGAACGCTCTTTGCTGCTTCGTCTTCATGTTTTTCGCACAAAGGAAAAAGAGAAATTGAGGGTCGTTTTCGGAATTGAACTTTACATGCGATACAATAAATGATATGATTTTAATCACAACTTTGTGATATTTTCTCGTGTTGTTTGTTGGTCTGAGAATTTCACTTATTTGAGTTAGTGACGATTTATAAATTGATTACTATTAAGTTGCTTTTATCGCTGACTTTGACTTATGACACAACAAATGTTATAACGAAAAACTTAATTGGCGATTTAATTTCAAGAAGCTTGAGTAGAAATAAAATAAGAAATTTTCATGTTTAACTCTTAACTTTTTTAAATCTTCTTTAATTCACAATGTCTCTGAGATGAGTATACAAAGTCATGCTGTAAAAGTAACAAACAAAAAGAAATGAAATTTAATATCTTTTTTAACTCAAAAAGCATAAAAGATTTCTAGTGATCGATAAGACACGATCGTGGATGAGTCAAATGGGATTGGTCGAAGCTTTTCTTCCAGTAGCAATTCGTCTTTCAGAAAAGTTTCGTGTCATTTTAAAGTTTTAAAATGTGATTGTAGTACAAGTAAACGTTCGAACAATAAAAAATTCTTTCGATAATAACGTGACGATTACATGAATTACATAAATTACCTCTTCGTTCAACGTCGCAAGAATAGCTCAGGGAACGAATGGGATGGTAATGAAATATTTCGCTTACAATTAAATCTGCAGCCTCGTAATGTACGCTTCATAAATGATCGCTCAAAGACTGAAATGACTCCCGCAATTAATTGGTTGATTTGGAAGAAAATTATTGCAATGCTGCACTTAAATGTGGGAGAAAAATGACCATAAAGAATGTGATGCTAGCCATTGACGAAGATGTTGAAATATATCATTTACAACAAGTTAAAGTGAGTGGATAAAAGGCATAATTAATACATTTTTAATGGACAGAACAGCTCATAAAATATTTCTTTTCTTCTTTTCACCGCGCATTAAAGCGTCATGCTGAACAACATTTCGCAGTGAATGGAGCTATGATTCTGAAGAGTTCTTGTATGATCAGCTTGTTGTTACATAAACACTTTACTTATAATATTCATTCATATCTTTTGTACATAAATCAAATTATTTAACGCATAACAAATGTATAGCAAATAGAAACAACAGTTCGATATCTAAGTATTATAAAAACTGTTGTTCCATTTAATTGTTTTTTAATTACGCATATCATTATGGCAACAAACTTGCATAATTATTATCAAAGTTCTGTATTTGTTTGTTTTACCTTGGAATATTGTTTGAAACCAAACATGCAAGCGAGCGCCAATAATTGATATAAAATTTTCACACAAATTGTTTGTTTTACTTGTCAATAAAAATTCCAACATGTATTTGCAATCAAAAGTTCTATAAATTGATTAATTGGTTTTCTTATATTTTTTTAAAGTAATCTTGAAGAAGAATTGAAAGCACATTGATTGATTTGAAGCGCAACCAACATGCAACAACTGCAGTTGTAATTATCTTTAATTGTTTAATTCAATATAAATAATTTTACTCCGATTCGCATTGCATCTCGTCGTCAATGCTTCCATGACGTGCTAAAATAATCACTTACATTTCTCGAGAACACAAAACAACCGACTCCAAATGAGTATCTGGACATAATAATTAAATTGCGTAAAAGTTAAATGAACTTCAAAATCAATTTGAAGAATTTGCTTCGAAAAATTGATGGAATGTCTTTGATCGTATAAATTGATTGGAATTTACCGCCCGTAAAAGACCAGCCGACTGGGCGGTGTCCTTTGTATCAGTCACTTAAGAGGGAATTGTATCAATGTTGCAGTGATTTCATCTTCGATGGGAAAATTTCTCAAAATTTTATGTCTCTTCGATCATCTTTCCAATTGTGCGGCAATTCTACACCAATTAATTTTATATTCTTCAAGTAAAGTCTGCCAATACTTAGGTCAATCATCGAAGCAGGTGAAAAAAGAAAACACGAAATTGATCAGTAAAATTTAAGTTTTATGTCACTGGAATGAAGGTCGTAAATTGACTTACGATCAAGAAAAACGTAGAGTGTAATTTTATATCAACAAATCAATTTCAGTTTTATTGATTTGGAACTTTTTATGACTTTAAGTCTTCATTTAGATTGGAGATATCTTGATAGATGACGCATTACATTGTCAAGGTTTGGGTTGTTATCTTAGATTGCAAATTTTGCCAGACTTTCTGTCTGTTTTTTCATGTCACATCGCTGTCTATAATTAATCACACTTACCTTCAAACAAACACTACAAAAATTAAAATTTTTAATACTTAAAATCGAAACCAGAACACGATTGAATCACAGTTCACACAAATCCAAAAAAGCGCAAAAAAGATCAAAAGTGTTAACGCCGAAATATTTATTGGTAATCAATTTTTTATTCATTTCACATTTATTTGCTTTATTTTCGCTTTATCGATCGTCTCTCCCATTTTCTTGCTTACAGTTTGCGTCATCTCGTAGTCATTGCCATACATTGTTCATTAAGTGCGATTAAGTATTGATTTAAAGGAATAATACCGCCAATTTGAACGATTGACTTGGAATTTTTTCTTACTGTAGAATTCGATGGAACTTTGTGAGATTTATCAGTCGATCAGACATTGAAAACATGTTAAAGGAAATACTTGATTAATCTGTGCTCGAAAACAAGCTTCTGTATGATAAATGATTACCGCTTAAAACAAATCTTGTGACACAAACCTTTAGTTAATGCTGAAACAAGTTAAGACAAACAATAAAGAATAAATAAAATTTAAACGTTTAAAGTTCAATTACCTTCTTAGTTAGGTCGCCAGCTTTTATTTTAGTCGTTTTATAAATATTTAGCCTCTTAAGATCATAATTCATATAACACGATAAGAAAGCTCCGCTTATAGAAAGGAAATTAAGATTTCTTATCACAAATGAAGTTAAATATTTTGTTGGGCTAGGTCAGGTGGATTCATATTTTTCAGTTTTTTCAGAACTCGTGTTTCAATGGAAAGCAATTGTTTGGAAACATATCATCTTATTTTGATATTTGTTGTGAGACTAGAATATTTCTATACTGACTAATAAACTGACATCCCGGAAGAATTTATTCGTTGAATGAAAATTCTTTAAGTACACTCTCTTATCATGTATCTTAACATAGTTTGTTCATCACATTTCTTTTATGATTTACCAAATGAAAAAAAATGATTCCTCATATTAATAATTGTTTGATATTTATGATAAAACTCTTTATTTCTATTTTCAAAATATCTACTTAAAACAAGACATGAAAAATAAATAAGAAGAAAAAGTTGAAACGTTTCTAAACACCATTGCTATATAATGATGATAATCATACACCCTCTCTACACTATTTATTACTAAATGATAGTAAAAGTGTTACAAGTTGTTTGAATGAAAATAACTTTTGAAATAACCCGACATTGTCTTTATGTATTGCGACATAAGAATTTTAACGGCATCTTCTTAAAGCTTTGCTGATGTTAAAAGAAAGGGAATTCTTTTCTTCTAAACAAACAGTGAAGATTTATACGATTTATTTATTTATTACCTACAGCATTGATATGTTCCGAAAACACATTTCGATGTTGGATGGAATAAAATGAATTTGAAAACTTCTCATCTAAATTTTTATGACCCCGAGATTTGATATTATATTTTTTAAACATTAAAGCCAAAGCTATACATATTGATTCAAAAATAGAATGAAAATATTTAATGACTTGTTTAAAACTATTAAATATATCATTGTGAAGTAATAAGTAATCACTTTCGATAAATTCTAGATAATTCGAAAGTTTATTCATTTAGGTAGATAGAAAAAGCAAAATAAGATATAACAAGATATTCAACAAAGTGTCAATTATCAATTCATGAAAAATAATTATTTTCCTTTAAACGGAATAAAACATGCAGCGGCATCTATTGGAAAAAAGATTTCAATTCAAATTAAAAAATATTGCTACTGAAAAGCGAATAAACCTTTTTCATAGTTTTCTATTCACTAGCAGGTATTGTTTATCTTTTGATGGTTCAGTTGTTTAAGATAATTATTATTTGTTAAAACCATTAAAGGAATTTCAAACCTAATACACCATTTTTATTCGTTTAGTAGCTTCGAATAATCACAAAATTTAGGAAATCAAAATACTGCTACTCAGTAGAAAATATCCTTAAATGTCCTTTTTTCTTCAATGTTGGTACCGTGCTACTGGTTTCAAAAAAAACGTTAAAAAAATTAAAAGAAATTTCTGAAAATCTTGCTGGACAACTTTAATGACTTGTCAATTGACTTCAGGAGAACAATTAAGTTGACTTTTAGCTGATGCTTTAGATAGTCATCCCGACATGAACATCAACTGTCAATCACCTGAAGAAAAACTTAAAATCACAAATCGTAATGTTTTTATTGTACACTTGTTTATATTTACATATTAATAACCAAAAAAAAAGGTTCTTATTGCTTGTAAATAGTGTCAAATTTTGCAACAAAAAAATGTTGACATTGATAATTTTACACCACAAATTTTTTTTTAGATCTCTTGCCATTTTATAAATTCGCTGACTTGAAAAATATTTTTCATTTAATAAAAAGTTCTTTAAACATAAAATAATTAGGCGTTTGACCAAAATGAGAAAATTTTCTATTACTTTGGTTCTTATTATGTTCGTAATACAGTGTTTAACAGATACCTATGGATCATACGATGGTAAAGATTTAAAAAATGAAATTATTAAAATAAAATTTTTCTTCTTCTTTAGAAGATATTCGAGATTTAAGGAGTAGACATCCCAAAATGTCATTTCAAAGACTTAGTAAGTTTGCATTTTAATGATTATGAAAATGATTGCATTTCAATTTTATCTAGAGAGACAAACTGAAGATGGAGATGGGGGATATGAGTTCACAAGCGATAATGATGAAGGAGAAAATGAAAATTGGGAAACAGAACCATTAATTCCAGTAGACGATCGAAGATACAAACCAAAATATTTAAATCCTGTCAGATTTCCAAATAACCGCTGAATAATCAGAACAGTTTTTTAATTTCTTGAACATAAATGTGCGATAAAATTCAAAGTGTCCCTGTTCTTTGAATTAAATAGCACAAACAATTTTCATTTGACACAACCTTACTATACAATTGTTGCATAATAATCAAATAAATTTAAAAAACCATTGGTGTTATATTTCACTAATTTGTAGGTGATTGAAGAAAAACAATTATGGATTCATTAGATTTAAGATATTTTATTTATTTCTACAGTAAAAAAAAAGCCAAACATTAGTCAATTTATAATTTCATTATTAATCTATAAAAGTTGATTAATTACGTATAAAAGAATTAAAAAAAAACAAAATCTTGCAGCCTGCCAATTTATGAGTCTAATTCTTTGAACTTTAACATTCTTTCTTTCTTTCTTCTAAGGAAAACAGTTTTTAATTTGAAATTCTTGCATAAAAATTATAATAACTTCATATTCCGTAAATTCAATACAAAAAAATATTCCATAAAAATTTCTTGAAATAAAATAAAAAACTGAAATGTAACGTAAGGATTCCATTTTTACGTAGCGATTCTAAAATCCATCAGAAATACAATAAATGTGATGTCGAATAATTGCAATGTTTATTAAGTTACTTTCAGATCATACAATTATATTCCAGATAACTTGCAACATTCATCCATTTTTGCTACTTAACAATCATTCCCAAACATCAAAACATTATTGTTGCAATTCTTGCTTTTTGATGTTTTAAAAATCTTTTAATTATTTTCTATTCAAGTCAATGCTCCAAAAATGCTTATTGTTCATCGTATCGCTGATGATTTCAATGAGGAAAAAATGAAAAATAATTAAATGAAGTTCGCAGCGCGCTTAAAGATCAAGTCGAAAATTTCGTGTGGTCTGGAAGTAAAGGTAAAGGAGCTTAATTGAGTGAAATGGAAAGCAAATAAAAGAAAAATAATAACTTTGTGATTCGCTTGTATAATGAACGAAAGAAGAAAACAAAACCATGATTGCAAAGACTTAAATAGAAAGATTTAGAACCTTTAATTCGCCTCTGAAACGATAAAAAGAAAATTTGTTTCATTTAACAAAATGTAATTGATGTTATAATTTAGAACTTACTTAGTTCTTCCTCGAAGTCCTCCTGAATTATGAGTTCCACGTTCAGATGGAGGCTTTCGCTTTGTCTTGGGTGCTGAAGACTCTTCATTGTTTAATTTTTCAAGTCGCGCTAGTACAGATCGAGGAACTCTGTTTTTACCAAGGAACTTTTCGACAAAAAGGAAACATTAATTAAAAATTTTATTAATTTGAAAATCATTCTTGTTTCTCACATCATCAATTAGTTTAGGACAATGAAGATGTTCCTCAGGTTCCCACGTATTATTATCAGGGCTCCAACCTTTCCACATGACAAAAAATTCCCATTTTCCACTTTTATTTATACGAGAATTGAGTACTTTTTCAACTTCATATTCCCTCCCTTTAACATGCCCTTTTTCTTTTTTTGAAGAAACGCCAAAATCAGAATCGTCGCTGTTATCAGTTTCAACATCAGAGTCGTCATATCGTTGACGCTTCTTTGACGATGTTTTCGATTTTTTGGGAGTTGTCTTTTGCTTCCCTTTTTTATTGAAGGCTTTAATGATATTGGGACAGTTAAGTTTCTCTTCAGGTTCCCAAGTGTCGTCTGATTCATCCCATCCTTTCCATCGAATCAAATATTTTTTCTTTCCTTTGACAATTTTACTGTCAATAATGGCCTCAACTTCATATTCGTTATTTGAAGCTTTTGCTTCATTTTCTGCTTTCAACTTGGCTAATTCGCGTTGAAAGATTATTTCATTTACTTCATCGTGATATTTTTTCAAAAGTTCATTACAGCTTAAAGACTCTTTTGGTTGCCATGAATCATCTTTTGGAGAATAATTTTCCCAACGAACTCTATAATAAACAGTTCCCTTGTAGCGGCGATGATCGATAATCTTAGAAACCTTTTGAAGTAAGTTAAATAAGTTTGAATATTATTTGAGGGTCATTTTAATATTTTACCGCATAAACGTCTGCCTTTTCCTTCTTAATTTGTTTCTTGTATTTTTTCAAAAGATCTTTGCATGTTAGATTAGCTGCAGTTTCCCACGTGTCCTGTGCAGATGAATATCCTTTCCAACGAACCCGGTAAACAGTTTTACCTTTTTCTGTCTTATGATCAACAATGGCTTCGACCTAATATTCATTAAATATTATTTATAATAAACAATTTTAATTATCATCACAATTACTTCATATTCTCCATCTTCATCTGGTCCCGGTGCAGTCTTATCAGATTTTTTTATTTTCTTTCGAGTCACTTTCAAAATCCCATTTTTTCTCTTTTTTGTTGTCTTTTTCTTTTGACTTTTATCTAAATTGTAAATTTTAAACTTTTTTACTTATTTGGATAACATAAAATTTAATTCTTTATTAAATTTACCTCCATTTTCCTTGCTTGATTCTTGATGTGAGTCGTCATTTGATCCGTGAGCTTCTTTATGATCTGTGGGCTCTATTTGAAAGGTAGTAAAGGTAAACAATTTTTACAATAAAAACATCGATTAGGAATGAAGTTAAAATCTGAAAATATGTGTAAATATCAAAGCAAATCTAACCAGGAGCGTCGCCATTGGCTTGATCCATGGCCAATTTTTTTTTGTACATAAATCTAACTTTGAAAGTTGTTTTTCTTTATATTTCCCGCAATATTTTGGTTTAACATAAATTTTTGTGACGAGCGTCAAAATTTTTTCAAAGACGAGTAATCGGTCCGATTTCGGCTGGTTTCTTGCGTCAAAAGATTGTTGTTTTGCAAGTTACGAAAATAAAAGGAAATTAATTGGAAATTTTCTTTATTACCTTTAGATGTTCCTTTAATTCAAAATAAAAGGTGTACTTTCTCTACTTAAATAATTGATTATTATTATTCCCTCTAAATGTAGAAAAAATCATTCTAAACTGGTGTTCTTTGAAAAGATTCTTCAAATTTTCAACGGTTTTTTCATTTGAAAATTTACACCAACACTTACGCATTACTACATCGCGAGTGAGAACTAAAATCATCTGAACTGCTGAATAAATTCGGACGAAAAGTTCTTCAATTTAATTTCCGAATAAACGATTGACTCTGTTGAATCAAGAGAGCATTATATGTGCTAAATAAAGTAAGTTGACATTTTAAATAATGTGTTTAAAGGAGACAAATTTCCACTTTTCCGCTCATAAGCGTTGCTTGGCTAATTTCCTTTTTTTTTCGTTCTATTGTCCTTATAGATTTGAAAAAGAACAAAAGAAAGCTTTTTGACAACGGACCATTTGGGACACAATTTGCATCATTGCAAGTCGTTTTTTCAATAAGGTTTATTGTGCAAACAAGCAGAGATTCTTCGTTACGCTGCAATTCAATGATTGATAATTGTTATCAGTGAAAAATTTTCGCTGGAATTGTTTTTCAAATCAAAAAGTATTGGTAATACGACTAATCATGCCAACGCCATCAGATAACAATGGGAAAACAAAAGAGGATTCAAATGTTGCTCCCAAAAATAATGAATCAAATAAAAATTCACTGCCAGTCAACACCGATGGAGCAAAATCTTCCGAAAATGCATTGAAAAAGAAGCAAAATGGAGCGCGCGATGAATCCCCACGGCGGAATGCTAAAAATAATCTTACCAATCGTAATGGCAATCATCAGAATGTTAATAACCGTCAAAACAGAACTAATTCAGTTAATAAAAGATCGACAAATGATGCCAACAATAATTCTAACAGCAGCAGCAATAAACAACCAACCTACAAAGTATCTCATGCGACGCAACAGAATATGTTGAGTGAATTTCAGCAGCAGCAATATCAGAAAGTATCAAACGGTCACGTGGACTCGTCCAAAAAAAATAATCACCAAAAGTACAGATCAATAACGAAAGTTAATCAAAATGGAAATTATTATGAGAATTTGCAAGGAACATCCACCACTACACATTCGGAGTCACCTCAACACTACTTGAATGATCATATTAGTCGACCTGCTGGTGACTTGCAGCATCATTCAACTGACGTTAATGTAACACCAAGAAAATATTCCTTAGAATTTCTTCATGAAGTTCGTTGCAAGATGTCAAATGGAACTTTGTTACAACAGCACAAATCGCCTAAAAGTCAGAAGCAAATCGATGATACGAATTTATTAGCATTGAAAATGGCTTTGGGTGATAATTCGGGGAACTACAATCATTTCTATGCGAGCTCAATATATGGAAATCAAATGCTTATGCAATATCAACAATATCAGCAACAGAACTTCACTCGCTTACAACAGCAACAGCAACACCAACAAATGCAACGAATGTATCAAAGAAATCAGCATGATCATGGATATCAACGAGGATATCATCCATCAATGTACACTCCTGAACAAGATATTTGCCTTTGCACGAAACCTCAACAACAACAGCAACCACAGATTCAGCAAGCTCTTCATCGAACTTTCCCACCTACATTCTCACATTTACCATCCTATCAGAATCGTAATAAGCGTGAATATCGTGATCAAAACAAGAAGAATCGAAATGCTTATCAGAATAATGAGAGAAACTTTAAATCGCAAAGAGATTATCGAAATAATATTCAGATTGGGAAAAGTCACAGCTTTTCAGAGGATGACAACAAATGTAAAGAAGTTCCTGTTAATCGTACGATTTCAGATCAACATCCATATCGAAGTTTATCACCAACGCCTCCAAGCTCATCGAAATCATCAAGTCCAGGAGCTCACGAGAAGGAAGAACGAATGCCTGTTGAGGTGAATTACGAGCTTGTTGATGACACATCATCGACTGGGTCAGCAGCATCTTCAGGACCAATTTTATATGCAAATGAACTAAACGTTAGTGACATGAAAGTGTCGATGTCTGCACCAGTTTTATCAACACCTGTTGAAGAGCCTTCGAGTAATGTTAACTTATGGATTGATAGCAACTTTGGTAGCATCCTTCAAAATGGACTCAGCATGAGTGCCGAGAACCTCAACAACATACGCGATCCACCTGTTAAGATCTTCAAACGTCCACCATCAATCAACGGTGGATCATTTAAACAACTCTACACTCCAATCTACAGATCTTTATCTTACGATGTACATTCTCCATTCGAATATTATTTGTCACGAACTGAAAATTCAACAATGAATGCTCCACCGTTGAACTTAAGATGCGGCTCACAATGGGATCAATTATCAGTGGATATGTGGGACAAGTTCAAAGCTAATCAGCAATCACAGGTTACTTATCGCAATAAAATGATTTTGTGGCGTGATTTATTTCATTATGTTAAGGTAAGAAAAGTATGAAAAAAATCTTTGTGAGTTTCTAAAGAATTTTATTCGTAGAATTTCCCCCCATTTCATCAACGAGCTGTACCTAAATGGGGATTGTTTCTTGTTGGTTCAACGATTTCTGGGTTTGGTGCTGATACATCCGATATTGACATGTGTCTTGTTTCGAAGGGAAATAGTCATATGGAGCCTCGATTGGAAGCGATGATAACATTAAATGAATTGCAAAGCTTCTTAACGAATTCAATGAGTGAGAAAAATTGATGAAATTCTTTTAGATATTAATTATTGAAATTTTATTTTCAGGTCCATTCCGAAACTTTTTCTTGATCAATGCAAAAGTTCCAATTCTACGTTTTCGTGATGCATCCGATCAGATTGAAATCGATTTGAATTATAATAATTGTGTTGGTGTTCGAAATACTCATTTGTTGAACAGTTATTCGCAACGTAAGTAAAAGTATTTAATTAGTTACTTGATTTTATGTAATAAAAATGCTGCTGTTATAGTTGATTGGCGTTTACGACCTTTGGCATTAGTTGTTAAAATTTGGGCACAATATCACAATATAAATGATGCTCGTAACAGTACAATATCAAGTTATAGTCTTGTTTTGATGGTGATTCACTTCTTGCAATACGCTGTAAAGCCAATAATTCTTCCGTGCCTCCATCAACTCTGTCCGAGTAAGTTCCAGAAAGATCATGACATAACAACAATCGATATGGTTGAGATTTGTGACGTTGGTTGGAAGTCTGATAATAATCAACCATTGGGCGAGCTGTTTCTGCGTTTCTTAGATTATTACAGCAATTTTGAGTGAGTTCTCATTTAAAACCTTTTCAATCTTTCATTTAATAAAATTTATTTAATAAGTTATGGAAAGAATGCAATTTCAATTCGAACTGGCGGTGTTCTACCAATTGACGAATGTCGTAATGCAAGAAGTCACAAAAATGATCCAAATCATTGGCAAACATTATGCATTGAAGAACCGTTCGATCTCACAAATACAGCACGTTCAGCTTATGATAGTGAAATCTTCCAAAAGATCAAAGATGTCTTCTTCCAATCATTTTATCGTTTGAAAGAGACGCGAAGCCTTTCATCAGTGTTTGGTGAGAAATTATTTCATCATCAACAGCAACAACAAATCAGTCAGATGAATATGATGAAGTATATGATGGCAAATGCACATGGAACACAAATTATTACTCCGATGAATGACGTTAAGTCATGAGGTATGATAGTTGTGATGATTGTTGTTATAAAGTGTCAGTGTCTGTGGTAACTTTCTTTCTTCATGATGATGGATAAATTTTTATTTCTTTTTAATACATTCGCGAGGAACTTAACATAATTTTACTTAATTTCAAGAGATTTGAAACGTCTTAAAACTCATAATTTAAATTCAAAGCTTCAAAGCTTGTTCAATTAATCTGCAACTGTCCATCTTTAAGAGTAGCAAATAGAAATTGTGAGTGAGACGTGCTAGAGTTCGGGTACATAAGACCAAAGATTTTTTTTAATATTATAAGATTAGTTTTTAAATAAGGAGGGAACATTAATTATTGCTTGTTAATTAATTTAATTTCTCTCTTTTGAAGAAGTAAAATCCGCAATCCTTTTTGTTGTTACCATGATCGTTCCCTTCTAAGTAATCAAGACTGAAATTTTGAGAATTATCCTCGAAAGTTCATTAAATTCGCTTGAAAACAAAAACTAAAGCAGAATCACCGATAATCAGTGGAAAATCCCATGAAATATCCTCTTAAAAATATGTCTGCTTAAATAAGTTCAAAACTAATTTAAATAACATCACAAATGTGATGATGTTAAGTCAATAAGTTGTAAGAAATCTCGAGCATTAAATAAGTTAGTAGAGGATAAAAATAATAAGAAAAAGACAAAGAAAACGTAAATATTATACCTAAGAAATTTAATCAATAAGATGACAAACATAGAGCGGAGCGCGTTCGGTATTATCTAATTGAATTAGTGCCTCCGTATTAACACTTTGAATAATTATAAAAGAACAACAACTGTTGTTGCTTTTAATATTAATGTGAATGTTCGTGTTTGTATTCACTTTTGACGATTTTATGAGGCTGAAGCAGGAAATGGTTGAGAAAAACATTTTTCTAACATATCCTGGAAACGTTTACACTGCCGTTGTCCATATCGAAGTTTGTGGAACGATTTCAAGGATTATTAAATATCGTCTCATAGCATCTTATTAAAGAGCTATTAAAAAAAAGTCATGTTTAAGTAATTAGAATTAAGAGAAAAAAAAAACAGAAAAACTTTGTACAACTGGCTGTGAAGCTTTAAAGACATTAATTACTTTGCTAATCATTTTATTTTTATTCGCCTATTCCTTCTCATTTTTAGATATTAGCATCGTAATGTTTTAGAATTTTAAGAAAGCGCAGCGTGTGATGATTTTCAGAAATGCAACTTCAAGACGTTATGTCAGAAAGAATGAATGTTCATGGTAAACCAAAGAACATAATGAATAACAAAAACAAAACTTTTTATGTGATTTTGCTATGTGCTCGTGAAATGAAGTCATCACATTTGTTTCTTTTTTAAGTTTCCTTTTTTCTTTCTCTTTTTCCAATGTGCAATGGACAAACATTTTGTGGCTTTTTTTCTGAAGAATTTGATAAGAATTTTTCCTTTGTTTTTCCTATTACGATCTCATCTTTGAATGAAGTTGGCATCGAATGAAATCCTTAAAAAAATATACAAAAAATTATTAAACAAAAACACAAAAAAAAACAAAATACAAAAAAAATTAAAAACTTGAAAATAAAAAAAAATTAAAAATTAAAATCCCAAAAAAAGTTTAAAACTTCAGAAAATCTTCCACAATTTTTGTCCACACAAAAGGAAGAAGATTATGTCAAAAAAAAATCTTTTTAAAGTAAAGAAAGTTAATTTATTTTTGTTAAGAATGGAACTAGCCAGGATGAAATCTAAATCAACTCCGTTAACTTAAAAAAATAACTAAGAAAGTTGGCTGTTTCCTTACAAAGAAAAGTTTAAAATTTTTGAGTTAATTTTCGTGGCTCGAATGTGAAGACAAAATTACAAATTCCGTATTCAATTCGTTGCTATTCATTTAAAATTTATGTTTGATTTTCGAATATTTTCGTTTCGTTCCTATAAAAAAAGCAAACAAAAATTTCTTAATAGCTTAAAGCAATTTTTTCATTATTAAAAGTTTTCTAATGTTTTCGGCTCTTTAAAATGTGTTAAATTTTCACGGTTCTCAAAAAGATATTTTCTAAACATTTTTACAGTTGAATTTCGTAATTATCAAAACGAGAGACTTAAGGCAATTAAATACTCTTAAAACATGATACAATAATGTGCCATGTCTTTTATCATAAGGAATGTACAAGTTTCTATGAAAAAAAAAAACTAAAACAAATTAACATCAGCTAAGACAACTTTTTGCAACCGTGAGAATATCGCTTCAATTTGTTACCATCAAGAATTTTTTAAAAACCTTTTTGTAAGAGATGAAAAATTTTCTGTCCAGTATGTACGCGTTCAAAATTTCCTTAATTTCCAATCTACAACTTAGCGCGAAATCGTAGTAAACGATTAGATGTAAGAAAGTTTTTCATCTTTGGTTCAATTTTTCCGCATGTGTTTCAATAAAGTCAGAATAAAGTCTGCGCGAAAATAATATTTAAGATCTTTTACATGTCACGCATCAATTCCAAAGTCATCTCATTTATTCACATTAAAGAGAAAAAATAAAGTTATAAAAAAAACAATTTCTTTTTTATTAGTAAAATAAAAGTTAATAAAATTGGAAAACATTGTCGACTTTTTTCAATAAGGAAAATTTGTTTACAAAAATTACTGGTCATTTTGAATTCAAATGGAAGTTCATTTTCAGCGTGCTGAACATTGTTGCCCACATTTACCCACTTTCTCACACGTGTGTGAAATAAAAACATTGAAATATTTTTCAATATTCAATCATTTTTCCTGGTGCTACAGTTTCAATTTGCTTATCTAAATGGTATATATTTTTAATAATTATAGAGTAACATAAATTGATAATGAATTTCGATCATTTAAGGGGAGAAAAAAGCGTCCATTCATCGATAAAAAGAAAGCAATCACTTTCCGCCTTGTAAATCGTTCACAACAAGATCCTTTAATAGCTGATGAGAAAGCTCCACAACATGTTTTAGTTCCTGTTATGAACAAAAAAGCTGGACCGTCGATTACTAAGACTCCTGATACCGGTTTGCCTCCAGAAAAACGTCGTAAAGAACAAAATAAGTTTGGAATATTTTTTGATGATGATTACGATTACTTACAACATTTGCGAGAGCCAGGAAGAGATGAAGTGTTTTGGGAAGAAATTCCACATAAACATGCCGATGTTAAAAGCAAACCGAATATTCAACTACCAAGTTCAGTCTTCGCATCTGAATTTGAGGAAGATGAAGGAATGTTGCGGAAAGCAGCACCAAGAAGTGGACCGCGACTTGATTGGGATCCTGATATCGTCGAAGCACTTGATGAAGATTTCGATTTTGATGATCCTGATAATCAACTTGAAGATAATTTCATGGAAATGGCAATGAATCGTGAAGGAATTGAGGAAGAAAGTGAAAGTGATGATGATGATGATGACAACTATTCTAATGAAGCTGGTTATAGCGATGAAGAAGATGATGATGTTGGTCCTTTACCTAATAATTCCAAACATTTTCCAAATTTCGACGAAGAAGAGAACAAGTCAAGATTCACAGAATATTCAATGTCGAGCAGTGTTATTCGACGTAATGATCAATTGACACTTCTTGATGACCGTTTTGAAAAGTTCTACGAGAATTACGATGAACCTGAGGTCGGTCCTTTGGATTGTGATGAAATTGAAGGACATGTGGAGATAAATGATGAAGCTTTGTTAAAGATTGCAAAAGATTTCGATGAAACTCAAAAGCCACAAAAATATGATAAAGCTTGGGACATTTGTCGTCTTGTGAAGCTTCACCATGATGAAGATGAAGAGGAAGAAATTGTGGAACTTGAAGTATCTGAAGATGAAGAAGGTAATCAAAAAGAGAAGAAATGGGATTGTGAGAGCATTTTATCAACTTATTCAAACATTTATAATCATCCTAAACTAATCGACGTCCCAACAAAGAAAAAACCATCGAAAATTCAGATCAATCGCAAAACTGGTCTTCCAGAAAATGTCTTAGATGGAGGTCAGAAGGGAAAACTCACAGTAAAGTCGCTTGCTAAATTGGAAAAGGAAGTTGAAGAATCAACAGGTCCAAAATCTCTTTGTGCTGAAAGTGTAATATCAACACTGAGCGTTTTGTCAATCAGGCCAAAAGATGAAACACCAGAAGAAAGAAAAGAACGGAAGAAATTGTTAAAAGAATACAGAAATGAAAGAAGATTTGAGAAGAAATCAAACAAAATTGCTTTCAATGAAGAAAGATTGCGACAAAACACCATTCAAGTGAATGCAAAGAACAATCTTCATGCAAATAAGATTTTATAAATGTCACAATTCTAATTGAAAAATGAAAAAAATAAATAAAAATGTAACGGAATTAAATTATTCAAAGGTTGTTCAATTTTCTTTGTCAAGATCAATTGAACTTCATGCTGAACAACTAAAAAGTTGCTCAGTCTTCGAACGAAGAATTTTTCTTGCGAAAACTTTTCCTTCGCAAATAATAGTGTCGTGTAGTCATTAGTAAATTCTTTTCTTAAATTCATTGACCTTACAACCTATTAATTGAATGCAAAATGAAGTTCTTCTTAAATACTTTTAATCTCATACAATTTTTCTAAAATAATTGAAGTTCGCTTGAATAACGAAGAAAAATCTTAGTGCAAAAAAAAATAAAAAATTGTAAAATTTGAGTGAATGTAGTTCAGTCCAATTATGCGACACTAATTTATGAAGTGTGAAGAAAAAGAATAATTAAATAGTAGCAAGGAATTTATTAAGCAACATCAAAATGAGTTTTCAAGGAAAAAAAGTCTGAATTTGGTAAGTTCAAGTGTAAGCAATTTGCGTTGTTCTGCTTGTGTTTTATTTCTTTTCTTAAGCGTAGCGTGGCCTTCGAGCATTGCCCTAGGACCGATATTCATAAATTTAGAAATAAATCTCTTTAAAAAAAAATTTCAGATGTGGAAAACCTTAAATCTCAGATTTTCACGAAAATTCTCTTCATTTCTTTTCCTTTTCATTTGGGTTCGGCCGCTTTTGTCTTGTGTGCATGCAAGAAAGAAAAGAAAAGAAAAATATCAAATCATATGTTCGCCGATGCATCGGCGATGATAATATCCGATGAATATTGAATGAGCAAGTTCCTTTTCATATTTGTTTGTGTGACGATTGACGTGATTCATGTTTTCAAGAAACTATGAGCATCGCTTGTCTGTGTGTTGATTGAAATTAATGATTTTCATCCGCTGGATTTCCATTCGTATGACAAGATTTTCTAATAATATAAATTTACATTGAAAATTACTCTTGACTGTGTAGTAAGCGATACAAGTTCATGTGAACAAGTTTATTGATTGAATATTCAAACTTGCATTTTCATTGAAAAGGGTCAAAACAATTTGCTATTTTATTTCCTAGACTGAAATCGTAATATATTTTAATAACTTTTTCTTTCTCTGTCTTTGTTTTATCAATTAGCGTTGAAGTGTCAATTACAAATCGTTTCAGTAAATGTTTATTCTCTCTTCATTATTTTACACTCGAAAAAGCCATAAAAATCATTATTTGCCAATAATAAAGAGATAAATTTGTGCTACCACATATCTAGTTAAATTGATAAGGTAACTGACAGTTTGAAGAGGAAGTTCGAGAGGCACCACGCACATAGTTAATGTAGCCATCAGTCATAGTGTCATCAAACTGTTTTTCTCCTTCACTGATGATATTTCGTTTGATATTTCTCTTCTTCTTCATCTTAAGTATTCAATCCGACATAGTGATGAGCGACAAAAAATGTTTCGTAAAGAATATAAGAATGACGTAATCCAACCGAGAATAGATTTTCTGCGTAGGCAAAGGTGGAAGCCATTTAATTAACATTACTTTGTCGTCATGAAGATTATTGTTTGTTGGAAAATTCTCTTGAAATTTCCAAACAAGCTTTTCGTTGTAGGTCACAACTTCAAAAGTTTCGATGCAATCTGGGGAGTTCGAAGATTTTTCTAATCATAATCAATCATGAAACTTATCTTATTTTGTGTTTGTTGAGCTTCATGTTTCAGCTTGTTTGTGTCATCTGATACATCATTTGTGATATTCAAAAACACTTTTTGTTGACAAACTCTTTGATGACTTACCACGCTATTTCTAAATAATTATTCTTTCTTTTTATGTTTAAATAGCTCGATTTTTCCTTTACGAAGACTGTAAAATGTAAGAATGAACCAAACTGCAACGATGCATCAAGCATAACTTTCTCAAACAAAAAAGAAAAGAAATCGACTCGAGGAGAGAACAAAAAAAAAGGAAAATTAAAATATAGAGAAGAAAATTTCCCAGTTCAACCCCAACAAAAGCTTCTGGCAAACTACATACGTTGAACATTTCGTCAGTAGGGAAAGAAAATTATTAAATCGATAATTTACTACTAAACAATTTGCCTCGAAGTTATGTCTGGTGGAGGAAAAGATAGAAAAAGTTCGCGCTCGACTAAAGCTCAAGGTTGGGAAGAAGCCGGCGGAGAATTCTACCAGGAAAGCTATCCAGGTGACGTCGAAAATGCCCATCGTGACCCATCAAAGTTGGCAACTTTACTACCATCCAAGCAAACACGAGTTGGTGAGTATTAAGGGCGTGAAGAATTTTAAATTCAACCTTTCGAATTATTAATTTCAATTATCAGTCGTTTACTTATTCACAATCAATCAGTGATTGAAGGCTTGTCCGATGACCATTAATCTCACTATTTCAATCGAAAGCAATTTATTTCAATTCTTTATTTGTTTTTCCTATCCGCCATAGCGACAAATCGACGTGCACGGCAAGCCCAACATGAGTTTAAGACAGCGCGACGTCGTAATAGTACTTTGACAGCAACTCGTACATTTAGATGTGGTTCACAATACCAGGAAATACAGGTTGCCGCATTGCCTGACTTATCGGAAAATCTCATCAATGAAAGTCAAACATGGGAGGAAATTCGTGAAATTAAAGCGATGCCCGTACCAATGGCACAAAAGCGTGAGCTAAAAAATCAACTTCAGGTGAGTGGACAAATTAAGATCATCGCGATGCTTTCATACGAATTATTTTGCGAAAAAATAAAAATCATAAATTACTGACCGTTAAGTAATAATGATGAATGTACACATTTTTCATTTCGATTTTGTGTTAAGCGGATGATGTCGTTAAATGATGACACAAAGTGAAATAATTTATATCGCTGTGAATTTTTTTCTATCGCAATCGCAATCATTGGAGCATTTTAAATTAGAAAAAGAAAATTCCACGAAAAAGCTGCAGCATTTTATGCAGCAGAACTATCTGTGGCTGAATCTGCAATAAAATTCATTAATCGTTGTTACAACTTGCAACTGACCATCATAAATATTTCCAATTTCCATACAAAAATATACTTTTGTTGAGACAAACAAACTTCCACTTAGAAGTGAAAATTTATTTAGCTTTTAAAATTAATGTCGTTGTTTTATTTGCATTCCATTGAAGCCCAACGGACTACGAGAAGTGACAACGTTCGCGTGTTGTTGACAATGTTTTCTCTCTTTTTAACTACTTTGTGTCGTTTTTGCACGTGTGAAAATATTCTAAACACAAGAGAAGACAATTTCGACTCTATAAAGTTGTTCCGATGACATACAAATTATGCGGTTTTGTGCACTGACGACAGCTTAACTTTATTGTTATTTTATTCCTTTTATTTGGCCGAAATCGTGTTGTATTGAAACTTTCAACTTGTTTAGTTGAAGACGAGAATTTGCTTTGACTCGTGTCGAAGTCGTAAAAATATTTTCTTGGCAAGTTTTTCTTTTTTTTCTGGAAAAGTTTCTTTCTGTTTAAGATTTTGATTACCTGATTTAACGATGTTAAGTTTCTATAAATTGCAAAGGTAATTTAATTAACAAATTTGGAAGCTTTATTAAGCAAATTTTTACAGTTTCTGCTTGAATAGAAAAAAGTTTTATTGTCAATTAATTTGAAGTCATTAAACGGTGGTTTATTTATCTAATTTAATGAGCTAAACACCAACAGCAATTGAGCTATTAAAACAATGACAACAATCAAATGAAAATTATTTTATTAATTAAGTTTTATTCACTGGTTTTCTAATGAAATCAGTTTGTGTCGTCATGTCATCTGCATCATCATCATCAGATATTTATTTTTATATTTTTTTCATGAAAATGAAGAAAAAAACTGCAATGAAAATAAAAAGCTTGGCAAGTGTCACAATTCGTGTCGTAGGAGAAGCATAAACATTTCTTTTTCACTTAAATAATTTTCCTTCTTTTCCTTTCTTTCTTCTCACTTTTGGATTTTTTAGAATGCAACAAAACTTCGTCTCCAAGGCTTTGAACAAATCAAATGGAAACGTCGTAAAGCATGGCAAAAGATCATGACAAAATGGAGTGAATATCTGACAAAAATGGAACTTTGGCGTACATCTTTGAAGAAGATTGAAGGAAATTTTGGAACGGGTGTTGTCGCATATTTCGTTTTCCTTCGATGGCTGATGATTCTCAATCTTCTGATCTTCTCGATAATCTTTGTATTTATTATCCTCCCACAATTGGTGTTAATTGAACCAAAAGACAAACCATGTGATCTGAAATTACCGCCAGTGTTGTCAACACGGTGGATAGCGGATGTTAATCACACTGACAGTGGATACAACGAAACGATTTGGATTCATCCAAACACTTCAATTCAATGTTGTCGTGAAGCTTATGTTCATGAGATTCGGTTTAATCGAAGCGACTTTTCAATACTTCATCTTGTACAGGGCACTGGATTCATGGAGAAAACTTTTCTGTTTTATGGAATGTACACAAATCAAATCTTTGGTTACGATCCACTTTCCAATCAAGACATCAACACAAAGACACGAACAATCACCGAAACCACATCTGATCTAAATTCCAATAGCAATATTGATAATTTAATGATTGATGAGGATGGAGAATTGCCTTCGTCAGGTGATGGTAGCTATTTAATTGTCAATAATAATAATAACAACAACATGACATCGCCAATGATGAATGCATTGCTTGGTGTCAGTGACAATGTAAGAAACATCACAACATGGCGTGAATTCTTCAATTCTTTTGATATTTATTACGATTTACCACTCGCTTATATCATCGTAACAATTGTTTGTTATCTTTATACACTTGTAGCGATTGTTAAAGCGGTAGCGCATGAGTTTAAAGATCGTCTGGTTGAGGGGGAAGGACAATTCTATCAATATTGTAATCTCATATTTGGTGGCTGGGATTTCTGCATTCATAATGAGAAATCAGCACAAATAAAGCACAAAGCGCTTTTCAATGAGATACAAAGTCTCATGCATCTCAAACGTTATGAATTCGAGAGAAATAATCGAACACGTGACATCATGTTTAAGCTTTATCTCATTCGAATGATGGTGAATTTCTTTGTTTGTGTGATTCTTGTGATTTGTGGTGTTGTGATTTATATTCTGTTCAATTTATCTTTGATGTATCTTGTGCCAAACTTTAATACCATCACAAGATATCGTAACTTTAATGTTTTTATGAGTAAGATAAAGAAGTTTAGTTCGGGGGAAGAAGAAGTGCCGAATGTTCCAGATGGAATTGATGTGGATAAACAGTTTGAAATTCTTTTCTATGAGTTCCTTCCTTATGTTTGTATTGTCATCTTTAATCTTCTTGTTCCAATTCTCTTTAATTATTTAATTCAATTTGAGCAGTACTCGCCATTATTTGTCATAAAAATGAATCTCTTTAGAACTGTAGGTTTGAGATTAAGTTCACTTGCTGTTCTTATTAGTCGCTTCTATTATCTCATCTCAGCGAAGAATGAAAATTCACATCTCGAATGTTACAATGTCAAATATGGAACGCCACAATGTTGGGAAACATTTGTCGGTCAACAATTCTACAAATTATTCATCGTCGATTTTGTTACGCACATTTTCGTAACATTCTTTGTGAATTTTCCACGTGCACTGATTGCACGTCACATGAACAATGCTTTTTCACGTTTTATCGAAATGGATTTCGAGCTTTCAAAGCATGTGCTGGATGTGGTTTATTCACAAACAATCTGCTGGTTAGGAACATTTTATGCGCCATTTTTACCAGCAATTGCTGCTGTTTTAATTTTCTTTATGTTTTATATTAAGAAGTTCGCATGTTTGGTGAATTCAAAGCCATCAGCAATTCTCTATCGCGCTAGTCGATCGAATTCACTCTTCATGATTATTCTCCTGTTGAGCTTTACAATTGCAATCATTCCGGTTGTTTATGCTATTGCTGAGATTGTACCATCAAGAAGTTGCGGACCGTTTCGTGGTCTTCATTCAACATGGGATCGAGCAATTGAAGCTTTTATGAAACTTCCGGAATTTCTAAGAAATATTGTCTTTTTCTTTGGCACATCATCATTCGCCATTCCATGCTTCATAGTTTTGATTCTTTTCCTCTATTATTACTACTCAGTATCAGCAGCTAACAAGCATATGGTGCAAGTTCTTAAGAATCAACTTGTGCTTGAAGGTCATGACAAACAATTTCTTTTGACACGTTTAAGTCTTTTCATAAAGCAACAACAAGAATATCAAAAACGTGTTCAACGTCAGTTTTATGATCAAACAAGCACAACAACAAACTCACAATTATCACAGGGAATAAATTTGGATACAATTCCACCACCGCTTTTGCCACGTGCACCACGAAGTGATGCTGGGAGTAGTGAAAGATCTTCAGTTGAAATCAAACCACACCAGAATCATCGAATGAGTGAAATTGGTGACATTTAAAAGAAGAGAAATTTCCTTCCTTTATTAATTATTTTTCTCTCTATTTATAACCGTGACACTAGCAAAAAAGCGAAAAAGAAAAGTCAAAAAATTAGTGAAGAAAATCGTGATAACTTTTATAATTTAAGAAAATTCAGAATCATAATAGAAAACACATTTTTGACGTTCCTGTGAATAATTGTGTGGGTGTTGGGTGTGAGTGTGTGTGGTTGTGAAGAAAAAACATATATTTTCTTTTTAATTAATTTAACTTAGATTTTTAATCAAGAATGAGAAATTAGAATTAAGTGAAAGAATGAAAAATCGTCCGTTTGATGATAATTAAATATTTATATCATGATCACATTTAATTATTCAAGATAAATAATGCGTGGGTGGAGTGATGTAAAGTGATCACATTCATGTTGATAGATAAAATGTAACTGTGTATAAAGACAAATCTGAAAGAGAAGAAGAAAGGGAAGACAAAGTTAATTTATTTAACAACACATTTCTGCATATCGTTTTTTGTGACACGCCATTTTCCTTTCTTTTAAAACAGTTTTTCATTTCTCCACACATTTGTATCTTTTTAGTCATTATGTCTTAAGGTGAAATCATGAAGAATCTTAGTCTATGTAAGTTGAAATCAAATAATGTAAGTAAAATGTGAATTGAGAAAAGGAAAAGAACAGAAAATTATTTATTGGAAGAAAATTATCTAAATAAGAAAAGTTTTGGATGGTCTGGTGGATGAATGAGAAGATATCAAAATAAAACTTCACTAATTACACTTTAAATTATCTATTTTGAACAAGCTTGCGTTTGTTAATAACACCATCTTCACAATAATCTTTCCAACAATCATCCACAGACCCTTCACAAGGAAAACAAAAAAATATTTCGTCACGGAAATGCCGAGTAAAAAAAATATAATTAAAGTTTCTTAAAAACAAGTATTAATCACATAGTTAAAGTTTAATTGCATAGCAATGAGTTTGTCGCTTCCTCAAAGAGATTAAAATTAATGTTTTATATTTGCTTATGAAAAATTTCTGAGTGAAAAGAAAAATTTTATGTCAAAAGCTTTTCATTTCTGTTTTCAAACAGTTTCAAATGAAAATTGAGGTAAAATGAAATAGATGGTCTCAAATTTTAGTTTAATCAACTTATTATCCGATAATCCTACAAGTAATACTCTTCATCATTACCACAAAAATTGCATAAATAATTTCTGCTTCACATTTTGATTACTCATCACACAAGAACCTTTGAAACACATGAAAACATGAGTGAAAGAAAGTTAAATTATTAAATTTATTATAAAAATTTCCATAGATTTTGCATAAGAAAATCAAAAATAATCAAAATGATGAAACAATACTGCTCGATAGTCCATCAAAATAGAAATTGTCTGTAAGAAAAATAGTTTCTGGTCGCTCAAAAAAAAACTTTTAGAAGAAAAAGATTTTCATTTCAGTTTTTTAGAAACTTTTTGCATTGCAAAAATAAAATTTAAAAAAATGTTCAGAGTCTAATGTTCAGACAAAAAATAGAAACAATAAAAGAATGTTTTATAATGCAGCAGAAAAAAGTTTTCAAATTTTCTTATCAACATTTGCAGATTTATTTTGGGAGAAAGGAAATGACAAATACCGCAAAAACAAATAACTTGTAAGGCTGAACTTTTCGAGATGAAGTTATTTCTGTTCATTCTTTTGGTAAGATTAAAGTTTGCATGTCAAGATGATTGCACGATGCTATTGGACATTTCTAAATCTATTTAAGTCATCCACGTCATTCGTGTGAGTCGAAACGTGTTGGAGACTTTTTGATTGAGACACATGAAGATTTCTACTGCATTCCTACTATTCGATGTCAGTCACAAAATTTTTCTAAGCAAAGACAAAGTTTTAAAAGAAAGTTCAATAAGATTAATTGAATTGAACTATTCTCTTGTAGTTTTCCAATACTTTAATTTATTGAAATTCTAATTCTAGACCGGAACTGAAAACTTTCAAAAAGTCAATAAAATTATTAAATTTTCAGCAAGACAGGAAAACGTGATTTCAAAGTTGGAATCGAAAACATCGACACTTCCTTTAATTAAGATTGTAATCATTGGGTAGGAACTTTAACAGATGATCCTGAACCACAAGAGCTTTGTTATTGTGATTGTGGTGCTCAAGATGAAGTCATTCCACATGTTTTAGGTGGAACATTTTTTCAAGAAGTTCAATGGCCATGGACAGCTGGTAAGGGGAAGCTTTTTACTCATTTTCTTTTAAAATTTCTTGAAATTTTAACTCACTGCATTTCATTCAGTTTATCATTAAAACTTTAAAACGGGTGAATTTTTTCTGATTTTTCGTTTTATTTCCTACTTTTATAGAATCGTAAGTTTTTGGAACATATTCAGTTAAAAGAAACTTTTGTGCTGATGATCAGAGAACTAAAGGAATCTGTCTTGGGGACACAGGAAGTGGATTTTTCATTAAAAGATATGAAAAATATTATCTTAACGGATTATCATCATTTAGCAATTGCAGATGTTCAAATGAAACTAGAAAGTATGAGATTTTTATGAAAGTATGAGGAGTGTCTATTAAATAAAGTCTTCATTTCTAGAATGGATAGAAAATATTCATTTTTAAATTTAACTTAAGAAACTGTTGTTAATATTCAAATTTCCCGCGTTTATGACAAGTTAAACTGTTATAATTTAAGTACTATCGGATTTCCCTACCCCTTGATAATCAGTTTTGACTTTGAAAGCAGTAAACTTAGTCAGAGAATTGAATTCTAATTGGAATGCATCTAATTATATCGTAAAATAAAATGAATAGTAAACGAGCAAGAGAAAAAAGCGATGAAGTTCCTTCAAAGAAGCGTCATCTTGAAAACAATGTAAGGATTTCACAATTTTTGGTTTTTTGCTGCTTGCTAATTTGGCGGCAATTCCAAGTTTTAGATTTGAATTTTATTTCATCTTATTTGTAGGATTCTGAGCAAAGTGCTTCATCAACAAGCAGTTTAGCTGAACTGCCACATTCTGGTACACAATTATTTAAGAAACCCAGAAATCCAAAAAATTTCGTTGACTTGACACTTAAAAGCGGCAAAATTAAACAAATTCACTTGAAAAACTTTATGTGCCATTCTAACTTCCATGTAAATTTGAATAAAAATGTTAATGTGTTTGTTGGTCTCAATGGCAGTGGAAAATCAGCCATTTTAACAGCTCTATCGATTGGACTTGGAAGTAAAGCAAGCAGCACGTCACGCAGTACTAGCATCAAGGACTTAGTCAAAAGAGGAGAAACGTCAGCAACCGTTGAAATAACTTTAACAAACGACGGATTTGATTCATTTGAAGGTGAGCATATATAAATTCATTATAATTATTGGAAATAAGTTTCAATTTTTCCTTTTTTCAGCTGAAACTTATGGAAAAGAAATCACAATCGTTCGAACAATCAATAGCAATTCAGGTGCTTCTACTTACAAACTTAAAAGTGAAACAGGACGAATCATATCAACCAGTCGACAAGATTTATCTAAACTTTCGTTGTGTTTGAACATTCAAGTTGATAATCCTGTCCTCATTCTAAATCAAGATGCAGCTCGCTCATTCTTAAAGGATTGTGACTCGAAGAAACTTTATCAATTTTTCTTGAAAGCAACACAAATTGATGCAATTATTGAAAAACTTCATACGTGTCTTAAGTCAGCATCTTTTTCGAAAGTTCATTTAGAAAATTATAATCGCCTTATAAAGACTGAAGAAGAAGAAGTTGTCGTTCTTAAGGAAAAGCATGAAAAACTTCAATCAATTCTCCGTTTGCGTAATGATATTGAAAGATATCGTAATGAGATTGAATGGTCGGAAGTGTCAGACATTGAAAAGAAACTCAAAGAGGCAGAAAATCAGCTTGAATCGAAAAGAGAACAAATCGCAGAAATCAACAATTTAGTCAAAAATCGAGCAAAAATCGAAAAAGATTTGAAGGAGAAAATTCGAGACTTTGGAACAGAATTTGTTCATCTTAAAGAAATCGTCACATCCAAAGATGGAATAACTGAACAGAATCGTCGTGAATGTGAAGAATTACGTGATAAATTGAGTACAATTCAGGGAAGTTTCAACAATTTATTAGAAAGAAAGCGACTTGTTGATGAGAACATTGCACAACTTGAAGCTGATCTTGCTGAACGTGAAGCTAATCCAATGAATGTTGAGAACATGCGCAAACAAAATGAAAAACGAATTGTTGAACTGAGTAAGGAGAAAGAAGATTTAGTTCTGAGAAACACAACAGCACGTCGCGATTATCAACAATTTAATGACACACTTCTTGAATATCGTGAAAAAATCGATGCTGCAAACAACCAAAGAACAAACATTCAATCGCAGTTTCAAACGTGTACAACACAAATTCGTCAAATGAAGAGTTGCTCGGATGATTCATTATCAGCTTACGGTCAGAGAATGCCCGAGTTGATCAAGAAAATCGAAGAAATGTTCAAAGGAAAACAGTTTACAGAACTTCCACGTGGACCTTTAGGACGTTACATTGAAGTGCCTGACAAAAAGTACAAAGAAGCAGTTGAAAATATTCTCGAATCAACATTACGGGCTTTCTATGTAAGTTGTGATAAAGATCGACTTGTCTTAACGAAACTTCTTCAACAATATTCGGAATTTTCACGTTATCAAATCATCACTGGATCGTTTCAAAAGAAAGTTTATGATGTGCGTAATGGAATCGTCCAATTGCGATCAAACGTCGGTCGTGTGTTGATGGATGTTATTAAAGTCAACGATCCAGTTGTGATAAATTGTCTCATCGATCAAAAGCATATTGAAACAATTGTTTTGGTTGACAACACAGAAATTGCGATTGAACTGACACAAGAAATCGAAAATGTTCCTCCAAATTTAAGTCATGTTGTGTTGTTGAATCCTTTTTCTGATTATTATCCAGCACCAAATTATCGAACATACTCAAATCGTTTAAAGCCAGCACGATATATTCAGACCAATTCCAATGATGTTATTGCTGCTATTGAACATCAGAAGAATGAACTGCAAGAGAAAATTCGTCATATTCAAGAAATTAGTAAGCAATATGAAAAAAAGTTACGTGAACAAGAGAAATTAGTGACTGAAAAGAAGACTTTAAGTAACGAACTACAAGAGAAGATTCGTCAGATTAGTAAAACACTTTCTGAATTACAAGCAATTGAATATCCTGATGAAAATGAGGCTGAGTATTTACGTACAGAACTTGAAGAGCTGAAAGTTAAGAAGGAAGCAATAATTAACAAAATCAACTCACAGGAAGAGAAAGTCAAAGAATTGCAAGGAACCGTCGCTCAGAAGGAATTCGATTTGAATAAATCTCGTGAAGAAGCTCGTGAGACTCGTGAAAATATGACAAAAATTCAAAGTGAGATCGAAAGCATTCAACAGAAGCTTAACGAGATGAGCTCAGATATAAGTTTGAAGAAGGAACGCTTACAAGTATTGATGGAGGAAGAGAAAACTGCTGACGGCACTTACCAAGAATTCAATGCGAGCTTAAGTTCGGCTCTTAAAAATATTAAAGGAAAAAGAGTTGAAAATCCACGACCAGTTAATGAAATTAACACACGAATTCGTTCAGCTGAAAATCGAATTCGTATCATTGAAGAAAACAACGACAATATTTTTGATGTTGAACTTCAGCTCAACCATAAGGTTCAACAAGTTGATAAGATGAAACAAGTCATTACTGTTCATGAACAAGTTTTGCGAAAGGTAAAAAATTTGAAATTAATTTAAAAGAAAATGAAAATTTATTAAGAAAATTCTTCTACATAGCTTGACGACATTCGAACATCGCGTTTTAATTATGTCAAACGTTTACGTCAACATATGTCTCTTCGTGTTAAAAGCAAGTTTAATGTCCTTATGAATTTGCGAAATTATTCAGCTGAAGCTGTGATCGATCATAAAGAGAAGACGCTTGAACTGAGAGTTTTACCAAGAGATTCACAAATTGCTGGTGCTGTTTCCAACACAAAAAGCTTATCAGGAGGTGAACGTTCTTATTCCACTGTTGCATTCCTTATTTCCTTGTGGAGTTGCGTTGATCATCCCTTTTACTTCTTGGATGAATATGATGTGTTTACTGACGAGTACAATCGCATCATGATGACAAAATTATTATTCAAGGAAGCTGAGAAGAAAAAGAATAAGCAATACGGTTTCCTTACGCCACAAGACTTTTCAAGCATTCAAGCATCTGAAACTATTACAATTCATAAACTCGATGATCCCGATAAAACAAATTAATTGATTTAATGTTTTCATTTTATTTTTTCATTGCTCATTCTTACATAAAAGATATCAAATAAACTTTCTATTTGAACTTAATTTTACTCTTTGAAATCAACCTTGTAAAGTCAATCAAAACAAAAAATAAAACTAGCAATCGTTGCGTACTGTTGAATGAAAACAAGTTTTGTTCTTATTTCTCATTCCCTTTGTTTGCAAAAAGTTACTACTCTTGACACCAGGTGGCGCAGCTGATCTAATTTCCCCTTCGAATATTCACTTCCTAAGAAAATTATTGCGAGCAGAGAAATTTCTTTCAATTAAACAATTATTTTTTCTTCTCTATCATTTCAAAAGTGAAAGTATGGATTACTAGATGTAATTAGACTTTAGGAGACTTCTAGAAGTGAAAAAAAGATAAGAAAGAATTTACTTTCGATTCTAGTTGTAGATTATTTAGAATAAATTGTCACATATCGGGTTGCGAGTGAATGAATCACAAAAACAATGGATAGTGATTGGATTTCATGCATTTGCATTGTGGACTTCGACATTGGTGTTGGTCAAGTTCTTGAACATGTTTATCCGTCAACAGCATCATTAACTGAAGGTGAAAGAATGAATATTTGCTATTTGGCCTTTCCGGACTCAAATTCAGGTTGCATGGGTGATACAAAGTTTCATGTTTCGTTAAGAACAAACAGTCAATTAACAAACAATCAACGAACATTTAATCGTGAATGTCAGCAACAATTGAGAGCTGATGTTGGACATTATTGGGGATATGTTTATTTTAGACAAGTCAAAGATGCAACGAGTAAAAGAGGATATTTTCAGAAGTCCTTTGTGCTTATAACGAGACTTCCATTTCACAATTTTTTCTACGAACTCATTCATCGATGGGCTCCAGCTTACTTCACTTCAGGCTTATCAGCACTTGAACAAGGTTGTGATCAAATCTCATCTTGGCCACGTCTCAATGCAAACTCACAACTTCAACTTCACATGCTTGGCTCAATTTACCAGATCTACATTCCTGCAGCTGCCAATCGATCCTGTCCTGAAACATCATCAACACCTGTTGAAGTTGAAGACGTAACAAATAATAACTCAGGTCTAATTCCCATCTCAATCACATCACCCAACGAAATTGACATCTTTGGCCCTCTTCATACGATAATTCATCATATTCAGTTAATGTGGGAATTGGTGTTGCTTGGTGAGCCACTTGTGATAATTGCAACATCGCCTACCGACTCAAGTCATATGGTTCAGGCTTTAATGAGTCTCATATATCCACTTGATTATCATCCAGAAGTTTATCCATATTTTACAATTCATAATACTGAGTTTCGTGAGTTTGCTGGTGCTTCTATCCCACCTTCAGTGATTCTTGGCGTTACAAATCCATATTTTGCTAAGACTCTTCAATCATGGCCACATACAGTGAGGATAAGTGAACCATTACAAATACAACATAATAGTGAACATCCAGTGCCACATAGAAAGCTTGAGAGAGTGAGAAGTCTTCAAAAATTCCTAATGGACACAACCGGATCAATCTATACACAATATCGGCCATTTCTACAGAAAGATAAGACAATTGTGAAGAAAGTACTGAATGGTGTGAAACCCCGACGACCCATAGCCGTTCAATCAGTGATATTGAGACGATATTTCCTCGAGCTAACCCAAAGTTTTATGATTCCACTTGAACGTTACATGTCGACACTTATGCCATTAGCAAAAGATATTTCAGCATTTCGTGCTCCACCTGTGCCAGCACAGTTCAGAGAAGAAACTTTTCTTGGGACTCTTGAACTGTCGGGACCACATTTAACTTCACAAGTGAAAGGTGATTACGAAGGGTTGTACAAAAAATTTTTCCGTTCAGCAAACTTCCGTGGTTGGTATGAATCAAGAAGAATGGAGCAGCTGGAGAAGCTGGAAGAACTTCATCAAGAAGCTTTAGCTAAAGAAGATTTAAGAAAATGGATTGTAGGAAAGCAAGAAGTTGAAATTGTTGATATGATACTTTGCATCAAACAAAAACTTCAACTTCCGGTTACTTCAAATTCAACGCTGACACCACCAGAACCATCCATATTTGTGGCAATCAAGAGAAACATTAGGGATAAATTAATGAAGCAGCTAGACGATCTTATGGACTGTTTACCTGACGACCTCAAAATGATACTCAATTGATGATTCTACTTATGGTGGTCGATGGCGAATAAAGAAAGGAATTTTAATTTTAATTTTATGTTTTTAAATTGTCAATCATTTGTAAAAGAGATAAATATTATCAATAATAAGTTCGAGTATACAACATGTGTTTTCTCAAGGTCTTGTTGTTTGATATTCAGTATTTGAGTTTCTACAGATGTTTAAACAATATTGACACACATTCACAGAACGAATTCGAAAATGTTAACGGAAATTTTTTTAAATTACTAAAAGTCAGAGATTGTTAAGTTACCAGAAACCGACTAAAACCAGTCACTGCGGGAGGCGTAAAATGTAAACAAACAATTAAAACAAGTTGTAAATAAAATTAAAAAAAAAACGCAAACAGATAATGACGACTTTAATGATACTGATAAGAATGCTTTATAAGAAGATGTAGAGCTTTTTCGAAGTTTAATTATGTCTGAGTATCAGCCAATTGCCACAAGTAAGTGAAAAGAAATTAAAAAATTAAAGTGGAAAAATGAAAATAAATTTCATTCAAAGGATTGAATTCATTCAAAGGAGTTTTTGATACAGTTTTTTAATTTAATAGTGAGAGAAATATCATCATCAAGTTATTTATTATTCATCATTCAATCGATAAACAATTTTATGATATTTTAAAATCAAAGCTTAAATTACCGGCGAATACCTGTTTCTTTGTTATGATCGATATTTTAGAAGCTTTGGTTTTGCAAAATTAAACATCAAGGACAACCAAATGTTATATAACTATAATGATTAGTGGAATTTTAATCATGACGCATACTTTGATAAGAAAAGTGTTCAAAAAGTAATGTTTGTTTAGTACTTATCATTAAATCATTGTTATCGTTATTATCATTTGTCACACTGCATAGTATGAACATTTTCTTTTGAAATAGCTGTTGCACAAGTACAATTTTATTTTCTTTCATGTCTACTCATATGAGACGTTTTATCAAGTCGCTAATCTATCGAACAATAAAAGAAACAAAGTATTGCGTGAGAGTTTATTGCAAAATGTGTGATTCTTATAAATTCTCTCTCATTTGTCGAAACGAATCAAAAATTAATATTATCAAGAAGCTCACAATCAGTGTATTTGTTCACGTTGAGTCTCCTGACAAGCTTTCTTATTCTTTAACGAGCAGTCTTCGGGTTGAATACTATACAATACAAAAACTTAAATAATCTAATTTATATTTTGGAAAGAGTAGTAAAAATTAACGTAGCGTAGTGTAAGCAGACAAACAGTAAACCTTAAGTGCATATAAATGACAATGAAAGGTGGATACAGTTAGATTTAAATTTATAGATTAAAGAGACTTGTAATGTTGTTTTTATAATAAATTATCATTGCAATGTCATTTGAAATGTCATGTGTAAAGTTAAAAATCTCAAATCATTATTCACTATTCGCAATCAAATAAATTCATCACATCAGAATTTTAATCTTTTTTTTGCGGAAACTTCCTACAAGCCAAGCGACAAATGACTTCAAATCTAACTTGAATTATTTTAATCGCATATGAGGAAAAAAATATTCCACAATCGTTTCTATTTTGTGAAGAAGTTTTAATATGTTTCGGAGTCCCGGTTGTCCGGTTGTTGTACAAGTTAGGAGAATGATTTATTGACTTCAGTCAGTATAATCGACAGTTGATAAAGTGATAAAACTGCTTTACAAAGCTACTGAAATATTTCTTTTTGTATTTTTCTGTACAATTGTTCCATGAAGTGTAAGATTTATAGCGATTTCGGTTTATCAAAGGTTGTAGCGCTTTACGCCAGTAAATAGAATGTCGAGTACTTGTTGTTTACTAGTATAGATAAACGCATTTCTTATGACATTATCTAGGTCAAAAAGCCAAAATTTACAAGCTTTCAAATATTTTATCTTCAACTATTTCAACACAATTGTCACGAGTGTCTGATTTAAATTCTTGTGAGCGTAATTTTCGTGACGTGAGAAAATGTTTCACTTCCGATCTTCATCATACGTTAAGTCAAAGCCCTAGATTTAGTTTTCTTCATAAAATGTTTAAAATAATTTATTCAAGCTAAGAAATAAGAGTTTTAATCGTTAATTGCTTCATACAATTGCGTTAATTTTTGATATTATCATTGCTGATAAGATAAGAGATTTGTAAACAATGAACCAGACGATAAAATTAAAAGTAAAAAATTTTCCTACAGACAGTCCAACCCACCAGACTCACATTTATGACGCTGAATTACATCGAGAGCAATGTCCTGATATTGTTGGAATTTTATCAAAAAAAGTTGCCAAAGGTTGTACAACAAGTACCCTTAAAAGCAGATTACCGATACTCGAATGGCTACCGAACTACAAATTTTCGTTTCTTCTTGAAGATTTTGTAGCCGGGCTGAGTGTTGGATTAACAGCAATTCCACAAGGCATTGCATACGCTGTTGTGGCTGGTTTGCCTGTAAGTTTTTATAATAAAAATGTTTGTAAAACATTAAAAAAAATTCTTATCACAGCCCCAATATGGTCTCTACTCGGGCTTTATGGGTAAATTTCTATTAACTGAAATTAAATTCAATTAATTTAATAATTTAATTACTGCACAGGCGTTTTCGTGTATGCCTTGTTTGGTAGCTGCAAAGATATCACACTGGGACCGACAGCAATTATGGCCTTGATGGTAAATTCTGCGGTTGTCAATTTGAATGTCGACTTCGCGATTCTTGCAACATTTTTGAGCGGTTGTCTGATATTTTTGTTAGGATTTCTAAACTTAGGTAAAAAAATGGTTAAGAGAAAATATTTTCGATACAAAATTTATTTCTTTTAAAAAGGTTTCCTCGTACAATTTATATCGGCACCAACGATAGTCGCTTTTATAACAGCAGCAACGATCACAATTGGAAGCGGACAAGTCAAGCCGTTATTGGGTATATCGAGTGGATCTTCAAGTGAATTTCTTGATGCGTGGGAGAATGTTTTCAAACATTATGATGAAATTAAATGGACTGACACGTTGCTTGGAGTTTTCTCTTTGGCATTGTTAATTGGAATGAAGAATTTAACGAAATTGAACACAGGGAAAATGTTTTTCAAATATTTATCGATCTCACGAAACGCTCTTGTCGTCATTATGGGAATCGCCTTAGCTTACGTCTTTTATATTAATGGAAGTGAACCTTTCCGTCTTACCGGAAAGATCCAAGATGGCTTTCCGGGATTTTCACTTCCACCATTCACAGCAGAATTCAAGGGCGAAACTTATGACTTCATTGACATGGTCAAAGCTTTGGGACTCTCTCTGGTTACAATTCCACTTGTATCTATTCTCGAAAGTGTCGCCATAGCTAAAGCTTTAAGCAAAGGAAAACTGGTTGATGCAACACAAGAAATGCTTGCTTTGGGGTTGTGCAATATTGCTTCAGCTTTTGTTAAGTCGATTCCTATAACTGGATCCTTTACACGAACTGCTATTAATCATGCTTCAGGTGTAAGAACTCCATTGGGTGGTTGCTTTACGGGCGCTTTAGTTCTTTTAGCTCTTGGTCTTCTTACTGGAACTTTTTACTTCATTCCGAAAACTGTGCTGGCTGCTGTTATCATTGCTGCAATGATTGGCATGTTTGAGTTGGGTGAAATAATTAAAATCTACAAAACGAAACGAAGCGACATCATTCCTTTCATTGGAACTTTCATTGTTTCCCTTTTGATGGGATTGGAATACGGAATTCTTTTGGGAATTGGAATCAACATTCTTTTTACACTTTACAACACTTCACGACCCAAGATCACTGTTGAAGTGGCCAAGATTAATGATCACGAGATTCTCGTTATCACACCCGATCAGAGCTTGATTTATTCTGCTGCCGAACACTTCAAATCTGTTGTAATAAAAAAGGCGACAATTGACTTTAGTTCCGCGGATATTGTTGTTATTGACGGATCTTCAGTCAACTTTATCGACACAACAGTAGCAAAGGTAATAAATCAATTTAATGAATAACGCAATAGAAATGAAATTGTTTGTGTTTTTCTAATTTGTACAGATAACTTCGTCAATTGTCACAGATTTACAACTTAGAGATAAGAAATTATTCTTCTGGAACTGGAAGCGTGAGCCTTTCAGCGTCATGATGCGTTACAATCATCAGTATTTTGAGCTTTTTAAACATTCAGAAACACTTCATGATTTAGTTATTCAACTAAAAGAAAATGAAGCATTGAATGATGTAAACGAAGTGTTGACACGCGAATAATTGTTTTAATTCCTTTAAATTTTTTATATTATTTATATTTTGGTGTAAATATTTCAAGTTTAGTTTTAATAAAAATGCTTTAATAAAATTGCTTCTTGCAATCATTCAATTGATGATAGAGGGGAAAGTTTGAAAAGAGTGGATCAGAATTATGATTTAATTTCACATAATCCAAAACTCGATAACATTCTGTTCTCAAGAACTTTCTACAATTTCATCTGTTAACTTTAAAGCACTAGCAAGAATTCGTGTTCATTCAAAAAAATTAATCGAATCCGAAGAACTGGAACGACTTCAAATTTAAGCGCCATCAAAACATATTTTTTATTTGAATTTCGTCAATAAAAAAAGTAAAAACATGTTAACTAAATATTTATCTTAATTCCAAAGCAAACAATTGCAGTCATAAATTAACTCACTCAAGGAACAACAGTGATGCTTATTTGTTATTTCACAACATCACTTAAGTGTACTTCAGAAAAAATTCCAAAATTGCTTAAAGCAATAAAATTTGACTAGGTAGTAAACAGAAATGAAATTGTTTTGTTTTTCTACTTCCTACAGATAGCTGCGTGATTTGTCACAGATTCAAAACTTACAGATAAGAAATTGTTGTTATTCTGAAAGTGTAAAGTTTACAGAGTCATGATGCGATATAATACTGAAGTATTTTGAGCTTTTTACACAGTCAGAAATACTTCATGATTCAGTTATTCACTTTAAAGAAAAAGTCGCTTTTAATGGTATCACCGAAGTTGCAACACGCGAATTTCTTTTAATTTATTTTTTATACTTTTTATCTAAATGTCTAAGTAGATACCTTAGTTGTATGTATTTGAATTTTAATAAAAAGACTTTCTCATAAATAAAAGTGTTCTGTCATTAAATACCAAGCAGATATATTCAAGTCAGCTATTTAGTATGTAGGTACCTAAGGCATTAATGAAAATTTCAGATTATCTAATAAGAATAAAATGTAGCTTGGAGTTATAAATCTTCCAACATCAAGATAAAATGTATTGTACCGTAAAACATTTTTTATTTTTTGCTAAATGGGCTTGAAAATCCCAAGTGGTATAAAAATTAAAAAAGTTGTTGGGCTAGAGCCGGGTGCTATGGGAAATACCAAATCTAATCAAAATAAGTAAAAAACATCCGAGTTGAGATATTGAAGCTTTTTTTTTTCAAGCTTTTTCCAAATATTTTTTATTGAGTAAAACTTAATTCTAGTACAAAACTTAAGAAATTCTATATTAATAGATTATCTTCAAGTCTTTAAATATCTACTCAAATAAATAAAAATTAATAAATTACCTAACCAGAATAAATGCCAAGCAATGAGAATGTTGTTACAAAATTTAACGGTTATTTGAAATTCAAAAACGCTCAACGAGTTGAACTTCAGTGGTTCAAACCATGTTTTGATTGTCGTGTGCCTTCACATTAAACAGTTGGGAGGAAAGTTAACTATTCTTTAAATAAAATCCTCTTTAAAACTGGCTATAAACATGCCTCGAAGTAGGAGCAGCGACACTGTTAAAACCAAAAAAGATTTGATATCAATATCAGATAGAGATCCATTCTTCCAAACTTTCGAGAGTAAGTTGAATATTTTTAAGACGCTTTGTTTTTAATGATAAATCATGTAATAGAAACTCATTGAAAAATTATCTTTCAGAGCCAACTCAAATATATCGATATCTTAAAACGCGTTTCGTAGCATCTGTAAGTAAAAAAATAAATATAAAAGTTGAATGTATTGCTAAAATTCATCTCAAGGATTTTTACACTAAATCAGTGCATTCACCTCGAATATGAAATTATCTTTCTAAATATTTTTCTTGTAGCCGCTGTTTCTTCATCGGAACTTAAGTTACATGAAAGGGAGATCAACTCGTAATCACAAAAGAAGAGCTTGTTTTAAAATAACAGATATGATGAAAAATAAAAATGAGGAGAATGAAAAAGACGCAAACGCTAATGAAAATCTTATCATAGCGTTTGTTCGTTTTAAGGATGAAGTCCTCAATGCAAAGAATGTAAAAGTGGAAACAAAGCTAGAAAAGGTTTCACACAAACGCCGCAAAGAAGGAACATCTGGACAAAATCTCATAAACATTGGCCTTTCAAAAGTCGATGTTAATGTTGATAACAATGGAAGTGAATTATTGCCCGCGATTTGTGTCACAAATGACCAATTTGAGCGTGAAAATCCACAAACATCATATCAGTTGACTTTCGATATTGAAGCAATTACAGCATTTGTACCAAAGGATAGTGGTGACGAGCAGCCATCTAAACTTCCTTGCGTGAGTAAACAATATCACGCTGAATTGCCTGTATACGATAAGTGTGGAAGGAATTTACTTCTCAGTGGAGTTTACCATGTCACTGCTTTAGAGACGAATTTTTTTCGTCCATCGCGAATGCCGTGTTGGGAGAGTTTCTCAAATGACTCTGATCAACACATCATGAACTGGGCGGAAGAAGTGAACAAGCATTTCTTTGCTGAAAAGGATNAAATGTTTTTCAAATATTTATCGATCTCACGAAACGCTCTTGTCGTCATTATGGGAATCGCCTTAGCTTACGTCTTTTATATTAACGGAAGTGAACCTTTCCGTCTTACTGGAAAGATCCAAGATGGCTTGCCAGGATTTTCACTTCCACCGTTCACAACAGAGTTTAAGGGCGAAACTTATGAGTTCATTGACATGGTCAAAGCTTTGGGACTCTCTCTGGTTACAATTCCACTTGTATCTATTCTCGAAAGTGTCGCCATAGCTAAAGCTTTAAGCAAAGGAAAACTGGTTGATGCAACACAAGAAATGCTTGCTTTGGGGTTGTGCAATATTGCTTCAGCTTTTGTTAAGTCGATTCCTATAACTGGATCTTTTGCACGATCTGCTATAAATCATGCTTCAGGTGTAAGAACTCCATTGGGTGGTTGCTTTACGGGCGCTTTAGTTCTTTTAGCTCTTGGTCTTCTTACTGGAACTTTTTACTTCATTCCGAAAACTGTGCTGGCTGCTGTTATCATTGCTGCAATGATTGGCATGTTTGAGTTGGGTGAAATAATTAAAATCTACAAAACGAAACGAAGCGACATCATTCCTTTCATTGGAACTTTCATTGTTTCCCTTTTGATGGGATTGGAATACGGAATTCTTTTGGGAATTGGAATCAACATTCTTTTTACACTTTACAACACTTCACGACCCAAGATCACTGTTGAAGTGGCCAAGATTAATGATCACGAGATTCTCGTTATCACACCCGATCAGAGCTTGATTTATTCTGCTGCCGAACACTTCAAATCTGTTGTAATAAAAAAGGCGACAATTGACTTTAGTTCCGCGGATATTGTTGTTATTGACGGATCTTCAGTCAACTTTATCGACACAACAGTAGCAAAGGTAATAAATCAATTTAATGAATAACGCAATAGAAATGAAATTGTTTGTGTTTTTCTAATTTGTACAGATAACTTCGTCAATTGTCACAGATTTACAACATGCAGATAAGAAATTATTCTTCTGGAACTGGAAGCGTGAGCCTTTCAGCGTCATGATGCGTTACAATCATCAGTATTTTGAGCATTTTAAACATTCAGAAACAATTCATGATTTACTTATCCAACTAAAAGAAAAGGACGCTTTCAATGGCGTAAACGAAGTGTTGACACGCGAATAATTGTTTTAATTCCTCTAACTTTTGTATATTTTTTATGTTTTGATGTATTATAATTTTTGCAAAATAGTTTTAATAAAAATGCTTTAAAAAAAATATTAAATCGTTTAATGAGTTTCTTGAAATCATTCATGGATCGGAATTAATATTAAATTTTGCATAATCTAAAAATCGATAACATTTTGTTCTCAAGAACTTTCTACAATTTCATCTGTTTCATTTAAAAGAATTAAATAATCGAATCCGAAGAAGTGGAAAGACTTTAAATGTCAAGTCTCGGTCCTTAACCAAAATTCATCTAAGAAATTTCATATCTAGATAAGAAAAATATTTCTTCACAATTGTCTTGGATTTAAGCGCCATCAAAACATATTTTTTACTTGAATGTCGTACGAAACTCATGTGAAAAATATTTTAGTAAATAGTTCAATAAAAAAAAGTAAAAACATGTTAACTAAATATTTATCTCAATTCCAAAACAAACAATTTCAGTCATAAATTAACTCATTCCAGGAACAACAGTGATGCTTATTTGTTAAGTGTTCTTGAATGATTCAAAATTTGCTTGAGGCAATCAAATTTAACTGGTAGGTAAATAGTTTCTTTCTTTCCTTTGGAAATTAATCACAAATTCGTAAAACAAAAAGTCACGATGATTGATGATTCTTGAATCTTATCTTTGAATTACTTGTTGTAATGTTAAGATTACAAAATTGGCTACTCGAACCATTGAAAAGGTTTATCATTTTAATTGTTATTGAAAGGTAACTAAAAACAAGTGAAACTCTCACGTTTGATATAATCATTAATGGATCAACACTGATAACTGACAGATAAACTCAATTAAATTGATAATTGTGAAGCTTACAAAGCAATCGACTTTAATAAATATATTTATTGGATGGCTTTTTATTCTTCATTTAACATTCATTGGAACAAGACTAAAAAATATTTTATTTAACATTTAAAAGTGAAACTTTAATAGAAAATTAAATGACTAGAAAAGGTATTACAACTGTGTTAACAGTTTCAGAAAATTTACAGATTATCAAATAATTGGGCAATAACATTAAAAATGTAATAAAAAGTGTTAACATTTACATTGTTAAGCAGCAACTGACATGAAAATGATTCTACGTAATTAATGTTAATAGATGTTTAAAATTATTTTCTGCTCTAAAATGAGTTAAAAGTGACTCAAATCAAATTTTTAATATTTTTACATTATAATCATATGGTGTGTCAATGAATCACGATTTTTCTAAAAAAGCTAATAAAATAAAAAATGTTTAGTGCAAAGTTAACAATTCAAATCTGTTGTAATAAAAAAGGCGATAACTAACTTTAGTTCCGCGGATATTGTTGCTATTGATGGATCTTCAGTTGGTTTTGTTTTATTCACGATATGCTTAAAATAGTTTTAAAAGCAAAGCAATAAAAGTTTTATTTGTTAATTGCAAGTGGTTTTTCATCATAGTGTTTTATCGACTGCCTCTAAATGAAACTTCGAAAAGCATTAGAACTTTTCCGGAAAAATTGCCATTTTCAAAGAATTTTTAAAGTTTTTCTTGGTACTTGGCTAGTGATTTTTTAATGGTGCTTTTGCCTACCATTTATTTTCGATGCTTCCAGTTAATTGCTTTAATTAATTTTTGATATTATCATTGCTGATAAGATAACTGTAAATAATCCGCCCAGAAAATAAACTTATAAGTGAAAATTTTCCTACAGACAGTCCAACCCACCAGACTCACATTTATGACGCTGAATTACATCGAGAGCAATGTCCTGATATTGTTGGAATTTTATCAAAAAAAGTTGCCAAAGGTTGTACAACAAGTACCCTTAAAAGCAGATTACCGATACTCGAATGGCTACCGAACTACAAATTTTCGTTTCTTCTTGAAGATTTTGTAGCCGGGCTGAGTGTTGGATTAACAGCAATTCCACAAGGCATTGCATACGCTGTTATTGCTGGTTTGCCTGTAAGTAAAATTTGATTAAAAAAATATCTTTAAAATCACGAGAAATTTCTTTTATCACAGCCCCAATATGGTCTCTACTCGGGTTTCATGGGTAAATTTCTATCAATTGAGATTAGATTAAATTTAATTTAATTAAATAAATGTTTTCACTCAGGCGTTTTCGTGTATGCTTTGTTTGGTAGCTGCAAAGATATCACACTGGGACCGACAGCAATAACGGCCTTGTTGATAAATTCTGCGGTTGTTAATTTGAATGTCGACTTCGCGATTCTTACAACATTTTTGAGCGGTTGTCTGATATTTTTGTTAGGATTTCTAAACTTAGGTAAAAAAATGGTTAAGAGAAAATATTTTCGGTACAAAATTTATTTCTTTTAAAAAGGTTTCCTCGTACAATTTATATCGGCACCAACGGTAGTCGCTTTTATAACAGCAGCAACGATCACAATTGGAAGCGGACAAGTCAAGCCGTTATTGGGTATATCGAGTGGATCTTCAAGTGAATTTCTTGATGCGTGGGAGAATGTTTTCAAACATTATGATGAAATTAAATGGACTGACACGTTGCTTGGAGTTTTCTCTTTGGCATTGTTAATTGGAATGAAGAATTTAACGAAATTGAACACAGGGAAAANTTTATATTATTTATATTTTGGTGTAAATATTTCAAGTTTAGTTTTAATAAAAATGCTTTAATAAAATTGCTTCTTGCAATCATTCAATTGATGATAGAGGGGAAAGTTTGAAAAGAGTGGATCAGAATTATGATTTAATTTCACATAATCCAAAACTCGATAACATTCTGTTCTCAAGAACTTTCTACAATTTCATCTGTTAACTTTAAAGCACTAGCAAGAATTCGTGTTCATTCAAAAAAATTAATCGAATCCGAAGAACTGGAACGACTTCAAATTTAAGCGCCATCAAAACATATTTTTTATTTGAATTTCGTCAATAAAAAAAGTAAAAACATGTTAACTAAATATTTATCTTAATTCCAAAGCAAACAATTGCAGTCATAAATTAACTCACTCAAGGAACAACAGTGATGCTTATTTGTTATTTCACAACATCACTTAAGTGTACTTCAGAAAAAATTCCAAAATTGCTTAAAGCAATAAAATTTGACTAGGTAGTAAACAGAAATGAAATTGTTTTGTTTTTCTACTTCCTACAGATAGCTGCGTGATTTGTCACAGATTCAAAACTTACAGATAAGAAATTGTTGTTATTCTGAAAGTGTAAAGTTTACAGAGTCATGATGCGATATAATACTGAAGTATTTTGAGCTTTTTACACAGTCAGAAATACTTCATGATTCAGTTATTCACTTTAAAGAAAAAGTCGCTTTTAATGGTATCACCGAAGTTGCAACACGCGAATTTCTTTTAATTTATTTTTTATACTTTTTATCTAAATGTCTAAGTAGATACCTTAGTTGTATGTATTTGAATTTTAATAAAAAGACTTTCTCATAAATAAAAGTGTTCTGTCATTAAATACCAAGCAGATATATTCAAGTCAGCTATTTAGTATGTAGGTACCTAAGGCATTAATGAAAATTTCAGATTATCTAATAAGAATAAAATGTAGCTTGGAGTTATAAATCTTCCAACATCAAGATAAAATGTATTGTACCGTAAAACATTTTTTATTTTTTGCTAAATGGGCTTGAAAATCCCAAGTGGTATAAAAATTAAAAAAATTGTTGGGCTAGAGCCGGGTGCTATGGGAAATACCAAATCTAATCAAAATAAGTAAAAAACATCCGAGTTGAGATATTGAAGCTTTTTTTTTTCAAGCTTTTTCCAAATATTTTTTATTGAGTAAAACTTAATTCTAGTACAAAACTTAAGAAATTCTATATTAATAGATTATCTTCAAGTCTTTAAATATCTACTCAAATAAATAAAAATTAATAAATTACCTAACCAGAATAAATGCCAAGCAATGAGAATGTTGTTACAAAATTTAACGGTTATTTGAAATTCAAAAACGCTCAACGAGTTGAACTTCAGTGGTTCAAACCATGTTTTGATTGTCGTGTGCCTTCACATTAAACAGTTGGGAGGAAAGTTAACTATTCTTTAAATAAAATCCTCTTTAAAACTGGCTATAAACATGCCTCGAAGTAGGAGCAGCGACACTGTTAAAACCAAAAAAGATTTGATATCAATATCAGATAGAGATCCATTCTTCCAAACTTTCGAGAGTAAGTTGAATATTTTTAAGACGCTTTGTTTTTAATGATAAATCATGTAATAGAAACTCATTGAAAAATTATCTTTCAGAGCCAACTCAAATATATCGATATCTTAAAACGCGTTTCGTAGCATCTGTAAGTAAAAAAATAAATATAAAAGTTGAATGTATTGCTAAAATTCATCTCAAGGATTTTTACACTAAATCAGTGCATTCACCTCGAATATGAAATTATCTTTCTAAATATTTTTCTTGTAGCCGCTGTTTCTTCATCGGAACTTAAGTTACATGAAAGGGAGATCAACTCGTAATCACAAAAGAAGAGCTTGTTTTAAAATAACAGATATGATGAAAAATAAAAATGAGGAGAATGAAAAAGACGCAAACGCTAATGAAAATCTTATCATAGCGTTTGTTCGTTTTAAGGATGAAGTCCTCAATGCAAAGAATGTAAAAGTGGAAACAAAGCTAGAAAAGGTTTCACACAAACGCCGCAAAGAAGGAACATCTGGACAAAATCTCATAAACATTGGCCTTTCAAAAGTCGATGTTAATGTTGATAACAATGGAAGTGAATTATTGCCCGCGATTTGTGTCACAAATGACCAATTTGAGCGTGAAAATCCACAAACATCATATCAGTTGACTTTCGATATTGAAGCAATTACAGCATTTGTACCAAAGGATAGTGGTGACGAGCAGCCATCTAAACTTCCTTGCGTGAGTAAACAATATCACGCTGAATTGCCTGTATACGATAAGTGTGGAAGGAATTTACTTCTCAGTGGAGTTTACCATGTCACTGCTTTAGAGACGAATTTTTTTCGTCCATCGCGAATGCCGTGTTGGGAGAGTTTCTCAAATGACTCTGATCAACACATCATGAACTGGGCGGAAGAAGTGAACAAGCATTTCTTTGCTGAAAAGGATACAAATCCCTTTAAAACTTTCGAAAGTACGCCTCAAATTGAGCTTTACATCAAGCGATCACGATCGAAACCACTGGAGGATTTTATTGAAAGACCAACATTTTTATCAGACCATCATAATAATAACAGCGACAAAGAAAATACGACAAATAACAATTCAATAACATCAAATGGCGTTAATGGACATCATAACAATTCAACAACACTTGAGCCTTCTTCAAAACCTTTCATATTTCAGTTTGTTGTTAACAGTAGTACAAAACAGCGAACTGAAGAGCGAATGGATTTCGTTTGTCCTTGGTGTAGTCTTAACTGCATGAGAATTTACTCGTTGTTAAAACATTTAAAGCTTTCGCATGCTCGTTTGCTTTTTCAATACATCGATGAAGGATCGAAAGGACGGATTGACGTTTATGTGAATGACATGTACGATGGATCTTACAGCGGGGCACCACATGATGTTCTTCTTGGCTCTCAACGGGGTCCGACACGTCGAAATGTTGTCACAAATATTATGGTTTTTAGACCACGTCGGCCAACTTACAATATGACTGAATTCCTTGAAGCTGATGATGGCGAATTGGATCAACAGCGACAGTACATTTCAGGTCATAATAGAATTTATTATCATAGCGAAACTTGCATACCAATTATGCCAAAAGAGCTTGATTATGATTCTGAAGGTGAACCCGATCCAAAGTGGCTTCAAAGGACTACAAAACAAATGATTGATGAATTTACAGATGTAAATGGAGGTGAGAAGGAACTCATGAAGCTTTGGAACCTTCACATTATGAAACACTTGTAAGTTAATTTCTCAATCTCATTTTTCTATTTTTCAAAATTTCCTTAAATTTTCTTCTAGATTTGTTGGAGATTGTCAAATAAGTCTCGCATGCGATCTTTTTCTTAATGAAAAAGGAAAGGAATTGATTGAGAAGAATCTTACAAGAAATTATATTGTACATCTTAGTTCGTTGTTCAATTATGGCCTAATTTCGCCTCGCACAATTGATAAAAACATTAAAACATTAAATGTAAGTTGAAAAGTTTGATAAATATTCTATAAAGTCAAACATTTCAAAATATTTTTCTTTCATAGAAATTGCAAAAAGAATTCACAGATCGCTACGAAATAAAGAAAGCGAGACAAGTTCAGACTCAAAATTGGTTGTCAAGAAGCGACCAGGAAGTCAACAACAAAAAGTTTTTGGATAATTTGACACCAACAAAATCAGGCAGTTCCTTAAAGCTTTCAGGAAAAGGCAACAAGAGTGAGACAAAATCAACAATTGGCCGTGCACTGCCTAAAAACATTGAAGCATCTCAATCAGGAGTAGCCACCAAGACGAAAACTGTTTCAAAAAGAAAACTTTCAATGGCCTGAAATATTGAGATAAAGACGACATAAAGAACTAGTTTTATAATAATATACCTAAGTTAACTTTTAAACTAAAAATCAATACACTGCCGAACATATAGTTAGTGATTGAAACAAAATGATGTGAATTTCATTAAAATTATAAATATTTGACAGCTGGAGCAAATAAAGTTTTGTATTTTTAATATTCGCAGTGTGAAAATTAAAGGAATTGAAAAAGTTCCAAAATAAAAGATTTTACATGGTAACATGGGCCATCGCATTGAAACCGGCAAAAAAATTTCAAAAATTTTTTTTGCTTAAATATGCTTAAAATAGCATAAAACGTTGAGAAAAGTTAAAAAAATTAACTTTTTTTTCGACGTCGGATTTCGACTCTGTGTGTATGTCTGTATGTAACTTTTTGAAATCGTAATAACTTCCACATTTCTCAAGCGATCTTGAAAATATATTGGGAAGATGAGTTTCTCATCGGGGGACAAATATTCTGAGAAAATGGGGTCTGTACCTTCAATACTTCAGGTACCTGCCATACAAATTGACCCCAAATTAATCCTGATTTTAATCTAATCTTGATCTTAATCTAAACTTAATCTAATCTCGAGATATCTAAACTTAAGTGAGTGACAGGTGTTGACAGTTGGTGACAGGTAGTGAAAGGTGGTGACAGTTGGTGACATCATACATCGGTGAAAAATTTTTTAAATTGTTCTCGCAAAACGTCCCAAGAGGGTAATTAGTGATTTTTTTAAGACTTCAGGTATGAGTCATAATAGTTTTAAGAAGTTTCATACATCGGTGAAAAATTTTGAAAATGAAATCTCAAAACGTCCCATGAGCAGAGATGGGCAAATGTTCCGTTCAACTCGATTGACTGACTGACTGACATGTCAATGTCTGTCAGTCAGTCAGTCAGTCAGTCAAAATCGCGAACAAAAATATTCGTTTGTTGGGACACGTTCATATAAATGTTCCGCTCAAGTCGTTTGACTGACAGACTGACAAGTCAATGTCTGTCAGTCAGTCAGTCAAATCCCAACTCTGCCCATGAGGGTAATTAGTGATTTTTTTAAGACTTTAGGTACATATGACTCATAACGGTTTTAAGAAGTTTCATACATCGGTGAAAAATTTTGGAAATAAAATCTCAAAACGTCCCAAGAGGGTAATTAGTGATTTTTTTAAGACTTTAGGTACATATGACTCATAACAGTTTTAAGAAGTTTCATACATCGGTGAAAAATTTTGGAAATGAAATCTCAAAACGTCCCAAGAGGGTAATTAGTGATTTTTTTAAGACTTTAGGTACATATGACTCATAACGGTTTTAAGAAGTTTCATACATCGGTGAAAAATTTTGGAAATGAAATCTCAAAACGTCCCAAGAGGGTAATTAGTGATTTTTTTAAGACTTTAGGTATGACTCATAACAGTTTTAAGAAGTTTCATACATCGGTGAAAAATTTTTTAAATTGTACTCGCAAAACGTCCCAAGAGGGTAATTAGTGATTTTTTTAAGACTTCAGGTATGAGTCATAATAGTTTTAAGAAGTTTCATACATCGGTGAAAAATTTTGAAAATGAAATCTCAAAACGTCCCATGAGGGTAATTAGTGATTTTTTTAAGACTTTAGGTACATGACTCATAACAGTTTTAAGAAGTTTCATACATCGGTGAAAATTTTTTTAAATTGTACTCGCAAAACGTCCCAAGAGGGTAATTAGTGATTTTTTTAAGACTTCAGGTATGACTCCTATGCATTGTCTCCACTTCAACTTGTGACGTCACTTTTCATCGACCCCAAAGAGAAAAAAAACGAAAAAAATGGGGTTGATGAAAAGTGACGTCACAAGTAGAAGTGGGGACAATGTAGACTCACGGAACACGGAAAGCCAGCTCACACAAGCAAGCCGAAAAAGCAAGCTGAAATATCCTGGACGCCGTGAGAACAAGCCGACAAATATCAAAAAAGGAAAGCCAAGCAAGCAAGCCGAAAGAAAAAAAGACATAATCCAAGCAAGCAAGCTAACGGAAAAAAATGGCAAGCCAAGCAAGCAAGCCAAGCTCAATACAAGCGGGTTGTTCCTATGTTAGGTATGACTCATAGCAGTTTTAAGAAGTTTCATACATCAGTGAAAATTTTTGAATTTGAACTCTCAAAAAGTCCCAAGAGGGTAATTAGTGATATTTTTTGAGACTTTAGATATGAGTCATAACAGTTTTAAGAAGTTTCATACATCGGTGAAAAATTTTGGAAATTGTACTCGCAAAACGTCCCAATAGGGTAATTAGTGATTTTTTTAAGAGTTTAGGTATGACTCATAATGTGAGTGAGTGAGTGAGTGAGTGAGTGAGTGAGTGAGTGAGTGAGTGAGTGAGTGAGTGAGTGAGTGAGTGAGTGAGTGAGTGAGTGAGTTAGTGAGTGAGTGAGTGAGTGAGTGAGTGAGTGAGTGAGTGAGTGAGTGAGGGAGTGAGTGAGTGAGTGAGTGAGTGAGTGAGTGAGTGAGTGAGTGAGTGAATGAGTGAGTGAGTGAGTGAGTGAGTGAGTGAGTGAGTGAGTGAGTGAGTGAGTGCGTGAGTGAGTGAGTGAGTGAGTGAGTGAGTGAGTGAGTGAGTGAGTGAGTGAGTGAGTAAGTAAGTGAGTGAGTGAGTGAGTGAGAGGGANAAAAAAAATTTTTTTTTTAGTTTTAACAATTTCTATTTTGATACCATCTGCTAAGGCGCCTGATTGTTTTAATGATATAAGTAATTATTTTGAACTGATAACAAATGACACCAGAACATCAAAAATATTACCGGATACGTCCGTAACTTAATTGAGAGCGTAAAAATATTTTTGTTTAGACACTTTTTATTTTGTATATAAAGAAATCATCAAGAATATTCTTTTTCAGTTATTCTTGAACAGTGCTAATCAAAAGTGTTGGCATAATGAAAGTTTTGGTTTTCTGTTCTTTACTTGCTTTCGCTGCAAGCTGTTATGGATTCTCTCAACCAGTGATTCGTAACACTAAAGCAGAAGGGTGTATAGGAGATGTCTGTGGGCCTCACTGTGCATATGGGAAGATGTTAAAATTCTTCCTGGTCAAATTTTAAACCACGCCGGACATTGTGAAAAACTATTTTGTGCTGATAATTTTGACATTCGCATAACTCCATGTCCATTTGATAGTAAATTAATAAATTAAGGCATAATCTTTAAAATTGTTTGAAAAATAAAAATATTTCTAGTGTACGGTGAATACGAATGGATTGACAAAGACAAAACTAAGCTTTATCCAGAATGTTGTGGAACTAAAACAAAGAAGAAGCGTGTAGACATGGATTTTGAATAAAAAGATATTTCAATACATTGCTTAAAATTCTGAATAATTTTTATTTTTTTAATAAAGAGAAATTGAAATATTTTTAAATGATTTTCAATTGAACCAATAAACTTATACTGCAGAACTTTTTTGTGGCTTAACCAGACTTAATAAATGAAGATAAGTTCCTAATATTTTCCAGAATCTCTGAAGACGACTTAAATAAAAGTTGAAACTGGTTGGAAGTAAGCCACTTATAACGAGCTTTTACTTTTAACGAACGAAAATTGTTCGAAAATGTGAGTGTGATGTCAACTTTTATGGAGCTTTTTTCGCTAAAAGAGATTACTTTTATCGAGCTTCCACTGTATTATGCATAAAAACAGGCGTTTGAAATTATTTTCATTACGTCAATAAACTTATGTTTTCATTTTATAAGACATAAAAATTAAGACATATTCAAAGTTTAACTAATGCTGAATCGTCTGATTCGTTGAATGATGTAAATAATTATTTTGAGCTGATAACAAATAATACCAGAACATAAAAAAAATATTACCAAATTTCGTATACATCCGCAATTTAATTGAGAGCGTAAATATATTTTTGTTTAGACATGTTTTTATTTTGTATAAAAAGAAGTCATTACAAATGTTTTTCTCAGTTCTTCTTGAGGAGTGCTAATCAAAAGTGTTGGCATAATGAAAGTTTTGATTTTTTGTTCTTTACTTGCTTTCGCTGCAAGCTGTTATGGATTTTCTTTTCCTGTGATTCGTAACACTAAAGCAGAAGGATGTGTGGGAGATGTCTGTGGGCCTCACTGTGCATGGGAAGATGTTAAAATTCTTCCTGGTCAATTTTTGAACCGTGCCGGACATTGTCAGAAACTATTTTGTGCTGATAATTTTGACATTCGAATCACTCCATGTCCATTTGATAGTAAATTAATTAATTGAAGGATAATCTTTGAAATTGTTTGTAAAATTAAATTATTTCTAGTGTACGGTGAATTCGAATGGATTGACAAAGACAAAACAAAGCTTTATCCAGAATGTTGTGGAACTAAAACAAAGAAGAAGCGTGTGGATATGGATTTTGAATAAAAATATATTTTAACACATTTGATGAAATTCTGAACAATTTTTACTTTTTGAATAAAAAGAAACAAAAATATTCTTAAATGAATAAAGAACCAATAAACTTATGCTTTCTTTTAAAACCTAAGAATTAAGACATATTCAAAGTTTGACTAATACTGAATCGTCTGATTGTTTTAATGATATAAGTAAATATTTTGAGCTGATAACAAATGACACCAGAACATAAAAAATATTACCGGAGACGTCCACAACTTAATTGAGAGCGTAAAAATGTTTTTGTTTAGACACTTTCTATTTTTTATATAAAGAAGTCATCATAAATATTCTTTTTCAGTTATTCTTCAAGAGTGCTAATCAAAAGTGTTGCATAATGAAAGTTTTGATTTTCTGTTCTTTACTTGTTTTTGCTGCAAGATGTTATGGATTCTCTCAACCAGTGATTCGTGACACTAAAGCCGAAGGATGTGTAGGAGAAGTTTGTGGGCCTCACTGTGCATGGGAAGATGTGAAACTTTTTCCTGGTCAGATTTTGAACCGAGCCGGACGTTGTCAAGAACTTCTTTGCGTTGGAAATTTTGACATTCACATCACTCCATGTCCATTTGATAGTAAATTAATTAATTAAAAGATAATCTTTGAAATTGTTTGTAAAATTCAATTATTTCTAGTGCGCGGTGAATNGGCAAAATATCTAAAGTTTAGATTCTAAATGAGTAACGGGTATGAGTGAGGTTGGTGCGTGGGCGTCAGTGAGTGCGCGTGTGTGTGAGTGAGTTCGCGTGTGAGTGAGTGAGTTCGCGTGTGAGTGAGTGAGTGAGTGAGTGAGTGAGTGAGTGAGTGAGTGAGTGAGTGAGTTAGTGAGTGAGTGAGTGAGTGAGTGAGTGAGTGAGTGAGTGAGTGAGTGAGTGAGCGAGTGAGTGAGTGAGTGAGTGAGTGAGTGAGTGAGTGAGTGAGTGAGTGATTGAGTGAGTGAGTGAGTGAGTGAGTGAGTGAGTGAGTGAGTGAGTGAGTGTGTGAGTGAGTGAGTGAGTGAGTGAGTGAGTGAGTGAGTGAGTGAGTGAGTGAGTTAGTGAGTGAGTGAGTGAGTGAGTGAGTGAGTGAGTGAGTGAGTGAGTGAGGGAGTGAGTGAGTGAGTGAGTGAGTGAGTGAGTGAGTGAGTGAGTGAGTGAGTGAGTGAGTGAGTGAGTGAGTGAGTGAGTGAGTGAGTGATTGAGTGAGTGAGCGAGTGAGTAAGAGAAATTATATATTTTAGAATCCTGCATAGGCCGGAGTATCTTTAAAATTATGCTGTGGCATAATTTGAAGCTTGCCCATGTGAGGCTTGCCCATCTCCAATTTTTTGTTGTTTTTGTGAAATTTTTACCTCGACGTTCTCCTTTTTATCCATTTAGATTCACTGTCTGTGAATGATAAAAAAAGTTACGAAATAACAAACAAACGAAAAAAAAAACTCAAAATAAGTTTTCCGTTTACTCTCCAACACAATAAACTCGTAATTGTTTTGTTGTTATGCTCTCCACTTTAATGATCTTCTCAGCATTTTTTTTTATCTCAACGACGATGACTCCCCCATACATGAATCAAAACGAAAGCTTCAAAATGTCTAAATTGAAATAAATTTTTCGCATTCATGATTCAATCAGTAAGTGGAGTGGAAGTGCGCATTTCAAAATGAAACAAATATTTGTGATTGTTATAACGGTGAACTTAATCTGGATATGTTTAGCAATGCAGACATCGCGAGTACCGGCTAAAGCCGAGGGTTGCGTGGGCGAAAATAATTGTGGCACGCTATGTGAATATGATGGACACAAGTTCTTTCCTGGAATGAACGAAACACTTTATCGTGATTTTACCTGTCTTGAAATGAAATGTTCCGATGACTTTCATGTCGAATTTGAGCCGTAAGTTTATCACAAAGATGTAAAAGATGAAAAAAATAATTTGTGATCTTTCTAGATGCCCATTTGATTACTCAGGAAGGTGTCATTTTGAGAATTACGATAACACGACGATATTTCCAGATTGTTGTGGTGTGAAAGTGTGCATGTGACATAATTTAAACAAGATAAGCTTATAAACTTATGAATATATCCATGATAATAACGATAAGACGCATGTGCCATTGACCTTGAGATAGATTCCTTATGCTTCAACTTGATTCGCTAAATTTAATTTTACTGACCTAACTCATTGGTTGTTGTTTTCTTAACGATGATGAGATGTATGAAATGAAAATGTTATTCAATTTAGTGATAATAAAAAAAAGTATTTTTTCCACAATATTAATATTCTCTCAGTCTCATCTTACTTTTATGGGATTTCTCTCGGGATTCCATGCTGTTATGAGATCTCTGTGTGTGTTTTTTAATGTTGTTTAACTTTGCTTGCTTCTAAATTGATTAAATTTATTTTCTTCACTGCTGTTGTTAATTTCTGATCATCAAGAGCCACTTAAAAAAACTATTAAGATGAAATCTTAAATTAAGTGCTCAACTTTGATTTCGAGCACTTAAAAGTATTTTAAAAAATATTTCACAAAATTCTTTTACTTATCAGGAGCCCGTTTTATGAATGAATATAAAAAAGTTATTATTTTTGTCTTTTTTTTCAAGTTCGAATTCAAATGATTGTCGATAGTCTGAAGTTATAATTGAAAGCGAAAGCGTCAAATTTATTTGAGTTCTTTAGAGAAATGGATTATCGCTTGATAATTCTTGTGAATGCAATTTTAATATCGTTTGTAGTTTCATTTACACCTGCTTCAATTTTCAATACAAAAGGGAAAAATAGCAACGGCGAAGAAGTTTGTTTGTGGGGTCACGTGGAATTATTGCCGCGTAAAACACTCAACCAACGGGATAAATGTCGTGAATTGTATTGCAGAGACGATTTCACATTACAAATAAGTAGCTGCTCGGTTGACCCCACAGGCAAATGTCAATGGGTTTGGGCTGATAACTCATACGATTATCCTGATTGTTGTGGTACTCGACTCTGCTCGTGATGACTGTAGAAATATTAAACAAAAATGAACGAAATAATTTCATTTTTTACTGATAACAAAAAGCTTTTATAAATCTGTAAACTTTCAACACTTTTCTTCTAATAAACATAGTTATGATGTAAGCAAAAAAAAAATTTTTTTTTTAGTTTTAACAATTTCTATTTTGATACCATCTGCTAAGGCGCCTGATTGTTTTAATGATATAAGTAATTATTTTGAACTGATAACAAATGACACCAGAACATCAAAAATATTACCGGATACGTCCGTAACTTAATTGAGAGCGTAAAAATATTTTTGTTTAGACACTTTTTATTTTGTATATAAAGAAATCATCAAGAATATTCTTTTTCAGTTATTCTTGAACAGTGCTAATCAAAAGTGTTGGCATAATGAAAGTTTTGGTTTTCTGTTCTTTACTTGCTTTCGCTGCAAGCTGTTATGGATTCTCTCAACCAGTGATTCGTAACACTAAAGCAGAAGGGTGTATAGGAGATGTCTGTGGGCCTCACTGTGCATGGGAAGATGTGAAACTTTTTCCTGGTCAGATTTTGAACCGAGCCGGACGTTGTCAAGAACTTCTTTGCGTTGGAACTTTTGACATTCACATCACTCCATGTCCATTTGATAGTAAATTAATTAATTAAAAGATAATCTTTGAAATTGTTTGTAAAATTCAATTATTTCTAGTGCGCGGTGAATTCGAGTGGATCAACAAAGATAACACAAAGTTGTTTCCAGAATGTTGTGGAACTAAAACTGAGAAGAAGTTATGAACATTGATGTCGAATGAGAAGGATTTTGTTAATACATTTGATAGAAATTCTGTACAGTTTTGATCAATAAACATTAATCCGAAAATTTAAAACTCTTAATTGTGTTCACTTATTAGGAATTTCCTGTTTGATCATAATTTGAATATTAAAAGCTAGGCCTGATAACAAAATGATGTTATTAATTATTTCGGACTGATAACATTTGACACCAGAACAGAAAACAAAGTCAAAGATATTTGCAAGTCAGTTGAAAACGTAAATAAAATTTTTTTTGGGAATTTTTGTTTTTATTTTGAATATTGAATTCTGTTCTTCACTTGCTTTTGCTGCAAGCTTTTATGGATTCTCTGAAGCTGTGATTCGTAACACTAAAGCAGAAGGATGTGTAGGAGATGTTTGTGGGCCTCACTGTGCATGGGAAGATGTGAAACTTTTCCCTGGTCAAGTTTTAAACCACGCTGGACATTGTGAAGAACTTTTATGTACTAATTTTTGAAAGTCGCATCACTCCATGTCCATTTGATAGTAAATTAATAAACTGAAGGATAATCTTTGAAACTTGTTTGTAAAATAAAATTATTTCTAGTGCGCGGTGAATTCGAATGGATTGACAAAGACAAAACAAAGCTTTATCCAGAATGTTGTGGAAGTAAAACTAAGAAGAAACCTGTGAACATTGATGTCGAATGAAAAGGATTTTGTTAATACATTTGATAGAAATTCTGTACAATTTTGATACTTTATCATTAAAAATATATTCGAAAAATGAATTCTTTAATTTGTGTACACTTATTAGGAATTTCCTGGTTCAACATAGATGATTAGAAGTCCAAAGTGAATATTTTTAAAAGCTAGGCCTGATAACAAAATGATGTTAATAATTAATTTGGACTGATAACATTTGACACCAGAACAGAAAACAAATTCGAACATGTTTGCAAATGAGATGAAAGGTAAAGAATTTTTTACGAGTTTTTGTTTCGATAATTGAATACAAAAAGAATCATCTGAAGTCTTTTCAGTTATTTATTAACAGAATAAATCAAAAATATAGAAAATAATGAAACTTTTGATTTTCTGTTGGTTACTTTCGCTGCAAGCTGCCATTGTGCATGGGAAGATGTCCGACTATTTCACCGCCAATCTTTGAACCGTTGTGGACATTGTCATATTACTTTCAATATTACTTTGAAAATGTTTGTACAATTAAATTTATTTTAGCTAACGGCAAATATATTTGGATCAACAAAGATAAAACAAAGCTGCTCCCTGAATATTGTTGCACTAAAACAAAGATAGACCGAATGGACATAGATTCCGATTGAAGAGAAAATTAAATAAATAAATAAATATCTGCCGCAATTTTCTGGCATTCTCATTTTAAATAATGAAATCATTTTATTTTTATTCACCAACACTCTTCAGATCCATAAAATATTTTTTTGATTTTTTTTCAATTTTGTCCCATGATTTAAATCAGTTTTATGAGACAAGAAAATCAGATTTGCTTGTCTGATTTTTGCGTCTCATAAAAAATTATTCAAATCAAAGAGTTAAATTGAAAAACTCCAATAAAAATCAGAGTAAATTTCCTCACATCTGCATTAATTTTTCTAAATTTTCACTCCTCTGATGTCGCTTAGAGGAATATTTTATCTAAATAAGAGAACGAAATTATTTCTATCATTTAGATAACCATTTACCCTTTAAAAGATTTCCATGTCAAATTAAATTCAATCAAAAAACAATCAATCAAATTCTTGAATTCTAATTAGCATAGTGAGGGATGTTTAGATCGAAGAGTAATATTGAAAACATTTATTTCCTTAATGATTCCCGAGAAACCAAAATTCACCTGCAACCGATACTGGAATGCCATTTGCTCGATTTTATCAGGCATTTATCTTCCATTTACTGGTGAATGCCTGATAAATCAATATTAAATCAATTTTATATCACCAAAGCGATATAAAATCGGTGGGGCGCTCTTATAATATCCCATTTGAATCGGTCGTATGACTGATTTAGGAGTTATATGACTGCCTTGCCAAAGCACAGGCAATTTTAATACTGCATTGGTTTTTCTTAGTTAATCTTGAAATATTTTGATTCATTTCATTATTTTATGAAAAATTAATCGTTTTATTTGTGATTCTATTACACTTAACGTAGAAAATAAGAATATTTTTCACATGAGTATATCATTCGAAACTTCTTGATCTTCATTAATTATTGGCTCATCCTTTTGAAAAATTAGAAAATAAGAAAGAATTGGAAAAATTAAGAAGAATGGCAAGCATTATAAACAAGGGATAAAATCTCACGTGAAAATATTTGTGTACAAATGTTGGAAAGAATGTTTCTTTCCAAAAAAGAGTTTGAGCCTAAAACTGTAGGATTCAGGTACATAGTATGTTTGAAAAAGTTGTTCCTTACTACTTTTTGCAACTTTTTTTGATCCATCATTTTCCAATAGGTTGTCACCAGATGGCGCTATAGATATAAAAAGCAAAGAAAATGTGAAAAAACTTAATTACAGCTTAAACTATAAGGTTTAGCTGCATGGTGTGTTTGGAGAAGTTGTTCCCTTATGCATGCTGCAACTTTTTCTCATATAGTGTTTTTCAGTACATTGACACCAGAGGGCGCTAGAATGAAATTTCAAAATGTATCAGAATTGAATAATTTTAACTACAGCTTAAACCTTAAGTTTTAGATACATAGTGTGTTTGTAAAAGTTGTTGATTTTCACATGCTGCAACTTTTTTTCATACATTGTATTTCACTAAAGTGGCACCAGAGGGCGCTGGAGACGAATTAATTATAAAATCGTCTCCAGCGCCCTCTGGTCCCACTTTAGTGAAATACAATGTATAAAAAAAGTTGCAACATGTGAAAATCAACAACTTTTACAAACACACCATGTATCTAAAACTTAAGGTTTAAGCTGTAGTTAAAATTATTCAATTTTGATACATTTTGAAATTTCATTCTAGCGCCCTCTGGTGTCAATGTACTGAAAAACACTATATGAGAAAAAGTTGCAGCATGCATAAGGGAACAACTTCTCCAAACACACCATGCAGCTAAACCTTATAGTTTAAGCTGTAATTAAGTTTTTTCACATTTTCTTGGCTTTTTATATCTATAGCGCCATCTGGTGCCAACTTATCGAAATATGTTGTACCAAAAAAAGNTTTTTTGCAGTAAAGTACCAGTACCAGCGCAAGACATGCCCATCTATGATTGTATTTCACTAAAGTGGCACCAGAGGGCGCTGGAGACGAATTAATTATAAAATCGTCTCCAGCGCCCTCTGGTCCCACTTTAGTGAAATACAATGTATGAAAAAAAGTTGCAACATGTCAAAATCAACAACTTTTACAAACACACTATGTATCTAAAACTTAAGGTTTAAGCTGTATTGATGTAATATTTATACGTCTGATGTTTTTTTAATGATTTAATGAAACAAATTACGGTTTTCAGACTAGTGATGATCTTTCACTAGTCTGAAAACCGTAATTTGTTTCATTAAATCGTTTAAGCTGTAGTTAAAGTTATTCAATTCTGATACATTTTGAAATTTCATTCTAGCGCCCTCTGGTGTCAATGTACTGAAAAACACTATATGAGAAAAAGTTGCAGCATGCATAAGGGAACAACTTCTCCAAACACACCATGCAGCTAAACCTTATAGTTTAAGCTGTAATTAAGTTTTTTCACATTTTCTTGGCTTTTTATATCTATAGCGCCATCTGGTGCCAACTTATCGAAATATGTTGTACCAAAAAAAGTTGCAACTAATAGTAAGGAACAACTTTCCCAAACATACTATGTAGCCTTATCTTATAGTTTGAGTACCACTTTAAAAATCTTTAAAATCAGTAAATTTTGGTAAATTGCCCTTTCAGGGACACGAGAAATCAGTCATACGACCGGTTTGAAATGTACATGAAAATTTTGGTTTCTCGGGATTCGAAAAGATATTGTTAAATAACATAAATTTCGTTTGACTTATAAACTATTTTCCAGTTCAACAGAATTATAGATGACAAGACTGCTGATGATAATTTTACTTTCTTGCCTTTTTATTAGATCCTTAAACGAAATGAAAAATTAGAGTAGATACTTACAAAAATATTTTAAATCAAGTTTATCACCTTTGAAGCAGTTTTGTTAGTTTCAGTAAATCTTGAGAAGCTTTCGAAATATTAATTGCATCAGCCATAGTTGCATATTCTGGTGCTTTTTCTAGTGGAACTTCTGATGCTTTGGTAGGAAGTTTCGATTCATTAGTATCATTTTCACCGGTATTGATACATACTGATATTTCTCATTAACACAAAACTATCGCCAAAACATGATACATAAATGTAGAACTTGAAATTAATATTTATCATTGACAATGACATTTAAAAGAAACTTAAAGAAAAAGGTTTAGGTGCTTTTAACTTTATTTATTTATTTTTCCAGAAGATAAGTTTAAATTTATCTTACTCGTAAGTACGCAGATAAGACATAAGTATTAAATATAAGATGACAGATAAATGAGCTTTTGAAAATCCAAAATGTATTAAATATTACATACAATTTGTTAAGAAAATAACTTTTAAAATTAACAATTTGTTCAAAAATTGAACTCGTTTTCATTTAATTATTTTAATTTCTATTTAAAAACTTCTTAGATATGTGGCGAATATAAATGTTTTAAAATTTGTGAAAGTATTTTTCCTGATTTTAGAAATGTGTTCAACATATTTTCAAGTTTCAATGTTAAATATTAAAAGGATTGTTATGGAGTAAAATATTAAATTATGAATCAGTTTAAGATTGGGATGGAAGATACCGGGGTCAAGTTTTGTTAAATTATTTGTCAGAAAACTATTTCAAATCTTATTTAGTAAATAAAAAGATTTAATTTTATACTAAGTAAAACTTACAGCGCAATTAATTAATTTCTAAAGGCTTGAAAGTTTGTCTTTCTATTTTTTTTTTGTATGTGTATTTATTATACCAGATATCATACATAAAACGAAGACGTATTTGATTATTCAATTGTTAATGAAACTTATTCCAATTAGTATGAAGCCAGAAGTAATAAATTTTATGCTATTTTAAAAGTTATTCGTACTTAATTATAACCAAGATTAAAACAATTTTCTTTCATGCAAATATTGCTTAATACCAATTAAGGCATTTATTGAAATGTGATTTGAAATTAAAACATGAAAATTTCATTGTTTAGTTTATGAAGTTTTGTATATTTGATATTTTTTTTAGATACAAAGAATCTTATAATGAAATGCTCATACATATTATGAAGCTGGTCAAAATATCCGACAAACTACAATTAGATGCTCAAACATGTTTGAAATGAAATTAATATGTCTTAATTTTAACAAGAAAATAAATATGTTGAATGAAAGTGGAAATATTTTATTACTTCTAAAGAATTGTTGCAGATATGTTGATAGATGTGAATAAAAATAATAAAAGAATATTTTCAGAAAATTTAATTTAAATTAAGTATTCAAAAACAATTTTAAATTAATGGCAGATCAACGAATCATTCGTGTATATAACAGTTTAAACAGTTTAACAAACTGTACAAGGTACATATTAAATAAGTGTTGCATTTATTCATTAGATATTAGTTTAGTTTTTTATAATAAATGTCTATCTATAAGTCGAAATGATTGAGATATGAGAGAGAAGAAATGAAATAAAAAGTTGAATTCATTTCATGTGAATTGTGTTAAACATTAATTTGTGTACTCAAAACAATTGTTATCATTATACTAATGAGTAATTTCTTCAGTTTTCTCACATCAAATATTGTCATAAAGGAATAAAATTTTTATATCTAATTCTTATATTTTTTTATTGTCTTTAATTTATCGAATCCGAATTGCAACAAAAAATTTGCGCAACGGTATAGTTTTCTGCAAAAGTGATATCTTATTATTAGAAGAACTTGGAATCGAACATAGTTGCAAGTTATCATTCAGTTGTTATGACAAACTCCATGGTCCGATTTCAAGTCGTGCTGAATATATGTAATTTGCATGTAGAAATTGACATTATTCGTTACTTTTTATAATTTTACTTTTACATTGTTCTTTTCTTTAATTATTGTCCATTGTTTCGTTCATAAAATTTGTCAACAGAACTAAACTTTTATAATTTATTGTCTTCATCCATATTGTTTCTTATTTCATATCTTTCAGAGAGATTTTTAAGACTTTTAGTCTCTTTTGTAGAAAAATTTACATTCTAATCAGAAGTTTTCTGATATCTAATATTGTCACCTTGTTTCTATTAACCATATTGGTTCTTAATGAATAAATGTACAAAGATTGGGGTACAAGCCAACATCAATCCAAACACAACATTCGCACAGATATGTCTTCATAGATACCGCATGGTTGTTTCAATGTAAAATATCTCGTTGTAAGCTGAATAAAACAATAATTACAAATTTTTCAACTATAACAGATAGCTTCTTAAATTGAACAACAAAACATTTATAACAATTGTTGTTGAAAAATTTGGAACTAAATATTTTCCGTCATTTCTGTGCAATGTTGTGCCTGGATCAACAACATGAATTTTCCATCCAAGATTATTATGAGTGTAGCACTGTGAAAGAATATAAAAATTTAAATTAATCAAGTTCTGGAGCTTAAGAAACGTATTTACCTGATAATAAACGAGATCTGGTGTATCATGAGATACTGTCCAATTTAGAACTGCAGGTTCACCAGAATCACATTCTAATTTCAAAGTTTTCTTATATTCATCAAATGTCTCAATGTCGCTTGATTTATCAATTGTAAGATGCTGCCATTCACAATATCTACCGGCAGCAGTTGGTCTAGGAAATCCATCTTCTTCAAATGCAACTCCGGCATAAACTGTCTGTCGAGATTGTTGTAATTGAGATTTTTGCCCATAACCGCCTTCATCTGAATCACTTATGTAGAAGGGATGATATCTGAAAGAATTGAAATGTTTATCTTTATCGGATTATATTATTTTGTAATTTAATACCTTGCTGGTTGTGTTTCATCATTTCCACCTTCAACTAGGAAAGTATAAGTTTGCCCTCTTTCAACATATAGTTCGGGAATCAACAAGTCATTAAGATACCATGCAATTCCCCATGACGGATGACCTAAAGAAATTGCAATGTTTCATAACAAACATATATTCAAATTTATTCTAATAAATTTCTCACCAGTAATGGCTGTGTAGCCACGTTTTCCACCTGTCGGTCCAATGCGAGCAGTAATTGTATTTTCTCCAATCAAGTTTAATGGAGGCCAAGGGTTGATGGCATCATTACTTCTTCTATCATAAAGCGAGGATGTGCATGAATGTTCGTTTTTCGATGAAAAATTTATTTTAACGTCATCTGTCGTATGATCATCACTGGTATGTGAATGCGAATTGGCTTCGCTTCTTTTATTTATAGGACCAATTGCTGCAATCACATTAACTTCACGATCAGTTGGAATTGCTTGATCATTCACAGGCTCATTCGTTTGGAGTAATCGTTTATATTTTATGTATGTCACACCGTTTTTACGATCACCCGCCACTGAAAATATCACAATTTTATAAATTCCTTTTGAATGAAATCGAAAAAAGTTGTCTTACAAAATATCGCATCGTTTTTCCCACCAATCCGTTCATCGGGACAAACACCTTGTTTACCATCACATTGTGATAAATGTGACATGTAGTAATCTTCTACACGAAATCTTAATTCTGTACGATCGTAGAATGCAACTACAATGTCACCATTGACCATTTGAGAACGTCCGTTGGCTCCAGACAATCCAAAAGCCATATATTGGTCTTCCGCTATACGACCATACAATTCTATGACGACATAATCTTTTTGAATCTCCCATTGAACTTGCAATTTTCCATCAATGACTTCTTTGCAATTTCTAGTCTTAGGAATAGTTGTTGTTGTTGTTGTCTGTAAGGAAGTAAAATAAAGAAATTATTAAGACAATTATTCACAGAGAGAAATAATTCCTTTTGTTATGCTAAATATTGTTTCATGTTAGTAAGACTTACAGGGTTGTACCACCACTCAGGCTTGAAAATTATTAAATGTAAAATTGTATTGTTATGAGAATTTTGAAATATTTTAATTATATGACTTACAGTTATCTTCGTTTGACCTAAAGCTGGTGGAACATCAAGATCCTTAGGAATAAGGATGTGTCCAAAATTGTGACGATATTCAACACACCAAACGGCTAACCAATCAATGTCATATACAGTCAGGTTGCCTGGAAGTTGAATCTCGATATCTTCACCTTGGTATCCTCTCAATACATCATAACTTCCTAGTTCATTAGGAACTTTTATGCCCATAATATTTGGAGCAGTACCGTTTCCAACCCAAAAGTAAGCATCAGGTCCGGCACCATCATAGTGGAGATTGGGAATGTAAAAAGTTTTAGCATCGAGTATGCTGATGTTGCTCGATCGGAGCCCATGTGCGAAACGTTTAAATTCCGGTAAAACTCTTGGGCGCGGCACATCAAGTCCCGGTGGAATGAAAACTTCTCCGAAATCAACCTGTAAACGAAACCGAAATTTCTTCGTGAAAAAAAATCTTCGAATTATGAAAGCTGCGAGTGAGATGGCACGATTTACAAATTACGATTATGCGCACTCGAAAAAATGAAAACTTTATGATTTTCAGATTTCACGAAAAAATCAACTGAGTCATTTTTATTATGTGACTATCTATGGAAATCGTTAAACATATTTTTTCCAAATTGTTACCTATAAAAATTTTAATCACGTTCATCAAGCTGCTAAAGAGTATTGATTTCGTGTCACAAGTAACCTCTCGGGAAACGGAATTTAATGAAAATTGACGCAAGGAAAGAAAGTGAAGATGAATAGGAAATTCACGCCGAAGGCTTTAACAATTCTCGTTTTCATTTCTAAATGAATAAATTCTTATCACATTTACAAGAGACATGAGAGAATACAGACATCATGTAGTAAAGAAACTCCAAAATTTACTTTTGATTGAACTATTATTTAAAAAACAAATAATTTAACGTTGAGTTGAAATTCTTAGTGATTGTTCTTAAAGTGAAATCATATTCGATAAATCTTCTTAGCTGAATTTAGAAAATAATTTTACAATTGACATTGAGACGAAAGTTCAAGATATTCTCTGAATAGTCAGCAAATATTTGATTTCTCTATTGATTTGCTTTTATCTATTCATGTGCTTTTAAATGTGAAATTATAATTTGTTCTCTTGATTTTCTCAAAATATTTCTTAGTTCATAGTTAGATGTAATTTTTCTCTAACTAAGTATTCAATCTAATATTTTATTTTTGACTGACTAAATTCTTAAAATTGAGATTAATGAAATAATTTAATGTAAGTTCTTTTTTGTAAATGATATAAATTTTCCTTACATTTCAAATTAATGAAATTTTCAGTAATTGAACAATTTTTCCGCTTCTTATCGTTTAAATACCAAATAATGGGAAATTTTTGTAGAACGTTTTTAGAAGGGAATGCAGGAAGAAATGAGGAAGAGGAAAATAATAAAAGTGATAACGAGAATATGATTGATCTTCCTAGCAAATAATCCTCTGTTGAGATGAGATAGAAAATCAAACATGTAAGCTATCTGAAGCAAAAGTTTCTGTTGGCCCTTCAAGATATTTTCTACAATTTGTTTTCATATTTGTTATGCATTGAAATGATAAGAAGCGTAAGAAATTGTTCAATTACTGTAAATCTCATGATATTCAAATGTGTTGCTATACTCAATCAATAAAGAGATTTGAACAAGTTGTCTGGGTAACAGTTTTGAAATCCCTCAGTTTTCATTCATAAATCATTCATATTTGTGTAAAGATTGCAATTGCATTGAAACATTTTAAATGGCAGCAATTTCAACTTACAGTGAATCGTCGACACCACACTGATAACCATCTTGTATCTCGAATTCTTTTACCCATAGGCAGACGAAGAATGATGTCGCTGTTATTGTGCGCCCGAAGAACTGGTGGTTCTCTAAGATTAGAAAACATTAATATTATTTAATAATTTATTTCATATTTTCTCCAAATTCTATAAATTCAAATCGTATCGAATCACATCGCATGAGAAGCACAATGGTTTTGATTTGATCGCAAGCTAATCATTGCCGTGAAACTAAGCATGAGGCGACAACAACACAAATTCTCCATTTAACGCAAGGGTGAATACATGTAATAAAACTTAATGACTATATGATGCCACGTGCCATAACTAATAGAAAAATGCACTTTATTGACTGGATATGATGAAGAGAGTAGAAAGGGGAAGCATGAAATTATGAATGGAAAATTGTCGCTAAGGTGACGAGTCCCTTAAGATATAATCGATAAAGCTAGGAACATTCAAGTAGCTTCAATTGATACCGGTAACATTATGAACAAACCTAGACTAACATGACTCATAACATAATTTTCCGTTAGTACTTATTATAAATGTTTTTTCCCGATTAAATTTTATCTTTCGTCTAAATATAGAACATAAATAAATAAACGTTTCTTCAGTGCTTGGAACAAGTTAATGGCAATGCCCAATGAGTCTTCTAACTTTTAAATTTATTGATGTTAGAAAACAAAACTGAAAGGTTTGAAAATAAAATTCTAAATTATTTAAATATTAAAATTATTTATATTAATCTGAATAAACTATTTCCTAACTCTGCTTGTTATTGAAACCGAACCTGTAATGTAGAACGTTCAAAATACTTGTGACATTTTTTTCTTAATCATCTATCGTTATAAATTCACTCCCTTATTTACTTATATCTTATAAAGACTCAATAACAAAGAACTCAACACCCCATTTAATCTCTATGAAGACTATCTGAACATATATTTTTTGTATTTAAAATACATAGAAAGATAATTGAAGACAAGAAAAGGGTGGAATGTTCGTCCTACATTCACTATGGTTTCATAGAAAATAAATTTAAGTTTTCCAGTAAAAATGCAATCGCTTTCATTCTTCAACACCCGCAAACATTTTTAAAATCCTAAAATGATGAGAAACCTAAAATAAGCACCCGAACGTGACAAGAACAACAAAAAATAAGGAAAACCCCTAACTTGTAAAACGAATATTCAATATTTTTAATGTAATTGAAATGGCTCGTGAACTTGTTTTGTAAGTGAACTTGATCAGTAATAAAATTGATTCAAAAATAAAAGAAATATTCATGGATTTCACTTCTCTTTTATAGATTTTTCTTTTAATGAATCCAATTGAGTTGAACATTCGATTTTTGTTCATCAAAATTAAAAATCTTTTTCACAAAAGTCTTTTATAAATTAACCTTCATTTGCGAATTAGGACAATCTTAAATAGATCTTAAATATTTAAAGATTTGACTGTTTCCTGGAATATTCATTATGAAAACAGCGAGAAACCTTCTCTTTTGTAATTCAATCTCCTAAAAATCCGACAATAATATTAATTTGATTCGAAATGTTCTACTCGACTCCTCTTCATTTCTTATTAGTATTAGAAGCTTCTAGGGAGATTAAGTAAATATTTTTTTTCATTGTTTTGTTTACTTTTACATTGCATCAAATGAAAGGGATCTGAAGAGTTTGATTTATCCGTACGTAGGTTTGTATGAATCATGAGATGAGTAAAAGAAAGAAAACAAGCCGAATTGATGATGGAAATATTTTTGAATGGAAAAGAATTGACGGCTTAGAAAAATCATCGATTTCCCTTAAGAAAACATCGGGAAAACGAAAAAGAAACTTATTAGATTCTTTTTAACTTTTATATACATGCAACGATTTATTTTTTAATAAAAATTCAACTCACCTCCCACTGTACTCTTCTGGATAAGGAATTATGTAACCTTCAGGCGATGGTCGCGGAGAATTCCCAACCCAGAAGAAAGCATCCGGTCCAGTTCCATCATAGGCAAAATCCTTAATAAACAATGTTGACTCGTCCACTGCATAGACCATTCCCTGTGAAATTGAATTAAAGAAAATTGATTAAGAAGCTTGTCAGAGATATTTTACACTCACCTTGATTCCATGTGCAAAATCTGTAAATTGCCCAATCGTTCGTCCATAGTATGGTTCAGGCGGGGCTCGAGCATTGATACCTGCAAATCAAAGTTTGTGTTTTTAAACGAATATTGTTAATAAAAATTTTACTCTGAATCACAAATTCAAGAGAATTCACATCAATTTGGGAATATTCATGTTTTATAATCCAAAGCAGTCAAAGTACATTTTTTTAATTTATGTTTTCAATCCCAGTCTTTTATTTAATTATGAGAATTTATTCCTTATCTGTCATCACCCTTTGTAAAGATATTATAAAATCCTCTACATATATCTACATAAACATGTTAACAGGGAATAAAATATTTAATAGCACAAATCTATTTGCTTATGATAATTAAATTTGATAGATTCAGGAGATTATTACATTCACACAGCAGTTTTATGTTGATGTCTTATGGCGATAAGTTCACATTAAGAACCGTCAAATCACCATTTAAGTAATTTCGTTTCTCCTGAAGGGACGAATTTTATTTTATATTCATTTTCGTCCCCTTCACTCAGCATTGTCATTCAACGATTGTATATTTTTATTTCCTAACGATACGAGAAGTAATACATTTATCTATCTCTACCGTTTTCCCGTTTCTCTAACTTCAATGATTTTTCATGAGTCAAAAATAAACTCATCAGACGTATATAGTCGTACATAGATTTAAATTTATCGATCTTAGGAGGGAAAAATAACAACAACCTGATGCACATAGAATGTCTCAAGAGAGATATTACTCTGTCTTAAACATTCATCATTCTTGCCTGATTTCACAAATTTAATACGCATATCGCTTTTCGGAATCTTTTTCTGACTTGTCAGCATTGTAATATAATGATATCATCGTCAATGAATAAATGATGGAAATATTTTGGGGTGAAAATATCAAAGAATGAAGGAAAATAGATCAAAAACAAAACCAAATAATAAACTTCTCTTTGTATGTACTATTATTGAGTTCTTTTACAAATCCTGGCGAGGAGTAGAATAAAATTTTTCCTTTTATCTCATAAATAGATATATTTATACGATTTTATGTGGTGGGATGTATATTTGATTTCTTTAAATTGAGTTATCTAGATATGTCGTAAACTTTAAGGATTTTCCATAAAACGAACACTTTGGATATTTGTGATTGATAAATTTAAAGCATTGTAATGACAATTTTTAATAAATGTGGGTTTTAGAATTGACTTGCACATGTACATTTTTCGATCTTGAAACTACTAAGTATTAATTCCCTTCACCTGCATATTTAATTATAAATGTTCATGATTTAAAATTTGAAAGTACTTTTTGCTGCGATTATAAGTGACTACCTGTTGTGATTAATTTTGTCTTTTCATCTGCTACATTAGATTAATTAAATTTATTCTTGGATAGTTTAAACATGCTTCTTACTTTCATTACATTGTCAGTAAATGTCGTATGTGTTACACCAAGAAGCTTTTATAGTAAACGAAAGTAAATGTTTATTAAGAAATAAAACATTTTATTTCTATCTATTTTTTACTACTTATGTAGATGTTTTCTTAACAGGTTGTAATTTTATTAATCTCATCATTGTAATTTACTTTGAAGTTCTTTTGAAGATTTCATTTCACTTTTTTTAATGGGCTGATATTTTACGAAATAATTTGATTTAAGTAACGAAGCAGATTACAAAACATCATTGAACGAACTACAAAAGACATTACTGCATTATTGATTTAATAAAAAAATAATTAGTAGAGAGGAATTTATTTGAACACGCGGAAGGTTTAAGATATTAAATTAACGCAATGTTCCCTATGATTTATACAATCGAATTTAAACGCATTAAGATATGTTAGCTCACCAGTTATCTTGAATATATCATGAATGTATGTCAATATTGCAATTGTGTTATGAACGCGTAAATTCTTGCAACTCTCGAAACAATATTACAAAAAACGTGATACTGAATCAAACTGTTGACGTTTGTAACTCCACATATGGAGATGCAATAAATTACAATTGCTAATACCGTAATCAATATACGAAAACAGCAAACATATTTTAAATATCAAATCAATTAAAATGCACTAGTTATGGAAGTTACTATGCGTACATATTAATACATTTCAAACTCGATAAACTCTTACGTAAATTTTTATAAAAACTTATAAGCTCGTGATTATCTGCTAACAAAACAAAAGATCATCAGGGAACATTCTTTTTTTAAATCCAGATAAATAAGTGATTATTCTAGTATCAAATGTACATGTTCCTTGAATTATCTAGAATTTCCATATCATTAAATGTTTCGCAGTTCAACGTGATTCTTACTTTAAATCTACACACACCCACCCTCATTAACTTCTTAAAAACGAATTTCTGCAATCTAAAATATGCCAGGGGTGGTTACGATAGAGAGTTTATTATCGCTATAACTTTTATTTGAGGGGATGAATTTTTCCACTAAGCATTTTATCATCCTTCATCCCGAAAACAATGCTTTAAATTCCAGTATTCATTAAACTAAGTACTCGGAAAAACTTGTAAATTGGACCATATTTGTTTGTGCTGGTCTGTATAGACCAGCAGATATATTAAAATAATACTTCGGTTAAAACGTTTGTTGAAGTGTCTAGCGATTTTTTGTTGAAATAAACAGTTTAGTATGATAAATATACCTGAAACTATTCAAATATTTATATTTCGTCAGTTTAACATACTTGATAATATTCAAAAGCTTTGAGTACCACTTAGTTTTCATGGATATATTGAATTGAGGCAAAAGAATTGAGATTTGTAAGCCAAGTTTTTAAATAAACAAATTGATCATTTTATAGAAAGTGGACGAGATTTTGCAATTTATGGTAAATATATCTCTATAAATAGTTCAAAATTTGGGAAAGCTTAATAAATATTTATCGATGTATACGAAAGCTTTTCTCATTGTCTAATGGTTCTTATTGAGCCCACAACAAATTGTTTTCAGAAGTAAATATAAAAATACTTCATCAGATATTGTTATTCAACATTTTTCTTCTTGATTGACAATTTCTTTCTTTTCTTCTTGATTCTTTCTTTACTTATTTCTTAACTTACCAATATTCTTGATTGATGATACCATTAGCAGTCCGATGAAATAAAAATCCCTGATAAATATTAGTGACTCCATGCTACGAAGGTTTCAATTTTAATCCAAAGTTAAGACTTGTTGTGCAGAATGAAATAATCCAAATATATCGATACTTATGATTTGTGTTAGAGCTTTTAAAACTGAAAGTTTTCCTTGACTTTCTCAGAAGTAACAACAACATCAACAACAAAACAAAAAAATAAACAAAATGGCCTCTGAAAACCTTCTACGTCACCAATTTCTTATGTGGTTTTATGCTTTTTTTCTTGTTTGATTGATATGAGTAAACTTTCACGAAGGTATTTAATCCAATTGATTTTAATTCAGATGATTGATTTATTGTTACTCCAGATGCATTATCACAGACTTGAATTGTGAACTATTGTGCGGTTAACAGTAGAAAAAAATTGATTTCGATTCTGAGAACTGTTTGATGACTTTAAGGGAATTAACTAATATTTATTGTTATCCGTCCAGATATTCAATTTTAAAAAAGTTAACTTTTCATTAATAGAAAAAAAACTATGCAAACTTATTCCATAAACTCTACTTGCACAACCAAAAATACATAACTCGCTTAGCAAAGCGTCATTACGATAGGGAATTTAATATCAGACTGAAACTTTTCTTTTCGCAGATTTACGCTGTGAGCTCCAATCTCTTTCGTAAATTCATACACATGCAATGTGCGAGAAAGAGATGAAAATGTATTCAGCAATGTGGTAAATTCTCATACAAAATGAAGAGTTATTCGCTCCAAACGAAAGAAATGTTACTCAATTTTTGAGGGAAAGTGTGTCTTATATTCCATTGACCGGCAAAACAAATCGATTTTTGAAGACAGAAACTTTAAAACATAATATACAAAAGTAGTAAAATCTATTTCAATATTAATATCGGCGTTTTTTTGTTTTAGAAAAATTATTCCTCGCCATTACTGATATTTGACGAAAAATTTTGGGCTAAAGCGCATGTCAAATTATGGAGTAAAACTTAATATACATTTAAAGGACCTCAGGAAAACGTGAAAAAAGTATAGTAAGAAAAACGATGGAATTTGTTATGGAAATATTTCCTGTTCCTAGTAGATTGTTTTTTGTTTATAAATAAAACTAATTCAGACACGCACGAAATGTCGAAGAAATAAGAATATCATAGAATATGTTTTATCTATACGATTATGTTTGTGCAGATAAATGCGTATTTATACATGTTTTGAATGGAGAAAATGCTGCCTAAGCACAATTCAGAAATACGTTTGAAGAAGGCATAGGAAATTTTTCGATTGAACTTTCATTCAATCAAATTAATAAAAAATAAATTATGCATTGTAGATAAAATTAATTAATTTGAAAAGCTAAGTTATAGACAAAAATGGTTTGGTGAGAGTTCGAAAAGAATTAAAAAAATTCTAATTTGATCTTTTTATGTTTTCAAAACTAGTTCTTGAATATTTCTTAAACCAGTTTTTAATAGAAATTGATTAACTGACATTCTTAAGATTATCAAAATATTATTCAAAAGATTATAAAAATGTGACAGTTCTTCAAAATATTTTTAAACTTTTATTTTTATTCAATAACACTATTTTTATCTCTAAAGAGAACTTACAGAAATTAAACGTAAAAGCTTAAATCATTTTATGTTTTAAACAATTGTGCTTTTTCATTGCTTTCAATTCATTAAAACTAAAAGCAATAAACTTAAATTTAATAGTTTTAACTCTTGTTTCAGAATTGAAAGAATACTTAAAGCGTCAATGAATATTTGAACGTTAAAAATAAATTTCTTACCATGTTGAATAGTTTTGAAACAACAAAAATAGAACAAAAATAGCCAGAAGAACTGTCGAAGTTATTACTCTGAAAACTCTTAAAAATCTTATTGAATCTAAGCTGAATATATATTTTTTCATTAAAAACGATGAGAAGTATTAAAAATCAAAATCTTCATTTTATTTCATTATACTTTCACTATTTTATTTGAGCCTTTTTTAATTATTTTAAAACTATAAAATTCTTTGGCTTAAATATCTAAAATATATGCGCTTTGATCTATTTTCACATTTCTGTTGATATAAGTAGAAGATTTTTGCCAGACCTTCTAGCAATTGACACTTGAAATTGATCATTTGATTATCAGTTAAGGCCATAAGATAATTAGGGGATATTTTATTGATCCTTTAAAGTAATTAAATATAATTTATATCGAAGCTTAAAAGTCGACATTCTGAATTAACAAACTGACTTATCTGTCTTTTATCAATCAGTTTACATAAATTGATCAACTTTTAGCAACTCTGTCTATGACTATAAAAATATTAAATCTAGTAAATCAATTTCAATCTGTTTCATATGTAAGTATGTTTAGATAGATTTTTTCTTGTATGGTAACAAAGTGCAAACGTTCTTATTTGATGCTTTTCTTAATAAAGATTTTACAGAAAGTTGATAAAGTTTCATTAAATTTCAACAACGCTTTAATAAGGCTTTGCATCAATGCCACAGTCTTAAACATAATTTTTCTTTGGAAGTTTCTTAAATGCACTAAATGGGAAGAATAAATTCCCTTCGTGCATTTTTAGGCTTCCTTAAGGCAGATGAATAGATAAAATAATTTACAGAGAATGAAACTTCTTGCATTTTACGAATGAACTTCTAAATATAATTAAATTTTATTTTAAAGAATAACAAGTTGATTTAAGTTAAAGTTCCATTCTCTGATAATCTTGGTAAATTATTGTTGATTATGAAAGTTCAATGAATTAAGGTGAAAAACTTTCTTTGGAAGCTCTTGTCGGTTTTGGTGGTGGTGCCGGTGGATTTTTCTTCGAAGATTTAACTTCATCAGGAGAGACAACATCGCGACTTTTTAAGCTGAGAATTTCATAATGATTGTTAGCAGCCGCGACTATACCTTTTCGGGGCTGATCAGATGAGACCAGGAATGATTCTGTTGTTAAGTCATCAAGAACTTTAACTTTCGTGAATTTCGAATCTTCGTGTACATTTCCATACTCGCTATCACGATGCTTAATAGGAAGTGGAGGTGGAACCAAATCTTCCTCGGATGTTTGCGAGTCGGTTGTAACTTGAAATAAATTATAATTTAAGGACACATTTTCACCAAATGTTTTCTTGAGTATTTACTTATTGAATTTCTGCTGTTGCTACTTTCACCAGACATCGAAGCATTGTCGATTTTGGAAGTAGACACATTACTTGTAGTTACAAGACTTTGTGTACGTGATAAACGCTTCTCTTTCTCAGCTTCAGATCTCAATGGTCTTTTAGGTGTAAGCTTTGAATTAAATAATAAAAATTAGTTTATGAGTTTATAGATGGCTGATTAGATTCAAATTTACCTCTTCTGTAAGTTCAAAAACGGGAATGTTTTGAGCTGGCATTATAATTGCTGATGATGGGGTTGAAGGATTGTTGTTCAAAATGTCTTTAGTCCCTTTCTCGAAACTTGTCTGACTCAAAGGGATTATCATGTTATTCATTGAAGCAGTTGTTACGGTATAAAATTGACTGTTGGGTAAACTCAAAGTCTCACGGTCAATCTGAAAATAAAAGTGAAAGAAATTTAATTTAAACAGATGAGTAAATTATGAATTTAAGTTTCGTCTCACCTTTTTACTATTTTTTCTTTTTTGTGGTGTTGTCTTTTCATTTATTTTTTTATTTATTTGTGATGCTGCTCCCATGGTTTGTCTTTGAATTTTAAATTTTAAAAGTTAATTTTATGAGAAGAATAAAAATTAAAACAAATACCTTGTGAATGATGTTGGTGAGTTAAAGTTTAGAACTTTTGTAATTGCAGTGGTTATTTGACGGCTAGGACCAGTTGCACGTGATATTCCGCTACTTTAATTAAATAATTTATCAAATCGATGAAATATAGAATTTAATTAAACTTACTCTGAAGACCCGACAGACGTTTCTGAAAGACGATTATCTGCACTCATTTGCGGTGTACTAAGAATACTTTTCCTCAACACAACCATTGGATCGCGTTCGAACTTCAAATCCGTTGTGCGCTTTCCATATTTCGTTTCTATATGAGTTTGCATTTTTCTAAAGCATTCTTCAAGTCTTTCATGCAGAGGAAGCAAATCATTCGAAACTTTCATACGATGAACGCTTATTGCAATTTCAAGAACTGGAATTTGTTCAGCAATTAAATTTTTAAGTTTTTCAACAAACGAAATGTCGTTGGAGTTCATCTTTAAGTATTCATCAGTGAGAAAAGCTTCTTCGTATTTGGCTGTTCCACCATTAACAGCTGCATCAACTACACCTTGAATTTTCATTGTCAATTGACTTACTGCTAATGCTGAATCATTTTTATGCTCAACTAGTAAGTCATGTAAAGTTTTGTTGATATTTTCCATCATCTCAATGGCACATTCAATGGGAGAAATCTGTAAAATAAAAAAAATTCTTAGCTCTTTGAAAATAAATTTTTTAGGTAATTTTAACTCACATTAAACGTCTCTGAGCTTTCAACTGGAAACCATTTAAGAATACCAGGCATTGGATATTCAATTTTCATGATTGTCCTTTCTAACCATAAATTGGCAACATTATCAGGATCGCTTGATGACATCCAATTCTTCGACACGTCCCGAAATGGTCGAGAGAATTTAAATTGATTTACATCATTTGTACGATAATATTTGACGATTAATGGCGCAATGTTCTTATCTTGAGAGAAGGTTTGAATTTCTTTATTTTTCTCACTGATTATTGGCTCAACTTTATTGATTTGAATGTATTGACCGTCGCTGTTCAAAATATCATCACTTGGCTTTTCTAACGTCTGCATTAGCTCCGCTCTTGGATGTTGATTTATAATTCTCGCACTAAATGATGGCAGTTGTTCATATTCCTTCCCTCGATAAATGAAAGTTCTATTACGAAGTAACTCCGGAAATCCAAATCCATAGAATGTGACTCGAAAATATTCAGTTTCATGACGCATTTCAGAAAATATTTTACGATAGAATTGCGACATTTGAATATGCAAATGACTGAGACTAATGTAGTCAAAGACTTCATATTCATATTGTTGAGCTAACTCTTTGCAAACTTCCAAGGCACATTCCCACATTTTTCCATCGTCAAAGAGTTTGATGATCTCTTTATAAAGTTCTTCTTTCAAATGCCGATGGGTCTGACAATGTGGATGTCTGCATGAACGTAACAATGGTGATAATTGTGTATTATCCCACAACAGCAATTTACTATGAAGCTTCAATGTGAACGCAGCTTCTGGATAATTTTCGAACTCCATATGTAAATCACAAAGTTTATTCACATACCGGATGTACATTTCCTTTCGATTGACTTCAGAATAAAATTGTAATAAACTCACTGTACACGACATTCGATTCTCTTTACTTTCATCGTTGATTAGAAACCGATACTCGAGAAGTCGTTCCATTAATTTTGTGGCCATGTTGACGAAAATTGTTCCATCTTGACGAAGTGCAATATGTTTACTGCATAAGTTCATCATTATCTCGTTAAATAAATCCTTATACTCGTGATCACCACGTCCGCCTTCAACAAGAATGTCCAATTTTTCAATCATTTCCTTCTCAAATTCGCGGTAATTGCCTTTGATGTGTGAAATGTTTTTCTTTGTATCGCCGAAACTTTCACTATGATATTTTGATGACACAAACTCACATTGCATCATATCAAAGAAAATTGGAATCGTTGATTTCCGAAGTTCGGGTTCAGGAATCATCGACATCTCAAGTAATGGTCCCACCATTTGAGGAATGAAAATGATTTTATGTTCACCAAGATTGTACCACATTTTACAAATTTCTTTAGCAGTTTCTCGTCGAATGTCGCAATATCGCGTAAGAATTATCGAAGTTTTGTTTCTTGTGAATTGATCAAGTTGGAGTGCCGGTTGAATAAGAAATGCGATTGAACAGTGGAAGAAATTCGACCACACTTGCTTCTCAAAGGGATCAAAGAATTTGTCTTTAATTATCTGTGAAAATGATTTCAAGCTTTCGAGTATGACAGTGTTTTGATGCATTATCATGTCTAACCAGTCTGATGGGAAGACTGGCTTCGAAACTAGTTCCTTAAAGACTAGTAGAATCTCTGTTAAGAAATCTTGGAGATCGAAGCGTGTATTGAAATGATTAACGTACATCTTGTAATGCGATTCCGTCATATTTCTAAAAATTGCAAGCATAATTGCAACTAAATTTCCTACTAAAGGATTGTCACGGTCCATGGCGATTGATGATTGAATGATCGTTCTCAAAAGTATCAACATAAGATCGCGAATGTCGTTGTCAATTGGTCCAATGTTTTCAGAGAAAAGAAGTTCCAAAATGTTGTTCATGATATTCACACATTCTGCCACCTATTAAAATGTCAAAAATTCTATGAAAATTTATTCCTTTTAGTTTTCAATTAAAGTAGAGTTTGACCTCAAAACCAGATTGATCACCAGATGGTAACTTCAGTCAAACATTACTGCGTCAGTTAAATTCAAAAGTCTTTTATGACTTCAGCGTCATAATATTGAAACAACAAAATAATTAAATCTAAATTGGTCTGGACAATATTGAGTAAAGCAATTTTAATAATATTTCTCATAAATAATTCACACCATTCAGAACGCACATACAGGCACAAAAACATCCTTCAGTTTTAAAATTCTTTTAATAATGTCTGAAATTTAAATATTCACAATTTCACAATACCTTCGTTTTAGTAGTTGATTCACGAGCATGGAGTTGTGATTTGGATTCGCCCAATATTTTTGCAGCTTTAGTGAGATTTTTCTCTTGTTGCCATATATCAGAAATATGATCACCCTGTGTTCGTTCAGCGAATATGAAACAGCGTTTGATTCGACAAAAATTTTTAATTTAAGTAAGCGAACGTAGATATTAAGCATAGAAAAAGTTCAGATAGAACATAATGCAGGAATTAAATAATAATCTTTAGCTCATAAGTACATAAGATGTCGACCCATTGTCAACAAAATTGGACCTCCCGAATAATCTTGTGTTCTAATATTAGCAACAGATAAAATTAACTTTTTTCTGCAAAATGTTCTATGGAAAATTTAATTTATCATGAAGAAAATATTAACAAAAAACATTGAAAGCATTTCACTAAATAAACAAAAAAAGTTAAAATGTTATGATGAAATGATTTATCAAATATGTACATGAAGTATCATTTTAAAGTAAATTTATGTATTTTTCAAGTTCCCATAGTGTAGTCGACAAGTTCATTGAAAGTGTAAGCTATTTATAAAATTTACAAATTGTTAATTGGAACTTGATTGAATTATTTTGATAGTTTTCTTTTATTTAAAGAATGAAGCGTTATATTAGAAAATTTCATGCTGAATCATAATTGAATGAGAAAATTTTCCCCAAATAAGCAGCACACATGTATGTATAAGTATTCGGTGATGAAACCCACGAATAATGAAACATCACAGATGCCTTTGATTTGCGTTTAGAAAACAAATTGCGAATATGATAATGAATGTGTCATAACTCTACTTATTGATGATATTTTTGACAAATACTGTCATTAACACAACATTAATGATACAAGCTTAGAATAAATGATGACAATTGATGAAAGAAGCAACAAATTCTTTTTACGATCATGACAAGTCCTTCATAGATGTTCCAAACCATGACATTAGCTAAGATTTTAGATCATGACGAAAAGCATAAAACATTTTTAATGAACGAGCACATATTTACAAAGATATTTCGGAATAATTATAAAGCGAACTTATTTCAAGACAACACTCACATAAGCATATGGGGAAATCACGAAAAGTTATGAACAGAAAGAGAATTAAAAGTTTTAATTGATCGAGGGGTTTCTTGTATAATCCCTTGCTTTAAAACATTACAAACAAAAAACGATTTCTCACCAAGCACAATAAAGAAAATAAGAAGAAATAAAGGAATACATGCCAATTTAAAAACAAACACACATTCATGCTTGATGCATCCTTATAACACATAATGAATGATTTAATATATGTAAATGAGTCACCTCTTCTTTCGATTCCAATTTATCCTTGATTTGCATGCAAAATACTGGAAGCAAAATTCCACGACATAGCGGAAGTCGAAAGATGTTCGATTCAACGATATCCTTAATACATTTCATCTTGCATTGTGTTAATCGACCTGCCGGAATTTTTGTGATAATTTCAACAATGAAGTTACTGTTTTTAAAGAAAAAGAAGAAAAAAAGACAAATGATTAATATAAATAAAGCAATCTAATCAGAATGTGAAATGATTACCTTAATTTCAATGAGTCATAAACTTCCATTAGATCTGAAGCAATAATATGAAGATATTTTAATATGGCACCTTGTGGTCTTAACAAAGGATTAGGCATTGAAATTAATTGCACGAACCATCCCATGAGTTCTTCAAGTCGTGTTTCAAAAGAAAACTTGTCTTGATCATCGAATATGTTTGCATAAAGAATTCTCGATCGAATGATGAACTTCATGATGTATTGCAAATTTTTTATTGTCTTGTAGAGTTTACGTTCTGATGGTTTGTCATTTTCATTAATAGATATGGTATCTGGATCTTTCTCAATACTATTGAAGGCATTTAAAAAATGTCGCTCGAGAACATCGATTAACTTTTTGTAAGCAAGCGTTGACGAGAAGCTTTCACTGATATAAAGATCCAAGACCGACTGGAAGTGTTGATACTTTTTGTCACTAACTATTTCAATCAACATTAAGAGACATTGGAAGACAAGATCGTCGTAGCGTAAAGGATCTTGATTTGTCACTAAAATGTCGAAGAGAGCGTCGAGAATGTCTTGAAGAAATTTCACAATCTCTTCGGGTAGAACACACAATAACTGTGTCAATGATTCTTCCAGACGATCAACATTGTCAGACCATTTCAAAAGCCCGAGAAGATTAACATCCTGTGTTAGTTTTGTACTGCACAAATTAATGTCTATCACGAATGAATCTTTGTTGAGAAGAGTAAAACCTGGCGCTGAAGGTTTTGGTGTTGCTAACAGTTCAAAAGTATGTGATGGCAACGCATAATAATTGAAAAATGAACTTGAATCATATTTCTTATAATCAATTCTATACACAACGAGAGTATGTTTGTCTTGTTGTAACGTAGTTCCACTGTCGTGCTGAAGCTTCAAGTATGACATTGCAAAAGGTTTCTCGTTTTTGTCTTTTGATTCATTTGAACTGCGATGTTTAAACATAAATTTTAAATGACATCGAACAAAATCATCGATCGGTAAGTTGACCTTGAAAGTTTCATTCCACTTTGGTTTATCATCGTGATAGTAGATAACTGAATGATATTCGCCAATCATTGGAGCTCCACCACCTTGTGTTATTACATCTTTCATCGGTTCTCCTTTCTCATTGCACACACAAACAGTGACTTCAATATTTTTATCGCTCGATTTTCCGCCTGTTTTTGAAAATTCACCTTGCACAAGTGTAATGTATAAATCATTCCTGACATCACCAGGAAAGATGACTTCGGGGAATCCCATTTTCCTTGCGTGGGCAATATTTCCAAGAATAAGATGAGGATATTCTTCTTTTAACTGTTTAATATCACCATGGAGAAGTTCGACTGTAATCCAAATATTTGAACCATCCTTCCCTACATCCTTATTGACGATTAACTTTTTCAAAGTCACTTCCATTGTTTCCTTTTCACAAGCTATAAAAGGCATCGAAAGTTGGTTGTCACTTTTAAAATCTTCAGCTTTCTTTATAATCGGAGTAAGGTCAATAGCCGCAACACCATAAGGCCTCCTCATTAAATCATTTAAGTTTACTATGGAACTGTTTTGACTTTGAGTCGAACTACGTTTTGAAAGAACTGCGCTTGCAACACTCACACGACGTGATTCTGATTCTTTTGTGTCCATAGCACCAACTCTTATTACATAAGCAACAAGAAATATTTTATTTCTCAGCAAATCCATTGAACTTAGATCTGTAAACAGAACTCTAAGATTGCTGAAAAATGGTGTTATGCCTTGTCGATTCCATTTAACTAGATAATTTTCAGTGATTGCTTTCATTTCATCAGCATCGAAAAGTGTAAACAATAGTTCTGTATCTTCATTCACTTTACACACAAAATTATGAACAGATATCATAAGATTATGCGAAAATTTGTTCGTTTGTTTTGATTTGCGATTTTTGTTGAATTCAGACTGTAAACAAATTCATGAGAAATTTAGTTAAAGGAATATTTGCTGATCTTACTGTTGCTCTACGGATGCGAGTGGCAGCACGAACGTGATGATGATAAAGTTGAGTTGTTGACGTCTGGTTGATATCCAAAATATTTCCATTATCATCTCGCACAACCATGTCAAGGCCTTTTATAGAGATTGATAAATTGGGAGATAAATTCAACTACCTACATAACTACGCATTGCTAGCAGAGACTTACCCAACAATTTATTTCCTGTGTCGATTTCCGATGTAGCTTTAAGTGTAATATCCTTCAATTCATCAACAGGTAAATTTCCAGACAGCATCTGAGCTCGAAGTTTAATTAACTCAAGCATCTTTTCTCGAATGACTTTAAGATTTGAATTACCATTCTTTAAGATGAAATTTTTAATTCGAAAATTAATTAATTACAATATTAAATTATTTTTAAACTCACTAAGAAAAACTTTTTGAAATGTTCATGCCATTCCTTCAAAACAGTTGTTATTTCATCGACAATTTGACTTCGTTTAATAAGATATTCATTTCTAACAATCTCGACATCAGCAACGATATGAATATAACATTTAGGAAAAATACCTTTTAAAGAGCGATTTCTATAATGAAATTAGTTGAAAGAAATAGATGAGAAAAACGACAATTAAACTATCTTTTTAATCCAATATCTTTTGCACTTCAATTCACACTCACTTTTTCTTGAAGCCATAATACCAATTGGCACTTTCTCGAACGATTATTAAAGTTTCACCTACATCCAGCTCAAGACGATTGGGCCTGTCGTCATTTTGTTTGTAATTATTTTTTGCTTAATTTTTCATGAAATGAAAAATGAGAAGAAGTTTAACTATAGATATATTTTTAGATAATTTAAAAAAGTTTTTTTTTGAATTTATGCAGGGTTGTCACAAATATCCGAGTAAAATAAATTCGATACAAGCTACGAACTTGACGGACTAACTCGAAATGCACTGAGGAAAGATTTAAGCATTAATAAATATGACTGCGTAAAATAAATTATAATGAAAACGGAATTTATTTGCTGTATAACCATTTTCAACACGTCCCCTACGAACAGAAACAATTTAGTGTCTCCCCAATTTATTTAAATAAAGTTATTTCAATATCACTGTAGTTTCAGCAGAACTTTGATATATCATTTTGTTAACATTGTTTAAACTCTAATGTTATTATCCCTCCTGCATTTTCAGTGACAATTGTTTTTATATATGTACTTGTAAATATCAAATTTTTGTTGGGGATCTTTTAACATACGGTGAATATTTAATTTTATTAAAACATAAACATCCTTAGACATGCGCGTGATTCTTTTAGTTATGCTCTTATCATTAAGCATACAGGAGCAACATTGTGGAATATCAAGAATATATTCCTCATAAACTATTAATTTGCTTCTTTTATAACTCTCATGTTGAATTCAATTTTTAGTGAACAAAAACTGTAATGGTTAAACTTCATAATAGAAAATAAGATGATTTGAAATTCGCAACAGTTATGTCTTGTGTTACCATCGAATATGTTTATATTTTGTTTTTAATTTACTGAGCAAAGTTCAATTTATTACGTTCAAACACATCGTTAAAACATTTTTGTTTATGCCGCAACTAGTTTTTAACAGCAGCATAAAATCTACGCTTATGTGTGGAATGTTCAACTTATTCATTTCTTATTATCCATTTAAATCTTCACTTTTGCTTTTATTTGTGTCATTAGGACGACAACTCTTTTCAAGTGTAAACTTCACAATTCTTATAATTATCGTCAACGACTATAGCACTAGTCATATTACAAGTTATAATAACTTTCCACTTGCTTTAATTCCATTATAGAGTGAGCAACAAATCACTTATTAGATTAACACTAGCTGGTGCATAGGAATTATAAATAAAAAATAAAAGCATCTTATATTTTTTTTAGAAGTTTCTAAAATTTAATATGTTATAACTGAGTAAAAATATTCTTTCATATACAGACATATTGTCTTCATTGAGTTCTCAAAATGATTTATTCACTTATGCTGAGTCAAACACTGATCAAAATATAGACAAAAAATCACTTGATCTTGACAATAGGGAGTGTTTCTAAAAAAAATATTAGTTACACTTTTTATCCTACCTATTCCCACTATAAACTGTTCGCCTACATTTTTCCAGACTGTCATTGTGACAGAATATTTGTTTATAATCAGTTATATCACGAAAAATATGGAAATGGCTTGCATATTAAGCTATAAATAAAAACTTTCTTAAGACACTGTGAACTTCTTCATTGAATGTTGTATACCCCGACACTCAACAATTTTTGCTAAAGTGCTAAACGTTCATATGCAAGTTTATTATTGTTTTGTTTAATCATAATATTGAGAATATTTACTATAAATTCAATGCCTGAATACAGAATAATGAACGATATGTAAACAAGAAATACGTAAATCATTTAAGTTTCTTAGTTAGAAAGTTAAATAACTCCTAAAATATAATTTTTAGAATGAAAAGGAAGAGTTGAAGATCAAGAAGGAAATCAAGGGGTAAATCATCGGCAATAATGAGCCGTCAGAAGCACCATAGATTAAAAGAAATTCATAGATAAAGTAAGCAAATTTTTGGAAAAAAAACCATTTTTCCTGAAAAGCACTAGGTAGTGATTTTTGAAGCATCTTTTAGAGGCAGCCGGCAGAAGCACTACGATGATGCACTCCTTGGAAGAGATGTACCGCGGGCGAGAGCGTGATGACCCAGAGAGGATAGTTTGGAGTCAGTCAAGATTGAAATGTGATTTGAAAATTAAAACATGAAAATTTCATTGTTTAGTTTATGAAGTTTTGTATATTTGATATTTTTTAGATACAAAGAATCTTATAATGAAATGCTCATATTATGAAGCTGCTCAAAATACCCGACAAACTACAATTAGATGCTCAAACATGTTTGAAATGAAATTAATATGTCTTAATTTTAACAAGAAAATAAATATGTTGAATGAAAGTGGAAATATTTTATTAATTCTATAGAATTGTTGCAGATATGTTGATAGATGTGAATAAAAATAATAAAAGAATATTTTCAGAAAATAAAATTTAATTTAAATAAAGTCTTCAAAAACAATTTTAAATTAATGGAAGATCAACGAATCATTCGTGTACAAATAACAGTTTAAATAAATTAGAAATGGAATCTTTAATTTATGTGCACTTCTTAAGAATTTCCTTGTTGAACATAATTTGAAGTCCAAAGTGAATATTTTTAAAAGCTAGGCATGATAATAGAAATGATGTTAATAAGTAATTTGGACTGATAACATTTGACACCAGTATAGAAAACAAATTCGAACATGTTTGCAAATGAGTTGAAAGCGCAAAGAATTTTTTTCGAGCTTTTGTTTTTTTTTTCGATAATTGAATACAAAAAGAATCATCTGAAGTCTTTTCAATTATTTTAACAGAATAAATCAAAAATATATAAAATAATTAAACTTTTGATTTTCTGTTGGTTACTTTCGCTGCAAGTTGCCATCAAATTACTTTCACTCCATGTTCATTTGACAGTAAAGAAATCAAGAAAAAAATCTTTGAAAGCAATTAAATATATTTTAGCTAACGGCAAATATATTTGGATCAACAAAGATAAAACAAAGCTGCACCCAGAACATTGTGGAACTAAAACAAAGATAAACCGAATGGAAATAGATTCCGATTGAAGAGAATATTAAAAAAATAAATATGCAAAAATTAAAACTCATGCATAAAAAAATATAAAAATTTATTCAGACTTTTACGATTGTTGATAATTTTAAATGAACTCATAAAAATAAACTTTTGTAAGTAGCTTAAAATGTCATCAAAAGATGACTAATCAAGTTTATAGATGAAAATTAATCTATCTAAGCAGGCTTTTAAATCTTCAACGAAACAATAAACTTGGATTTAGTGTCAACTTTAAAATTCACTTAAGTGAATGACTCACTCATGACATGCAACGTAGGAAATATATTTTAAATTTTTCAAAAACTTTCTTAGAAAAAAAGCTTAAAATTGTAATGAACATTTTATTGTATCAATAATAAATTCTTTTCTAGAACAGTAATAACCAAACCACTCAGCTTTATGCAAATATAAAAGTAAATAAGATTTGAAAAATTGAATTAATTTTCAAGTTCAAACCAATTTCATTTTCAATCATACATAAATATTAGCATAGAAAAGGAATAACAAATTTCTACAAAAAGAAATTCAATAGCTTAGTTGTGTCATCGGAAGAATATTTTAAATACAAATTAAAAGTGAATATTTAAAATCAGGATTTTGTATCTCTAATAGTGATAATTAAAAAATCGTTTTCTAGTTTTAGGATCAATGTTTTAAAGCAAAATAATTTCCTGATAAACCTGCTTTGATATTTAATCGATTATTCCTTCTATCTCTATATAAAGAGAAGATTTTAAAATCTCTTTTTCAGTTTCTTTCAGAAAGTATCAAAGTCAACAAATTCTAAAATGAAAGGTGTCGCTTGTGTTCTATTCGTTGTGATCGCTTTGTGTTATGGAGATCAGCCAGTCATAAAAAACACAAAAACTGAAGGAGATTGTGGAGCTTATTGTTCATGGGAAGATGTGAAGATTTTCCCAGATCAAAGTTACAATCAACCTGGAAAGTGTAGAGAATTGTTCTGTGCACCAAACTTCGATATTCGCATCACACCTTGCCCACCTCGTAAGTTAATTTATCAAACATTGTCAGTTATATTCTCACGTTATTTCCCTTTATTAGCAACTGCGGAATATGAATGGGTTGGCCAAGATAATACTGAACTTTATCCTGAATGCTGTGGTACAAAGAAAGATCGTAGACCAAAATTACCAGAAAATTAATGTTCAAATAAAATTGTGAATAAATAAAATCAAAAATTTCTTTAAAATGATAATGTCGATGCTTCTGTAACAGAATAAAATTTTGATAAAAACAAAGCTGAAAAGATTGAATTAAAGAAAGGAAAATCATTTTCACATTCATTGTCATTGTCAAAATCATTGTCAAATAGTTGAAAAAAAGAGAAAATTCCAGAAAGAAATCTTTTCTATGACTTATAATTCAATTTTTAAACCACATAAATCCACATTTTTTCATAGATTCTTCTGGATTTCATATCTAAAACAGACATTATAAAAAACTTCTTCTATATATTTAAAATATTTTAATTCATTTATTTACATAAGTAGATAATTAAAAGAAAAATGTCCACAAATAAGAATTATAATAATAAAATGTAATATAATATTTTCAAAAGATAAGAAAATTAATTAAAAGATCAATCATCGTCATCATTAATTACATTAATTTAATCTTTTAGTGCATCATCATTATTGTCAAGATTATTGTCATCGACAATATCGTTTCTTTATGTATTGCACAAGATATCAACTATAAGTTTATTTAAAATTATTTTTGAAGCACTTCACAAGTCAGTTGTCTCCTTTTGAAGTTGAGAAGCTCTTTCAAGAAATGCATGATAACCATTTGAAGTCACACGCTTACTCAATTCATCTGATAGTCTGTTGAGAGTTTCCTTTACCTCCATCGGAATTTTCTGATATTTTTGCTGAAGTTTCACTTTATCTAAAGCCAGTTTAGTGTCGGTGAGAGCATCTTCAACATTATTCGCTTCCATCAGTGCTTTTGCGCGGGCGTAATATCCGTCATAATTATTCGGCTTAATATCAATCGCCGATGATGCCAAATCAATTGATTCAGAAATTTCCTTTAATGAAAACAATTTTTATAAGAATAAATTTATTTTAATTGAATATTTCTAATATTTTACATTCATCTTCCGTTTGCATCTCGATAAATTAATCAGGAAATTAAACTTCAATTGTTGATAAGTTGCAATGTGTCCGTCATCTTCGTCGCCTTCTTCTTGTGGCGTTACTTCAGTCGGAATTTTCTTCAACGCATATTGATATCGATGACTGGCGTCTTGGAGACGATTCTTTCGATATAAAACATTGCCATCTTCCAGTAATTTATTGAGTAAAACAATCCTACAATAAAATTTAATTTAATTAAATAAAAAATTCCAATAAAATCTTTCAACTTACATTATTTCGGGTTTACTTTGTGATAAAATCCAAGTTGAACTTCCAAGCTTTGCTCCATGTTTCAAAAAGACTTGCACTACTTTAATATTACGACAAGCAATAGCTCGATCAATTGGTCGCATTCCTTTCTCATCAACATGCTCAAGTTGTGCTCCATTCTCAAGTAATAATTGAACAAGTTCGCCAGTTCCCTGATAAGCAGCTAAGTCAAGTGGAGTTCGTTGATGATTATCTTGATGATGAATATCTGCATTATGTTCAAGAAGACTTTTCGCCGCTAAATGTTTGCCTCTCAAACATGCCCAACTTAATGGACTCAAACCATCTTTATCAACGACACTGTGACTAGCGCCTTTATTAAGTAGAAGTTCCATGATTCCGACATGACCTTCTTCAGCTGAGATCATCAAAGAATTACGATCACTGTTATCTTTCTGTTCAAGAGCAGCTCCACATTGAATTAATCTTTCAACAATATTCCAATGACCTTCTTTAACAGCAAGTAAAAGTGCTGACATTCCTTTTCGATTCTTATCATCGTGACTTGCACCACGTGATAAAAGAATTGACACCGTGTCTGTGTGACCATTCGAAGCTGATATTGTTAGTGAACTTTCACCAGTGATGTAATCAACAGAATCAACATTCAAGTCGGGAAGTGTCATTAATAAATCTTCAACAATCGATGTATGGCCACGACCAGCGGCAGCAACTAAAGCTTGCTTTGAACTATTCATTAACGTTAAATCTTTTCTTGTTTCATGTAATGTCCAATCACATGCCAAGATATATTTAACAATGTGATTATGACCATTTAATGCTGCATGCACTAAAGCACATCGTTTCTGCACATCAGTCTGTCCAAGTGAACTTCCCGAAGCAACCAATTGTTGAACAATCTCATAATGACCTTTGATCGATGCTAGAATCAATGGAGTAAATCCTTGATTGTTTGTCTTCTCAACATCAGCACCAAATTCAAGTAAGAGATTCACCATGCCAAGAATTCCTTCATGTGCTGCTATACAAAGTAATGGAGCGTCGCCGAAGAAGTTTGTATTGTGATCGGGATTAGCCCCAGCGAGAAGTAAAAGTCTTGAAACTTTTAAATTCGGATTGTAGACATTTCTCAAAGCACATAATGTTGATGAGACACATTTTGATGAGCTTGTGACCCAATAAGCTTGAAGATCACGTGGCGATTGATTCAAAGGTGGAGTTCGATAAATGTGAGCTTTCAAAATATGATGACAAAGTTCTTGTGTCTGTTCTGGATCAAGTGGCGCTTGTAAACGTGACATTCTAAATGCAATTGCAGCATGACCAGTCCGAAGATCACATAAAAACTTTGAACTTTCACTTTCATCACGTCGCATTATTAACCACTCTCTGAATGATGGATGAAAGAACATGTAAGTGTTGTCGATTCTCTTCACTAAGAAACCAGCTAACATTTTGAAACGATTCAAGAATTCATTCCATTCCAAAGGCATTTCAGTGACGAGTGAATTGATTGAATGAAAGATTTCGATGAGTGTTAATGGATGAAGTGCCGCAAGGCAAACAGCAAGAATCGATGAAACTTTTTCAAATGCACTTTGTGTTGGATATCGCAAGTTGAAGCTTAACAAAAAGATTTGTGACAATGTCACTGGAAGAACTTTAAAGCTATTCGATTTAATAACTAAACTTCCTCTTTCAATCAAATCAAGTGTCAACTTTGCAAATAAAAATGAACCTTTACTGAGTGATAAAAGATGTTGCGCAAACTTTCCAGAGCTTCCTTCACGACTCATTGAAAACGTTCCACTCGATGAAATGTTACTGATGTTATTTTGTATCGATGGACTATGATTCAATCTTAAAATAATGTAATCCAAGATATCTTTCTGCATTGCATCGTTGAGCCAATTATCGAGTGAGATTTTTGTAAATGGCAAAGTGTTCGTGTAGTCGATCATTTGTGATCGCACAGTAGCGATGACCTTCAACCACGGAGGAAAACCATGACACATTGTACTTAAGAAAGATGTTATCGTATCGCCATAATCAGGTCGATGATATTCCGATTCACAAAGGGCATCGATGAGAATAATACAATAGCGACTTAAAATCTTTCCTTGACGTTTAAGCATATCGAGAGGCTCTAAAATTCCCATCTTTAAGGCACGTTGAGGGTCAGCAATACACTCCTTAACACTTAAAACATTCTGCAAGTGCGGCTCATTGAGAAGGAATTCATTATAAGCAGCAAGTTGAGGCGCTTGACAGAGTTGTGCCGCAAGCGAATGTATGAAATCAGGAACGTTACATGTCGGACTATTGTCACTCTGACAAAAATGATAAGCGACAACATGACCAGCAAGTTGACGGAGTCTCTCATTTGGAAGGTTCGCTTGACTGTAAATTCCATCATGTTCTTGAATAATCGAATCTTTCTTCCTTCCAAAACAAGAATATTCGACCATTTGTAACATGAACATTGTTTTTCCCGTGCCAAGTGTTCCATTTATTAAAACACCTCGACACTCATTCATCGTGATTGCATTAGAGATTTCTCGCACCAACCAATGTCGTCCAACAAAAATCGGATCAGCTTCTTGATGTGGCACCTCAAAGAACAAAGGCTTAAGTGGCAATTGTGCTGACTGTCGATATTGTGCAAAACGAATTTTCGGATCAATCGGTGAACTCAGTTGCATAGATCGCGCTGAACGACGAGCTGGAGCTTTACGTGCTTTAAATTGCTCCAACTCATCCAATCCATCAATTTGATTTTGATTTCCTTCAAAAAGTTTTAAATGAATTTTTTTATTCTGAAAATATTTTCCATTCAATTCAATTTACCTGTCAACGAATGACGTCTTCCAAGTGAATTTGACGATGCATTGCTGTGTTCGGAAATCGACACTGAAAGCAGTGAACCAATTGATTCACATCCGCCTCGCTTTGATGTCTGAGATTTTTCATGCATCGAACCTCTCGACATGTCAGCTTCTGAAGAGTTGGTCAAGGTTGACAATGGACTTGTGTTGTTTGAACCCAGTGAGCTCAACGACTGTTTATGTTTTGTTCGTCCTTGTGTGTGATTATTCTCGAGAAACAATCCCAATCGCACCTGAAGCTCGTCATCACGAACTGTCTTCGATTTAGAGCCAAGTTGACTTGTCTTGACGTTGGCACTTTCATCATCTGAATATTATAAGAAAAAAGAGAAGGGACGTTGGTTTTTGAGTGATTGAGCTTTAAAAGGTTTTAATTACAATTCACATAAGGGACTGTCAAAAGCTTCATCACTATAAAATGTAACGAATCTTGTGATCAATCCCAACTTCGTGCAACAAGAAAATGAAAATCATGAAAACAAAAAAAAAGAGAAATCAAAACTTTTGCATGCCAAAACATAAAAACAAATCAAAAGGAAAACTTCAAACAGAAAAAAAAGGGAATCAAATGAAAGATCGAAACCTAAATTCTCTTTGCTTTTGGTCTTTTTATGTCGGTCGTCATCAGCGAGTAAATTCAGACCAATATTTGTATTGCTATGAGACCAAAGTGATTTTATCTTTCCAAAGACAAGAGTTCCGCCACTCACAACAGCACCGCCAAAACGTTGCAATTTATTTTCTTTGTTATCTCGATTTTGTTTACTTTTTGTTATCGATTGAGTGGGAGATGTATTTGAAAGGAGAGCCACGTCCGAGTTTGTCGATGAATTCATCGAGGAAAGTCCCGAAAAGTTTTTTTGAAAAAATGCTTAAGAAGACAATGTTTTGGGAGTTTTTTTGAATGATGTGAAAGAAATTAAGAAACTTGAAATTTATTTCTTACCCGAGAATGTGTAATTCTGTTCATTATTATTTCCATTGTTACGATTCTTGTAGATTCCAAAAGGACTTCGAAGATGCTTCGGAATGAAGAAACGTCTTCGATTTTGTGGTGGTGTTGCGCAAATTTCTGCTTTTGTCGTCACTGTATTTGAGCTTAAGTCAACAAGTCCTCTCAAGTGTGAGAGCGTGTTTTGTGGACATTTCGGTGGTTTGCTTTGCAATGCTTGCTGTGCTGTTGGCTGAAAATAAAAATAATAAAAAAGGCATAAAAATCATTTCAATTTCAGCTGCACCATACACTGTTGAACTTATTCTTCAGTGAAACTTAAACACACAATTTATCACTCGTCAAAAGACAATCAAGATAAGAAGTTGAACTACCCAAACATGGAGCAAACATTGAGTCATGAAAATTTAATATTCTGAGCTATTTTACTTGCTTGCTTGCATTTTATCGAAGTACAATTTCGTTATGACTTCTCTCCCTCTCTCTCTTATTTCTTATTATTTTTTGATTAAATAACTTTCTGTTCAAATATCCGAAACGATCGAATGAGAAGCCACAACATAACATAAATATACATAAAGTTTACCCAACGATCGTTTTAATGTACAACGAAATTGGAAAGAAGGTTCATGTTATAAATTTTAACTCATTCAACTTGCTTATCTTGATTTATGTAAAAAAGATGTGGAAAGTATTGTTCAAATATTTGATATCAATTTTTTTTTCTCATGGTCTGCAACTGGAAGTGTCAATACATATTATATTAGATATGTGCCGGATTAAAATGTTTTCATTAAGATGTGAAGATGGAAAAAATTAATGAGACCATAAAGCTATCAAGCCTTTTAGCTTCCAGAAGTGTTGGATAGTGAGACACCCCAAAAAAAGGTTCAAAAATAAATAATAATGGGCTTGCTGTATATGCTTTCGCTTCTCGCATGAGTTATGGAGACTCTGACATTGGTGTTCAATAATAATCGAGTAAAAGTCAACTTATAAGCAAGCAAAAGCTAGACAAATGTGTACATTAATGAGAAGACTCACTGAGTGGCAAATAAAGCAGGTTGGCAATTTTCATTATTATTATTTTTTTGCAAACAACAGAAAATAAAAAATTACATAAATAAAGCTTCTTTCAATGTCATCACAACTGATTTGAGGTTTTTCGCTTATTTACAATTTTTTTAATTTTGTTTCTTCTCACAAGTCGATGATTTTTGTTTTGACGTTAAAATGTTTACATGAAAGTAACGAAATTAACAAAAATAGAAATAAAAGTTAAACAAAGTGGAAGCATTAACAAACAATCAATCACGATTTGTGTTTTATTCGCCCGTTAGGCATGACAATTCATTTCCATTGTCTTAATGACCACAAAAACTGCACGCAAGTATAAAACATCGTCAAATTTTATTTTTTTAATTTATGATGCGTTAAAGAAAATTATTCTTTGTGGTGTTAATCTTCCATTGTATGATTAGAGTGGTTTGAGACTTTTTTTGCTAGCAGCAAATAGAAACTGTTGTAAAGTGATACTTATAATCTAATTAACTCAACAGCATCGTTTCCCATCGATTAAGCGTTTCACTTGATTAAGTGAAACGAGAAAATATCGAATGTCTGAGCAAATTATTTCGGCACAATGTAAGTAATTGCAAATTAATGATCTTTCAAATGACGAATTCTCCTCGTGTGTCATGTCAAAATATTTCCATTTTTTATTCTCTTTGTAAAAGTTGTTTTTGTCTCGTGACTTTAGATTGGATGGCGTGAACTTATCGTAAATGAACCACGAAGGTTTCAACTGTACTTAAAGATTAGTTACGATTGAAAGAACATCATTTTGTCCAACCAACCAACAAACCAACAACTTCAGAAGCGAAACATTTCCAATCGAACTCATTTATATTTTTTAATTCAATTCAATGAGAAATGAGAAGAAAAGAAAGAAAAAAATTGCGTACAATCAGGTTTTCCGAGTATGATTTTATTATGATTATTGTTTTGGTATCTTTGCAAGCTGAGAAGTCAAAAGAGCCATAAAAGAGAAACAGCTACTTAAATGGTCTCTGATCATTACAATCTCCATAGTCGGCAGTATTGATATCATGAAAGCAACAACAGTAAATCGAGTTCATTAAGAAGAAGAGTTGTAAAAATGTCATCAGTTAAAGTTTTCAATTAAATCTTGTCGTGCAACTTACACTTAAATTAAAGTGAAAATATAGAGAAGTCAAGAGGTAGGAAATATAAATTAGTTTCTCTCTTCAAGCAGTCTTATCACTCAAAGCCACCAGCCAACCCTCTTAGACTAAATACTTCAAAACTTTCTTTTTCTTTGTTATAATAGAAAGAAATATTTCTTTTTCTTAACTCCAATTATTTTTAAATACTTTTCCTATCGTCTTCTTCTTCATTCGATCACCTAAATGGAAATTGATTAATGATATCTTTAATATTATAAAGACACCACTTTGAAATTTTTATTTATGTTGTCAATCACGGGATTCGTGAAGTTTTTTTTTCAAAAAGAGATTTCCGAAAATAAAATATAACTAAATGAAATGAAATTGAATAAAAAACAACATTTATTGATCGTATCATTATGGCTAATTTGGAAATGTGTTGAAACTTCGAAAAGAAAAATAAAATCTATTAAGGGGGCGATTGTGTGGTTGTGTCATGGATGTTATTCGCAAAAATTACTTCATTTGTGTATCACAATCGATTTTTTATGCCAATTTTTTGTTTTTCTTCTCTATTTTGGATCTTCAGCGGATTTTAAAAATTTAATGAACTCAAATGATGAAGAAAACAAAACTTCCTAAAACATGTGACAAAACTTAGTGACGAATTTTTGTTTTATTTTCAAAACCTTTTACTTTTGTTTTACGTTCCACTAAATCATGGAAACATTTGAGCTTGTTTTGGTGATAATATCAATAACATGAGTATCAAGTCAACAAATTGTTAATAATCGGAGAGTTTAGCGACTTACCTGCATGTAGTTTGTAAAACATCCGTTGGTTTTAACTTGCGAACGGCAGATTGGTTGTGGCGAGCCAAGAGTCGTCGAACTGCCAATACCAGTGTCATAATCGTTTAAAAATGTGGCTCTAAGGCTTCCTCTTTGAAATTCTGTGAAGAAGACAAGAAGTTGAATAATGTTATCCACGTGCTTATTGAAGTCAAGGTTTTCATTACTTTAGAAAGTGCTTTCAACCGTCTCGTACAAAACAAATATTTAATCTGACAACTTAAATGCAATTTCATTACTTTTTTGTCGAATTTAATTGTCCGAATAAACAGTTACCGAAATTTCGTGAAATTCAACATAAAAAAATGCATCTTAAATACTATCTGACGTTTTGGATTGTTTGCAATTTATGATAGCATAAATAATCATTAATGATGTTGATATAAAGTCCCGTAAGATTAAGAGCGTGTACAATTTTTCGTGTCTGCAATGATCACGAGAATTAAAATAATTGAAATGCAAGCGAGAAATTGGAGCGAAATCTTTCCAAATGAATGAACTTTTACGACACGTCTCATATCTTAACTTACCAGTTGATGTTACACGCTGAGCTTCCTGACGTTGATTTCGTTGCGTATTGGCACAAATCATACATGACTCGTTTTTAAACATACATGAATAACATCGGTCATGTCCGCAAGTGTCGATGAGCTTTCTCTTTTTGGCTTTATCAAAAGGCATTTTGCAACTTGGACATGTTGTGCCACCTGTTTCGTTCTCGAGAATCTTCCTGATTGTTGCCAGATCTGAAACGGATGAAAAACGAAGATGTTTAATTAAATTTTTAACAGCGATAGTTAATGATATTGATACTTGATAAAGAGCCTCATCATGACTCAGCATGCAAACGATCCAAAATGTACTCAAACATCTCTGACATTTACATTGCCTCAAATCTTCACATAAAAAAATTTGAATATCCAACAATAATTAAAAGCAAAGAGTTTAATTCCTGGTTTCATTATTTGAACAATTGATCGCTTTTCGCTTGAATGACTTTTAGATTTTTGGTTTTTTTGCCTTTTTTTCTATTATTTATTATGTATTAATTTTGTGCTCCCGGTGAAGTAAATTCATTCTTCACATAACAACTTGTTAATTTAACGGTTAAGCAAACTTCACCAAAAATAAATAAATGACATCATCATCATCATCATCATCAACACCAGATAAAGCGACTAGAAAAATTTTTTGTCCAATCCTATCTGCATGAAAACATTTATCTTTCCAACACGACACGATCAAACGATTGAAATGAACCGATCGGAAATGATTTTTTGCGCTTATCGTGGGTTGAAATCATTTTGTTGCTTACACATTTATTCGAATATTTGTTCATTCGTTGGTTCATTCATTCATTCATTCATTCATTCATTCATGAATATCTACATGTTTGAATTGTGTGTCATTGTTAGGCATCGTTATTCTCACTTTCAATTTCATTGACCACGCGCTTATAAACACACACTCAACTACTTTAAGAGCTGTTGACAGACAATTCTTAAGATTTTCTTTGTCAGCCTCCTTAACTCTTATTACGGCATGAACTTACATTAGGCATTTAATTAATGAAGTTGTAATATACGAAGTGTATCATCTGTGCAGGCGTTGAACTGACGTTGGTGACTTTAAAAGGTATTTACAAATATTTTTTTCATCTTTAACAATCCATTTCGGTAGGTGTCAGTTTCGCGAAAAGAAAACAAAGTAAAAAATATTAAATACGCGCATTTATAAAATATATATATTTACAATAGACAATATCTTGTGGAAAAAAGAATCAAGGCGACATTTAGCAGAGTGTTGGATATGATTTTTGCCAATCGTGTTTATCAGCTGTTATTTTGAAGGAGTTGAAACGAGAATGTTACGGAAATTATTTGCTCGTGAATTTGGGTCACGAATTAGCTGCAGCAGTAATCAGCACTCATTGTTGTGGACAACCCGACATCAGATCATAATAATCATTCACTGAAATCGCCTTTAAGTGCTGACCAAAACAATATTTTTCTCCCTCTCCCTCTTCTTCTTGTTCTTTATTTAGCTTAGTTTGTCTAATTTATAATTAACTACCGTAACACATAAGACAGTTAAAGACTTAAAAGTCGATTGTGTAATCTAATTGTTAATTTTAGACTTTGTAGAGAGGCTTAGATTTAAGAGTGTCTGTTAAAATTGATTGATAGATAAAATGTTGTACATATGTATCTACTTCTATTCGTTAGAAGAAAGAGAGAGAGAGAGAGAGAGAGATAGGGAGAGAAAAATGAATTTTTCGTTCATTAAAGCTTAATAAGGTCAACGCTGTCAGGGAGAAACGGCTTTCAGCAACAGCACCAACAACAGTCAAGATGGTTTCAACCTTTTAATGTTACAATAAAAAATAGTGAAACATCAAAAGGAGAGGCTGATCTGGAGTTAATGGCATTACCTTCTCAATTTTTATTAATTATGCTAGTAGCATAAACATAGCACTGCAAGATATCGTTACAATAATAAATCCAAAATAAGATCAGAATAAATTTCAAATCATTGAAAATATTTTTCCTCGCTGTCTTCATCATGTTATGGATATTTAATATAATTTTTTCATCTACATCGATATGAGGCTTTTAATGCATCAGATTGTGTACACAATTAATTAATTTTGATTGTTATTTAAGAACATTGGATTGATTCTCTAAAGACTATAAATTATTTTAGTCTTTAATTGCTTCATTATGTGCTTTTAAAATGAATAAATAAATATAAATAGCTTAAGAGCTTTTGACTCATTATAAAGTCTCCGTGAGGACGAAAATCGATTGAAATCTTTTAACAAGGACCTTGAGCTTTGCTTTCCACTCTTTTCATTCTCTTGTTGTGGTCGCGGGAAAATATTTCGCCATTACGATAAGCAAACTTTGTTCGAAGTTATTAACGTTTAAAAAGCGAAGGGAGCAGAAATAATGTAAAAATTTATTGTTTTAAATGTTCTCTAGGTACTTTAATCGCATCTACGATCAACCACGATGACCTGCACAATGAGTTAAAAAGCGAATCGCGTCTCCAAGTCTCCTTATCATAAATCAAAGTGAAATTTAATGCACATGTCGAAAGGAATGTTAATGCTTTTATTGCCGTCATGTTTTTGACCTTTTAATTATTAAAGGCTTTCAACTGACGCCGAAACTAAATTGCCTTTGATTTAAGGGCTTCATTTGCCAACTTAACATGCAATTGCAATATTTTTATTTACATTGTACATTGTGTAATAAAATGGAGAGCATAAATTTTAGATTTAAATTTAAATTACTTAAGCACAAGTCTCGAGTAAAAGTATAAATGTGAACAATTTAAAAGATAAGTATCTCTGCTTTTTGAAGCTTGTTGATTTAAGTCAACACTGAATAATAAATTGAATGAAATAAATATCGAAACTTCGATTCGTTTTGTCACGTTTGGGTGCCTAACATTTCTTCTTTTTTTCCCACGTTGAAGCTACAACATTAGACAAAGGAGAGCCTTTTACATGGGAACAAGAGTCAAGACAAGGGTAAGAAGTAATATTTGAAGCAACAGGTAGAAAATATTAAAGTTTAAATAACGGCGTCATCACTGTTCGTACGACATCAACAAACGAAAGTTAAATTCAAGGCGATAGTCGCTTATAAATATTGAACATAAATTTTAGCTTGTAAAATTAACAAAATATTGCCAAGCAAATTTTAATTTGTTAAACTTTAATCCGATGAAATATTCAGTCAGAAAATAAATCAAGAGTAAACCTGAAATATCTTTAAGAGTTGCATATTTATGCAGAAATAAATAATATAATAAAATGAGCAAAACATCTCTTAATTCTGGAAATTGATAATGAAAAGCGTGACTGAATCTATAAACAAATCCTATTAAAGTTAATTTCCAATCAAGTTAGTCAAAGTATCACATTTCCACTAACTAATCATCCTATTTAAACTAAGCGAAAATTGATTTATTAATCATCGTCGATGAGCGGCGTGATGTTGTAACCCGTAGCGAGTTGTCGTTCAACAATGTTTCTTTATTCATACATGCCAACAAGAAGAAAACTAAAAGAGTCGTCTCTTGGATGAAGTCAGACTAGTGAAATGGAAAACCTGACGGTCTTCAAACCGACCTGTACTTGTTATATGAAAATTCCTAAGAGAATCGTGCGCACACCTATGCTCTGAGGTTTAACTCGCTTTGCTGTGGCAAGCAAAAACAAAAAAATATGTAAAAGCGAAAAATTGAAAGTGCAATTTCAACTCTGCTTTTAAAATCCGTAAAATTAAACATTTATAGAAGTAAAAACTACAGCATCAAGTCAAGAATAATACAATGGAATAAAGCATGTTAAAGTCTATGAAAGATTTTTTTGTTTATCTTTCAGCTTACAATGCTTGAGTGGATTTCTTTTTCTAGGATTTTGCAATTTATACTTCTCTTCATGCTATTGGCATTAGAATATATTAGAGCCAAGTCAAACTTTATCGTAAAGCTTACGTGTTGGCCTTCAACAAGCACTTGATCTGCATTTTTCTCTACTAAACATGTTGATTGTTCTGGTTCTGTAATATTTTTCCTTTGGATTTCTCTGTCATGCGAAAAAAGAAAGAAAGAAAGAAATCGAGTTCGTTTCACATGACAACATTTCTAGTGAAGAGACTTCAATGAGGGAATGATAAACACAGAGGAAGTGAAAAGTAGTATAAAGTGAGTGAGAGGGAGAGAGAGAGGTCACTTATGCAAACAATATATTTAAAATTTTGGATTCTTTGAAGCGTTCTCAAGAGCATGTGGCACACATTTCGCAAGATGTTGTAAACTTGTTCATTCATAAAAAATAAAAAGGAAAAGACTGCGAAACTGTTTTCTTCTACAACCAATTTAACTGAAGTATCTTCCCACGCAAAATGACGTGCATCGAGTTTACGTTCATTCATTTGATTTTTTTTTGCTACAATATACTTTTATGGAAATGTTAAGTTCTTCCAAACTATCCACTTCAAGTCTTGTAAGATTTCTCTTACTAAAGCCTTCATTTTTGATGCAATTTCTTTCCATCGCTTCTAAATAGAAGTCTTTACTGCAGCAATGAAAAATTGCATATAAAAAATTTAACAAATTGAAGTTTATGTTCATAAAACGTCCATAAATAAATTGGATCGATAGCTACGGTCTTCTAAGAAATCAACGATATTTGACGCTTCTAACGAGGCAGAAAAAAACTTTTTTCTTGAAGAGATGAGACAAATAATAAATCACCGTTGAACGGACTTTTCGTTCACTCCAAATGGCATTGGCAGAGCAATATCATTATTATTCTTTTTATTTTATTTTAAAAATAATTTTTTTTTTGCGCTTAAGAAGACAAAATACAAGAAACAAAGACTGAAATACCATATAACGTATCATTTTCTCTTCCAGTTTCAGATATCATCAATGCATCGTCTCTCTTCTTAAACATTTTATAACGTGACTCGTTGATGGATGCATTGATTGGAGACCGTTAAAATGCAAGCTTGCAAGCCCTGACATACTAAAATGAATCATTCTCGCTGAAGTTTTCATGTATTTCAATGCAGATTTCACTTCAAAATTTCCAATATTTTCTATAATGTTTTGGGGGTGTATTTAAGTGATGTTGTCTTAAGAAAACTTTCTAAATAATTTTTTATAAGGAAGTAATAAGAAATTCGTGACATGTCACTCAATCAACCCCATCGACAATCAAAAACCAAAACTCATCTCAAATTTCTGCTTGCCATAATAATTTGCTCACATTGTTCTTTGCTGTTTTATTCTTTTCGCCAGCCAGCCATCATCAAAATAAGAAGGAGAAAGATAAATGTTAATAGAGCATCATCATCAAACATTTTCGACGTCTAAAGACACATTTTTATGATCCAATTTTCATTCTCTCTCTTCTGACGTTTCTTCAACTCCTTAAAAGTCTCGTCTTTCACCATTCTCGCTTCATAATTATTATTATGGTTCCTCACGAATTCCATGCTTCTTCTCTTCCACTATTAATGCTAACAGAACTAACTTTTAACTTCTCATGCATGCATTGATCGTTCGCGTTTCTGTGGCTGAAGAATTAATCGTAGAATTTCTCAACGGAAATGATTTTGCTTTATATGAGATAAAGAAGACATTTTTGTGTGTTTTTTATTCCTACTGAATTGAAAATTCTCACAAAACAGTCATCGGTGTTGCTACATGACAATAAAGGGCTAGAATTCATCCAAAATGAAATTGTTAATAAAGAAAAATCTCAGCTCATTAAAAGCGCTTAAGACGAGACAAGAATTGGAGCAAAAATCTTTATTTCTTTTCTTTATGTCTCGAAGCAAAACGTTTTCCCATCGAATTCTTTTTCAAACTATTCAACTAATCGTTCCACATTCACTTCTTATAACTTTTTAAATGCCGATGGTGGTCGTTAGATTGGAAGAGTGGCAATTTATTTAATTTTTCGATATGTCTAAAGCATTTGAATCTTTTTTTATTATATTTTATTTTTATTTCGTTTTTGTGGTGATCGAGTAATGGCAGTGCTGAGGTAAGAGACAAAGTTGAACAATTACACCTGCATTTATATTGAGCGACTTATCGAACAAGGAAAAATCTTCAGTAACGACTTTAAAATAAAAGCTTGGTTTGAGGTGAAAGCCATAAAAGTTGTCATAAATAAAAGAAAAATTGGAATTTATGTGACACGACAAACGATGCACAAAATATTATTATTCTGAACGTAAAATGTAAGTTGGAAAATAACAAATCGAACTTTGATTAATTGCAATTCCAATCGTCGACATTTGTTCGTCAGCAGCGTTAGAATTTCTGTCATAAAAATTTCTTATTATTGATAAAAAAAAAAAGATATCTTGAATTCTCGATACTTATGTGTGATAACAGAAGACATAAAAAAATCATTTGTCTTCTTTTTCTCTTTACTTTGAAATCGATTGAAAGTGAAACTCGATCTAGTATAAAAAACCTTTATTTTTTTGTAATAAAAACTTGTTACGAACAACAAAACCCAAAATGGATTTCTTTCTATTTCGATGACCTCATAATCCATTCAATTCGCTCCTCAGACATTCATAAGTGGAAGCAAAAACAAAAAATTGTCAATAAATTGACTTCTTCTTATCTATCTTGAAACAGAAAAGCGCATGCTGAGCGTGATTCATGATAAATTGATCGAGGGAATGAATATTAAGAAACTTTTACAAATTGACGAACGCTACCGACATTATTTTAAGCTACTTTTAGTCATAATTACAGAAGTATGTATCTTTCATAAAACAAAATCGTCGTTTCTTAATGTTCGTCTATTTGCTGTTTCCTTCATTGAATCTTTTGTTCCAAAAAGCTTTTATACTTTAACGAACTAGCCAGTCACCCTAATAGTTTATGCTTGCTAGTTGTAAAAATTAATTAAAAGAAAATCGCTTTTGTTATACCAACCTAAAACGCTCAAACTTAATCCACTGCCTGGACGGCTCAGCTTGGCTGAAGTTTCATTCGAGTGAGGCATTATTTTAACTCGTTAGCGAGAATATTTTTCAATTTGATTTCGAATGCACCATAAATTATTATTACGAAGTTTTCTCACTGCACGTATTTATGGGGCAATCTTTTTTCCATAAGTTGCATGAATATTCCGTCAAACTTCTGGCTTTTGTTATTCTTGACTTCTTCTCATAAAAAAAGTTTTCTCATATTTTCTTTCTAATCTTTTTTACCTCCAATTTACATGACTTTAGATTTAACACCTCAATTCTTTAGAATTCACCGTCAGTATAACCAAAAAGAATTTTTATAGTATGAGATTTTCTTATCAGCACTACGTAATATAAAAATCAACAGTAATTAAAACAAATAACTTCCTAAGAAAAATAATTCGTAACTCCAAATCAATTTGTAATCAAATTTAAGTTGTAATTAGACGCCAGTCGTCTTATCATCACATTTTTCAACACCATTTATTAAATTTTTTTATAAAGCTTGCATTTTTTTCTTTTTATTTCATCACTATAAGGGTCTTCACGTTTAGACACAACTCCTTTGAAGATCATTTAAAAACACAACCGATCATTGAATAACTTCGTAGATGACTGAGGAATAATTTTAAAGAGAATTTAAGAAAGATTTCAACGAGAGAGAAGAGAGAAAATTTACAAACGAGTCGTTATGAATGAACGTTATGACGTCATCATTGAAAAGAGAGTGAGAAATAAATTAAGAGAGTCCAAAGTTAACTTTTTTTATCATTTAGATATCGAGGTAATTTAAATTTTTAAGACCAGAAATTAATCACTGTTGGCAGATGGAGAAATAACATTTATGAAACGAAAAAAATATGCTTATATCTATTGCATTAGTGTAACCAGCGTGAAAAAGCATAATGTTTGTCAGTTTCGACGATGAGAAAAGTCGCAACATGTTAGCGCTCACCTCAACGCCTTTATGCAAGCCTTTGTATTTCTGAACTTCTCAAGAAAAAAAGGAAGAAAAGGCAAAGAAGAAAAGCGAAAACAAGTTTAAAGAAGAAGAGACTGGAGAATCTTTCGCAAATAACCGAAAGACTTTTATGATGAGATTTTATTTTTTTCCATCTTCATTCTTTTTAAATGCTATTTTTTACTGAAAACATATAAAACATAATTATGTTTAAAGACTCTTTTCTGGTTGAAATGTGCCTTTTGTGGCCTTTCTTTTCTCACATTTTTTTTGCCTTTTCTTTTCATTTTACTGCAACAAACAATAAAAGACGAAAACTGCATTCAAAGATGAAACAACTTAGTGTTTTAGAACGATAAAAAGTTAATTTAACGTTTAAATTTAGATAATTTTTCTCTTCCGATACAACAAAGATTTCTCCACAAAACTACCATTTTTTTCATTGCAAACTTTCTTTGTTACGAAATCATTTACAATGATTCTTAAAGTCAAACACACATGAAGGAAAAATTCGTGTAAAAATAATTAGAAAAGCTGAAAGTTAAGTTGTAATGAAAGGTGAAATCGTTTGCTTCATAAAAAAGTTTCTTTAATGATTTTTTAATTGTTGCCCGCTGTATGTTGCTTGACCGAGATTTTTGTAAAGTTTTTATATTTTTGTGTTCAAAAGAATCCGTTCTCATAAATCAATTAGACATTAAAAGCGGGACCATCGAAAACAGCCCACTCCCTTCAAAATGATATTAAAAGCAAGCAGTGTTATTGAAACAATGGAATATCATGAAAAGGAGATCGTGAGGAAAACCTCAAACACGGCCTTTCCAAAATATTAAAAGCTGCAAATGTTATAATGTCGATTTAGCCTTGGGGTCATCGAATTATCATCGAATATTTTACTAAAGTAATGAGGTGTAGTTATCATCAATATATCCTACGACTTTTTATTGCAAAAAATGAACGAAGAAATAAGTTTTGAACGCGGGAAAGTAATTTTCATGAATGAATGAATGAATGAAACCCGATTTTAAACGCCCCCGCTAAGACATGAAAGAGAACTGTGATTTCCATTGACCAAAATATGATCTAAACTCGGCAGTTTCTTACCAGCCAGGACAAGTTTTCTTTTTATTTTTATTGCATCGTGCAATTGGAAATTCATTCATGCAACGCCTACGCAATAAATCCACTTAAAGACCAGTTCTCTCTCACCTCTTGCAATAAATCTGCGGAGTCAAAATGTCTGTAACGCTTGTTATTTCTTTTAAAAAATGCTTTGCCGTTCAAATTCAATCGAACTCAGATAGATCTAAGCGCTTATTTATTTTCATATTAATTCGTCACCCATTTCAAATTATCTTAACATGCATGAGACTTTGAGTGAAACTTTTTTTTTCATTAAAACTGGATTTATAATTTAGTTATGAACGTTTGCAAAATATCTCAATTACCAAATAATCTGCAGAGCTTGAACAGATTCAAGTTTCTTCAAGACTGCAGGTCTACTGCGAGAGCTTTAGATTTAACACAAATCGAAATTGCATTTACCACAGCTACGCCCTCTTAATTATCTGGTAACGAGCTACTCTAATGCTTTCGCATAAATGATATCTTCTTAGACTGTTGTTAGTGTATCAACATGAGAATATTTCTCAGATATGCCTCGATAGAAAGCAAATCAAAATTACACATAAATTAAATCGTATCCCAGAAGCAGTGGAAGAATTGCAGAATCAATTCACGCTGTCGGTAATTCATCGTTACAATCTATTAATCAGTAAGTAGCTTTTAGTACTCGAAAACGATCGTGGATATAAATTTACGATGTTGAAGTGTGCAACTAGTTCATATCAAATGAAAATGATAAACTTACTCGGTTTTAATTTTTGACTTCACGACGTTATCGATCGAAGTTTGCTGCTGCTAGTGACTGACCCTGACGCTTATCCGTCTTATAATAAGTTTGAAAAATGTGGAATTGGTATGTAGATTTACTTGTTGCAATGCACTTATTCGTTATTTTGCTCGCTTTCAGAATTTGCCGCGAATGAATATGTATGGAAGCAGCTTATTATTAAATTCTTTGCACAATGACGTACTTTGATTTCCTTTTAAGATTTATTGGAGATTTTAGTCAGTTAGAGCATTACAAATGAGTCATAATTGAAGCCTTAAGCAATTCTTAAGTGACTTAACATTTAAATACTCCCACAACTGAAACTTTTTATTTTTTATTTCATTATAACGATTTCTTTCCTTCAAATCAAACAACAACCTGTAAGAAAATCATCAGGTTGTTGTTATTTATGAAATGTTTGGACATTTTATGAACTGTAAATCGTTGTTTGGAATGGAATTAATATTTAAATGCATTTGATATTAAAAATATGTCCATATAATAAACTTAAATAATCTCAAGCTGTCGCTGTTGCATGTATTACGAAATTGTGTTGCTTTTCTGGTTGAATCAAAGTTAAACTATTTTTCCTTCTTTATTTTTCGCCATACTTTACTTCTCAAATGAATAATTATTTCGCTAAAATTGCGCGAATGAAGGAAGGAGAGAGGGAAAAGAAAGATTAAAATCTTATCAAGAAACTGTAATTAAGATCTAAATCGAAGTCTCACTGCGGTGGCTGTGAAACTCGTTTGACCATTAAAATTTCCTCTCGTAAAGTTTTGTTAAATGATTGCTCTCGCCTGGCTTTGTAACTGCTTCCTGTCGATATCAACTTTTATTGAATTAAAATGAGTAGGATTCGGTAAATCAACATGCAAATATCCATCGCGTCACTCTCTACTGTTTCCTACGTAAATAAATTAATTTGAAATCTTACTCAAATTCGGTCATTGGCCATTTCTTCAAACGCCTTTAAAGTCGCGAATCCAATTCTTAATTAAACAGACAAAGTAGTATCGATAACCTGCGCGAATCTATCACACATGTTGAAATTGACAAACAAAAATAGGAAAACATCAAAGCTAAATGATATTGTCATCAAATAAACATTATCGAAGAGTAATGATTCGTAGTCGCCTTTTAAATATGAAAATCCTGATGAATTTTTTATATTCGCCCACACCTAGTAATTGAAATTCCGCGAATAGAAGAAAAAAACCGGCAGGCGATAGAAGATTTAAATATGTAAAAAAAAAAGCTAGAGAAACTCTCAATAACATAAAACTCAAAAGTGAGTCGATTAACATTGTTAATTAGCACTCGCCTTGATGGCATAATTTGTGTTTTTGTCGTGGATTTAAGACAAAATAAGAAGGCTGATGAAGAAGGTGTTTATTGTATGAATTTATATCATTTGTTGCGTATTATGCCTTTTGAATCGACTAATTAATTTATGATATTTTCGAACCATTTTCTACTTATTTGCGCAACGATTAAATTTAAAGATTCTTTAAGTAACCGCCCAATAAAATCATAAAAAAATTAGCTTTTAGGCTTTAAAAAGTAAAAGATTTTAAGAAACAACGAAAAGAAGAGGCGAAATTCTGATTACAAAGTCGTTAGGTGATTACGAAAACTAATCGAGTTTCTGACCTACCACTTAATGTATATATTCTTATAACTTAGTAAGATGTGCCTGGTTTTCATTACAATCTTTCAAATGAATATATCAGAATAGAAGTTTGAAGTTAATCCATCTTCAAGGTTACACAACATCGCCAAGCAAAACCGTTGAAATTGTTGAGAAGGCAAACAATCGAAGAGTCTAACGTCCATTGAAAAAACATTACTTCGCTTTTATTTTCTCATGAATGGTAGATATTTAATATGCGAGATGAATGTATTGATGTACATACCGTAAGCATTTCTCAAACTGATCTTTTTGCGTAACATCTCAATATTGATTGCTGTTTTGGTAACAATTATTTATGAATTTATTTTTATTTTATCTTATTTCCATCTTTTGATTCATTTTTTATTGTTGAACATAAATTTGAAGCCTTCAATCTTTCACTTTAATGTCATTTCGTTATAATGTATCACATTTCAATAGACAGCAGTATTTCACAACAGTCTGGAAGAGATAACTTCACTTCACTCATTCAATCTCGCCATTGATACTTTGCACATTTTCATTGTTTTCACGTCACGAAGAATAAATTACGTTGCGAATTGGCCGATAGATATGTAAAAGCATTATTTTGTCGTTTGTAAACTGAATTCATTAATCAATTGATTGTAATGGTTGATTAGCACTCAAAATTAGCCTCGAAATATTTACATTCACACGCGAAATTCAATTTTGAATCATCGAATGGAACAGTCACTTCAAGGAACTTTCAAATAAAGCACGTGTCAGGCAACTTTAATCCCTTCTTTCCTTTTACTTTACTTCTTTGAGTTCATTACCACTTAAGTATGAGATCTTAAGAAGAATAAAAAATTCTAACGCGCGTTTCTGTCGAATTCTCGAACAACATTGGAAATGGCCAGAAATTTAAACACAAAAAAAAACTTGATTCTTATTTGCACATGTGTTTTAAGTTTCTTAAATTGAAACAAAATACATGGAAACGTTTGTCAAGATATTTCTATATATTTATTTATTTATTCTTTACTCAACGAGATAGCGAATTTCCATGTGTATGATTTTTAAGTGTTTCGCGGCTTAGAATTAAGTAAATAAGTAGTAAGAGAGTAAAGTGATTGGAAGGGAAATCGACTGATGGCTTTGAGAAATACCAGAGCGTTCCAGGAATTGTCTAGAAATGACGTCAGACTCATTCATTCACAATTATTCATCACATTACAAACATGTCGCAATGTTTTCGTGATCAAATTTCATGACATTTCCATCACCAATCACTGACATACAAAAGCGTCTTTATTATGTTAATGAATAAATGACACTATCTTAAAACTTTAACATATTCGATAACAACACAAATCTTAAAACATAAAAAATCAAATATGCTAAATCACCAGTTAAATCACTTTCCGATCAAACTGAAAACTAACGGCAAACGCGTCTGGGATTAGTCGAATCAATTAAAAGTTATTTATAAATAAATAAAAAGAAAACCTATTTATCTACTGATTATTTTTCAGCTGCTTACAGACATGGCAAAAGAAGCGATGCGGTGTCAATAACAAATAGGCTTTGACTGTATTTTATTCATATTTATGTTTAACGAAAAATTATGTCAGTGACACATCATAAATCATTGAAGCAGTTTAAATCAGGGATATTTGGTATTATGTTTGCGGAAATGAACTAACACAGATCAGTTTACTGCTCGCAACCCTGACAATAAATGAAGAAGAGAAAAAAAAAGCGTGAGAAGTGATTGATAAGGAGAAAAAAAACTATTTTAATAAAACTGTGATTGTAGAACTTGTTTCTTCATGAATCAAACAACCGACAGCGTTCTACACAAGTGACGTTAATGTGCGTAAATTAGGTCTTAAATAAATAACTTGAACTGATAACAGTAAGACTTGCGACTCACATTCCTTCTTTCATTTCAACACGAACATTGCAAATAATTTGCCTGTGTTGTTTGCTTTGATTACACAACTGAAAAACTTTGGAACCGCAACAAGGTCAACATCCTTTCCCTTATCGTTGACAAAGCCATAAAGCGTCTAACATTGTTTATGTGAAAAATTTCACTCTTCATGAATATTTTCATTAGTGAACAATATCATGTTTTGAAGGGACTTGTCAGACCTGTTTCATCGTCTCGACAGAAATAAAATATCGAAAATCAATAATTAATATAAAATGCAACACACAAAATGAAACCGATTTCTGGTGCATTTTAAAATTCCGGTCATGGCTTGGAATTTTCATTTAAATACAAGTGATTATCAGTAGCTTCAAGCCAACCTACTAAACTAAGCTAATAAAATATGATACGTCAACGAAGGGCGATTGTTCTCTACCCGACAAAACGTAAGTATTGAATCTCGAGAACTGCCTTCGCATTTCGAATTGTTAGATTAATCAGCATTCTCTTTTTTCACATAAGCCGCCCGTTATTTAAGCTTTGCGATATTTAAATTGAAAAAAGACTAAAGAACGTTCTCAAAAAACATCTTTTTTTATCACATCAGCAAAAAAATTTCTTGCAGAGACTCGATCGTATAACACAATTAAAAATAACTTTGAGAGTTTAATGTTGTCTCCGGTTGCATATTTGAGATGTTTCTTTGGGATTGAAGTATTAAGAAACGATACGTAAATTCCATTACTGAAATACTTAAATATGTTACTTCACCAAATAAAGAAACTTAACGTGCTATGAAAAATTTTCAGGCTCATAAATTTAGATTGAATTATTAACTCACCTTCTTCTGCTGTTCCATGCAAATCCAAAGTACTTTCTTCCGTATATTCACGGTCGTCCCACCATTTTACAATTTTACGTTGGTTGATTGCTGCAGTTGATCGTGGCATCGTCATTTGCATCTCAATCGATGATGTCATCGATGGTATTTGCTCATAAATTGAACTGTTCATAGAGGAAATGCCATCAATTATCGAAGAATCTGTCATTAAAGAGGAAATGATTTGATGACTGCCATCCTCTGTAACGTTCTCCATGCTATTGACAAGATCTTGTTCATAGCAATTCCATATTAATTCTGTAGGATTATTCAACTCGCCATAACATGACTGTGTCATAATTTTGGGAAATTTTTCACGTGGTGGGTCGCTGGCACTTCTGTCAGATGCAACCATCAGATTTTCTGGTTGTTTTCTATTTTTCTGAACGACAGCATAAATGTGAGTGTCGTTTGTTTTATCTTCCGAGTAATGAATATCTGCGATAGTTTCCATAACAGTTGGAAGTCTTGTATCGTCGTAATTATTTGTTGATTGCTGTCCGACATTATCTTGCATTTCATTAAGTGTCTCGATGTATTCAGCGTCTTCCGCTTCCCAATATTTTGCTGCTATATTCATGGGATCGTACATGACATTTGGATCGTTGCTACTGACAAGATCAGGTGGAAGTGAGCTGAATTCTGATTCTGGTGGGACAAATGGTTCGTAAACCGACATGGGTCGACCATAGAAGTAATTCGCACCAACGCTATTTCCATATGCAAATTTTGGTAAACAACTACTTAACGAGATGAAAAGAAATAAAAAAGTCAGAATTTCTATCGTCAATATATAAATCTCTTACCTGGAGTCAATGGCCGGCATAGGTGTCACGATTTTATGCTCACTGATGGATACGAAATCGTCGAGATACTTTTGTTGTTGTGGTGTTAATGTTGATAAATAATTTAGAATATCTTCATCCATGGTGTTGCAGAAAGCTTTGTCATCGGATAATTCGCTTGAAGTATTCATTGATCTTTCAAACGATTCGTTCATGATTGACTGAAATTGTAAAACATCCGTTTGTTTAATTTACGGTTACGCGAATGTATAAATACTCATATGTTAAGAAGGAACAAAGATTAAAAAAGCCAATAAAATTCGTCGACTAATTTGCAGTAAAAATTTACATAAAAGTTCAAAATCTTTGGAAGATTAACAAACAATCATTAAAGAAACTTCCTTGAGCTTAAAAGACACAACAAAGTAAAGTTTTATAATCTCAGATATGAATATTAACTTGAAAAATAAGCTTTTAAATGACATAACAGTCAAAGGGTTAATTGAAGTGGTGCTAAGATTTCCAACCGTTTACGGCAACGGCATTTCCGAGACAAAAACTTTTCCAACGTGAAAAAGAATCTTTTTACACATCGCGACGATCTTTTTCTCTTCTTTTTTCTTCTCTTTTGTCTATTTTTAGTTTCCACAATCTCCACACATTCTTTATGATGCATTAGACGGGAGAAAAGATTCCGAATGTTTGCTGGGGGGCAATGTTATTATTAAACATGAAAAAAAACATCGTCTATGATGTGGAAGAAGAGGAAGTTTTCTTCACGTTTCACGTCAATTTCTTTCTACACGACGTCAGATAAAATAAAATGCATTGTTGAGAGATTGAATTGAAAATTTATGTGTTCCTATTTTTCTTAAAGATCTCGTATTTCGTCGTCGCTAAATTCCAGCATGACATGAAATTTCTTTAGATTCATTTGAAAACATTTCTCGCAAAAGATTTTGTTTTTAAGATTTTATTTCAGTAAAAATAGATTTGAAACTTTTTTTTGCTAATTTCTTCGACGCGTCGCGGTCTTTGCTCGCTTAACTTTCGAGAGAAAGCGAGAAATGATCAAGTGATGTCGCCGAAAATTTAAAAGGAATCAGAAATGTCTTTTTTTACAAATTTAGTTAAATGCAGTCTGCATGTGATTTTTACGGAAATTCCAATTGAATTCTAAGAAAATTGACATTTCGTTGTCGTTATTGAAAAACATTTCCCCGTTAATTTTAATTCTTTTATCATCGCCTTGCCAAGATCTCAGCTTCCGCTCATTAAAGACGACTTGAGAGAAGAGGAGAACTTAAGACGAGACGTTTACAAAACAAATTGAATTGTCTGTATTGCCAAATCTAAGTGCACAAGCACGTACAAGGAAACCAAAAAGCCAGACGAATGCAAATAAAAAGTTATTAAATTGATGATTTCAAAAGCCAGACGTGCCATCAAATCTATTTTTAGACTTCAAACTTTCTTTTCATTTCGCGACAATTTTTCTCTTCGACTTCTGTAGGTGATGTTTAATACTTCACAACAATCACGAATTATGAGGTCACCTCAATTCTAATTTAATTTAAAAAGAATTAATCTAATTCAAGGGAAAGGTCATTAAGATTTCGTATCATGATCATCGTCTTCTGGAAGATGAGAAAGGGAGAAAAATCTTTAATATTTATCTGCTGACGATGAACGAGATCACGCGTGCTATTTACATAAAACATGTAAGCATGAAATCAACATCAAATCAACCGCTAACAGCGATTAAAATTATGAGGTTCACTTTAAATTCCCTTTCAACCATTTTTCTTAAATCAGGATGGTTTTCAATGTTATGTCACTTAAACTTTCAACTCTATTATGATGAGAGTTTAAGTGACTTAGTGAGAAGACTTCACTTGTGAATGTGTTAATCGACCTTTAGAAAGGGGTTGATTTATTTATATTTCTCTCAGTTTTGACGGGATTAGGCAGTAAAAAAAATTAGGGAGTTAATTTAGGCCACATCTTTACACTTCGCTCTGATTCTGATATAAAACGTAGCAGAGAGGGAGATGATATTAAAAATCTGTCTCATATTTTTTTTCTATGTTTTGTTTAAGAAATGTAAGAAGTCATTGACATCCTTTTCTTTCCGCTTTTCGTGTCGAGGAGAAGGAAAAAAATTTATGTGATTGAGGGAATCGTCGTCAAGTTACGATTCTTGCACGAGACTTTACCGTTGTAGTTACGATTTATGATAATTGACATTAAATTAACAAGGAGTTAAGAGTTCTTCATGACATCTATAATCAATGGTTTCAAACCATCATCTTGTTGTGATGAATGTAATCACATAAGATTTTTTATTTCCTTTGGACGAGAATTAAATGTATTGCAAGTTCTTAAGTGAAGTGGAAATGTCTGCAGTTTGAAACGATTTATGACGTCACAAGCGATTAATGTGACAAGTTAATGTTGGTTGAAACAGCTGAATGATCAGACCGCTCAACGAATCTAAAATGTTTTCATGATCTCTTTAGATATTTTGCGTGCAAAAATATTTTCAAAGACACCCACGAATTCATTTGCAATGAGTCAACATAATTGAGTTTTAACTTTAATTTTAGTACTTCCAAGTGTTTCATAAAAGTTGAAAGAAAAGTTTGGAGAAAAATTCTTTTAGTTGAACCTCGTCAAATGATTCATGTTACATTTATGTCAATGAACTCACATAACGGATGTCGAAAATCATGTTATGCATCAACCCTCGTGCGCAATCTTCGACAAGAGATTTTACGTACATATTCTTCCCCCCAAAACAACGACAATGCGAGGATCATTTTTCAAACAGTTCTTCACTTTATAGCGACGTTTACGTGGCCTTCGGCTTAAGGATCGTGAAAAATGAGCTGTTAATGTTGAATAAAAAATAAGCTTCAAAACTAACTCAACAACATCTAAATTGGGTGTTTATTTGAGCCATTTCAGCAGCGACTTGGCATTCACCGAGTTGTAAACACGACTTGATCTGTTTTGATCTTTGATGCGATGAACCCCTGCGCAGCATTATTCAGAGCGATCGGAAATGCAATTGTATACATTTAAAGCACCAGACCAGGGAGTTTTGAAAAAGATGTTAAACCCGTGTTTGATTGAACAATAATGAATTCGAGTGTTAATGAACTCTCTTTGATTTAATGCGTAGATATGTTCGTTCTACTGTGACAATGAAGGTTTTGAGTTAAAACATGTTTAAGTTTCGGAAAAGCGTTGCACGTGCAATTTTATTAGATTGACGAGAATAACCCATAACGGATGTAAAAATGTAAAATATTTTTAAAATAAAAAATAAATGTTAATGGCGGAAATTCCACAAGAAAACTTATTTCGTAATGAAGAAATTTTCTTGCCCACGTTTTTCAGAAAATTGCGAAATGGAATTTTTTTGTCTTACCTTTTAATCGTTTGGATAAAATACCTGATGGTTGAATTAGTCTTCAATTGATTACTTTATTGAAACACTCTCTTAATGATATTAATTAATATAACTTTAGGAACTTCATTTGTTTAGGAATTTTCAATATTTTTCTTTACAGGAACTTTTCAAGGAAAATTTTCACTTAAAATTTAATTCACACAACTTTCACTCATTTCTTAAACTTAATAGAAGTTGAAATTAATTAATTAATTGGAAAAATAATTTACAACTCAAGATGATAAGAAGAAATTAATTTTAAAATCTATTTCAGACTATTCAATTGGAATTTCCGATGCTTTCCCGTTCGAGCTTCACTGCTAACTGAAAGAAAGGAAATTCTCTTCGACACTTAGGGAAAAGCGGGGAAAAAGAAAACGCACAAATACACACACATTCAAATCCACGTTAAGATCTTTTTTCATTTCTTTTAGATACTTTTTAATTACATCCAGTACATGATGAATTTAAGAAGATTTGAATACGAGATGAGACGAAAGTAAAACGATACTTGATCGAGTTGTTGTAAAGAAAAATTAATTTAGGAAACAAATAAACAGGGAAAAAATTAATTTTTAAAATTTTCTGTTTTATTCACAATTTTTCTCCTTTTAAGTTCAATTGATGTGGAAATAAAGAAGTTTAAAGGTATTTTTTGCTTCCACTCGAGAATCTTGTGTCCAAAAGTTGAGCTTTCTTGAACATCGATTTCTTACGAGCTTCATCAAATTTATTAACTGATAAATCGCTGTCACGGTTAAATGGTCGACGTTCCTTTTTCTCATCCTTCTGTCGTTTCTATTATATGGAAAATATTTTTTAATTAAACATAACTTTAAATAATTAATAATTTAACTAACCTTTTCCTTCTTCATCTTTTTTTCGTGAATCTCCAGCAAAGATTTGTCACGTTTATGTGATTTTTTGTGCTCCTTTGCCATTTTCTCTTGTTCTTCATCCCGACGTTTGATTTCCAATTCATGACGCTTCTTCTCTTCATTCTTTTTATCTTCATTGTGAGAAGTTTTCTTGGGCTGATCATTTGGTGTCTTCGTCCAACTTGTACGATCACTAAAGTCTGGCCTTTCATTTTTACGAAATTGTCGAGCACCAAGTCCCATATCAGTCACTTTTCTTATTTCTGGTAATTCCAACATCCACTCTTCACGATTCTTCACATCAGGATTAGACACCGCTTCCATTCTTCGATCCAATTGCTGCAACTTCAATTCGATTTTTCTCTTTTCAAGTTCCAAATCACGTTCGGACATCTCAATAGCTGAAGCAGGCAAAGGTCCAACCATGCAATCATCATCATCATCATCCGATGAAATACCATCGAAATGTTCTTCTTGTAAGTGATTGATATTGAAATTACTGGGCAATGATGGACCATAGTTCCGTTTGTGATGATGAACTGGACTTTGAGAGTTTTTTGAATGTTGGAAATTATCGTCTTTCTTAGAAGTTGCTGATGGCGGTAGTAATGGGCCATAAAATGACGTTTTCTCTTGAGTTGAATGGCTGGGACGTTTCTTTGAATCTTCTAAATGACGTGAAGATCCTCGACTTTCTTTATGGGGATTTTCGTGACTTTTCATTGATTCATCTGAAATCTTACGAATTTTTGGTTCATTTTTCACGTTTCCACTTTTGTGATCACGATCACGTTGTTTACTCGACGATTCTGCTTCAGTTCGATGTTTTTTTAACTCAACTTGAGTTTTGTGGTGGTGATGATGATCTCTGATAGGACTGGATGATGTTTTCCGACGACTTTCATGATGATCACGAGATCTCACTTCATCACGATGACCACCACGTTCATTTGACTTTGAGCGGTTGTGTTGTTTGTCTTTATAAGCATCACGATGATGTTTTTCTCTTGAACGTGATCGGGAATGTTGTCTTGGTCGATTTTCATGTTTCCTTTCTGATTTATTATCAGATTTATGATCTCCATGACTTCGTTTATCTGTTTTTCTGTCTCCATTTTTCTCTTCTTTTCGTGGTGATGAGCGTCGTGGTGAACGTTTCCTTCTAATTGAATCATGCTTTTGAGTTTCTTCCTGAGTTCTTCTTTTTCCTCTTTTGAAGTTCGTGCCAGAATCAGAATCAGAATCCTCACTGTTACTTGTGAACATGTTGACTAAAAACAAGAAAAATTCATTAATAATTGTGGATTTCAAAAGAAACTTTTAATTATTTATGACTGAATTATACAACGTAAGCTTTGGATTAATTACTTTTTGTTTTATTCTAAAGACTTTTCTACTTTTGTTTTCTTTCAACTATTTATGTCTACCTAATTCAACTACAAATTGAAAGTCTTCAAAGCTTTGCTCCATCCGTATTCGAATGATTTGCCAATGCCAGCTGTAGGGATGTTTTTGATCGACTGCTTAACACTACTTTGCCATACAATAGCTGCTAAACTGTTTCGCACAATCTCTTGATATCTGGGAGAACTAGCAACAGCTCTAAGAACATCTTCAGCGTCCATGCGATAACGTCCTCGTGTCCATTCACGAACAATTCTTCTAATTGGCCATTTAGGAAGTTGACTCAGATGTTGAAGAACAACTGGTGATGATTTGTCTTGACGACATTCCACATTCTCTTCATTACAGTCGATTGATGGAAAATCGAAAACAGATTTAAATAAATTTGCAGTGGGAGCGTAAAGATTTCTGAAGTTCTCCATCTGAGGTTTAACAATATTCTGTACTTTGTTCTTATTTTCTCCGAAAATCATCCTGAAGTCACCGTTGTAACTAAGATTTGTTATTGCACAGTAGAATTCATATTCGCTGAATTTTTCAGGCAGAAGAAGGAGAGCAGACCTAACAGCACTTTGAAGGTTTAAATCTAAAGCATTTTGGATTTTCGAGCTTATTGGTTCACGAATTATTTCAACTGGTTTTTGTAGACGTCCAGCTACATAAAGATCTTTCCAATCGAGAAGATCAGCAATGATGTCTTTTGCTGAAATTACACCATATTTGATCATTAAGTTGCTTTTCTCTTCTTCTACTGGAACAAGAGTATTGAAATAGACTTTGGCACCATACGACTCTTGATACTTTGAAATACAATTACTTCCTAACAAACGCATAGATGAGTAATGACTAGGATTCAAGAGAATGTTTTTAGCATGCCACTGATAAGAGTTTTCGACAATGAATAACAGGTCGATCATTACAGGCTTCTTTGTGACAGAATTCGTTGTTACATTTTCTGTCTGGATGTTGGAATTCATAAGAATATCATCGTAACCTTCTTGCTTTTTAACTCCCGATCCATATGCAAAACCAAATGATAAATTTTGAGGAAACTTTGATAAAATGCGATAGTAGAGCGGTTTAACATTCCCCCTTGTAAGCATTTTGGCATTTTTATACCATCGAATAGAATTTCACAGGAAAAATCAGCCAGACGTTAAAACTTCCAGTTATTATACCTCTCAATGATGCTCCAAGTATAGGTGTTTTACTTTGCAGTTAATTCGACACACTTATTTGGTACTTCTAGTCACTTATATTTATTTTAAAATTACTTTTCTTTATTCTTCCGATTGTTGTGATTTATGAAGATAAAGTTGTTGACCCCTCATAAGGAATTATTCGCGAGCGACATCTATGGCCAGTACATGTGTAGTTTGTTACCCTTTTTGCTTATTTTTGATATCCAAGAAATAATAAAATTGCAAAAATACTACAGAGAAAAAATGGTAAGAAGCCACTTCTCGCGCAATACTTGAACAATACAAACGTCTTAAAAAGAATAAACTCAGGGCTTTGAGAGTAAAAATTAATTTATGTAAAGTGAATCTGTAGAGGAAATCAATGAACTTTCAATTTTCTCCCTCACAGTGATTTAATTTTCACTTTTTGGGCAAAATAAAAATAATTCAGTTTTAGCTTGATGATATCATAAAATTTATTTATGATTTTATGAAGGGAAACATTCATCTTATCCTATGTAGACAACACAGAGTCCAGAACTCACAAGTCCTAGTTGTCCTTGACAAAAATCACTTTTTGGCAGAATAACAAAAAAAAATGCAAACAATTCCAACGCAGTTAAAACTGTTGTCAGTTGTTCACTAACGAATCATTTATTTTTAGAATAAACTCAAAACACAACAGAAGGACAAGGTAAAGAAGTTTATCTCCCTTACGCAAACTGGAGAGAGTACCGCGATCTTCTGCCTTCAAAACAACGACTGGAAGCTCGATCTTGCAAGTGACAATTATTTTTCAAATCCCGAACTATACTACAGAGAACTGGACGTAAAGAAGATTGAACAACTTTTCGCAAAATACCGTGATGGTAGCGATCAACAAAAAATAACGTCGGATGGCGTCGTGAAGTTTCTTGATGACCTCCAGCTCTCACCTGAATCACGCTTAGTCCTCATTATAGCATGGAAGTTTCGTGCTCAAACACAATGCGAGTTTTCACGCGATGAGTTTATCAATGGATTTTGTGATTTAGGTGTAGATAGTTTAGATAAATTGAAACAGAAGCTTCCCCAACTCGAGATGGATCTACAGGACATTCACAAGTTCAAAGATTTCTATCATTTTACTTTCAATTACGCTAAAGACCCCGGCCAGAAAGGTCTCGATCTTGAGATGGCAATTGCTTATTGGAATATCGTTTTGAAAGACCGTTTTAAGTTTCTTGATTTATGGTGCAAGTTTCTCACGGTAAGTTGAGAATTTCTTATATTTGAAGTTAATTTTAATTTTTTTATTGCTTAAATCATTCAGGAAAATCATAAAAGATCCATCCCGAAAGACACCTGGAACTTACTTCTTGATTTTGCACAACACATCGATGATAAAATGTCTAATTACGATGCTGAGGGAGCGTGGTAAGTTTAAAGTTTAATTAATTTAAAAACTTATACTTATTGACAAACTTTCGCTTCTAGGCCCGTTCTAATAGATGACTTCGTTGAATGGTGTCTGCAGCAACAACAGCAAGCCCTCACAAATATCACCCCTGTACAACAACAACAACATTATTATCAGCAAAACAAAAGCAACATGTATGGATAATTAATTTCTCGCAACTTAAATGGAAAACGCGCGAAATAAAACGTTTCCTTAAAAACTTATCTTTTTCTTCGCTTTTTATTGTTTATAAATTTTGTTAAAAAAAAGTGTTTGTGTGTACATTAATGTTGATTAAAAAGAAAAACAATAATTATTAATGAAGGAAAAAAGAAGAAGTCGTCATAAAATGCGACATAATTTGTCGTTGGAAATAATTGAAGAAAAATAAAGAAAATTTCATCTTTAAACAAACTAATAATTAAAATGTTTTAATAATAAGCTTGCGATTTCAATTCACTGATAATGATAAACTGGTTTATATGTAAATGACGATGACGCTAGAAACTTTCGATATTAGTTAATGCTGAAAATGTTAACATATTGGAGATTTATTTCTAACTTTTTATTAGCATATCTAGATAAAATTAATGACAAAAAATATTATTCGTTTCTCTTTACACAAATACTTAAAGTGAAAAAAAAATTGAAATTGAAATTTCGACTGCTGTTTGATTTGTTTTTTGTTTATGGGATTAATTATTGAAGGTTTCATAAGAACACATGTCGATATTAAAAAAAATGATGAGTAGAGAAACTCTTTAAAATATAAACATAACTAAGTGAGAATATTATGATAATTAACTAATAAGATGGGAAATCTTTCGAGACTGTTTCGATCTCAGTTCTTCAGTGTAGATAAATGTTTGTAAGATTTCTTTTCATTAAATTTCTGCAGTTTCGACCTACCAATCTTGCAAATTATTTCATTTTCGAGATCAGATCAGTAAACTGTAATGAAATAAGTTAATAACTTTCGACGTTGATTTTATCGAGTAATTTAACTAATTTCTCGTGTGCGTAACGAAGCTTCTGATAAAGTTCATTTGTGCATCCATGTTCAATGATTGTTGAGAATGGATAAGTTCGGAAGTTTTTATCAACGTCCAACAACGTGACTGCTTGCATCAATGGACATAAAATGATTTTTTGATGATCCGAGAAATTCAACTGAAAAAATCGACATTTAAATTTTATTTATAATTACTACAGATTAATAATTTAACATACCTGAACAATTCCATTAGTTAAATGCATAACAACAGCACATTGCGTGCGGAACCATGTATGCAAATGAGGAATACGAGAAAGACTGTCGTTCTCCTTTATAGCAGCATTTGCTCCAGCTTTGACAAGGTGTTCAGTCATATAACGTTTGAAGTAAGATAAAAGTTTCATTTTCTTTTCAAGCTTTTGTGGATAATTGCTGATAGTGAAATAAGTTTCCTTTCCTTCTTTGTCGATAAAGTGAACGTTGCTGAAAAGAAAAATTAGTGATTAAATTTAAATCCTGAAATTAAATATAATTAAGTTAACTAACTTTCCATTCGACAGCATTATTAACTTTGTTGTGTCGTTAAACATGACACCCATGCCTTCGTCGCATAACTGATATCCAAATCCATATTTATCACTGTAATCAACCCATTTGCTGACCCAGAATAATGGATTCGATGCTGGATCGCTGTTTTCATCACGTAAATCATTCAAGTGACGCTTTATTTTCGATGCAAAAAGTGTTGCTAATTGTGAATGCAACAACTTCAAGTTTCCTTTCTGGACAGCGCTATTTGTTGCCATCATTCCAGAAGCTGTTATTGCGTCATGTAAGTTATTCTTCAAGAATGATGATTCGTAGTTTGTTTCATCTAATGAAATATTAATTTATAAATATTAATTACTAAATAAAAGAAAATAAATTTTAAACGTCTTACCAATCATTCCATTAACTTCAGTCAAAGGTCGGCGAGCTGCCTTCTCTAAGTATTCTAATTGCTCCCCACGAGGTGCAGTTGACAAACATGAATAAGGCAAAGATGGTGGAATGGCAGTTTGTGCTAAGAACTCAAATGAAAGAAGTTGATCGATAACTGGTCGCTTATCTGGATTTGATTGCAACATTGCAATGATCATTTCAGCTGCAGTCTTTCGCAATGTTGAAGGCAATTTGTAATCACATTTACGGATCTTTGAATATGTATCCTTTAAGCTTTTCGTTTCGAATGGAGGCTGACCCACCAGCAAAGTATACATGATACATCCTATTGACCAAATATCAACTTCATACGAATGTCCTTTCTTATTTAGAATCTCAGGTGCGATATAATTTGGTGTTCCGCACAAAGTTTTCTTTCTTTCACCTTCAAATTCAATTCGTGTAGCCAAACCAAAGTCACCAATCTTAACGTGAAGATCATCATTAAGAAAGAGATTTCCTAATTTCAAATCGCGATGAATGATATGATGGTCGTGTAAATACTTGACGCCTTGAGTAATTTGATGAATGTAGTAGCGACATTCATACTCTGTAACGGTTTTTCGACGTTTGTGGAGCTCCATCATGGATCGCTTCTTGCATAGCTCGAGAACAATATAGACATTGAGAGGATCATCGAAGAAGCTATGAAAACCAACAATATGCTTATGGTGCAACGATTTATGAATTTGTATTTCCTGTGTCATTTTTTCTTTTTGATTATGCTTCATCATAAGCTTTTTCGAAACAATCTTCCCGGCATACGTTGCATTTGTTTCAACATTTATAATCTCGTAACATTTAGCAAAGCCACCCTGTAAGGGAAAAAGAGGAGATTGGTGATCAGTTGGACTTCAAACTTAATCTGTTAACGGGAGGTTAAGGAAGATCATGAATAAATAAACAAACTTACCTTTCCGAAAAAACGCAGTCTTTTGTATGTTGTTCTGGTCGTCTCATCGTATAGTTTTTCAGGAATCTCCTCAACAGCATCATCCTTTCTGGAACTCATTGTTTTTGAATCAAGGTTGACTAATTTTATTCAAACAGAAAGCTTTTTCGAAAACCACACTTTATCTCTGGTACTTTTATGATAATTTCTTGTTTCTAGGCTTGAGAGGCCAGCGATGAACTTATTTACTTGTTTAAAGTTTAATATAACTACAATTTAAGCGGAGAAAATAAATTTTCTGTGCAGCCAGTATCCTTAAGTTTGAAAATTTCAAACCACTCAACGGTTTGTTAGGCGTAGGATGTGCCCCTTACTTAACTTCGGCACCGCGGCGGGGCCGGCGCGATTTTAATGTCAATTGGCGGTAAAATTTATATTCGCTGGTGTAGAAGTATTTCTAAGTTCAAGTGTAACTTCTCATTCTTTTTTTCGAGACTTTCGAAAGCAGTAAACATTTTTTAAGTTTTGGTAAGTAAAAAAAATAGAAATTCGTTGTAAAAGTCACTTTATCATAACTTTTTATAATCTCATGGCAAAATATAACTTGAGCTCTACTTGAAATATAAGAAAATATTAGCAGAATGATCATAATTATGATTATATTTTTATATAAAAATTCTTCATTAAAATTACTTTTGTCCTCGTGTTCATAATTCATTTTTTCATTGCAGTTCTTAAACTCAATTAATCGAATCCTTACTCCAGCTTCAAAATGGTTAGGGAGAACAAAACTGCCTGGAAAGCAAATTATTTCACAAAAGTTGTGGTAAGTTTAGGTTAATGAAATAAAGTGGGAAGAGGTTAGAAAAATAATTTTGAAAGAAAGAAAGGAAATTTAATGATGAAAACTTCAAACGTCTAAATAAAAATCGTCCAAGGTATTAACGGCTAGAAATAGCTGAACCCATTAGTACCTGATTTTTATCTGTTTAAAAATCGCTGTGATCAGCTGTCTGACAATTTTTTTCTTAAGGAATTGCTTATCATTGTGAAATTTATAATTTCATAATAATAAGAAATTCTTCACGAAAGAAATTAAAAATATAAATTTTTAATAAACTTTTCTGACATTTCTTTTAAATAATATTAACAGTCATACTTGGATGAATATCCAAAATGTTTCATCGTCGGTGCCGACAATGTTGGTTCTCGTCAAATGCAACAGATCCGTATCTCCCTTCGTGGAATTGCTGTTGTATTGATGGGTAAAAATACTATGATCCGTAAAGCTATTCGTGGTCATATTGAAAACAACGCAGCATTAGACAAGATCTTGCCCCACATCCGAGGCAATGTTGGCTTCGTCTTCACCAAGGGAGACTTGAATGAAGTTCGCGATAAATTGACCGAAAACAAGGTTCGTGCTCCTGCTCGTGCTGGTGCCATTGCTCCATGTGAGGTTGTCATTCCAGCTCAGTAAGTATTTCATGAAAAAAGTTCCTACTTTTAGGAGATTTTAACAATTTTCCTTTATATTTCAGAAACACCGGTTTGGGACCCGAGAAGACAAGTTTCTTCCAGGCTTTGTCTATTCCAACCAAGATTTCTAAAGGTACAATTGAAATCATCAATGATGTGCCCATTCTTAGAGTTGGTGACAAAGTCGGTGCTTCCGAAGCCACTTTGTTGAACATGTTGAACATCTCGCCATTCTCATATGGTTTGATCATTGAACAAGTCTACGATAGCGGTTCCATTTTCTCACCCAACATCTTGGACATTAAGCCCGAAGACTTGCGTGCTAAATTCCAACAAGGAGTTGCAAATATCGCCGCTCTTTCATTGGCTATTGGATATCCAACAATTGTTTCTGCTCCTCACAGCATTGCAAATGGTTTCAAGAACCTTTTGGCTTTGGCTGCAGTCACCGATGTCGAGTTCAAGGAAGCTGAAACCATCAAGGAATTTGTTAAAGATCCAAGCAAATTCGTTGCCGCTGCTGCTGTTGCAGCACCTGGTAAGTTTTTTTTCTCTTTTAGTTTTTATAATATTTTAATTTTAAATTTTATTTTAACAGCAGCTAGTGCCGCTGCTCCAGCTGCTAAGGCAGAAGCCAAGAAGGCTGAATCAGAACCTGAGAGCGATGACGATATGGGCTTCGGCTTGTTCGATTAAATTCGTATCGCAAAAAACCAACAATGAAACGGTCACCTTAAGCGATTACCATCAACAATTTTCTTTTTACATTTTATTATAAACAAAAGAATCTGAAGGAAGAAAATACGAAAATACTCGCAAACCATGGCGATTTCCGTTCTTTTTTCCTTCAATTCTTTTGAAGAACAACATAAAATGCATTTTTTTGAATTGTCATGCTTAAATATGATACATTTTAAAATAAAATGAACGTGACCAAAACATTTTGTAAATTTCATTATAAATTTTTTAACATTTTTCAGCACTTAGATAGCTGAAAACATATCATAAAATGTACACAAATGAAATTATTTTTCAACTTCACAGTGATAAATGATAAGTTGATATGATATCTGATGGTTAAAATTATTTGCTTGTAAACGTTATCTACTTCAAAACAATAAAATTAATGAAATATTTTTTTTATTCATTTCCAATTTTTCTTGTCAATCAAAATTATTTGGCAATATTTAACAGTAAAATTTCAAAAATTTTTGTCTACTAGGACCGCATGTCTCATCAGAAGAACAATCTTCTATCTCGCTCTAAAAATCTTTCTCTTTCTTTTGCAAGTTGTTTTTACTTGAGTCGTGTTGAACATCTAAAAAAATTAGAAATAACCAATATGGTCAGTTTCTATATTATCTATTAACTTATAAATGTGTTAACAACACATCAAAGTCAATTAAAACTATTAAATAAACTACACTTCTTGCATAAAACTTGGAAAAAATATATTTTCAAGTAGTTTTTAAGGTTATCAACAAAAAATCTTATATTTGATTCCATTCTTCAGGTTAACGTTCCAAAACAACGCCGTACATATTGCAGAAAATGTAATGCACATTGTGTTTACAAAGTCTCGCAATATAAGAAATCTAAGGAGCGACATGCAGCCCAGGGACGACGTCGTTACGATCGCAAACAACAAGGATTTGGTGGACAAACGAAACCCATCTTCAGAAAGAAGGTAAAATATGAAAGTGGAAAACATTCTGATGTTTAATATTGTTATTCTTTTAGGCAAAAACCACCAAGAAAATTGTGCTTCGTATGGAATGCACAGTATGCAAATATCGCAAACAATTACCTTTGAGACGTTGCAAACATTTTGAATTGGGAGGTGACAAGAAACGTAAGGGTCAAATGATTCAGTTCTAAATCGTCACTGTAATAACAAATGCTACTGAAATTTCATTCATTCTTTGAAAAAAGAAAGTTTTTAATAAAAAAGATGGAATGAAACATCAAAAGTGTTTTAAAAAATATTTTTTTATTCTTCATTGTCTTCTGGTGTCTTTTCAATGAGTAAATCTGGATTATCTAAAAGATTGTCGTCAAGTCCTTCAGAAAACATTTTTTGTTTCACAGCTGGAACTGCAACTCCAAATTTAATCATTTTAAAGTATTTTTTATATAAGAAGGAATCACAAATTTTTATGAGGTTGTCGTTTGAAGTTTGTTCTGTAATTTGGCTTTCATTTGTCTGTTCCTGATGTTCCACACCGCTAGAAGAATTCGCTATATTCTGATCATTTGGAATTGGTTCATTTGTCAGTTCAAGTTCTTTTTCTGGCTCTTTTTGAGACTCAACTGGCAAAATTTCTGATACTTGTTCTTTGTTTTCTGAAGGCACTGAAGCAAGCTTTATAGAAAAGGAGATTTTAATTGAATTTACAGCTCACTAAATATATAAATAGTTTGATCACCTTTTGTTCAATGATTTCCAGATTTCTCTCGATTTTATTGAGTTTATTGTCAAATTCATAAAACCTACAAACATTATTAAAATATCATTTAGTAAGCAGAACCAAGAAACTACGAATAATGTTTACCTGCTCTCACAATCATTTATAAATTGATTGAGATAGTTTGTGGTTGTCATTGTAAATTCATTAAGAAATGTTTGCATTCTTTTTCCATTCAGAGCCATTGTTGAAGTTTATTTGTTTCACTATTCAATCAGTCTACGGATTTTGTATAAATTTATTAAAAAGAAATATTTTTTTGTAGTTTCTTTCTCTGTTGTGAATGAAAAAAGGGGTGTCAATCTACATTTTTGATCATATGGCTTAACAAAATTTTTGTTTACACTCATTCTACATGCAAAGGTAAAAAAAAATCATTTTCCTTACGAAGATCGATATGATTCATAACTTTTGTTCACTAAACTTTTAAAGTTTTACAAATTCAATTATTATTTCTTATTACTTTATTAAATTACTGATTGATTATGTATTAAAATAAAAAATAAATAAAAGTTTTAATGAATGCAGTTTAAAAAGGTCCATGACTGTTTTCATAATCTACTCATTTGAAATTTAAAAACCAACAATAGAAACTTATTAAGGTCTGTCTATCCAGATTTGGAAAAAAATGTATCGGCAGAATTATAAACAGGCATAGATAGAAATTATTAAAAATTTTCTGTTAAATATCTAAGAATGCTGTTTAAGACTTCTGTATAGGTAAACGTTATAAAACTTAATTAGAAATTGAAAGTTTAATTCAAACTTTGTTTATCTACACAAATACTTCCAAATCTTTGCAAATCTTTTCAGTTAAAATTATTGAGCAGCGCAAAGTTTTTTTTATTTATTAGGATTCACAAGTTAGGTATAAAGATCTTTTATGAGTATGCTAAATTTTTCACCTGAAATACAATCAGAATATTTGATTGAAGATTCCAAAAATGCTACTGGTTTTTCAACACCTGTTATGATGAATTATTGATTTATTTCTTTGAAATACAACATTTAGGCTATTTTATGTTTTTTATTTTTAACAGAAGTAGGTATAATAAATAAAATTGCATGAGTACTGAAATATGACGACATGAGCCACGTTTTGTCTGATCATATTTTCATAACAGATATTCAATAACAAAACGGTCACCTTAAGAGATTACCATCGACAATTACCTACCTAATTTGCATTTATCAACAACAAGTAAGAACCAAGAAACAGGTTCAATCGAAAGACAAGAATTTAAACAATAATTATTAGCAGACCATTATGAATTTTCTTTTCTTTTCTTAGATTCAAAAAAATTGAATTGCACAATTTTGAAATCATCGTGAAATATTTTGGTTTTTAATTGTAATGTTGAGGCACAATAAATATTAACAGCATTTAATAGCTACCTAGAGTACCTGAGTAAAAAAATAGAATATTTTTCTAAAAAACAAAGATTTAACCGAATTTTAAGTTGATATGGATTGATGAAGGAGAGTCATTGGGGGAAAACTTTGAACATCGTGATTGCCATCCTTTTGTCTTTACCATTAAAAAAGACGACAAATTTCCTACATTACATATCGTATAAAATAAAGTGACAGTTTTATTCGTTTGGTTCACATTCAAATATTTTATTCTTTAAAATAAAACAAAAGCACGATACTTCCAAGAACTTCAAAAATAGATGGGATAACAAAAGAGAAATTAACATGAGCTTCGAGACGGGAATCTTTTTTTTTGTTCACATGTAAACCTGTTCAGTTATAAGAGGTAAATTGAGTGTAAGAAGAAATCTCTTCTTAAATAAATGGACATCATTAATGAAGGAGTTTGGATGCTCGCGACACGCGATGATTTCATGAAATATCTTAAAAACAGGTTCTTTTTTACTTTCCTTTTTTCCTCAAAAAAAGAACTAAAATAAAAATATTTTGTAGCTTGGGCGCATTTACTGATTAAAACACCTTAAAGTGTTACTAATCTAAAGTTTGTCGCACACCAGCACGTTTATTATTTGTATTCCTACTAAGGTGTTTGTTTATTTACTTGATCGTCGGTGAATCCAAAACTTAAAATGACCTTTCTGACCTTTTGCATGAATTTGACCCAAGAGGAAGAGTTTTCCTCCCATCAGCTAATGTTAGAAGAAAAAAGTAAAAAAACTGCAAAATAATGAAATGAAATCACGCTTCAGCGAGTGGCTAACACGAAGTGCAGGTTGGTTAAATAAGAAAGTCATGAGTTGCACGGGTTTACCAGATGATGACGAAAAAGTCATATTCGTAACTTGAAGCATTCCAAGTCGTTTAGCTAGCCTTCTTTTGCAATCATTGAACGTTGATTTGTTTGAAGGACAATAAGATAAGGCGAGACACAGAATGCAGTTTTCTTGATACATAATGTGTCAGGGTAAAAGCTTAACGAACAAACATGCTTTGATTAGCAAAACTAACAACATTACATGCACAATGGGGTATTCTCAAGGAATGAGAGCCTTTTCCAGGTATAATATTGTGGATTGGGACAAGAACAAGTACAGGGCGCCTTTCATTTCTATTTTTAATTTCCACTGAATAGAAAACTAACGAATATCGAAAATCAAACATGATATTGTTTCGTTATCTCTTGGGACTTAACAGTAATGCGAATGTGATTGTTTTAGTTTCGAGGGTTGTTAGATTATGTGGTTGAGACTTCTAAAGAGTTCTTTCTGCGTTCGTTGAATTCCATTCTCTGAATTTTCAAAAAAAAATATTATGCAAATCAGTTATCTCTCCATTCCATTAATTCAAACCGACCAAAAAGCCTTTTGCAGAATAAAAAAAAATCTGAAGTTGGTGTATGGAGCTTATGTAGAAAGCAAAATTTTCGATACATAAGACTGTCTATCAAAACCTTCGGCTGTTGGTAGTGTGCTATGTATAAAAATATCCGATTAATTGGGGCTTTTGCATGAGTTGTGTCGTGACTCAACATCTCGCTCACGATTACTCATGACAGGAAATTCTTCAATGTTAACCACTAAGCTCGTTATACTCGCATATCTAGTATAGATTGTGCAATCAACATCATCAGTGAATTCATCCCCTCACTCTTTGAATGCCAAATAACCAACAGTATTCCCATTTGAATATATCATTTCAAAAAACCTATGTACATCATGCCATGCTACGTTTAGGAAGAACCCAACCAAACAAAATAACATAGCAATGACGATACATCAGTATATGAGAACGAATTTTGAAAAAAAATAGGTTCGGAGGATTTTTCTTCTCGCCCATCGCATCAAGAGATCAGCTTCGGTTGACTGGAGAAAAAGCGACACACAGTGAGGCGATGGTCGTTGTCGGTGTGCCCAATGCAATGCACACAAGGCCATCAATCAATAAATACAAGAGAACCGGTTTCATTTCGTCTCACCACGGGTTTTGTCTTTTTACGAAGCACAACCATCCAAGCCATCCATCCCATATCATCTGGTATCCAGTTGATAGTTTTAACTTTTTTTACTTTTGTGTATTTCATAGAATATCAGCGGGTCGCATGCAAGACATGCCTGGCAACTCTGAAACTCATCCTATTCAATACATAAAAATCGATAATATATGTATACCAATGAACGTGGTATGAGTTATACCCAAGAAATATTGTGTGTATGGGTCTCTTTGATGATGTGTTTGTGTTCACGAGGCGAGTGGGCAAAATGTTCGGTTTTTTGAAAATCTACCATTTTTTCTGAATGTAGTTTTCACAACAAAAATAGAACTTCATGCTTTAGCTCTCAACGCGCGAGATAGATGTTGAAGCAAAAAAAATTTAAAATAGAAAAATAATGCTGCTCGCTGTCGCCGCGCGCCGACACGCTGTAGGAATGAAACTTTATATATGTTTATATATATTTTATGTATATAATATATACATCAGACCCACATCGAGATTCGGTCACGATTTCATCTTTTCAAGCAACGTGGAGGATGTGAAGAGCGTTAAGAAACGACCAGCTGGCCAGGCAGAACGAGTAACAATTATACATGTTTAAGCGACATCCTTCGCTTGATCTTTCACATCTTTTTCGTTTCGTTTATATTTTCAAAAGCTGCCCATTACTACTACAATTAAAATAGTTTCAATCTTGATATCGATACATGAGAGAGTATTTTTTTATTTTTCCTATATGTACATGCATTCACCCTGTGTCTAGCATCTGCTTTAGTTCTGCTATTTGCTGTGTCAAATGCGAAAAAATAATTTAAGTGGAACGTACATGAATCGACCCGAACGAAAAATCGCCTCCCCGCAAAAATTGTTTGAGAATGTTGGTAACATTATGTTGTTTCGGACATTTTACAGTGTTAGTGTTTGTGTATTATCCGTCCGTGCACTTGCTGACTATGAGAAATGAGCAGTGTGGGGTTTTCTATCAAAGCGCTCTTGTGTAACCTTGACACATGAGTTTTGTAATATCTTAATAATGTTTTTAAATTTTATGAAATATTTTCAGTTCTCTTTTGAAAAGTACGACCAATATATGATAAAATTTTTATGCATTAAATTTATCTTGCTGGTATTATTAACTGCGACATCATAGTTTCTTTACCACAAGAAACAAAAATTTAGCCCAGCTGAAACATTTTTGAACATTTTCTTCTTTTTTTTCTCGTGCCGTTCATGAATGTGTTTGTGTGCATTCTCCTCGCTTTTTTCAGTCGTAAGTTTTTTTTCTATCAGAAAACATTGAGTTTGGTGGTGCTAGTTTATTTATTTTTTCAAAAAATACCCAAAAGGAAAAAAATATTGAAAAAATTATTAATTAACTTATAATTTTCTTCTGAAGTTGAAGACAAAGTTGATAGTGATAACTGGAAACTTAACAAGATATAGTAAAAGTTCCCAACTATCTAATCACAATAGAACGTTTTTATCACACAAAAGAACGAACGAAAAAACGTTTTTTTCATTCGGAGTGCATAAGAGAAGAGAGAAGAGAAGAAAAAAAATATAAATAAAATGGAAGATGGATTTTTTGAGAATTTATTTTTGTGAAATTTGAAAATAGTAAATTTTCAACGTGAAAATGTGAAGAAGCAAAACCCGCGACTGGGGACGATATAAAGAAACGTAAAAGAAAAACGAAAGAAAAGAAAAAAGTGAAGCCAAACTTTGTGGTTAGGAAATGGTTGTTTTGAAGGATTGTGCGTGTGCCATCCCCAATTTAAAATTGTATTGATTGCTTATACATTGTAGTGGGATTGGAATAGATGTGCAATAATTTTTTTATTGGAAGACGGAGAAAGAAGAATAATGGAAAATTGTGCAATGTTAAGGATTCTAATATTTTCCTCTCGTAACATTACTTAAAGTTAAAGTTTGTGAAAATATTTTCTTGAAAAAAGAAATTTGTGAAAAGCGAAGGAAATTAAAAAAAGTTTTCATTTCAAATATGGAGTCTTCCACTCCCCCTGCATCCTCTCCGAATGATGATTCTAATGCTCAAGATCCCCTTGCGTTGCCAAACACTGCAGAGAATATTTCTAGTTTGTACAGTGCCACTGACATGAACCGAGATCAAAATGGACTAATGGGAAATGATAAAGAAAATCATCTCAATGACAACCCCGCCAATCATTCAATGTACCCTAGCGATCCGGTAATAATGAAGCATGACGAGCATCCTTTGAGCAATGAACAAAGACTGCAATATGATGGAAATCATCAAATGCAAAGCAATTATGATCAGCAGAAAATAAATCAAATGAACATGCAGCATGCGAATCTCCATGAACCGCACAAAACTTTTAGTCATTCCATTGAAAATTTAAGCAAGACAACGGAAAAGTGTCCGCCAAATGATATGAAAATGTAAGTTTGATATGCATACGAACGTTTGAATTCAATTGTTTTCTTTTTTCATGTTCGTTAAATTACTTTACAATGATGAAATGTACAAAATTCTTTTTGTTGTTGGACGTTTTGAAGTTCTTTGTCGTTCGTTCGCATCTTAAGAGAATTTTGAAAATACATAAATAGATATTTACCTACTCCAACTTTAGTTTCGTGTATTCAAACGAAACTCATTTGCTTTGTCATGCTCACACGTAGAAAATATCTCAATTTACAAACTTATTTTACAGATTTATGCAAATGCATAAATCATCTTTGATAAGATTAAATTTTTTTTATTAATGATTGATTCAATGTCAATGCCAACAACAACAGAAAGAAAAATCTCCAAACCTGATTAAATCTTATATAATTACGAATACAAGAGAGAAGAAAAAGCAATCAAAAACATTTTTTTTACAGATTTCCGAATCTCATAGACGGTCATGATCAGTACGATGATGGCTACGAAACAGGTGTAGGTGATTTATTGTCACATAAATATAAGCTGCCCTCTCTTCCCCCTCCTTCATCTTCGCCCTATTCGTCGCTTTCATCATCATCGATGTCAACAATTTCTACAGCAACGACAACACCAACTAATCTCGCTAATCCCCAACAACAGCAATCGCCATCGTATATGGGTGGAAACGGAAATACCGGAAATAATATGAATCAATATCAACAACAATACCATCAATATCAACAGCAGCAGCAGCAACAACAACAACAGCAGCAGCATCCAATACCTCCACACCAAAATAATTTTAATTATCATCCAATGTTCGGACGAATGCAGCAGCAGCAACAACAGTCGCAACTTCAAATGACTGGAGTAATTAAAAATGAACCACCAATGACCCCAACTGACAACGATCCATATCGTTTCGTTGATGATGATTTATCGAATGGGATTAGCAGTCATTCAAGTGGAATGTTGAATTCAATGCATCCGCATCATCAGCATATGTCACCAGTTGGCATGTCTGGGAATTATTCAGCGTCGTCATCACCAATGCCACCACAAATGCAACAAACAACGACAGGAAATGCATCAATGATGCAATTCAATGATCATATGTCATCACATCATCAACATCATATGCATGGCCATCACATGAGTCAAATGAATAATTTGAACCATCAACAGCAAATGCAATCACAGCAACAGCAACAACATATGAATCCGCATGGTAGTATGAATGGAAATTTACATTCACCAAATGTTGGACATTCAATAAATCCAATGATGATGAATGAGACACCAAAAAAGCGAGGACGAAAGAAAAAGCTTCGAGATGAAAATGGGTGAGCTTTTAACTTTATTTATGAATTGTAAACTGTTGTTTATTAAACTCAAAACTTTGTTCTATTTCAGTAATCCAATTGAAGACCGTCCAGTGAAAGAGAGAAAGAAACATGACAGATTTAATGGAATGCCTGAAGAAGAAGTTACGAAACGAACACTTCCCGATCATCTCACCAGCAATTTAGATATCATTATCGTAAGTTTGTAAAAATTGTTATCCAAATCATCGCAAATGATTTATTCATCAACAAAAATTTAATTAATTTCATTCTATCAAATGTAGGTTGGCATAAATCCCGGCCTTTTTGCTGCATTTAAAGGACATCATTATGCAGGTCCTGGGAATCATTTTTGGAAGTGTTTATATTTATCAGGATTAACTTCAGTTCAAATGACTGCTGAAGAAGATTATAAACTCCTTCAGTACGGAATTGGTTTCACAAACATGGTGCAACGACCGACGAAAGGCAGTGCTGATCTTACAAGAAAAGAAATCAAAGAAGGCAGTCGAATATTACTCGAAAAAATAAGAAAATTTCAACCAAAAATTGCTGTTTTCAACGGGAAATTGATATTTGAAGTCTTTAGTGGAAAGAAAGATTTTTGTTTTGGAAAACAACCGGAAACTGTTGAAGGAACAAATACTGTAAGTTTAAATATTTCATAACATTACAAAACAAAAAGTTCTTTTGATGAATAAGTTAATTAATGAAACTGCAAATTATAAAATAATAATTTAAGGTCAATTTCTCGTCACATGAAAGTCATGAAAAGTTTTTTTTCTCCTTTCATTTTAGTATATGTGGGTGATGCCGTCATCAAGCGCTAGATGTGCGCAATTACCAAGAGCAGCTGATAAAGTGCCATTTTACGCAGCATTAAAGAAATTTAGAGATTATTTGAATGGCTTGGTGCCAGAATATGACGAGAGCGATTATGTTTTCAATGATCCAAAATATAGTCAAATAAGTACGGAAGCTGAGTTGAAAGAAGAAGCAGTGGCCGCGGCAGCAGCGATTGCATTTACGTCTTTAGAAGGTAGTGATGTTGTTCTAGCTGATCCAAATAAGAAGAAACGTGGACGACCGAAAAAAGTTCGTGGCGAAAATGGTGAAGAAATATCCGCGGCGCCAAAGCAAAGAAAAAATAATCACGACGCTTCAAATACTGACGGTAATGATGATGATTCTTCGAAAAAGAAACGCGGACGTCCAAAGAAAACTAAAGATGGAACAACAACACCATCAACGCCAGCACAACCCAAAAAGAGGAATTCAAAACAATCAGCAGCTCGTAAAGAGCAAATGAGTGAGAATAATTCACCGCAACAACTGACGCCGCCGTCTTCTGTACCATCACAAGTCAGTGGTGACATGAGTGCCATGCAACATCATCAAATACAACAGCATGTTGGCCTTATGAACAGCAATAACGTCAATCGATCATTTTTACCACCAATGGAATCTCCTTCAGCTGCTTCAAATGCTTACAACAACAACGGTGCTATAAATCAAAATCATATGCAACAACATAATCGTCAGCAATCACAAAATGCTTCACCAGTTAATCTTTGTTTTCCTCAAACATCTGCAAACATTGATCAAGTTGTTGCGCAACCAGAAATTTCACCACATCATCAGCAAACATATCAACAAAGACAAACACCCGTAGCACAACAACAACAAATGTATGGTGTGAATGGAACATCGCCAGATGTTTCTGTCAATATGAATGCTGAACAAATGACATCACCTTTATCAGCATCACCGGCATTAGTGCCAACTGAATTTGAACCACCACAATCTGTTGTCAATGGACGAACTTCAAATGAACTTCATCCGTACTCTCAATTACATTCAACGAATTCACTAGAACAGCAACAGCAGTTACTTCAAACACACTCGCCAGTATCGCAAACGCAATCGCCGATTGGTATGACGAGTGTTTATGCTCAACAACAGCAGCAACAGCAGCAGCAAATTATGATATCAAATATAAGCAATGGATCACCTTATTCACCTTATTCATCTCGTCCACAACAACAGCAACAAATTCATCTTCAACAGCAACAACAACAACCAAAGCTTCAGCAGCAACAACAACCAAGTTATCATCAACAGCAACAACAATCACAATCGTCACATCATCACAATGTTCCTAACAATAACAAACAAATGTCGTCACAACAATTAAATGGAACTGCTGTTGTTGATCCATATAAAGATGTAGCAACGAAAAGTTTATCAGGCTTGGAGTCGCTTGTTGATCAAATTCCAAGTTTAAGTGAACAAGAAGCTGGTCTTGGATCGTTGGCACACACTGTCACAGCTCATAATGGTAATTCATCTGAAATAGTTTTAAATAATTGTTCAAGTTTAATGGAAATAGTTTATAATTTTACATTAGATCAACCGTCCAATGAAACATATACTAACAACATCTTTTCCGGTTATTCTTCATCAGGAACACCAAATCTTGTCTCAACATCACCCTCAGTTCCATCATCGTCAACATCTCTCTTGCCATCACTCGCTCCACCTCACCATCATTCACATTACACTTACACATCACATGCAGCTGCAGCTGCTGCATCACAGTCACCTTACACAGCAAATCCATTTTCTGTTAGTAGTTTAACGTCATCGTCATATCCATCTGCAGCTGCGGCTGCAATGAACAGTTACCATCAGAATTTAATGAGTGGCTCTCATTTGGCGTCGCCTTTTATGGAGTCACCACACATGCCTGTACCAGTCTCACCATTATATCATTCGTATCAACAACAAGGATACCCTGGCTATGGTCCACCCCACCCATCTGCCCTTCATATGTCAAACTATCCTTATTATACTAATACTGGCTACTCGCAAACACCCGGAACTAGTTATCATCATTCAATGTTTGATCGAATTAATTTTTGATAAGAAAACTTTTTTTAATCATATTCGGTAGAAGAAAACAAAACTTTGAAAGTGAATGTGACTTTGATTTGATGCAGTTTTTCATCAACTTTTGAGGAAATTTATGTAAAATCTGACTTTTGAGTTTAATTTTAATGTCTGTGAATTCGCAGTGCTTGTATAACTTGTAGAGCTCAATTTGAAAAGTCTAAAATGTCGAAATTTTTATCTTCTGAAATCACGAATCACAAAGTTGAGAATTACTGTTTTAGAAAGTTCATTCACTGACAAAAACATGGAAACCAAACTTAAACCAATGTAACATGGCAATATATAATTGACGACTAACATATGAGTGAGTAATGTTAGGAAACTTAGAAAATTTCTCAACAATGATACTTTCTTACTTAAATGTGTCCGATAGTCTTTCATTTTTTAATCGCGTTATAAGAAATAAAATATTTTTGGTCATCGAAGCAATAATATTAATATTACTTAGAAAAAAAAAAGAAAGCAAAGAAAAGAATAAGAAAAGATAAAACTATTACTTACATATATGCCATCTTCGAATGACGTAATGAATGAAATCAATACAGGGTACTTGTCATTAATAAAACAAAAGAATTTTTTTAGAGAAACATTTTTGTGAATAATAATCTCTATGGTTTTGATTTTATATATTAAAAAGAACGATAAATAAAAATAAAAACTTAAATATATTATATACTTAAGTTAAGGGAAAATTAAAAGTCTTCTGTGAGAGTGATAAAAAAATAAAAATTTTAATGAATCTAGTGGAAAAGAACTTTAAATGATTTCTTTAAAGTAAGTTCTTTAAAAGTTTCTCTCTCTTTCTGCTTTTAAAAACAGAATTAATCTGACTTTATCAAACTTAATCGACTTAGTGAATAAATAATCCACATATACGTAATAAAACACAGGTTGCATTGAAAGAAATGAAAAAGCCACTTAAAAAGTTGTATAAAGAATAATCTTAATAGAGAATCTTAACTTCTATCTGTAAATAAAAAAATTACGAAAGAACAATTTGAAGTTCTTCATCTTTGTAAATATGAAGCGTGTAAAATTTGATTGCAAAATTATTTTTATAAGCTGCTAAGCGAAAATAATACGACATTGATTTGTGTAAATTTAAACTCGCAATTCAGTTTTCTACTTTCAAATAATTTTTCTGAAAATTTGGAAAACACTCGAATGAAAAGAATTTTTTTTTTGTGAACGAACTTATTGTGCAAGTTGGTTTTTATGTACACAGCCTTTAAGTTGATAAGTTAGCATCAAATTGAACAAACTGTTTTTGTTATTTAATTATTTCTCAACGAATTTAAAAAACTAATAATCTAATTAAGTTGATCCAGCTTTTCTCTAATGGTTGTCAAATCAAAGAGGATCGTAGAAATAGAAATAAAATAAATCAGCAATTAACTCAAAGGCAGTTCCTATATAAAAAAAAAAATAAAACTCGGAAAAATGTTCCTTAAACATTTTCTTAACAACCGAATTGATAAATTTGCAATAAATGAATCTGAAAATAAAACTTTCTAACATATCTAAAATCAAATAATTTCGGTTTTTAACGTGAAAAATACTCAAAATTTTCAATTAACTCTGAGTCAGATTACCTACCTAATTGGTTTTGTTTTCATTATTATTGTAATAAAAGACAATAATGTTATTAATCTATTATAAGTTTCTCAATTGTGAAACTTTTTGTGACACAAATTATTAGTCAGAATTATCTTCAAAACAACGACTTAATTTTTTATGAGTTTTAATCAAACTTAACGCCTACGAATTGATTTTTATGTTTTTAAATGTGTACAAACGGCCATAACTTTACTATCGATCAACTAAATCTTAAGGATATTTTTTTCTAATCTCAAAATATGATGAAAATTTTATTGCTAAATCACATAAGTTAAAAGCGGTAGGAATATCATTAATCATACAACAATAAGATATAAAAAGTGAAAAGCAGAAAAAAAACTTAATACAATCATCATAATGCGATGTATGAAAATGACTTAACGGAAAATAAATGTTTTCAATGAATTAAAAATGTATGTTTTTACTGATCTTTTTATCAAAGGAAAATAGAAAATTACTCATGTCACTGAAGAGAGAAGTCTTCAAGGTTTTGACGTGGAAGCCGTTAAAATGTTCAATCACGTTTTAAGTTCAAATTTTCCCGCCACCAAAACAACTTTGAGAAAACGTTGTGTAGAACTCCAGCAAGACTACTTGGATCTTAATATTTAGAAAAGTAAACTAAACATTATTCATCGAAAAAAAATACAAGCAACACGTTAAAAAGCCGGAAAATATCGTAAATTATGGCGGACGCAGCAGCTCGCCAGCTTCAATATGAATATAAAGCTGTAAGTAATGAATTAAACATAATTTTTTCATTTTTCTTTTATTTTTAACCTAAACGATTCTATTCGTTGTTTTGTTTACGTTTTTTTTTGTTTAGAATTCCAATTTGGTTTTGCAAGCTGATATTCGACTTATTGATAAGCCACGAAGAGATGAAGCGACCGGTGAAGTCCTTTCATTAGTCGGAAAACTCGAAGGTACAAAAATGGGCGATCGTTCACTTCGCTCTAAACCAGAAAAGGCCGAAGAGAGAAAAATCAAGTGAGGAAAGAATTTTTGCAATTAAAATTGTTTAATTCACAATTTGTTCTTTTATTTTAGACGTCAAAAACGTGACGAGGCTCAATATGACTTTAACAGCATGCGAGGAGCAACATTATTATCAGAAGGAATTGATGAGATGGTTGGAATTGTTTATCGTCCAAAAACTCAAGACACACGACAAACATACGAAGTCCTTTTGAGTTTTATACAAGAAGCTTTGGGTGATCAACCAAGAGACATTTTGTGCGGTGCTGCAGATGAAATTCTCGCAGTCCTTAAAAATGATAAGTTAAAAGACAGAGATCGGAAACGAGAGATTGATGGATTGCTTGGAGCAGTAACTGATGAACGATTTGCATTGCTAGTGAATCTCGGAAAGAAAATTACTGACTTCGGAAGTGAAAGCTTATCTCTTGGTATCGGCAATGAAGAACAAATTGATGAAACGTATGGAATTAATGTTCAATTTGAAGAATCAGAAGATGAGAGTGTTGAAGATGATTATGGAGAAGTGAGAGATGAAGGTGATCAAGATGAAGGCGAAGAAGCCAGAATTGATGGAATTATTCATTCAGATGCAAAGTTAGGTGGATCAGAGGATAAGAAGGAGAAAGCTTTACATCCATTGGATATCGACGCTTATTGGCTTCAACGTCGTTTGAGAGATTACTTTCAAGATCCTTTAATTTCTCAAGCTAAAGCTGATGAAGTGTTAAGCATTTTGAAAGATTCCACTGACGATCGTGATTGTGAAAATCAAATGGTGTTACTTTTAGGCTACGATTGCTTTGACTTCATCAAAATTCTGAAGAAAAATCGACAAATGATTTTGTATTGCACACTCTTGGCAAAGTCACAATCAGAAGCTGAACGTCAAGAGATTCGTGAACAAATGAAGAATGAGTCGTCGCTTTTGAAGATTCTCAGACAACTTGAGACAGGCAAGGGTGAAGATAATGATGACAACGATGAGAAAAGTAAAGTTAAGAAGAGAAAATTGAATGACGACGATGACGATGATGACGAGTACGATGATGGAAGTAAAATTGAAGGCTCAAGAAAAGTTCTTGAACTTGAAGATCTCACATTTAAACAAGGCTCACATTTAATGGCAAATAAGAAATGTCAACTTCCCGATGGTTCATTCCGTAAGCAGCGTAAAGGATACGAAGAAGTTCATGTCCCAGCATTGAAACCAAAACCATTTGACGACGAGGAAAAGCTCATTCCGATTGAAAAGCTTCCAAAATATGTTCAGCCAGTCTTTCAAGGCTTCAAAACTTTAAATCGAATTCAAAGTCGTTTATGGAAAGCTGCATTGGAGTCAGATGAAAACATGTTGTTGTGCGCTCCAACTGGCGCTGGTAAGACAAACGTCGCTTTGCTTGCAATGATGCGTGAAATCGGTAAACACATCAATGACGATGGGACAATAAATGCCGATGAATTTAAAATTATTTACATCGCACCGATGCGTTCGCTTGTTCAGGAAATGGTTGGAAATTTCGGTAAACGTTTAGCTTCATACAACATAACAGTTTCGGAGTTGACTGGTGATCATCAATTGAGTCGTGAACAAATTGCTGCTACACAAATTATTGTTTGCACACCTGAAAAGTGGGACATCATCACAAGAAAAGGCGGCGAGAAAACTTACACACAACTCGTTCGTTTGGTGATTATTGATGAGATTCATTTGCTTCATGATGAACGTGGACCGATTCTTGAAAGTATCGTCGCAAGAACAATTCGTAATATTGAAACGACACAAGAAGACGTTCGACTTGTTGGCTTATCAGCTACTTTACCAAACTATCAAGATGTCGCAACATTTCTCCGAGTGAAACAAGACAAAGGACTTTTCTATTTCGATAACAGTTTCCGTCCAGTTGCACTTCAACAACAATACATTGGAGTGACTGAAAAGAAAGCTGTCAAACGTTTTCAAATCATGTCAATGATTGTTTACGAAAAGATAATGGAAAAAGCTGGACGACATCAAGTTTTGGTGTTTGTTCACTCGAGAAAGGAAACTGGAAAGACTGCGAGAGCGATCAGAGATATTTGTCTTGAAAAAGATACTTTGGGAAGCTTTTTACATGAAGGCTCTGCAAGTATGGAAGTTTTACGTCAAGAAGCTGAACAAGTCAAGAATTCTGAACTGAAAGATCTTCTTCCTTACGGATTTGCAATCCATCATGCTGGAATGAATCGAATTGACAGAACACTCGTTGAAGATTTGTTTGCTGACAAACATATTCAAGTTCTTGTTTCAACAGCAACATTAGCTTGGGGTGTTAACTTGCCAGCTCACACTGTCATCATTAAAGGTACGCAAGTTTATAATCCTGAAAAAGGACGCTGGACAGAACTCGGCGCTCTTGACGTTCTTCAAATGTTGGGACGTGCTGGAAGGTAAGAAAACTTTTTTATTTCTTAATTTAAATTCTTAAATCTTTTTATTCTTTAACAGACCACAATTTGACACGAAAGGCGAAGGAATTTTAATCACAAATCATGGTGAACTTCAATATTATCTTTCACTTTTAAATCAACAACTTCCAATTGAATCACAAATGATATCAAAACTTCCCGACATGCTCAACGCTGAAATTGTTCTTGGAACTGTTCAGAATGTGAAAGATGCTGTGACATGGCTTGGTTACACTTATTTATACATTCGAATGCATCGTCAACCGACACTTTATGGCATTTCATTTGATAAGAAGCGTGATGATCCGTTGTTGGAAGCTTTTCGTGCTGATTTGATTCATACAGCGGCAGTTCATTTGGATCGAAGTGGACTCTTGAAATATGACAGAAAATCGGGTCATTTCCAAGTCACAGAACTTGGACGAATTGCTTCCCATTATTATTGTACATTTGAGACAATGCAGGTGTACAATCAATTGCTGAAGCCAACATTAACAGAAATTGAACTTTTCCGCGTGTTTTCATTGAGTGGTGAATTTAAAAACATTACAGTTCGAGAAGAAGAGAAATTGGAATTGCAGAAGTTGATGGAACGAGTTCCGATTCCGATCAAGGAAAGCATGGAAGAACCAAGCGCTAAAGTAAATGTTCTCCTTCAAGCTTACATTTCACAATTGAAATTGGATGGATTTGCTTTAATTTCTGACATGGTTTACGTGACACAATCTGCTGCTCGTTTACTTCGTGCTATTTTTGAAATTGTTTTGCATCGTGGATGGGCACAACTTGCTGATAAATGTCTTGTGCTTTGTAAGATGATTGATCGTCGAATGTGGCAATCAATGTCACCATTGAGACAGTTCCGCAAAATGCCAGAAGAGATTGTAAAGAAAATTGAAAAGAAAAACTTTCCTTGGGAACGTTTGTATGATTTGGAGCCAAATGAAATTGGCGAATTGATTCGTGTACCGAAACTTGGAAAAACAATTCATAAATTTATCCATCAGTTCCCTAAATTGGAATTGTCGACGCATATTCAACCGATAACACGATCAACATTGCGAGTTGAGTTGACAATTACGCCAGATTTCATTTGGGATGAGAAGATTCATGGACAATCGGAAGCGTTTTGGATTCTTGTCGAAGATGTCGACTCGGAAGTGATTCTTCATCATGAATATTTCTTATTGAAAGCAAAATATGCAACAGATGAACATCTTGTGAAGTTCTTTGTTCCTGTTTTTGAGCCATTGCCACCACAATATTTCCTTCGTGTTGTATCTGATCGATGGATTGCATCAGAGACTCAACTTCCAGTTAGTTTCCGTCATTTGATTCTACCAGAAAAGAATATTCCACCAACAGAATTACTCGATCTTCAACCACTTCCCATCACAGCTTTGAGAAATCCAAAGTTTGAATCACTTTACAAATTTCCACAATTTAATCCAATTCAAACTCAAATCTTCAATGCTGTTTACAATAGTGAAGACAATGTTTTTATTGGAGCACCGACAGCATCTGGAAAGACGACAATTGCTGAGTTTGCCATTCTTCGTTTGTTTCAACATAATTCTGAAGGTCGTTGCGTTTATTTAGTGTCAAATGAAGCGATCGCTGATTTGATGTTCATTGAATGGCACAATAAATTTGGACAAATGTTGGGCTTGCGTGTTGTGAAGTTAACTGGTGAAACTGGAACTGATTTGAAGCTTTTAGCAAAAGGACAAATCATTGTAACGACAGCTGACAAATGGGATGTGTTATCACGTCGTTGGAAACAAAGGAAAAATGTTCAAAACGTGAATTTGTTCATTGTTGATGAACTTCATTTGATTGGCGGTGAAGATGGACCAGTTTTAGAAGTCGTCTGTTCCCGCATGCGTTACATCAGTTCACAAATTGAGAAGCAAATAAGAATCGTTGCAATGTCAGCTTCATTAATGGATGCAAAAGATGTCGCTCAATGGCTTGGATGTGCTGCAAATGCAACATTCAACTTTCATCCAAGTGTACGTCCAATCCCATTGGAACTTCATGTGCAAGGCTTCAATATTACTCACAATGCAACGAGAATTGCAGCAATGTCAAAGCCGGTTTACAATGCAATTGTCAAGCATAGTCCTCATAAACCGGTTATCGTGTTTGTGACCTCACGGAAATTAGCACATTTAACAGCAATTGACATTGTAACTTATTGCGCTGCTGAAGGTCAACCTTCGCGCTTTTTCCATGCTGAAGAAGACGACATTAAGCCATTCTTAGATCGAATGACTGATAAAACATTAAAAGAAACTCTTTCACAAGGTGTGGCATTTATTCACGAAGGTTTAACACAATCAGATCATCGTTTAGTTGAACAACTTTTCGATTCGGGAGCGATTCAAATTGCTGTTGTCACAAGAGATTTATGTTGGGGTTTGAATATTTCTGCTTATCTTGTTGTCATCATGGATACGCAATTCTATAATGGCAAGACGCATTCTTATGACGATTATCCAATAACAGATGTCATTCAAATGATTGGACGTGCGAATCGTCCACTTGATGACAACGATGCAAAATGTGTGCTGATGTGTCAGAATTCAAAGAAAGATTTCTTCAAAAAATTCTTGAATGAACCGTTGCCAGTTGAGAGTCATTTGGATCATCGTCTTCATGATCATTTCAATGCAGAAATCGTCACAAAGACAATTGAAAACAAACAAGATGCAGTCGATTACTTAACATGGACTTTTGTTTATCGTCGTCTTACACAAAATCCAAATTATTATAATTTGCAAGGCGTTTCACATCGGTGAGTGTTTCATTTTCATGTTTGTTTCATCTTCTGATTGGTTGAGATTTAATCCAAGATCGAGATTTATGTTGTGATTTTGAAATTTCGTCTTTGCCAAAATGCGTCACATGTGAAATAACGGGGATGTAGCTCAGATGGTAGAGCGCTCGCTTAGCATGTGAGAGGTACCGGGATCGATACCCGGCATCTCCAAGAAACTTTTTTATTTATTTTTAATTAAAAACTTTCTCTTTGTTTTATTTTTTAGTCACTTGTCGGATCACTTATCGGAACTTGTTGAAACAACATTAAGTGACTTGGAGCAATCAAAATGTATTAGCGTTGAGGATGACATGGATACGCTTGCTTTAAATTTGGGAATGATTGCTGCATATTACTACATCAATTATACGACAATTGAATTGTTTAGTTTGTCATTGAACAACAAAACAAAGATTCGTGGCTTGCTCGAAATCATTTCATCTGCAACTGAGTATGAAGATGTTGTCGTTCGTCATCGTGAAGATAATGTTTTGAAAGCTTTGGCTTCAAGGCTTCCAAACAAATTGACTGGTCCAAATGGATCGTCACCGAAGGACAACGATCCACATATTAAGACTAATCTTCTTCTTCAAGCTCATTTATCACGTATTCAGTTAAGTGCTGAACTTCAAAGTGACACTGAAATTATTCTTGGCAAAGCTATACGTTTGATTCAAGCTTGTGTTGATGTCTTGTCATCGAATGGTTGGCTTTCACCTGCTGTTGCTGCTATGGAACTGGCGCAAATGGTCACACAAGCAATGTGGAGTAAAGATTCATATCTGAAGCAACTTCCACATTTCAGTAGCGAGATAATCAAACGATGTCAAGAGAAGAACATTGAATCTGTCTTCGACATCATGGAACTTGAAGATGAAGATCGAACAACTCTATTGCAATTGAACGATCAGCAAATGGCTGATGTTGCAAGATTCTGTAATCGTTATCCGAACATTGAAATGAATTTTGATGTGTTGGATCAAGATAAGATCCACTCTGGATCAAGTGTTAATGTCGTAGTTCAATTAGAGCGTGAGGATGAAGTTACTGGGCCCGTCATTGCACCACTCTTCCCTCAAAAACGCGAAGAAGGCTGGTGGGTGGTCATCGGTGATCCCAAGACGAATTCATTGCTGTCCATCAAACGTTTGACACTCCAACAAAAAGCGAAAGTTAAACTTGATTTTGTAGCGCCAAGTCCTGGAACATACGAGTACACTTTGTACTTTATGAGTGATTGTTTCATGGGATGTGATCAAGAATATAAATTTAACATCAATGTTGGCGATTATCAGTCGGAAGAAGAATCAGCTAGTGACTCAGATTAATTTTATTAGCATCTTAAGATTTTCTTTTGTCTCAATTTTTGTCTGAAGTAAAATTTCAATAAATAAATTAATTAAAATAAATTCATGCGTTTTCTTATTAATTTTAATTAAAATAAAAAAGAAATAAAATGAAAAAATAAGTAAAAAAGTTTCTTGGAGATGCCGGGTATCGATCCCGGTACCTCTCACATGCTAAGCGAGCGCTCTACCATCTGAGCTACATCCCCTTTCAAGTCGTTATTTCTTCTTGACAAATAACATAATTAAACCACATGCAGATATTTCTCATTTCTTTAATATGCAAGATTTATTGAAACTCGTTATACGATACTAGTTATAGAATCATAATCTTGTTCCGTTGAATCTTTTAAATAAACTTCAAGAATAAATTATAAAACATCATAAACATGTTTAGCCCACATGCAACATATTTTATTAGAATAAAACTTCAATCGTTAATATTAATTACAGTTTTTTATTTATGGACGTGAATTATGTAAAATTCAAAAGAGAGAGAGGAAATATTAATGACTTGAGTGGTTAGATCGGTTTTCATTTCACGCCTTCGCTTACATTAAACAACATTCATGCTGCAAGCATCTAGTTGCATTAAATTTTATTTCATGTTTTAGTTTCAACCGGTTGCAGCAGTGAAAGTGTTTTCCATCGGTTTTTTGGTCCATTCAGTGTTCTTTTTCTTCTCAAAATCATTGAGCGAGAGAGAATGAATAAATTGTTTTGTCGGTTCACGTCCTTTTCCTTCTTCTTTTTCAATAATTTCTCTCAGAAACCGTCATAGTGAATTTAGTTTGGAATTTATTGTGCTGTCTGTTCAGTGACATCGTTTCTAACTTTCTAAATTTTAATCGAAAGTTTTATTTGTAGTTTAATATGGTTTAAGTTTATTTTTCTGTAAAAGATATTTCTATGTAGAATAGTTTGAGGGACGAAAATATTGTGTTTATTATTGTTTAAAAGCAAAAAATTGTGTTAACTTTATAGACAACGAGGTTTCATTTTGCATGCATTGAAACTAGTGTGTTGCAGCCATATTAGAATTAACATAAATCAATATAAAGTTTATCCAGTGAGTATTGAAACATTTTAATTCATAGCTTAAAGTAGGTAGTATTGAATCATTAATTCACAATCATCGGAAATAAATTCTTGTCCCTGTGAAAAATAAAATCAAAGACTTAGTTTCTAAGATTACTGAACAAAACTAGTTTGAAAAGGTTTCCGTCGTTCACGGGTCGATTGAATTTTATTATTCAACAGTTGATAAGGAAGTCTGTCAACGTCTCTATAAATACTGCGCTAATCAATATGAGTTTCTTTTCTCTTCATAATAAGAATTTCGAGTGTTCTAATTTACTTAACCTTGTCGAAAGTCTAAATGACGTAGCAGTTCCATTTCAGACATTCCCGTTGAGACGAAAAATGTACTGCAACGTTGCTTGCACACACAAAGATTCTTTCTTGATTTATTTTCAACGGAAAAAAAACAAACACAAACATATGATCATAGACTTANTCGTATAACGAGTTTCAATAAATCTTGCATATTAAAGAAATGAGAAATATCTGCATGTGGTTTAATTATGTTATTTGTCAAGAAGAAATAACGACTTGAAAGGGGATGTAGCTCAGATGGTAGAGCGCTCGCTTAGCATGTGAGAGGTACCGGGATCGATACCCGGCATCTCCAAGAAACTTTTTTATTTATTTTTAATTAAAAACTTTCTCTTTGTTTTATTTTTAGTCACTTGTCGGATCACTTATCGGAACTTGTTGAAACAACATTAAGTGACTTAGAGCAATCGAAATGTATTAGCGTTGAGGATGACATGGATACGCTTGCTTTAAATTTGGGAATGATTGCTGCATATTACTACATCAATTATACGACAATTGAATTGTTTAGTTTGTCATTGAACAACAAAACAAAGATTCGTGGCTTGCTCGAAATCATTTCATCTGCAACTGAGTATGAAGATGTTGTCGTTCGTCATCGTGAAGATAATGTTTTGAAAGCTTTGGCTTCAAGGCTTCCAAACAAATTGACTGGTCCAAATGGATCGTCACCGAAGTACAACGATCCACATATTAAGACTAATCTTCTTCTTCAAGCTCATTTATCACGTATTCAGTTAAGTGCTGAACTTCAAAGTGACACTGAAATTATTCTTGGCAAAGCTATACGTTTGATTCAAGCTTGTGTTGATGTCTTGTCATCGAATGGTTGGCTTTCACCTGCTGTTGCTGCTATGGAACTGGCGCAAATGGTCACACAAGCAATGTGGAGTAAAGATTCATATCTGAAGCAACTTCCACATTTCAGTAGCGAGATAATCAAACGATGTCAAGAGAAGAACATTGAATCTGTCTTCGACATCATGGAACTTGAAGATGAAGATCGAACAACTCTATTGCAATTGAACGATCAGCAAATGGCTGATGTTGCAAGATTCTGTAATCGTTATCCGAACATTGAAATGAATTTTGATGTGTTGGATCAAGATAAGATCCACTCTGGATCAAGTGTCAATGTCGTAGTTCAATTAGAGCGTGAAGATGAAGTTACTGGGCCCGTCATTGCACCACTTTTCCCTCAAAAACGCGAAGAAGGCTGGTGGGTGGTCATCGGTGATCCCAAGACGAATTCATTGCTGTCCATCAAACGTTTGACTCTCCAACAAAAAGCGAAAGTTAAACTTGATTTTGTAGCGCCAAGTCCTGGAACATACGAGTACACTTTGTACTTTATGAGTGATTGTTTCATGGGATGTGATCAAGAATATAAATTTAACATCAATGTTGGCGATTATCAGTCGGAAGAAGAATCAGCTAGTGACTCAGATTAATTTTATTAGCATCTTAAGATTTTCTTTTGTCTCAATTTTTGTCTGAAGTAAAATTTCAATAAATAAATTAATTAAAATAAATTCATGCGTTTTCTTATTAATTTTAATTAAAATAAAAAAGAAATAAAATGAAAAAATAAGTAAAAAAGTTTCTTGGAGATGCCGGGTATCGATCCCGGTACCTCTCACATGCTAAGCGAGCGCTCTACCATCTGAGCTACATCCCCGTTATTTCACATGTGACGCATTTTGGCAAAGACGAAATTTAAAAATCACAACATAAATCTCGATCTTGGATTAAATCTCAACCAATCAGAAGATGAAACAAATATGANATCCTCACGCTCTAATTGAACTACGACATTAACACTTGATCCAGAGTGGATCTTATCTTGATCCAACACATCAAAATTCATTTCAATGTTCGGATAACGATTACAGAATCTTGCAACATCAGCCATTTGCTGATCGTTCAATTGCAATAGAGTTGTTCGATCTTCATCTTCAAGTTCCATGATGTCGAAGACAGATTCAATGTTCTTCTCTTGACATCGTTTGATTATCTCGCTACTGAAATGTGGAAGTTGCTTCAGATATGAATCTTTACTCCACATTGCTTGTGTGACCATTTGCGCCAGTTCCATAGCAGCAACAGCAGGTGAAAGCCAACCATTCGATGACAAGACATCAACACAAGCTTGAATCAAACGTATAGCTTTGCCAAGAATAATTTCAGTGTCACTTTGAAGTTCAGCACTTAACTGAATACGTGATAAATGAGCTTGAAGAAGAAGATTAGTCTTAATATGTGGATCGTTGTACTTCGGTGACGATCCATTTGGACCAGTCAATTTGTTTGGAAGCCTTGAAGCCAAAGCTTTCAAAACATTATCTTCACGATGACGAACGACAACATCTTCATACTCAGTTGCAGATGAAATGATTTCGAGCAAGCCACGAATCTTTGTTTTGTTGTTCAATGACAAACTAAACAATTCAATTGTCGTATAATTGATGTAGTAATATGCAGCAATCATTCCCAAATTTAAAGCAAGCGTATCCATGTCATCCTCAACGCTAATACATTTCGATTGCTCTAAGTCACTTAATGTTGTTTCAACAAGTTCCGATAAGTGATCCGACAAGTGACTAAAAATAAAACAAAGAGAAAGTTTTTAATTAAAAATAAATAAAAAAGTTTCTTGGAGATGCCGGGTATCGATCCCGGTACCTCTCACATGCTAAGCGAGCGCTCTACCATCTGAGCTACATCCCCTTTCAAGTCGTTATTTCTTCTTGACAAATAACATAATTAAACCACATGCAGATATTTCTCATTTCTTTAATATGCAAGATTTATTGAAACTCGTTATACGATACTAGTTATAGAATCATAATCTTGTTCCGTTGAATCTTTTAAATAAACTTCAAGAATAAATTATAAAACATCATAAACATGTTTAGCCCACATGCAACATATTTTATTAGAATAAAACTTCAATCGTTAATATTAATTACAGTTTTTTATTTATGGACGTGAATTATGTAAAATTCAAAAGAGAGAGAGGAAATATTAATGACTTGAGTGGTTAGATCGGTTTTCATTTCACGCCTTCGCTTACATTAAACAACATAAAACCAGAAATTGTCGAAGGTATTTCAATCTCTTTCTATCATGCTGCAAGCATCTAGTTGCATTAGATTTTATTTCATGTTTTAGTTTCAACCGGTTGCAGCAGTGAAAGTGTTTTCCATCGGTTTTTTGGTCCATTCAGTGTTCTTTTTCTTCTCAAAATCATTGAGCGAGAGAGAATGAATAAATTGTTTTGTCGGTTCACGTCCTTTTCCTTCTTCTTTTTCAATAATTTCTCTCAGAAACCGTCATAGTGAATTTAGTTTGGAATTTATTGTGCTGTCTGTTCAGTGACATCGTTTCTAACTTTCTAAATTTTAATCGAAAGTTTTATTTGTAGTTTAATATGGTTTAAGTTTATTTTTCTGTAAAAGATATTTCTATGTAGAATAGTTTGAGGGACGAAGATATTGTGTTTATTATTGTTTAAAATCAAAAAATTGTGTTAACTTTATAGACAACGAGGTTTCATTTTGCATGCATTGAAACTAGTGTGTTGCAGCCATATTAGAATTAACATAAATCAATATAAAGTTTATCCAGTGAGTATTGAAACATTTTAATTCATAGCTTAAAGTAGGTAGTATTGAATCATTAATTCACAATCATCGGAAATAAATTCTTGTCCCTGTGAAAAATAAAATCAAAGACTTAGTTTCTAAGATTACTGAACAAAACTAGTTTGAAAAGGTTTCCGTCGTTCACGGGTCGATTGAATTTTATTATTCAACAGTTGATAAGGAAGTCTGTCAACGTCTCTATAAATACTGCGCTAATCAATATGAGTTTCTTTTCTCTTCATAATAAGAATTTCGAGTGTTCTAATTTACTTAACCTTGTCGAAAGTCTAAATGACGTAGCAGTTCCATTTCAGACATTCCCGTTGAGACGAAAAATGTACTGCAACGTTGCTTGCACACACAAAGATTCTTTCTTGATTTATTTTCAACGGAAAAAAAACAAACACAAACATATGATCATAGACTTAATAATAATCAAATGTTATGTAGTAAAAAAGGTTGTCTAGAATGTCGTAAGGAAACCTAAGCTAATGGACCTGCATTCCAACGCAGCCCTCATTTTTAAATGCTTTGTTAGAATGTGAGCACAAAGAAGATTTATTTAATGTCATTGTCGAGACATCGACCAACGAAATCGTCGATTATGGAAACACGCGATACGATAAGTTAACGGTGATTATGATGATTATAACGACTGTAAATGAGACGATACATTTGAATGTCATATTTCATTAAATACCTATATAATAAATGATATAAAATAACTTCACACTAAATATAGTGACGAAAATTGTTTCGTGACTTATTTGATTATTTATTCTTCTTCTTTTACCTATGGCCTTGTTTTATCAGCTGCTAAGCTCCTTGAAATATATTTTAACATGTGGAAATAACAAGAAAAATAAGAAGGAAGAACGGCACGTGTTGGCAGTAAAAACAACTTTTCTCTTTCTCATTTTCCAAAAGTTCTCTCTCAGAATTTTCCAGAAGTTTTCTCGAATTTTCTCGAATTTTCTTTTCATTTCTTTGCGTCGAAAACTTGCACAACATCTTTTCTTATTAAATTTCCACGGTTTTTAATTAAATTATGTAAGAAAGAGGTAAATTTAGAACTGTGCTGAAATTAGAATTCAAAGTATTTGAAACGTGTGCATCAACAAAATAAGTATGATGGGCTTGCTGCCACCGAATCATCTGTTTGGATCAAAGCGATAAAAATAAAAAAAGGAAAACTGAATTTAATTGCAAAGTGCATTCATCGAGTTTCCTGAATCTTAAAAAAAGCTTTAATTATAACAACAACAATGTTGATTTACTCAAAGGTAAAATATAGAAAAAGTTGACACGTAGAAATATTTTATTTATTTAAGAGTTGGCAGAAATTACTGATTGACACGAAAACAAAAAGTGTTTGATTATTGTGAAAGGTGTTAAATGATATTTTAGTCTCACTATGGAGTCGAATTTCACATTTACTATGAAATTCAATTCTCGTTACTACTCATTTGTTACAGTTTAGTGCATAGAATTTCATTTTATTTATGAGATTGTTACCATAGGTTGTGGATTAAACAATGTAGACTCGTAAACTATCGCGAAATAAATTTTAGACACGAAACTATTTCTATTTTCATTCATTCATTCGAAACGCTTTTCTATTTTAAGAACTTTTCTTGTAAAGTTCGATGAATGTTTCGCGAATTTGATTAAGATATCAATTTATTTAGAGAAAGCGATAAACTTTTGTTTTATCACCAAGATTTCCTTGAGTGATGTAATATTAAATTGTATATTTACAATCAAGGTGTCAAGTTGTTAACAAACGTAATTAGGACTTTGATAAGTACATGCGCAAATATAAAAATTTTTATCGGAAAAAGTGAAAAATTTCAAAAGTGTCAAAGTTTTATTTTGATATTTCACAGCATTTCAAGATTTCTGATAACCTTTTGTCCTGAATTGCTTTCACTGTGCACAAATGCACGACTTAATGTCGCCCCAATGTGAGCAGATGTCACGCATGCGACTTTGGAAGTACATTCAAAAAAATATTTTGATTTAAAAGTTGTAAAAGTGATTGAAACTGCTGGTCCCGGATCAGAAATTAATGGTCGAGAAAATAAACCAACAAAAATTGTTTATTGAAAATAATATGTAAATGGTTCGCTGATAATACGGCGCCTTGTCTATCTATCCCAACTGCTGTTTTACTCCTTTATGTATATTTTCATTCAGCTTTCAATCAATTGAATTGCTATTGATATCGCTTGTTACATTTTTATAAATGAATCGAAAAGATTGAAAACTTAAGCATAATCAGAATGAAAATTTCGCTTCTTTTCCAATCTCATTTTTAACATCAACAACTGGTTTCTTTTTAATAAGCTTGATTTTGTATACAAATTAATATTGTAATTTGAAAAAATAAAATTTCGACTTAAATCTCCAATCTGAGAACTTTATACTGATATAAATTAAAATATTTATTGCTTTCTTTAAATATTTCTACGAATTAATGTAAAAAACCCTCGGAAAGCTGATAAACTTGAACTTTTCACTCGTGATAACGTCTTTATTAACTTTTTATTTATTAATTTTTTTCCAAACAATCACAAATGAAAGAAAGGGGATGGATGGCTGACATTAAAAAGCAAACGAAAGTCGAACGATCCATAAAGCATCTTTCTAGTATTTGTGTACGAACTTCGATTCAAAGTAACGATATCACAATGAACTTGAAACTCTGGAGGCAAATACTTCGAGTCATCAATGTAAATAAGCACGCAAATTCTTAATTCTTGTGGCCTCGTTCAGTCACTCACCTAAATGTTGATAATAACGCGATTGACTTTGATCGTCATTTTATTTTTTCATTAACTTTGATAAAAACAGAAATTAATGTTTTGGTTTCGCTCAGTCTAATCTGGATTGGATGGTGTTAAAACAATAATTTTAGCTATCATGTCACATCGAACATAAACAGGGAACGAAGCGCGGTTGTGTGAAGCTTGTGGGGATCGTAAAAAGTTAAATGAACTCACTCGCCCCTCAGAGTCTCAACATTTAATGCATAGTCGGTATACATACAATATTTCGAAGGCGGCTTGAGCTAATTTAATCGCGTTTTTGCCTTATTTTTTTCTTTTCACTTCGCTATGACATCTTTACGATTATTATTGAAATTACGTTTGTATTGATACTTCTCGAGGAGGTCGAGTTATAAAGTCATAAAAATAATGAATCCTCCACTTCTTTTCCTTCTTCTTCATTCTTTTTCATATCTACAAGTACATTGAAAATTGTTGCGAAAGTTAATATGTACGATGTGAAGAATAAAAAAAATAAATTTGCATTCATTGTGGTAAGTTACCAAGACTGAATTTGGTGGGATTGGCTTTTGTAGCGAATCAAGATTTATAAGAATATAATCTCGAAATCCATTGGAAACTTGTAGAACTTCTTTTAATTCTTTGCTATTTATGTATAATCGATATTCACAGATTTGAATTCTGTAGCGCGAAAAAGAAAATAAATTTGTTTACTCTTTTGCATCGCATGATTATTTGATTCTAAAATGTTGAAACCTAAATTCAGATCACTCGACATTCGCGTGAGCAAGCAACGATATTAGAAAGATATTTAAATAATTTTAACGTAACTGCTCAACATCATTAGCATAAATTTTTATGTCGAATGTCTTGGCCTATCGTCCGACTAAAATTAAACCAATAAGGGGCGATTCAAAATTGTTTTGATTTCAATTTAGTGGCGAGAGGGAGCATTGCTCTTTGTCTCATTAATTATTTGTCATCTCTTCGAAAAATAGCTCTTGAAACATCAATTTAAACATTTGATTTGATTACTAGAGAAGACATGACCGTAAAATTGCCTTATCAATGTTTTTATTACTTTCTTCGTACGTCTCACACATACCATCGGATGTTGTTGCCAAAGTAAGAGATAATTTCACGAAATTTCACATCCGAAACAAAAAAACGAAAATATAAAAGTACAAAACAGTTCGTTTTGGGGCTCGCGATAAAACAATTTACGAAGTTTATGTCAGCGTAACTTTGAGTCAAGGTTGCACGAGTCTGAAACTCTGATCAATTGGCTAACGCTGTTGTGGACATTGATATAATTTTATTTCATTTCGTTTTCTTCATTTTATTGGGTTGAAATTATATTTTGATCATTAAATATTTTACGACAAGATTTTCTTTCATTTTTTTGGGCTGCCACAGATTACTTAAGTCAGACAACTTATGTAGTGAATACAAACTAAAAGATTTGTTTAAATAATTTATTGAAGAATGAGAAACCGAATAGTGTTTAATGTAAATTTGATGACTTGGCGGTTTTGACACTCATAATGTTTTAAGTAAGCCCTTAAGTGTTGCACCATTCATACTTCAACCTTCATGTACTTGTCATAACGACCACTCATAAATCCCTTCAATGTCTAACTATCAGAGTTGGGATTTGACTGACTGACTGACAGACATTGACTTGTCAGTCAGTCAGTCAAACGACTTGAGCGGAACATTTATATGAACGTTTCCCAACAAACGAATATTTTTGTTCGCGATTTTGACTGACTGACTGAATGACTGACAGACATTGACATGTCAGTCAGTCAGTCAATCGAGTTGAACGGAACATTTGCCCATCTCTGCTAACTATTCATTATGCAAATGTTCCCTTCAACTTTCTAAAGTCTTTCTTCTTCTCTTGCTTTTAAGTTTTCAATCTTTTCCGTGTTGCTCATAAAAAAAACTTTAACGAACAAAATTCATTATTCATGATTGTTAAAATTTACCTTTTTTATCTTCTTCTATAAAGGAGTTATGTTGAGAAGATCAACACTCAAAGCAAGCTCGTATCTCTTACAAAAATGAGCTCAACAACTCGCTTGTCTAATGAACATGTTAGTTGGTCTTAGTCGGTCTTACAAAAGGTTTTTCAAATTTAAATGAAAAAAAGCTAAGTTGATCATAAATTAATCGCTACGTTGAGAGCTTCCAGCTAATCACAAATAAGAAATAAAAAATATCGAACTGATAGGTTAGCTAGTTAATGGGTAATGTCAAAACATTAATACACATCTCAGTGAATGCCAGTTTCATGTTGTTTGTCCTTCTTTCCTTCTTTCTCAATGTTTATTAATTTAAAAATAGAAATTTTAAAGAAAAAGAAAACCAGAAACGAGGTAAAATTAAAACATTCATAAGTTAGTTTGTATGCTCAAAGCTAAACGAGAGAGAAACAAAAAAAAAATCAGGAATCATGTGAGTAAAGAATGATCAAGTATTTAAGATTTTTTTTCTGGCGCAATATGAAAATCTTACGAAATTCATGATCGTCGTACAATCATTCGCAACGCAATCCCCACAACAAAGTAGGAAGACGTACGAAGCGCCGCCATATGATCATCATTCATCATTACGAGCTCTGTCAAGACTAAATATGTAGATTGCGGCTCACTTCCAGATTGATTGCGTTTGAATCAACTTGGCTTTGGGTCATTGCGATTCCGTCTCATTACGGTAGCTTTCAGGAATGAGATTGGCGCACGAGGGAACTGAATGTTAAGTGCATCGACTGTGAACATTGAGGACGGTAGACCGGTTTAATGGCACTCACACTCTCTGATTATAGACTTTGGTCACAAGACGTGTTATCACGTTCTGAATCAATGCTCAAACACCAAAGCCGTCAAGCCCATCATTATTGAAAGAACCTCTATGTGCACCTTTACATAACTCATAATAAAACACAATCTTCAATGTCTTCTCTAGTGTTTAATTATTAAACATAAATAACTCTCATAGCCTTTTCCACAATGTTACGTCACCCTGTTACGCAAATAGTCTTCAAAAGTCTTGTCTAAACAATCTTAAACATGTGCGATGTGCTTTCTTTGAAATCAAATGAGAAATTTTTATAGTTATTCTTCTTACTGTTCTACAAAGTCGAGATGTTGATAATCTTTGAAGAAAGTTCAGAAAAAATCAAATCGCAGCGCCTCATTGCAGTTTTTGACAAGAAACATTAATTTTAGTTCATAAATATTTATATGAAATAAAACTGATCTTGATGCCGTTTTAACCCAGCATCTGGGCTTGTTGCTTGTTACAATGAAAAATGGACTTTCTATCACGAACGGTTGGCGTGTTGATGATCGTTTTGCTACTCGTTTTAAAGGCTCATCAAAAAAAAAACCTTTTGGGTGTGTTCAAAGGAATTACTTTGTATGACATTTAATTAGTGTTGCGACAGGCAAACATTTTATAAAACAAATTTTAAGCTTGAAAGTAGTAAGAACAATTAAAGGATGTTTTCATAAATCATTAGCAAGTAAACAGATTAGTTTTAAATAAATTAGTTGGCGATTGTCTACTTCATCTTGCATGAGAAAAACGTGAAGAAACGAATAAGAATCAAGGTGCCTTTTTCAAATGAAATGAAATGCCGGGGCCATGGACATTCAAAGGCTTTAAATAGAATAGTTTGGCATCTATGTACTTCCGAATGTCTTTTTTTCTAATGTGGGCGGCCTTTGATAATCGCCTTCAAACCCTACAACGCGGTGCTCTAATAAATTATTTATCTAGAGTTTATTTTACTGTCAGACTGACTGGTAGTGGTTGATATCATATGACAAATATTTTTGTCGTTATTCTAGGTATGCGATAAAAGTTGTTAATTTTTATTTTTAGCAATTAAGGGCTGTCACAATGTTTCGTGAACGAACAGCTTATTCACGCATTTACAGTTTGAATGATTCACAACATTTTTTAATAAGTATTAAAAGAAAGAAAAATAATAAACAGAAAGACTAAGAAAGAACGAGTTCATAATCTTTCCTTCATCGTGACCAAAAAATAGAAAATAAAAGAGGAGAAACAAAAAAACGACGACAAAAATGAAAGAAAAGATTTTCAGCTTCTCAAATTTATTGGTTTTCTTCTAGAACGAACATTTTTTTAAAAACGCTTTTGTTGATCTTGATTAAAAGGTGAATCGACTTTGATTTAATAAAAGAAATGAAAAGTGAATGCGTTTGTTGTTCATGTCTTGGCAAGATAATCAGCGAACGGGAAACACCCCAACATAAAAATAAGAAAGAAACAATTCAATTAGTTCCCACGCGTTACAAATCTATCTAATTCATTCATAAATATTTAAGCGTGCAGCTGATAAAAATAATTCGGTTCAGTTGGCTAGTTTTAAAAACACTTCAAATATTTTTTTCATTCTATTTTTAAAACATTTTTTCTTGTTGCCAACCACCTAAAATTATCTTTTCGATTGTTTGATAACAAAACATAATGTAAGTTTTTCAATGTCGAATATGTTATTTCTTCCTTCCATATGTTGTATAATAAATGGCATTACTAATATTCTCGTACGATAGAAATAAAACCAGACGAGACTTACCGGTTGGATTATTTAGATAAGGTAAACGTGTTTCCCAAAAAAATCACTTGTCGGCTGCATGATCGTTATTAAATGTGCCATCATGTGCATAACAAGATCATGCAATTATCAATTAATAATTATAATAAAAATATAATAAAAAAATCAAAATTTAAGAATTATATTTTCAACAAATGAAAGCAAATATTATATATATAAATAATATTATACTTACGAGTTTTACTTACGTAACACCTTTGACCTTTTTAAGCTACCACAACTAGGCTCAGACATAACATAATAAAAATAAATAAA